ACTATCGAGGCTAATCCTAAAACTATCGAGAGTAGTTCTTAAACTATTAATAAAAATCTATAATCTAAGATAGGTCTTCGGCGTTCCTTATATATCCGTAAGAAGACTTAAGCGGCTATAGAGTTAGAGGAATATTTATATTCTCTTAAGTATTTATATATAGCTCTAGCTAACTATATTAAATATACTACTTTTTTAATTCGTAGTATAGCTATAGACTTATAATTACTTCTAAAACTTTTATATTAAGCTTTAGCTTAATTAATACTATATAAACTAGATAGCTAGTAGGATATAATATAAAATTATATTAAGAATAAATAGATTAAATAGATTAAAGCTATAGATAAGGAAATATAGAAGTAGCTAAAAAACGGTACTTAGCGCGTATACGATCTTCCTACTAAAGATACTAAAAAGACGCTTCTTCCGCTTCGATAGGTCTTTTATATTAAGGATAATAGGACCTATAAAGCGTATCTTATTATAAAAGGATTTAAGTAGCGCGAAGGAATCGATTATCTTAATATTTATATAAGTATAGCTAAAGCTTTAAGCTTTAAAATATTCTGCGTAATAGCTATATATTTTAGCTAGTAGATATATTATATTAACTTTATTACGGTATTCCTTAATGTAGAGCTTCTTAAAGAAATCTATATTTAACTTCCTAATAGTTTTAAAGAGCCTAGAAAATATAGCCTTCTTTTAAAGACTTTATACAGTCTAAAATAGAGTCCTCGCGAATAGTATAATACTATCTATAGGACTCTAATAATAATTAGATTTATTCGCTTATATACGGACTATTCGGTATCTATATATATAAAATATAAGCTCTATCTTCTTATATACGTTAATAATATACTAATTATTATACCTTTAGATATATCTCTTATATAGCTTAAGGATTATATTCGTAAATCCTTCGATATTACTAATAACGGTACTACTACGCGATTCCTTATAATTAATATTATTTATATAGATAGTAAGATAAAGCTCTCTTAGCTCGCCTATATTCGAAAGGTCCTCGCGAAATTTAACCTATAAGATATATATATAGTCCCTACGCTATTTTATAATAAGAAGATCCTATAACTATATAAGGATACTATAACTCTAGCGGAAGTTAAAGCTTACTATAAGATAGTAGGCTTACTTATTTAGTTAATAGTTAATATACGACTAGATATTATATTTATAGTTATAAAGCTTATAAGATATACGTATAACCCCTCCGCGAAGTATATAACTATATTAAAGTATATCTTTTAGTATCTTAAGGGTTCTAAAATACTTACTATCGCGTATTCCTATTTACTAGACCTCCTTTTTAGATTCGTTAATATAGATTAGGCCGATAAATATACGGATAGTAGTATATTAACCTCCGGCTTCCTTTTTAAGCTTATAAATAGTATAATTACTTAGGCTTATAAAAAGTAAATATATATTACTCTTTCCTCTACAGAAAGTAAGTATATCGCTATATCTTTAGCTATATAAGAGGTATTATAGCTATAGCTTTTCCTTAAGGAACTTAATATAGAGTCCCTTTTATAACTTCCTACTATAATCTACGAGGATAACTAAGGCGCTATTTATCTTACTAAAAGCTATACTTTATACTAACGAACGAAGTATATTAACGTTAAATATTATTATATTAGAGACTAAGTCTCTAGGGGGATATATAAATTCGTTAAAATTTTAACTACAGAGTAGGCCGTAGATAGCTTTACTAAGCCGCTATAGCGAGTCTAATTCGAGAGGTTTCTATACCTTTTAGGTATAAAAAAGCTCTGATTTAATAGCCTTTATAGCGAGCTTAATTCTAAGGGTTTAAACACCTTTTTGAGCTTAAAAAGTTATATTAAGGCGTTATTAACATATTTATATGATTACTTTTCATGTTTTTTATATTTTGAGTGAGATTAGTGGATCGAGGTCTAGGGGGGTGTTGAGATAGCTTGGTGGTCAGGCGTGTCACTAGCGTGGTGCGCGCCCACGTATACTACCTTCGTAGCTTAGATAGGTACCTCTCACCAGATACAATCTCACCATTCCTTTCTCCCCTCTTTTGGGTCTGCTACGTTTTCCCAGTAGCCCCTAATACTGGGGAGCAGTCGCGGCCAGCCGACCCTATCTTCGCGTGCTTCCATGTTAACTTGATGGACTTGGCGGACACAAATTGCGATGTTTCTAATTATAATTCATACGGTACCATAGTCTGGAGGAAACTAAGATCACAATATGACGGTAAAATCATCTTTGGTATATGGCGATTCCTCGGATATGCCGATGTACAGAGTTTCTCCCGTCGGATTGATTGATCTGCTTTTATAAGCCTAGAGAAGAAGTGGAGTATATCTAGCCTTCATCTTGTTGGGAGCAGGTAACTGACTGGGTTCAGGTGCGTGTCTCGTGATCTGAGGAGTCGGCAGAAGATATGGCATAGTCGGGGAGGCGAGCCATTGTGGGTGAGGTCTGTATGCATCCAACGAGTTGCGAATTAATTATTTTGCCTTCTTACCTGACCGGATTGGAACCGACTATTGGCTTGCATGATGTAAACTCAGGTCGGGCGAAGCTCAGTCATCATCGAACTGGCCTCATGAAGGACGTTGGTCCACGCTATAGAGATGGCCTTAGTGCGACTTCTTTAAAGGACAAAGATTCAAGGGTCGAATCTCAGGCAAGCCTACCAGAAGACCTTCTTCGCAACAAAATACGTGCAAGTCCCGACGAGTGCAACTTGGAGTAATCCGCTCACCCCACGACGAGGGCCTTGGACAACCCGCGGGCCGGACCATTGGAAGAAAGCCGACCAAGAGGATCGATGGCCAAGATGCATAGGAAAGTTCATATTCCAGAACTTTGGTCGGACGGAGAAGTTAAATAAGCCGGTGTCTTATTGGTCAAAAGTCAAAATAGAAGGACGCATTTTCACAGAGGTACGAGAATGTCAGAGACATTTATCTTTCAACGGGGGATATGGCGGAGACCGAAGTTCGGCATCAGTAGTTTGCACCGAGGCCGATATCCGGGCATGGCGTAAGGTAAAGGGACCCAACGCGCAATGTAGATCAGAAATTACCAATTAGCAAGATATCAATTTGGTGGGAGCCGAGATCTTGAGAGCTTTTTTGGGGTTCTGACTTTGAGCTATGGAGGTAGGATAATCAAATATGCATGTATGACAGAGTCGGGACCTTCAATGACTGAAAACTAGTGCCGGAATGCAAAGTCTCATCGTAACGACCGATAAGCCGGGGCCTAGGTAGAATCGAGGGATGTGAGTGTAAGGCTAGTCGACGAGATTGAGTTGACGATTCAAGTATACCATAAGCCTGGATTATGATGCTGTTGGGGCGTTAGGAGGCATACCACGGTTCTATTCTGTAAGCTGCATCCTAGCTGTACTGAGATCAAAAGTTATAAAAATGCCCGGGCTTAGTGTAGTAATATAATGACTGCAAATGACCAGCGGAAATACCTCTCTGTAGCCTTGAGCAGTAGTTCGAAATCTCGGAATATAATTATTGATGACAACCTTTACCGGACGTAGGTAAACTTACCATGTTGAATGACATCCTAGGATAGGAGCCAGATCTCTGCGAAAGTCCAACCTGCTACGCCAACACACAGGGCTCTGATTCGGACAAGCATAAGGCGCTTTTGAATACAAGGTCGTGATGGCTTACCCGCGATCTAAGGCTCTCTGGCACAATTCAGGTTGATCGTATTCGGAACGAGCTGGCGACACGGGCTACGCGCAAGGTATTTTGTTCACGTGCAATAAAAGAACAGCTCTGGCCTTTATACAGGTGTCATTGGCTCTCCAAAATACATGAAGACTTCTTCCAGACTATCTCATTCTACGAATCAATTTCATGTGACATCCATGACTCGTGAATTGCTTAGTAACGTGCATTCATTCGCGCTACCTAGTCTGTTCTCCAAAACAACGCCCCCAATCTCCATCCGGATCCTGATTGACGTAGTCGTGATGCCCTGAAATAACTTGGGGCTGTAGCCGCTTGAATCCATGTCCATTCGTTCGCGCTGAGCGAATTGCGTCTCGCGTCTTGCCGTCCCTATTTCGGCTCGCTTATCGCTATTACTGTGTTCGGTGGGGCTGCTAAAGTAGCTTCACGAGAAGCATCTGGCCTGACTCGCGAATGCCCTAGCCCGTCTAGCGCGTAGGTGACGGCATTTGATATGATCAGTCGCACTTCAAGTCGTCTTGTTTGGGCGGAGTCCATCTCCTTGCAATCTCCTCTGCCGCAAAAGCTTCTCCGAGACCTTTCGACCTTTCTTGAGATATTCTCTGTGGAAACACGTCGCAAAGATTGCAGAATGCACCATGTATTATTTTCTGTTGGTGTACTATTTTGACATGATTCTCCAGCAACGAAGGGTAGCAGAGTAGGTGGCGCAAGCCACAGCGTCGGAGTTTTCGCGCACAACGTCCAATAGCAGACTCTCCAGCTGTTGTTCTTACTAAATGAAGAGCAAGGGGGAGATCGAAAGCTTGCCCTGACATATTTTAGTGCTCACAAGCGCTTGTAGAGGCTTAGACTCACAGTGACTCTGGGCCTTTAGCCCGCAGCGTTCGAGCGAGCACCCCCGTTCCATCAAGCGTTCCCCATCCATCTGGCGACGACGCACAATATGAATTCTGTTCATGGAGATCTCAGGAACTGAGGCATCATATGCAAGATGGAAAGCGATGATGGAGGCAACGAAAATACATGTCGTATCGCGGTACAGATTAAAGCAAACATGCAGCGCTTTGGAAATTGGCATCGTGCGTTATTTACAAATAAGGTATTTCGTAGAAGCGCAATTGACGATGTCGAGCAATGGCCGCCGCACAGCAGCTAAGATAGGCCTATTCTCGAACTGTACCCGTCGGTTCATTACATACATGTACACATTCTGAGTCACATCGAGCGGTGACGCGCGCTCGAGATTCCATACCTCTGGCCCTCTTCTCAGGTCACTTTAGCCCAAAATTCTTTGGTTTCTTCAATATAACCAGTTTGTTCCAAGGGTAGCTCCCACTCGGCAGCGTGATTTTCCGCAATTTCCAAATACGGCGTTAGCGTTTGGTCCAGGTGATCGCTCGGGGTCCCGGGGAAATGCACCAGCAAATCTCCTGGGTGCACTTGAAGATGTTCTGGTGAATCTGGGTTCGGTCTCAAAGCGTCCGGCGACCTCATGTATGCATTGAACCATCGTAGTGGGCAATAGACTGTATGTTTCCGGAAATATTCGTTCTCATCGAGAAGATTGCTCAGGGCGGATTGATCTTGCCAGGCGAGGGTAACGTCTGGATTGACTGAAGGATAGGCTATCGTTGCAGAAAGCAACCTCACCGACCACTCGTTGACTCGAATGAAATAGACGCCATTATTCAGTCCGTTCCAGTCTTTGGTGAGTAAAAGGTGAACATCTGGGAGAGTCGGAGGAGGCAGAAAGACCTCGAGGGGCATATTCGCATTCATCAGGACCGTGTCGCTGTCAAACCAGCTAGAAGTATGAATTAGGCCTTAGGGATTCATACCCTGTGAACTCGGTTAAGACCTCTCTGCCACAACTTACAAAAGCCACTCGAGTCTCTTGTCTGCAGGTTTCTCCAACTCATGGAGCATTTCAGCGAGGAGGATCGCACACTTGCTGTACGTGCCGCTCAACGTGGGTTTGCGAAGAACAGACACTGGGTAACCGAATCGGCGAGCATGCTCCTCGTGTGTTTTCAGGCCTCTCTCGTATATCGAGCGGTTGCCGTAGATCATTGTGACTTTGCCTATTGTCGGCCGTGGCTGCGCTTGTCGTCTATCACCCAAGGGGGACATTGCAGGTCCAGCTATGGTCCGGATCAGTCCTTGCGAATTCACAAGTACTACCACGCAGCGTCATGTCCGACCAACGTACCCAAGCTATTGCAGAGAGTGTATAGCCCGAATATCGAAAGCACCCCGAGAAAGAGGTTGCGGATCATTTTCATTTTCATGTTCCGGCTTCTCGACGCCGTACTCCATTGGGCCATCTCCGAGGATCCAGTTCTGGCATTCACGTAGGGAACAGCGCAAGAAGATATATCGTAGGGAGTCAAGCGATTGCGAAGGAGGAACAAGTTCGAGGTCCGTCTCTTCCCCATCGGCTAGCTAGAATTAGCCAGCGTCATTAGACCCGGGTTTAGCGCCGTTCTCCTAACGCACCAACCGAGGCGGGGCTGCACGTTCATCGGTCGCTCAGGTGGGCCGCCCTGGGATCAGGCAAAAGTACGGCCATGCCGATCTGAGCACTATAGGCATTCATTCCATTATTTTCTGACTCCCGCGCGCCGGGCATGAAGTACACATCGGTCACCTTATCTGTCTGACCATTTCGGGGCGCATTTGGGCCGTCGCTGGTGGACCAAGACAGAAAGGAGATTCAAAGTTCCCAAACGGGCCGAGACGCCCTGACTCAGGGTCCTACCCTGATCCCCCGGCAGCACCCTGAAGTTTGTTGATCCAAGCGCAGGAAAGAGTGGACACGGAGCATCAGTGTCGACTCTGTCGAGTGTCGAATCTGTCGACTCAGGACTGTCGTGGCATTGGGGGCCGGAGCTCGGCGTGATGGGTGGGCCATCTCCCGCATTACACACGTGATTGGCTCCATGTCGGAGCCTGACTCCATTTGCGTGCGCCAGTCTAGTCCTCTTGAGTCAGTTCAGCTCCGGGGGAGCTTCGCCCCGTTCGAATCTTGTTGGTCAAGTACCCGCGTCACATCTCCCATGTGAAAGTGACTAAGTAGTAAGTGCAGGTTGTCAGGGACGACTGTAGGAGTAGTGCAGGACTGATCAGTCGTGACTGTTGTAGTCTGTTGGTCCCACTGTTCCCTGGTCTCCTCTGAGCGGTCGGGACCTCGCCGATCAAACACACGGACACAAGACTAATGCAAGCACGGGCACACGGACTTTGGACGGAATCAGACGATCATTTACTTCGATATTTGAAGAACTTGTCAACATCCAAGATTTTCGAGTTCGACGGTTTAACGTATGTTCTCTACGGTGAAGGTTTTTAAGAAACTGTTCGAATCAGCCCTTTCACATTCTTCTTTGTGCCTGGTAAACAGCATCCGTGGGACGGTGACGGGAATGGCGCCAAATCAGCCAAACATTACGACGACAGGGATTGACGCCGCGAGCGCTTGCGCTGAAACCTTAGGGCATGTGCTATTGAAAGTAGTCGTCGTTTGGGCAAATAGCCAGGTGTGCCTATTTTTGTCGTGATGCAAGCTACCTGGCAATTTCCGGTGGGCGCAGGGGTCCAGGTCGGCAGATGAACTGATCATCAATGCCTCGAGCCCTTTTCAGGTACAAGGATCACTCACTTGACTCCTTAGCCGCTGCTCTGTCTGTCTCTATAAGGGCCCTCGGAGACCCAGGAGACCCATCATAGATCGATCTATATTGTATCAGTCTGGGGTTATAAGAGGTCTTAAGAGAGGTGATATCAGCAGAGTCAGAGGGTGATCAGTCACGTCCAATCTATCATGAACTTCGCTCCGATGACGGCGGCGTCTGCCATGACGACCTCCATCATGACCATGACCATTCCCATGGTCTCACGCTTCACACCTCCTGCCTCTTGTTCAAGCTCCTGGACATATGAGCCGGAAGCAGCGAACGCTGTGCCGGGGGGTCTTATTGTCCAGAACGCCGCCACCGCGGATCATGTTGACAGCGCTTGTTGGCCTTCGGGCTTTTATCATTATGGGAGAGTGCAGCCAACCCAGCGATTCAGTCCAGGATGGTGTCCCTCTGGCTATACCTCCGCCGATAAGGCTATCAACCGAGGCGTGACCAGCGCGGCTTGCTGTCTGTCGTAAGTGTCATTTCACTTCTCGTCTTAACGTACTGAAACCAGGATTTCGTTCATACTGACCCCAATTCCAGTGGATACTCCTATGCTTCAAGTGTTGACGGCCCCAATGGCATCTATGCCGGATGTCTTTCAATGTTACAGTCGGATTCCTCAACGATTCTTACCGTACGCCAGGAGACAAGTGCCAGTACAGAGATTGTCGGACCAGTCACGATTTGGGGACAGCCTATTTTGATTGCCATGGAATCATCTGACCTGAGTCTCTTCGTTCCTGCAACAACGACAACATCGCTCTCTTCAATGTCTCCCGCACAGACTTCCACATCACATGTTTCCTCTTCTGGGTCTTCGTCTACACCTTCATCTTCATCTGCATCTTCATCATTCACAACCCAGTCCTCATCTACGCAAAGCACTCTATCGCCCACAAGCGCCCCAGGCACAATCACGAGTGGTCTCTCCTCGGGGACGAAGGCGGGAATTGGAATCGGTGCCGGTGTGGGCGTTCTAGGAATAATAGCCCTAATTGCAGCAATCTTCATCTTCCGGCGACGGCGCAAGCACCCAGTTCCCCAAGACCACCTTGCACCCGCTTCGCAACAGCGTTATTATGGTGCGCCCGTCTCGCAAAGCAATCAATATCCCAAGATTGGTAAGGATTTCCTCCCGTCTTTGGAATAATGAGGGGTTTAGGGCAAATGCTGACTTTCTTTTGATAGACGTGTATGCTGCGGAGTTGAATGGAACCAAGGAACGGCCAGGCGAATGGGGTATACCTCCAGCAGAGCTACCAGGCGGGACACGTTGATGAAAAGTTAGTCTTGCGGATATGTGTACTGTGTAAGGATACAGCTCTTTCATGTGCATACAGAGCTGCGTGGCGGTGGAGTTTTCTTGCTTTAAAGTTTAATCTATGTCTAATGATTACTAAATACTGAACACCATTCCATTTCATGTCATAAGACATTGCTCTTGGTTGAATACGGCCCCGTTCTGAGTTTACTGATTAGGGAGAAAGCAAAGCTGTGTCGAGTCGTTGACTATCGAGTGATCGTAGAGATGTGGACTGGCCAATGCAATACCTAGTTATCTACACAGCAGTCTTGCGTCCGCCGTCCAGTACTACTTTCAGACTGAACCTTCGGCCACCAGCAAAGCCTAGCATTACCCATTGTCAAGCCTCGCACCGAATCGTTTCCAGACCCAAAATCTGCCCATATATTATACCCAGGCACAACCAGTGATGTGGCTTCGGGTCCATTCCTGTTGCTTTGTCCCACTGACAACAGCATGGATACTTTGATGTACCGTGGTTTGGGAGGACTGGGCTAATATCAAATTACTCAAAACGAGTGTTCGGTCGCTTTTAATCTCCGCGTGCCGCCAATACTTCCGGGAAGACACAAACTGAATGTCCTCTACGTCTGGTATCAAAGTGCCTTATCATCCTCGTGGTTCTGATCTCGACTAGTGTTCTACCCGACTTCAGTCAGGCTTTCCACTCAAGTCGGCTTTTTTCGGCGAGACGGCCAGATCCAGTTCAAAGTAGGCGCAGTGGTCAATTGACACGTCCAAGCGGCCAAACTGGGCTAACCCAGATGAGGTGATCATCAAGATGATTCTGTGAGCGATTGGTTACAAGGCAGAGTACGACTATGTTCGCGGGCGCAAATCTAGTCCTCTTTCGTCAATTGCTCCGCTCGCTGCATAGCCTCAAGGAGTTTCGATCCCCTGTAGTAGTTGATGCCCGAGCTTGCTACGTTTCCACAGCCACTCTCACTAGGCGATAAGGATCTCACCCTACTCAGGTACACACGTCACACAGACACGAGACCAATGCAGACAAGTGCGCACACGTTGGTCACAGCGGCGTTTACGTCAGGTCGTGAAGCAATATTACCACTTGATTACTGTATTCGACAAAGAATCCTCTGCTTTGCTTCAAAGTTCACTTGGTGTAAAAGTGGCCACTCACTGGAGTTTTACACTCCTTCTGAATGGAATCAAATTCTGCAACGGCACACTTACAGGGAGCGGCGCCAAATAGGTCAAATGGTACGGCAATGGAAATCCTGCAGTCGTAGAGGGCGATTAGGTAGGTCTCCTGTCATACTCTAGTTTTTGGGAGCTAAGAAAGTGTCCATGCTAAGAACACGCTCTAGTGGTTTCTCATATACTTCAGGAACTTCTATCTGGTGACTACACGGACGAATATTGACCCCTCGGAGATATGCTTACTCCCACCCATAGATGTGGACCTCGTATCCTGCGGAACTAATGGATGGAACGGGGCTCATTATCGGCCTGGCGAGTGAGGTACGCCTCCGGCAGAGTTACCGAGTAGACACCGTTAATGAGGTTTGCGTCAACAACTGTACTAGGGTCATAGGGTGACTTGCTTATAATGGGTCCCGTACGAACACTAGTAATGGGACTGGGAACACCCGTAATGAAAGTATATCTGGCGCTATGCCGCTGTCTGCCAGGGCGATGTTTTCGCATTGTCTTGGGTGTTCAACCGTTCAACCACCACCTTTCTGTGGATAGTTTTTGACATGGTTCAGGGCTGCCGCGTGCGGTCACATAGGCATAACCACAGTGAAGTAGCTCTGTGTATTGTGTATAAACAATCGAAATATGACTGTCGGATGAAGAACGAATAGAGAGAGACAGGCAAAAACGCAAAAACAAGAACATACAACAGCCAGGATTCGCATGTGGTCACCCACCATACTACTAACTGGCCGGCGTGTGGCTTAAGCACGGCTGAGCGGACGGGAAGCCCTGTTCTCCACACCCTGTGGTCGTATGTACTTACTGGACCTGTCTCACAATTATCACAGGTACAGGTGGTGCCAGGTAGGTAAGAGTAAGTGCAGAATCTACCAAGGATATCTGTCACCATCCGCCATTCTGGAATATGAGACGGCGTTATGTTATTAACTCTTATAAGCTTAAAGGAGCTCGATCATTTAGCATACCCATCAAGCGTCAGGAATAGGATTACCAGAGTCGGAGAGTTGTCTTTGAGAGACCAGAAAATTAGTCACTTAAATATTCGTAGAAATCCTCTACGGGAGGAAAAGAGAAAGGTGAAAGGCGACTTGAATAATTGAAGTAGGAAGGAGGAGAGAAACTTCCTAGCTCATATGTGGGCTGGTGGATCACTATGTCGGTGTCGGCGATAGTAGATCTCCCTTTACCTGGGTGATCATCTCTATCTCGCTGGACACGACTAAGCACTTCGACGTCACGACGTGGGAGACTCGGATCTTCCATTTTTGAAGGACCAGGGGACGAGACATGACGAGATATAGGCTATAGAAATAGAGGCATTTGGGGGGCGCCGGGGGGAGGGGTATATTACGAGGATTTAGCCACGTGAGAGTTCAGCTGAACTGCATGTTTGGATGATTCTGCTGACTCACCACCGAGGGACCCACAAACCCACGCATCAGATAGCCTCACCTTCCTCCCATCTTCTTCACACCAATCAAGTTGTCTTTCACCTTTCTCTTTTCCTTCTCGTAGATCACCTACAAATACTGCATATGCGGCGAAGAGAGCATGTGCTGCAGTAGCGATGTGACCAACGCATTTCTGCTCCAACAATGTGCGGGCGCTTACAGATCAGATGAAACTCAGATAATAGAGAGATTCTGGAGGTATATCGGACTTATGGGCTACGCCCAAGTAGTAATATTCCATCATCGACCTTCGAAGTGGGCCATCCAGCTGTGCTTGTGACTGTACCCTCCTCGAAATGCCCTCAAGGCCATGTTTAACGCACATTTCGAGATGTCTAACCTAGTCTTGAATGATTGTGTCATGTTGAGTAACAAGTTCTCTACTGCTAATTCGAGCGTGACAATCCACTTTCTAGTAGATAGGTTGTATAGGAACTTAGGCTTCACGCTTGTGATATTCATCTGTTTAAGCTTCTTACTCGACAATCGAACCGAATTAGGTTCCAGTCATATTTCACTTCTTCAGTTTCCCCACCTTTAGACCGCTAGATGAGGTCTTGATGGCAGGGTTCAAGACAGGGTCTTGCTAAGATTATGACTTGATGTGATGAAAATTGATGGCTGAACGTATGGCATGTGATACTGCCGTCTCACCGCAATTTATAGCCTAGATAGAATCTCTCCTAGCCAGTCAATCTCACACTCATCCCTATCTCCTATGGTGATGCTGCACCTCTTGTAGCTACCCCCCAAAAGTTATCTTGCTACTGGATTGGTATACTCAAGAATAGAGCAGCTCTAATCTTATAATATAAGTCAACAAGAGTTACAAGATAACTCCGTCTCGGTATCTGTTACTCGTAGATGCTGGATCGTGACAAATATTATGGATCGACTTCTAACTTTTCACTTAACACTCGCCAGTCAGATATATGAAACAAGCTTGTTCGAGTGCAAACGACCACAGGATGTGGAGAACAGGGCTTCCCGTCCGCTCAGCCGTACTTAAGCCACGCGCCGGCCAGTTACCGGCACACAGGTATTTAGACCCGGGGTAGGGCAGGGGGCTGGTTTGTGTCTCTATGGTGATCAACCCGTGTCAGACAGATAACCACGGGCTCGTACCATCATGTCTACGGTACATCAGCCTCTAATTATACTTGGACAGGACAACGTCTTTGAGGATCATTATCGCAGATCGACTTGAAGCTCGACTTCGCAGCTTTGCGATGGGCTATCGGACTCCAGGCAATGTGCGAGATGATAGATGATATAGCCTGCCCAGTCGCGGAAGAAGCTGAGCCCCGATCAAGATCCATACGCTCTCTATGCCAGCAGGGCCCTGTCATTCGACAAAGCTCCCTGTGAGCAGAGCCTGGCGGTAACCTCAAGCCTACCTTGGACCACTGTGGTGATGTGTGGACGAATGGAAAGCTCTTGGTCATGAGAAGCCAGCGCTTGTCTTAACTTTGGACCGATGAATTTCTCGCCGGCCTTGCCCCTGGAAGCAACCAATAGCCAGTTTCTAGTCACGGTTCTGAAATGGGTCTTCTGGGGCCGGCCGAAGCTCACTCACCAAGGGTGTGACATGGCCTTGGGTTGGGGGCTCTGGCGTCAACATAACCACGGGCCAAAATGCCATCTCGATACCCTCACCCATCGATATCCCTGTGATCTCGATGACAATGGGCTTCGCCGGATCCGCATCCCAAGCATCCTCCCAGTCCCCAACTTCCTCGGCACAAGCGTCTGCAAATTCGAATTCCTCGTCAGATTCAATCGCTCAGTCATCTTCTATATGCCCATCATCAGCCGCACCACAGATATCCACTACAGCTTCGGAGAGCGGCACTTCTTCCCAGTCAACGTTTGGTCTCGAGATAGGCCTAGGAGTGGGCTTGGGGGTGCCGCTGATCGTCGTCGCGTCAGTTTGCATCAGTTTTAGCCTTCCTTTGCATCCGCGAACGACGCCAATTGAACGCTCAAGGAAATATGCGTGGGAGCATAAGCTGGCGTCCCTCGAGTCGATTAGTACGAATCGGCGAAAGAGGCTACGCCCCTCATAATTTGGGGGCGAAAAAGCATATCCCGGAGCTGCATGGGTGAGATCTATACATTGCATCATGGCGATCATACTTATCTACTATCAGACCTTTTGGGGATTTTCCATGCCCGACTGACCAAACGTTTTGTATATAATTGATCCCTTTCTGTGCCATGCATCTTTCATTGACTTTCAGTGGTCACTTCACTCCCCTAGCACGGGCATCGGGACCTTCCAACATGTTTACAGATATTAGTAATCGAATCTTGCCCGATTGCCCAGCGCACTCTTGTCAGGGCAAGATGGATCTGCTAGTGACTCGATATCAATCCGGCTTACACAAAGTCCGATGTTAATATTGCTTTGTAACCTGCTTTGAAATCAGGTTCAGACGGGATCAGGACGATTGCTTCCGCAAGGGAGGATGCGCATAGCAGATGCACGCGTACAGCCACCGAGAAACCCGCCCAGCGACTGGGCAGAGTCTACTTAAGACGCAATGAGGCCATGAAACTCCAAAGACACGACTCTCTCACACGTTCCCCAATCTCGATTTCTATTACTGGCTCAGTCCAGGCCACAGCAACCAAACTCACACTTTCGGCTCACAAGAACCATCATGTCACTCAAGCCTATCAAGATCTACGACCATGGTCCGAGCCCCAACCCCTGGAAAGTGGTCATTGTGCTAGAGGAGCTCGGTATTCCATACACCAGAGAGCATGTTGATTTCGCTGTCATCAAAAAAGAGCCCTTCATCTCGGTCAATCCGAATGGTCGAGTGCCCGCCATCGAAGATCCCAATACCGGATTGACGCTGTGGGAGTCTGGTGCTATTGTTGAATACCTCGTTGAGACATATGACACGGAGCACAAAATCAGCTTCGAAAGAGGCTCAGCAGATTACTTTCTCGCGAAACAATGGCTTCATTTCCAGGTGTCGGGCCAAGGGCCTTACTTCGGCCAAGCAGTGTGGTTTACACATCAGCACCCGGAGAAGATCGAGAGCGCCACCGAGCGCTATATCAAAGAGATTCGGCGTGTTTCTGGAGTCCTAGACAATTTTCTGCAAGACAAGCAATATCTCGTAGGAGAGAAGTTCAGCTATGCGGACTTGTCATTCATCCCTTGGTACTTGATCATGGATTGGTTCAAAATCGATTTGGCGCAGGAGTTCCCCAAATTGAATGCATGGCTGGAGCGACAGCACGCTCGCCCTACGATCGCGAAGGTGATAGAAACACGAAGCAAAGAGCCATTTGAATGATGGAAGCTTTCATCTTCAACAGCCTATGAAATCGCTCGCTGCCCATGGGCTCGGATGTCCAAGCCTCTTGCATGGTGATATCGAGGAGGGAGAGATTCTAGTCCAGGCCACAAATATTCTATCTGAAAAAAAAAAAAATTATCGATGGGATTTGTCTCGCGCTAGAACACATTCCATGTCGTCAATTACAAGTGACTGTCCATTTTCTGACTGTGAGCCAAAAACTTCCAAGTCTAAGTAAAGTACCAGTTAAAGCATGTTATTGTTCAAGTTTAGAGAGCCGGCGGCACGAGCATTCAGGCGCCCAGGCACCAAGTCATAACAATTCCCGTAATTTGCCCTTCCATTCTGGGATTAGCGTGGATGGATGGCTTGGCACAGCGACCGCGAGTTTTCCGTGTCGCGACATCCACCTCCTCCGTATTTCAATAACTTGTCCGCTTATCCTCGCGTCGCCCGATCCGTCATCCGAGCGGGCTACTGTTTTCCTTCGTCCATAGATCTAGCCGCAGGTTCCAGTCCCAATACGCATCGTTGATTGCGCAGCGCTCCGACAAAGAAATAGAGGGCAAGGAGTTTGATCTTCTATCGCCCGCGCCAACAGCTCGACCTTGCGACACTGGTATGGATGGTTCTTCAGCAGAGCAAACATCGAACCCTGACAACATAAACAAAATGGTTGGCACAGACAGCGTTGCTTCTTCAGGTCAGACTATGCCTGCTCCGTTGATTCACCCTGTACATGGCAGCAAGGCTCACATAAGAAATCACAGGGCAATCACGCCAGGTTTCCCCAGAGAAGAAAGCTGAGTCCACTGCTGGGCTCGACAATCCTCTTGATGCCCCTGCGTCGCCCAAGGCACAGAACGCCGATGCCGAACCGGAGGATGAGGAGATGGGAGGCACCGAAACCGACGCCAAGCCTGACACCGAGGGTTTAGACGATGCCGCGGGGGAGTCACAGCCTCCAGAGGCGGCGACAGAAGGCATGGAGGATGCTGCTGGAGAAGATCAGCCAGTGCCCAGCAAATCGGCACTAGAGGGCAAGGCTCGCGATCAACTCATTTCACAGACACACGCCATCATCCTCCCTAGCTATGCCACCTGGTTTGACATGAACACCATCAATGCGATCGAAAAGAAGGCCCTCGCTGAATTCTTCAACGGCCGCAATCGAAGCAAGACCCCTGCCACATACAAAGATTACCGCGATTTCATGATCAATACCTACCGTTTGAACCCCATTGAATACCTGACGGTCACCGCCTGTCGCCGTAACCTTGCCGGTGACGTGTGCGCGATCATGCGCGTGCACTCCTTCCTTGAGCAGTGGGGACTGATCAACTACCAGGCGAGTATCGGCCTTGCGAATGGTGGCTGTAGACTGTTGCTGACTTTCTGCGTTTTAGGTTGACCCCCAATCCCGGCCCTCCAACATCGGTCCTCCATTCACTGGTCACTTCCGCGTCATTGCCGATACCCCTCGCGGACTGCAGCCATTCCAGCCTGGACCTCAGCCAGCAGTCACTTCTGGTAAAGCTCTTGCTGCTACCGAGCGGGCTGCCTCAGCGACTCCCGCGAAGGGCGATTTGAACCTGGAGCTACGCCGCAACATCTACGACGACAAAGGCAAAGATGTGACGTCTGCCGAGGACAAGGAAAAACAGACTAATGGCCAGGCAGCAAACGGAATCGAAATCTCCGAACCTAAGAAGAAGGTCCATTGCTTTTCTTGTGGAATCGACTGCACACGACTCCGCTTCCATTATGCCAAAGCAGCTCCAACGTCCGCAAATGCCAATGTCCCCGACACCAAATACGACCTGTGCCCCAACTGCTTCCTACAGGGTCGTATGCCATCCAGTCACAATGCGTCCGATTTCGTGAAACTCGAAGACAAGGCCCATACCTCGGTACCCGATAAGGATGCTCCTTGGTCTGACTCAGAGCTATTGCTGCTGCTCGAAGCTCTCGAGAATTTCGACGACAACTGGGAACAAATTGCCAACCACGTTGGTACGCGGACGCGCGAGGAATGCGTAACGAGATTTTTGTCACTTGAGATCGAGGACAAGTTTGTCCAGGATATCCCAGAGCTGCGATCCGGTCCTTCACGCGACCCGGTTACACAAACCGAGAACCCGGCCCTGTCAGTAGTGACTTTCCTCGCTCAAATGGCCGAACCTGCCGTTGCTGCTGCCGCGGCCGGCCGATCCATCGAGGAGATTCGCAAGGAGCTCCGTGCCCAGGTGGAGAAGGGTTCGGGTTCGGGTAATGAAGGCGTCAAGTCTGAGGATTCTATGGAGGTAGACTCTTCCCGAGACGGAGAGCAACTGCTGCAGAAGCCCAGGGAGTCCTTGGCCACTGTGGCTCTGGCAACCTCTGCGGCCCGTGCAGAGGCTCTCGCATCTCACGAAGAGCGCGAGATGACTCGTCTGGTTGGAGCTGCTGTTAATGTCACTCTCCAGAAGTTCGAGATTAAGTTGCAGCAGTTCAACGAAATGGAGGAGATTATCGAGGCCGAGCGTCGGGAATTGGAGCAGGCCCGTCGCCAACTCTTCCTGGACAGAATGGCCTTCAAGAAGCGCGTAACGGAGGCTCAAGAAGCTTTGAAGGTTGTCAGTGATCAAGGTCCCAACGAACATACCAACGCCATGCTTGCCGGTGCCGCCACTGCTGGCATCGGAAACACCTACGGCTTCCAAACTCCAGTGGGGGAAGCCCAGCCGAATGTGCAACCCTTGAGCGCCGATGGAGGCGCCGATTACAAAGCCCTTGACCTATGAGCCCTCTACCTGTCTGCAACATGTGTATGATATCCCATGGAGTGTGGTGTATGAGGGGTGAACAAGCCGAGCGCCGTTGTTGAATGGAAATTTGCCCGCCTCTGCTGGTGTTAATGAATCGTCTTGGTTTGGACCTTATTGTCTGTTTGGGAAAAGGCGCAGTATTCTGGTACCTCTACGGAGTTCTAGTCAATTTTTTGAATTCTTTTCCTGCTGTGGAAAACCTTATCAGCGATGGAGGATAGGAAGCGGGGACCCGGTTGTTCAGTTTTCTAGCTGAATCTGAATAAGGGTGCTTTCCAATTAGTCTTCTCTTGTAGCACAGACATGTGGTGAAGCGATCTCTTAAAAACGGCCAAGGCTCATCTCTTGCGGAATCCTAATATTCAGTTACCTCGTCGATGGACTGATTGCGTGAAGGGTCGGGCGATGGTTTGGTTGCCCCTGGGCCCGTCTAGAGTAAACAAACGTCTAAGGAAATAATTCACTGCGATGTGGGTACTAAATGAAGTGGTTCACTAAGGTATCGCTAACTATTTATGCATGTCCACGTGGAGTTCCGTCACCTTTGCCATCGAACTCCCGAGCCAGCTGGTCAATCAGTCGTAGGCCCTGCAGACGGAGCTTCTCCGGGCGTTAAGAATGACTGAAGAAAAGCCTCCCAGCCAGCAGAGCCATACTTTGGAGGCTCAACTCGCGTGTGCTCCTCCGCTCCGAGTTGCGGGCGATGGGTATCATTATCTTCGCTAGATTCGTCGTCTTCACTGTTGACGACTGAAGCAGAGAGAAATTGCTCTGTTCGACGTTTTTTGCGGCGATTTTCAATCAGCGCCTCTTCTACATCACCGGCTTCATAGCCAAATTCCTCCCATTCACCACGATACAACACACGATCTCGCCAATCGACCAGTTCATGAGGAGCCTTGCGCTCGGCTGGGGGTTTGCGAAACGCTTCTTTGTCATTTTCTTCGGTGGCGATGGGTATTTCGAGTTTTGGCGGAGGGGGTTTGCCGAGCATTTGCCATAGGTGAAGCTCTGTTACACGACTGTGCTCGCGATCGAGAGTGTCGGCGTGCTCTTCTTCGAGGTCTAGGAATTCTGTGTCGCTGTCTGAAGTTGTCGAGAAGACTTCTGAAGACGTTGTAGAGAGATGGTCGGTTGTATCTTGAGCGTGACTTGGCGCACGTTGGATCGAGTCCTCGTCAGATTCAACGTCTTCAGCATCGTCAAGTTCTTCATCTCCGTCACTGTCGTTTGCTGCGGCTCCAGGCATAGCATCGGTCTCGGATTTCCGAAAGTAGTCTGTTTCACCATTGAGAATTTCCTCGGCCTCATTGTAGCTCAACTCGCGAGTCTTCCAGCCCTTGGTCTTGCGGCTGTCCTCGATGACCAGCTCGTTGTTTCGGGCAACGTCTAGAAGGAAATTGTCCCGCCGAGGGCGCATGTTTAGAATCTCCATGGCAGCTTTTACATCCTTGCGACGGACCGCATTGGCTCGTTCACGACCATGTAGACTCTGACTTCGAATGCGACTCATGGCGATAAATTGGACAGACTGGATGAGTCGACGAGTAATGCTGACGGCCAAAGCGTAGAGGTCCATCAGCGCCTCTCCACTGAGAGACGGCGACTCTTTCCTGGAAGTCACAAGATTCATCCAATTGTCATCCTCTTTCGAGCCTCCAAAGTTCATGAAGAATCGCTGCTGAAGCTTGACCCATGTCGGAAGATTCAGCAAGCCGGCTGGTAATTGTATATCGCCGCGAAGGGCTACATTTTCATCAGCTGCCAGCAGCTGTTCAGCCCGATCGCTGTCGACATTCCAATTCTCACCAAAGCGCGTGCGGCCAGCAATGGCGGCTGCGAGCTCCTCCTTGGATCGCAGTCCTTGCGCGTACTCGTCTAGCTCGGCGCAGCATGCTTCGCTGATTTCGGCGGCGCCAGGAACATCCCCCATGACAATCGTCTTGACGTGTCGCCCAATACGGTGTTGACCTTGGAGACCTTGTTGAAGGAGTCGCAGATGATCCAACACCTCGAGTTCGGATTTTGTACCGATGGCTGCAGCTATCTCTTTGATTCCATTCTTGCCTTTCCGATCAAGAACATTGTATAGAACTTCCTTCTCTGTCGCAGTCCAGATCACCGCGCCATTCTGGTGGACATTGTATAATTCTTCATCTTCCTTGGTCGATGAAAAGTTGATATCGTTCTTGATCTCGGTAAGGAGAGAGGAGTATAATCCGAGAGTTCTGGCCGACAAATTCTCGACAATGTCATCAAACGGGCCGAATTCGTTCTCGCGACTGATGACTTGCGGTCCTCTGTCAATACTCACTCCATCTTCGAAATCAGACAACAACGCAGGCTTGCTATCAAATTCCTCGTCTGGTAAAGTGTCTAGAGCAGCTACCCGGGAAGAAGAACGTCGAGTGCGCAATTGGTGCGGTTGTTGATCGACGCTCAGCGCGGACTCGGAATCGGAAACTTCATCGGGCGCGAAGGAGGACTCGGAACTGCTCATGGTGCGGGCTTGCAGATACCCAGTGCATCCGAACGAACCGGAGGCGAGGACATCACAGCTGCGCCTGTGAATTAAAAGTGACCTTGCAGAGGCAGAATGATCCAACTTCGACCCAGCTGAGAGAGAAAAAAAAGAGATCCGCTCCGCGATAGCTCCACCACCAAAACAGCGACTGACGTTATCGCGACGGCCGATAAGGAATGTTTGCAATGTTTGGTTGTCTTCTATAAAGCTTTCCAAGCTTATCTTCTGATCTAGTCATGGAATTCATTCGGAGATTTGGGCTCTTAGCAGTCTCGCGATCTTGGACGAGGCCACCCAGGAAGCTTTTGTGGTCGCCGGCATCCCTCCGTGCTCGACTGAATCATACGCAAACACCCTCGACTGGCTCGGCGAGCATTGTGCTCCGCGATTATCAGGAAGAATGTATCCAATCAGTCTTGAAATACCTTGATGAGGGCCACCGACGTCTCGGCATATCACTCGCAACTGGCGCAGGGAAAACAGTACGTATTCAATTATGACTTATGAATGCTCCCACTAAGAACAAGCCTTCAAGGTGATTTTCACGCAGCTGATCAGCCGCATCCCGCCGCGCAGTGTCGAAGCGACCAAAACGATGATCATCGTCCACCGACGCGAACTGGTTGAACAGGCAGCGAAGCATTGTCGCCTTGCGTACCCCGACAAAATTGTGGAGATTGAAATGGGAAACAGCGTCGCGACGGGGCACGGAGACATCATCATCGCTTCAGTACAGACGCTTGCGCGAGGACGCATCCATAAATTCGATCCAAATCTCTTCAAGTTGATTCTTGTTGACGAAGCACATCACATTGTGGCGAGATCATACCGTGAAGCTCTGGGGCACTTTGGCCTAAAGGAACCATCGGCAAGTGCGCCTGTCCTAGTCGGTGTTTCGGCCACATTTGCACGGTTCGATGGTCTCAAACTTGGAGCTGCCATCGATCACATCGTTTATCACAAAGACTATGTCGACATGATCGGTGATAATTGGCTGTCAAATGCAATTTTTACCACGGTCAAGTCCGAAGCCAACCTCTCGGAAGTCAAGAAGGACAAGTTTGGCGATTTCGCTCTTGGCTCTCTTTCCAAAGCCGTCAATACAGCGACGACAAATGACATCACAGTGCGGGCATGGATGGCTAACGCTCAAGATCGAAAGTCAACTCTGGTATTCTGCGTCGATGTTGAGCATGCGAAGCAACTCACCGCTAGATTCCGCGAGCATGGCGTAGATGCGCGGTATATCACTGCGAATACTCACAAGACCGTGCGGTCAGAGCAGTTAGAAGCGTTCAGGAACCAGTATTTTCCCGTGCTTCTGAACTGTGGTCTGTTCACGGAGGGCACAGATATACCTAATATTGACTGTGTTCTCCTTGCACGACCAACGAGGTCCAAAAATCTTCTTATCCAGATGATCGGACGTGGCTTGCGTCTTTACCCCGGGAAGAAGGACTGTCACATCATTGACATGGTTGCCACACTGGCGACTGGTGTCTTGTCAACACCGACACTCTTTGGACTTCATCCTGATGAAGTACTCAACAAGTCTTCAGTCAATGATTTTCAGAAGGGACCAGCAGAAGAAGAACGCCTTTCTGAATCATTAGCCGCGGAGTCAGCAGAACCAGACGTTAGTCTTCAATTTACGAAGTACGATAGTATCTACGACCTGTTGGATGACTCGCGCTCAGAGAAGCACATCCGCTCACTCAGTCCGAATTCTTGGGTCCGCGTCGGCGACGAGAAATATCTACTTTCAGAATCATCTGGATGGCTAAGTCTCGAAAAGGAAAAAAACATGTACAATGTGTACCACGTCATGAAATTCAACAATCCGGCTACTGAGACGCCACAGTTCACGCGTCCTCGGCGCGTCGCATCAGGGGAGGACTTGGAGACCGCAGTCCGGGCTGCAGACACCTACGCAAGCAACAAATTCGACGAGCGGTACATTGCATCATGGAAGCCGTGGCGACAGAATCCCGCCACTGCAGGACAGCTTCAGCTCCTGAATAAAGCCCGCATCAGACAAGGCAAATTACGACCCGACGACTTGACACGTGGTCAAGCGGCCGACATGATCACCAAGCTCAAGTTTGGTGGAAAGAAGCGCTTCAAAAGTATCGAGGTCCAGCAGCGCAAAGCGGAGAGGAGAGAGAAAGCTCTGAATGACTTTGCTGAGTTGCAAGAGAGGACTCGGGTCAAGGTTGGGCCTGTAGAGAACTAGCGAATTGTAGAAGTCCTCGTGCTACGAGTCACTTTTGACTGTCGGAGCGCGGATGGAATGTGACAAGTTGAAAATTGGAGGGTATACGCGGCGGGCGATAAGACCATCCAGGAATGAACCCACTCTACGTAAACTAGTGAAGTGAGCCAGGCGATAGCTGTGGTTCTCTGTGCATGACTCTTCTGGTAAACTACAATACCTACCTAAATGGATGTAGTGATTCTACGGGCCATTTTGTATGCGGACTTTATAGGGGTCCTTCAACTACGGATCAACTGTCTTTTGACTTGCGGCCTGCTCCGCATCTTGAACACTTGCCGTCTGTTCCCAAGTGCCTTGATTCACGGCTCGATGATAGATCCGAAGGCATGACGGTATGGAATATCATATACCTGGTTTTCAGAAGTCTCTCGTGGTCCGCATGTTGCTTAGTGAAATGCCCGTAGCCCAGACAAGCAGTCCATTCTTAAGGCACTGATCCGCTATCCCGAATCCGTATGCATCAAAGAGACTCCTCGAGCCTAATCGTCCCGTTTACACCTGGAAAACAACCCTCTGAATCAGCAAGAGGGTTCTCTTCCATTACTTAGACAATATAAATCTGTCGCTCGAGTCCCATCAGTTCCTCAATTCGCCCAGAGAATGGAGACGGACGAGAATTCACTCTTCCGAACAGCCATGCACAGTGCACATCTATCGCTGTTCATGCTGTTCATCAGAAGACTCAGTCTGCGCTCAGCGTGAAGGAGAAACAAGAACAAAACAGGGGTGACATTGAGAGAAGGCAGGATGAGGAACGGAAATCGTACGAAGCGGCCATAAGAACGGGCAATACTTTGACGATGATCATCATAACGGGAACCTTGGAAGAATCCAAGATTAATCAAGTTCGAGGGTGTGCGTAATGAAGCATTGTAGATTTACGACGACTTCGGTTTTTTTCACTTGAGGTCTAGTATCTACAGTATTTTGGGTACGAGGAATATGCCATGCAAGGCAAAGGCTTGACCTACGCGCAGAGACAACTCGCACGTAGAAATTCAAGACAGCAAGGCAAGCAAGATATGGTTCGAGAGAACAGCCTTAGGAGTCCATCGTAAGATTGTTCAGTCATAAAGAAAATATTGATAGCCAAATCGATACTTCAACCATAACTTTTACGGATCTACAATGAAACGTATTGATTTGAACAAGGTGAATGTATTTGTTCTCAGCAAAAAAGAAACAGACGAAGAAAATTCATAATCATCAACTCCATAATCAGAGCATCGTTGCAAAAGTCTAAACAATTTAGATGTCGTCCTCATCGGAGAACACCTCCTCACCACGCTTGCGGCGGGCAGCACGCTCCTTCTTCTTCTTGCGGAGCTCGGAACCAGTGAGCTTCTTCTTCTTCTCAACAACGATCTTGTTACCCATGGCATCGAACTTGTCCTCGTCGTCATCACCCTTCTGGTCAAGACGGGGACCGGAGCCCTGGCCCTGAACCCAGTTGTGACCGGAGGGAGTCATGACACCGTGGTTAACGGCCCAGACTTCCTCAGTAAGGTTCTCAGTGAACTCACGAGAGTGAGTAATGATAACAACACCACCCTCGAAGGACTTGATGGCCTTGGAAAGGGCACCGAGAGAGTCACGGTCAAGGTAGTTAGTGGGCTCGTCAAGGACGATGATGTGGGGACGCTGCCACGAGCAGGCGGCGAGAACGACCTTGACACGCTGACCACCAGACAGACCACGCATGCGGGAGTGGGAGACCAACTCGGCATCAAGACCGAAGTTGGCGCAGTGCTGCTCAATCTCTTTACGGACAAGGGGACGGAACTGACCGGAGGCGAGGGCCTCCTTCTGATCAACCTCAGCAACCTGCTTGGGGTGAGACACGATGATCTCGGAACGGGGCAACCAGGTGTTCTCGTTAGACATCATGGGAGTCCACTTCTCAGACTTCATGCCGACGTTGTCACCAAGAGCCCAAGAGATCTCGTACTCGTAGGTGTTCTTGAACTTGCGGCGAGAGTGGATGCCGACGACACGGCGAAGGGTGCCGTCAACCTTGTAGATCTTGTCCATAGCCTTCTCGTCCTCCTCGGTGACGATCTTGTTGGCACGGTCCATGGTCTCACGGTCCTCACCAGTCTGGAAACGCCACTGAATGTACTCGGAGGGAGTGGAGTCCAAGTGGTTATCAATGTGGGCGAAAGCGTGCTGCTTAATGTAGGCGATACGGATGTTCTCGTGCTGGTAGACATCACCGGCAGTGGGGATGAGCTCACCAGTCAGGACGTTAACAAGGGTAGACTTGCCAGCACCGTTGGGACCAATGACAGCGATACGAGAGCCGAGAGACACCTGGAAGGTGATGTCACGGATCTGAGGCTGGGGAGTACCGGGGTACTGGAAGGACATGTTGCTGACACGGATGATAGCCTTGGACTTGGTCTTGACACCCTCGAGGAAACCGGGCTCGGGGAACTTGAACTCCATCTCAGAGGCACCGAGCTCGTAGTAAGAGCGAGCAGAGGGGACACGCTTGACGAACTCGGAGAGGGTACCACGGTAACGCTTCAGCTTGAAGCGCTCGTAGTGGACAACGTGCTGAATGACACGGTCCAGGAAGCCGGAGTCGTGAGACACCATGATGGAGGTGCAAGGGGAGGACTTAAGGTAGTTCTCGAGCCACTCAACATTCTTGACGTCCAAGTGGTTGGTAGGCTCATCGAGCAGCAAGATATCGGGGTTCTCGAAAACAGCACGGCACAGAGCGAGCTTCATCTTCCAACCACCGGAGAGGGCACCGATGGAGCCATCGAGCTGGGATTCGAGGAAACCGAACTCGTTGACAAGCTTGTCACGGACCTCAGACTCGACGGGCTCGAGACCGACCTCATTCAACTTCTTGATGGTCCAGCCAATGACAGTGAGCTCAGTGTCAGCAGCGTCAAGATCGTGCTCGACGTAGACGGTCTTGACCTCGTCCTTCTTGGGGAAACCCTCAAGCTGCTCGTTGTTGATGGCACGCATGAGGGTGGTCTTGCCGGAACCGTTAGGTCCGAGGAGACCGTAACGCTGACCACGCTTGAGACGCAGGTGGGTCTGGTTGAGCAGAATCTTGGCACCGTAGGCAAGGGAGAAGGTACAGTTGCAAAGATCCTCACCCTCCTCCTCGTCGGAGGGAACCTCGTCAGCGGCAGCGGCATCGGGAGAAGCACGCTTGCGGAGAGCCTCAGCGATGGGCTTGGCAGCCTCCTCACCGACGATGGCGACGATGTAAGGGAGGGCGTTCTGGGTCCAGGTGGTGTTGTCGGAGTCCTTCTCGTCGACGAGCTGACCAGCAATGGCACCGACGTAGTTGATGACAGCCTCGGAGGAAGCAATGCGGTCCTCGAAGTTCTTCTCCTTGAGGATATCCTTGAGGATACCGGCAACGGTCTCGATGTCACCAGCGGTGGAGACCTCGGGGATCTTGCCGTCCTTGACATCACCAACACGGGTGAGAGTGTCCAAAGCCTGCTTGGTCTTCTCACGGGCCTCGGGGTCGGCGAGGGTCTCGAAGTTCTTGTTCAGGGCGGGCAACATCTTAGGCAAGAAGGGAGCGACCAGCTGGGGGTCCTCGACAAGCTTACACATGTTGTCGACGATGACGGCGGACTTACGCTTGATGGCAGTCTCACGCTCGACGAGGCCACGGTCCAGCAGGGGAACCATGATAGCGAGGGTGGGGCTGGTGACATCGGAAACGAAAGTGGTAGCACCGAGCAAGTGAACGGTCTCGGGGACGTTCTCGGGCTTGGAGATACACTTGATGAGCTCGGGAATGAAACGCTCGATATCCTTGTTGACGATGAGACCGCAAACCTTCTCCATGGTGGAGTAGGCGGCCTTCTTGATGTCGGCCTTGGTGTCCCACATGGCCTCGGAGATTACGGGGATCAGACGGGGAACCTGGTAAGAGAGCTGAGCCGGGGCGGTCTCGACCAGAGTGTCGAGGCACTTGAGGGCGGCCATCTTCTCCTGCCACTTCTGGGCGTTCTGGATGGAGTCGATGAGGGGGGTGACAACGGCCTTGACGGCGTTACCGTTCACAGCCTGGACGATGGCGGCAGCGGCAGACTGAGCAGCCTCCTTGACGGGGACCATCTTGTCACCGACGGCGTTCAAGACGGGGCCGAGGAGGTCAACCAAGTGAGGCTCGACACCGGGGGAGATGGTGGTGTGGGAAGCGATGGCGCGGATACCCTCGCAGGCACGCTCACGAGCCAAAGCATCCTTCTTGTTGGCGAGCTGCTTCTTGAAGGTCTCGACGGCCTTCAGGGGCAGAGCCTGCTCATCGATAGGACCGCTGAAGAGGGTGGCCAGGTTGCTGGCGGCAGCGTTGACTTCATCGGCGGAGGTAGAGACGTTGAGGTTCTTGATGAGGTCCTCGAGGACGGCGATCGACTGGGCGACCTCCTTGCTGGAGACAGCAGGAACGGAAGAAACGTCAACGGCAGGCATGATGGGCGAGAGTTGTGTGGTGACGGGAGGAAATCGTAAATTAAGGAGAAACGAAAGAGATTTTTTCTATGAGGAGGGGTATCTCGGTATGAGCTGGAAAAGTGGCTCCAACTGCGTCAGCTGTCCAAGACGCAGCAACGCTCTGAAAATGAAGAGCGAGTCTAAGAAGAACTTTTGGGGCGAGAGGACTTTTTCCTGGCTGTGCAGAAAAAAGAACAAAAACAGGAAAGAAAGAACCCAAGAAAAAAGATGGGGTGGGAAGAGGATGGGAGAGTGAAGGAGGGAGGGGTGCGATTAGAAGGGGGGGAAGATATTTATCGTGTGGCCCCTCGCCGCCCAACCGCAGAAATTTTTTTTTTTGGCTTGCTGCTGCGGTGCCGCTAGTCCGGAAGAGGCTTAGCTCGTTGGCGGAAGTCAGTGGGTCTGCACAAACGGTACTGATTGGGTGGAGGGGGTGCCTGCCTGATCAACCTCCGTTTCATCATTGGCGGGCTGCCTTGGCGGAGAGACTGCCGACAACTGAATTGTGTTCGGACTGGGGGAGAGACTGAAAATTTTTCGAATGATGCATACCTTGTTGCTGGGCTTTTTGCCGCCGTGGAGATGGGTACGGTTTTCTCCGAGAACCACCATCGGCATGGTGACACCGAACGAACCTACAAGGTGGGTAAAATCTAAATAACCCTTTTCATCTTTGATTATCAAGATTCGCCACTTGTCTATGCGTGAAGTCCTGCTCTTCAGACTGTTGCTTCAAGGGAGGCGTCGGCCAGGTACGCTGCACGATCTAGACGCCGGACACGAGTGACCGTGAATTCATAGGTATCTCTTGAGTAGGTACTAGGTAAAGTAGGGACTAGTAGGCAGTCCTCTCGAGGGATTCAAGCACCACGAGCAGCCCGGCCGAGAATCATGCTTCTAAATGACCGTTACTCTGTCTATTGCCAGACAAGGCCCAAAACGTAGTCTATCAACCCAAGCGACAAAGTTGAACGGCATTCGGCCCTGGAGACAGTCCAGGTGCAACCTACAACATGTGCGGCCCGAGAATATCGAGAATACTCACATCGCTCTTGTTTTGGGACAAGTCAGGGCCCAAGTACAGTATCACGTTAGGTCTTGATCGGCCGAGGTCTTTCCGGCGCACATGGGGTATCGCAGTCTACATGCATGATCAACGGGAAAGGGTGATGCCTCAGGATGGAGACCTCCTCAAATCCGGGGATGAAACACAACAGAGTGCTTGTTGTTTAGCAGGGGGGCAACCTAATGAACTCCGTTGTATCTAGTAATGTACTAGCACTGCGTAGATGGCACATAGCACCAGAGTCGATCTTGTCCACTTTTGCATGTTGATTTGTGTCAAATGATGAATTCTACTAGTACTCCCTGACCTGACAGCCGCAACTTTCAGACAGTCACTTGATGCTAATAGACATCAGATCCAATCCTTTAAACTACTGCCGCACTACCGAGCACTGCACTTCCATGCAACTTTCGATGTGAGGCCTCCGGGCTCCAGGGTCCTTCGACGGGGCCCGGCACCGAGGCCTGGGGCTTCCGAATTCGCCACTGCTCATGATCCGGTGGCGCAGTCCCCAACCAGCCCTACAAACACCCAATCACCGGGTTTGCAGATCTTCAGAGATTTTTTTCTTTTCTGTTGACGTCTTCTAGAACCGTAATAATAATGGTCGAATGGAGATCTCTGGAGCATGATTCGTGTCAGGTGGGCCTGGATAATGACTTTTGAGCTCCAGAGAGAGAGAGAGAGAGTCGGACACTTTCTCGCGGTCACGTTGACTACACGATCTCCAGAGCCAGAATTCGAGATTAAGACCGAGGCTGAGAAATGAGCAGAACTGGCTGAAAACGTCCGGATTCAGCATTATTGAGTGGTCCTGTTCTAGCTGTAGTCTCAACCTGCGATCTTCTTGTGAATACTTCAGCGGTAGGAAGAAAGACCGATCTACCCAGGGTCATCAAAGGGTGGGCTTCCAAGGACTTGAAAGTAACCTCGAGGCTGAAACCCTTTAACACTCGGAAACTCCATCAACTTCGTACCTCAGGAGGTATCTCACATGTACCCCATGTGCCCTGCCGAATAGGGTCCCCTGCATCACATCCACCGCTCCCCAATTGTTTCAAGTTGACCGCAGCTAATCACTCATCGCTTGACGTATCCAGATGGGATTCAGCCCCATTGGAAATCTTCTTCTACCCCTGCACGCCTCAAAGAAAAGAAAGAGAGGAAGTGCTCAGATTCATAATCAGAGGCGGGCTGTCAAGATGTTCTAGTCATCGATGTTGACTCCCGAGACGCTCAGTGCGGATTTCAGGAAATAAAGGGTTCTGAAAGGACAACCCGCCTATATCGCTCAAAACTTATCAGATACCCACGACTTACCTTCGGACCTCAAGATACTGCACATAGGACTTCGGAGACGGCATTACTCGAAAAATAGGCGACAGACGAGAGAAAAAGAATAATTTTCGGTAGAGTACGAGGCTGCATCCCGCTTTTGTCGGGCTGCAGTCTCGCTGGACTACGGATGCATCCCTGCTGTTTCAGGGTCGGCCTGTAGGATGCTCATGTGTTGGAAGGCATCTCAGATTTCTGAGTTCTTCCCCCTCAGACGACAGACCACATTGCGTTGCGTGACCCTGGACAGATGTTCTTTTGGGGTATTCATGTGTAATCTGGTAATCCTTTTCTCATCGGTGACGTGTCAGATTCATGAATTGTATGAGGCAGCAAATCCATGTCTTTGTGCACTTGTGTGGTTGCCGGCTATACGAGGTATCCTTGCTGAACCCCGGAGACGATCCGAGAGCCCCAGTGGCTTGGCTGCACTGCTCTTGTTCGCTCAACATTGACTTACTGATTCCGTGCCTTGGATTCGCTGAAATTTCCCCTCGGTAGAGGAGAACGAGAGCATGACACGACTAATCTCAAGGAGGGAAATGAAACCGAAAAAAAAAGGGGGGCGATTAGAGTTCCAACACAGAATGGGGAGGTTTGCAGGAAACTGTCCAGTTGGTGGCGTTTGTCTAGCCATTGATTGGGATGCGCCCGCCAGTTAGCGATCCAAGGGAGAACCCAAAGTCTGGGTGCTGACGTTGCGATCGAGTCATTGAAGTCATCATGGAGGTTTGTTTGTCAACAGCCCAGAGTCACAGTTTTGGGAGTTAGCGAACTAGCAAGACGCAGTGAAGTGGAAAACCTCGTCGCTATGGTGTGGACTTGGTGTATCTCTTGCACTGGGAGTAGTCTGTTGTTGAAATTAAGAACCTGGGGGTGGATACGGGATCCGCATCGTCTTTGAATGCGCCCCATCGATGATAACAGCCCTCAAGCCCTTCGAAGGGGCCCCCTTTATCTACTTTCAACAAGTCTTTTTCATCCGTGGTCGGACCCATCGCTGCTCTTGCATGTGGACAACCTCAATGGAGTTCCTCGTATTCGTCGGCCGTGATCCCTCCCCCGGTAACCCCTTGCATGTCCCCTTTCATAGTGAAGTCTATATTTTAGGGTCAGCATCAATTTCAATCGCGGTCATGGAATACTTCTCCGTTCTCGATCTGTCTCTGAATCAGCGTCGTTCATGCATATTCCATTGGTTGGCCTTCTCTCAACATTAGCGTAGGACGGCCGATTGTCTACTTTAATGACAGTTATTTGAACATCCAACGGATATGCATATGGCACGTTACACCTGAAGATGGACCAACAGCAAGAATCGTAGAGGATATCATTCCTCCAATCATGCCCGAACCCACATGATGGTGCACGTCGTGTGTCTACTCCCACAGGGCTAATGGGGAGCGGGAAAAACCGTTAGAAAGACCATCGGATCAATCTATCGCGGGATAGTACGATGTGTGTACAGATAGAGGGGGTGATCTATCAAAGGGGTTTGACCGAAAAGTCGGAACTTGGTGATAAGGAAATATTCTTCTCTATTCATTCCACGCATCTACCACTTTAACCATGTTTGACCTCGTGGGCCATGACTTGCTCTTCGCCTAGGGTATTTCTCGATACCGTGCTTTTCGTGGGATACTCGGAATACAGACGGGAGACAGATCGCTGACAACTGACTACACAGGCGACACTGCCGATTCTATGCGAGAATCCTTCCTCGCGCACGAGCTCTGCAAGTGCTCATCTCCATCAGACGAGGTAAGGACGCGGCTTAGCTTTGCAGAAGTTCGCGGCCCTATTCCGTTCGCGAAGTACACGATAAATCCAGGTCCAGCCATTCATGAGGACTACTTGCTGATCACGAAGAAAAGCTAACATGGGTGCTGAGCCACTGAGTACTTTTCGAGGCCGCTGCGAATCTGTTTCCTTCAGGTCGTCCTCTTTGGATGAGGGTGATCAAGGCCCACGCGCAAGTGGAAGCAAAGTAAGCGTCACCAAGGTATTGGGTGATCTGTGAAGAGAAGCAGAAGAGGCACTTTGAGACGAGACAAGGGCGCCATGTCTCAGGAGCAAGCACCATTGCTCCATAGCTTGATCTAGGTCTGATGGAGTGCAATCCAGTAGAGGCGACTTATTTCAAGATGCTCACTTCGGTCAGTGCATTGAACGACCTTGATACATCTGTTCGTGGCCAGCGTCAAAAGGCAAGGTTGGCCAGCATCAGAGTATGTGCGAGGGGGAAAGTGATGGAAACAAGATGCGCACGGATACTTCAGTCTACGGGCACACGAAGCAGCAAGAGAGACGTAAGGAAGCCGCCGGCGAAGAGAGAAGTAAAGAGAAGATATCCTGTTCACACCAGGGAGGAGAACAAGTCCACATTTTGCCTTCATGGTTGGTCTTGAACTGCAAACGAGCAGAGACGAGAAGGTCGGAATCACTCATCATTTCTGTCGATATCTCCATTGTAACGGACTCGTCCAAGCCAAACCTTGGGTACCCGGAATAACGTGAACTAGCATGGACTGATGGAATGAGAGCGGCTGATGAAGACGTTTCAAAAGGAATTTACCCAGCGCCGTTTGAAGTATGGCCTCGTGAAATTGTCCTAGAGTAGAATCTTCTTCACTCGCCAGCCACTCTTCGAGCTCGTTCAACAACGTTTTGTTCAAAAACTGCTTGTTCCAGAAAAAAAGAGAATTGAAGTCCCTCTCGTCTTGTCTCATCGAAAATGGCAGACGGATTTGCTGCCCCCCTCGCCGTCGATGACTGTGTTTCGTTTGCTGTCCCAAGTACGTCAAAACTTTCATGCCATCCCACGGTAATTCAGATGTCTTTTCTCGAACTTTTCAGACGAGAAGACCACTTTGGCCTGAGTGCATGAAATTGGGAGCGGCTGATCGATCTTGTGCGCTTCAGAATTAAGTTGAGACTTGAAATCACTTGCTGACCACTCGCTGTGTCCGTACACAGTTCTGCTTTGCCATGGCTGCTCGGGATCGCGAGGTTGACCCCCTGGCCGTTCATGCCATATGTACGTGGTAAATTCGTACCGGGTCATGCCGGCTGTAGTCACTGACCAAGATATCAACAGGTTTGAAACGTGGGACAATTGATTCCATCGCAGATGAGATCTACAAACTCGCAGACTGGCTCGAGAAAGTGTTCGATGTCACCGTTCCCTTGGTGATGGTCTACCTATATCTCTTTTCACGGCGATTCCTCACTGGCCGACTAAAACGAAGACAAGGTCCGATCTTTGACGTGATGTTGGGCGTGCTGGTTTGACAATGACTGTTTTCTCAAATAGAATAACCAGATCGGTAAGCATTGAATGCTCATGGTAATTTATTTGATCATCGGCGCGGCAACTACCTTTCGCACTTTGCCCTATGATGATGAAGAGCCAGAAGGAAAGAGGATTGGAGGAAGATGTCTTGTGAGAATTAAAGGGCTGTTGCTGAGAAGCGTCGATGAGTCCGTGGTAAGTATGGGCAAAAGAGATTCAGGTACATGGAATGGAATGCAAATTTTAAATGCCCCCAGATCGGACACCACGTATGCAGAAGAGCCTGGGACCCTGGCCTTGGTTGGTTTAAGGTTTTGACAGCTGCAGGAACCGGGTGGGTGCATTGCTTCAGTCACAATGTTACGTTGACATTGACGCTCCGTCCTTGGAATCAGCCTTGCCACATTGACAAGGCCATTCGATGTTCTCCATTGAAAAGATTTTGAAGCGCGATATGTAAGCTTGTATCATACCAGGACTACTATCTGTAGTAGTCAGCAAGACACGAGATGCACTCCAGAGGAGAACGGAAGACCCGTGTTCTGGCGCTATTGACCTCGTCCGCCAAGCTTCGCATATGTCATGGCCAATCGCTTCGCGACGTAGATAGGTAATCCCCAGAAGGACGGCGTCTTGACCTCCAAGGCTACTGGTCTATGTTCCCTGAGAACCATCGGCGGAATCAACTGAAACCGAGTCCCTTCCACATCGAGCTTGTTGGCAACCGACCCGTTCAAGGTATCGAGAGTCTTCCAAGTTCAACCAAGGGGGAAAGGGCAGCTTCCATGAGCTCTGGGCAATGAAAACGCCGATACAATATTAGTGACCGAATTCAAGGGAAGCCTGAAAAGAAGAAAAGGAAGAAGATATCTGGAGGACGAGCCAAAAAGAGTAAAAAAAAAGACGCTAGACTCCGATTCCTATGCGCTATACCACAGAACCCTAGAGCGGGTAAACAACACCCACCAGAACCGCTGGTAAGAACGTAGAGGGGACACACGAGAACCCTGAACATGATGGTACATGACAAATTTAGAGCGAACAACTCCAAAACACTTTCTATGGGTAGGCGCGGCAAAGAGTAGAAGAAAATTTGGGGAAAAAAGGCAAAAGAAAAAGGGATGTTAAAAAACACCGACATTTCATTTCAAAACAGGTCTCATGGCTTCTTCTTAACATGTTTTCCAGAGATATCTGGAGCTTCATCATCGTCAATGATGCGCCACAACCTTCTCGGTGAAAAGCCACTGCCGACGAGATAGATCCCCACGAACCAAGCTGCTAGAAGATTGGCCATGTGGTGGAGGAGATAAGCGTAGGTGACTCCGTAGACGGCCGAGTAGATGGCGATGGCGAAGAAGATGACGGACGTCACATGGCGCAGACGGGTAGTAATGCGAGGGATCATAGTGCCTGAGGTCATGGTCTCGACGAGAAGGAGGAACGGCATGATGGAGAGGACGTTGTGGTGTGACGAAAAGGGCATGAACCAGTGCACGACCAAATTATGGGCCCACACCAGGAGGACGAGCACGTTGATGGGTAGAATCCAAAGCATCAGAATTAGGATAGAATGGGCGTAGTTGTTAAAATTGAGGTGAGAAATCGATCGCTAGAAAGTCGAGTCAGCAACGTTGCAGCTTTCCAGCGCAGAAATGACCGAGAGGGGGGAAGCTCACTGTTTCCTTTGCGTGCCATTGGCTGCGCACTGTGGTCGCTAATTGCACGATACAGGCTACCATATAGGCGAACTGGTAAGGAATGACGGTTGATACGAGCAGAAGCAGAATGGCAGTGTGAATCACGCGACGGCGGGGGGTTGAAGCTGTGAAGACGGTCGAATTGCCTCGGTCTTCTCGGCGGATATAGCCTGACTTGCTAATGATGGCACCGTACACCAGCGAGAAAATCGTGACGAGGCAGAGCGCAAGGTAATTGACGACAACACAAACCCCAATGCTGACAAGACCAAAGACAGGGACGAGGAACCAGAAAAAAGCGTCTTGGGAGCCGAGCAGTAGATCGTTCTTGGTAAAGTCAAAAGGGGTTTCGGTGGAATTGGTTCGCCAGTGAAAAGGATCGTCCGATTGCGGCAGGGCTTTCGTGGTAGCTAGGGACGTCGCCAGAAGTGACATGGCCACCAGCAAGAGGGGCAACGAGGATCGCATGGCCCGGTCAAGGCCATCGGTGAAAGGGATGAAATAACCGGTCTGGTCGTATATCTGGAATTGCTTGCGAAGGACCACTGCAACGACTAAAAGTGGGAAGGCCGCAAACACAGTCCGATAGCGCATGACAAGTTCACCCAAACTCCCACGAATGTCGATAGACAGAGAGATGTCCACCGTTTCGCCCGGAGTCGGGTCCGTCCACAGTTGGAAAGACACACCCCCTGCAGAGACAGATTCGCGCACCGGAGACGGCATGAAAGGTGCGATTCCATGCAAGTTGACGTTGACATCATTCACATTGACAAAGAACTTGGACTCATGGGGGTCGGGAATTGACTGACGAAGCAATGGAGCGAAGAGCTCCTCCTGTTGCGGTTTGCGCTCAATCTTCAGCTTGTAGTTGAGCAGACTGGAGTACAATGCGGGGATGTTGACTTCAGTGAGCATCGGACGAGTCGCTGGCAAGCGCATCTTCAGGCCCGCACTCAGCAGACTGCCCAACCCGACCTTGGCACGGATTACCGCGTCCGAGCTGTCGGAAAACTCGGCCACTAAGAAACCCGCGGAGGGCACGTTTGCCTTGTCCACAATAGCCACAAACTGATGTTCTGCCAGATCTTCCAAATCATATTGAAGGTACGAGAATGGGGGCACGCGATCGTAAGGGAAATGTGAGTTTGCCCTTGACGCGGGCAAAAATATGACATCCTCGGCAGCGCTTTTGCAAGCCAATCGAGTCGAGCCCACAGTGCCCCCAGAAAAGTCCAAATTCATGGAAAACACCGTGGACCTGCCATTACTCAAGGGAAACACACTGCAGAAAAGAACCTCGATGTGGCCTTGTTTGTCAAAAGTTTGATCAGTAAGGAGGGTGAACTTTTTGCCAGAGACACCCTGGGGTGGGATAGGCAAAAGGCGCACATCAGGGCCGTGTCGCTGACCCAGTTGCCGGAGAACCAGTCGCTGGCCCTGAGACAGGATAGTGTTCGCGTTGTCTTCCAGCGTCAGAAGCGTGTCTGGCTCCTTTTGCGAGAGGGTTCGCTCCGCAACGGACTCAAGACCAGTCAGGTACCACCGCCTGAGGAGTTGCATCCGGTCCGCCCGAGGCTTGGTCTGCGATGGACGACGAGTGTCGACAATGTCAAAAAGCGACTGAATGATGGCCTTGCGGAACTGATCGCACCATGTGATGGACAGGTGATCCATGCCGATCCAAACTTTGGGCATGGAGGAGGTGAAGACGGTAAACCCGTGGGTCTCGGGGACGAGGGAGGAGATACTTGTGTAGTCAGATGGCACGACGGTGTCGCGTGCGCCACCCGCGATCGAGATCAGGGTAACGTGCCAGAGCGGGTTGTTGTTGGCCCACGTCTGCGAATATGCTTCTCGCCAGTAATCGTTGATTTGCTTGTAGGTGTGGACAATGTCCGAGTCAAAGGACACCGGGGGTATCGCGTGTGGTGTGGACATGGTGATGATGGTGTTTACCGAATTGGCCTGGTAGTTTGCCATAGTCAAGGTGGTCCGCGCGACAATCCCGCCCATCGAATGTCCGATCAGAATGACGGCGCTGGGGTCCGGTAGGCCCGGGTCACGGCGAGTACGACGGGAGTCGTGGTAGAGTGACAGAATGTATGAGATGGCCTCATTGACATATTCGGCCTGGTCCAACAAGGTCTGCCCATGAAAGGCTGCCATATCCTCATTGAAGTCCATCATGAAGAAGTCGAGGCTGCGCACTCCGGCGGCGTGTCGGGCTTCGTCATGACCCACCACATCGTAATAGTGTCGCGAAGCCTCGGCGGCCAAAGAGCGAACCTGCCGATAACTCCCAGCATTTCCGGGCAGGAAAAGCACAGGGACGCCATTGAGCTAGATACGCGTCGCAAATCATCAGCAACCCATCACCTGACCCGGGCCCCTCAAATCCGAGCCCTGTGGCCCAATGCGCCCACCGGCGCCGCGAGAAGTCTTCCACTTACCCCGATGTTATCCTGTGTATAGGGGTCGACGCCCTCCTCCCGGTACAAGAATAGATTGTATTTGCTGGCGAAACGGGTATGTTCTGTGTCAAATTCCAACATGCGGATGAAGGTTGGACTCATCATGGGTACACCACATCCGGCTTCCCCTTGCTGTCGAGTGGCAAAGGAGCTGACAATCGAGGCCAGAAAGGCGAGAGCGCACAGTGTTGTCAAGGCTGTGAGGATGGAGAGTGACCAGGGACTGCGCAGACTCGATTGACGCGCGCGGCGACTCTCGGGGGAGGATGCCTCCATGGGCAGTCGCGGAGATCCCGGAGGAGGCATTGTCTTGACGTCGGTCGAGAGCTGCGTAGCAGGGTTGCGCCAGACACTGGAATTCCGCGATCGCGGCGTGGAGTGACCGTTATCTCGGCGTAGATCAAAACTGGTACCGTGGCGAGCTATGTTCGAGTGCGATTTCTCGTTGGAGGACTCGGTGACATTGCCCAGGCCCGGACCCGTCCCATGATCGTCGGAGGCGCGTATGGGGGAAGAGTTGTCAGAGTCGTCCGCGACCAGAGAGCCAGACGAGCGTCTGTGCATTGGAGGAAGCGGAGTCGAAACTCATCCAGGACCGAGCGAGTCGGGGGGGGAGACGAGTAGTGCAGACAGCCGAACAAGGGATAAGGAAGAACGGGGGGAATCTTCGATGGGGGTGGATCTTGGCACGGGAGGGCCTGTCGTGTCGGTCGGAGGTCGGTCTCGCCGGACCCAATCGGTATGAGACACGGAACAGCGACACGATGCGAGTCGCAAAGGCTGACGAGGAGAGCAAAGGGAAGCGTGAAAAAGTGAGGAAAAGAGCTGCAGTTGAGCAGAGCAGGACGGCAAGGCAATGCGCCCAGCAACGGCAGCGGCAGAGAGCACCAGCAGGGCCACAAATCAAACGGACCACCGGTTGGGAATCACGGGCGGGCTCATCCGTCCGCTGGTCGAAGTGGAAGCAATCGAAGAGGAAAAGAGATTGGAAAAATCGAGAATTAAAGTAATTCGATTCTCCACTCGGCCAGAATAGAGCAGATTCTGGGCACAAGAACCCAATATCAACCAGGATGCTCAGGGAGAGCACTGAGGGGAGGTAGGGCTATGTCGCAAGCTGGACTATAAATTGAATTGCCGGACAAGGTACCGTACAAATCTGCAGGTGGAGGTTCGCTGATTTGGACTCACCACGCACTCGTTCGTCCTGACTTTGGAAGTTCTCTTTTCTCGCGGCTCCCCGTCGACGCACCTGGCACTGTCAGGCTGAGATCTTGGCAGCGCACGGTCACCAACAAGCGAGAACGATGACGATCCATCACCAGAGGAGCCTTATCGGAGCACCCGGGTTGGAAATCTCGGTGATGGACCAGTAGTGAACTCTTCTGCCTAAATAGACTCGGGCCTCCAAGCAGGAAACGAGTTCCAAGCTTTTCATGTAGTTGGAGACAAGCGCGCCTAGCATATCAAGACGGAGCTCTTTCTGGGCAGTTAAGGTTCTCCTATGGATCAGGACTTTGCATCGTCCAAGCGCATGGAGTACCTTGGCATAGTTCAATTTTTCTGGGAGCGTGCACGGCTGGACCATGCAAGCAAGATGGATATACCTAGATTTGAAGGAAGCACCTGCACTTTGTCAATTCTTGGTCAGCGCTAAGGTAAAGCTTGATTCGGATACGCAGCACCGATCTCTGACTCGTGACTCAAAATATAGCACGAGCATTCTCCTCCACATGAAGTATGGTAAACCTATTTTGCCTCTGGGGCACGACCTGATGGCGCGTTGTCATCTGGTACAGCAGATTCAATATTGACGATCAGAACTATTAATTATCGCTGAATGGGATACATCTGGATTGAAAGATGGTCTGAATGCTAGGATGAATAGTACCGTGCCCACTAATTAATTGTTCCAACGTTATTTCACGCTAGTGGCGAATGATCAATATTACATACATATTACATGTACAAAACTTCTGTATGGATCAGCAAATGTGTTACGGAAGCCTCACTGCATGCGGTAGGATTAACGTACTGTTAATACATTACAGCTCTGGTAAGACTGTGAGCGCTTTAGTGTCAAAAGTGGATTGGACAATAATCTGACGGGGACTGTGAGAACACTCTACACAGTAAACACTGAACAGTGACTGGTGATCGAGTAACCATGTATTTGGAACCCGGAGTAGGTAGCGGTTCTTAAGGAATAGCGACACGCCAACCTTGCCTATTCTATACCTCCTGCCGACATGTACCAGCCAACCACCTGCACCAGTGCAGCTGCCGAGGTGACAATGACGAAAGTACCAGCATTAAGCAAGCCACTTTCAAAGTAACTTTCAAAGTAGGCCGAGTGTCCAACCCAGGTCCAAGCCCGGTGGAGAAAAATCAAGGAAATGAAGAAACCCCGGCCACTTATTATGAGGCCGCAACCTAGATAACCTAGCAGGCACATGGATGGCACAATCACCTATAATATTAGCCTATGTCCATGTTCACTTCAATAGTATTCTTGAGCACAAACCTCGAAACAATGCCGTGATGCATCGCTAGCTTCACTAACCTGGTGATACTGCATTCAGCAATTCTACGCCAAATGGCTGAGAGATGAGTGCGCTGTGTCGTTGACCCGTCCGCGTCACCAATCGGTAATTCCAACTGTCGTCGAAGCGTTTACTGTCCAAAGGTGTTGTTACACACTACCCCTCCCTACGGGACCTCTGAAGCACAATAAGAGGCCTTGCTATCTCTCACATGATCCCGCACGTGGTGCGTCGTCCTCTTCTTACTTTCATCCTGCTCTTTCGCCTCCAGCTTCTAGCACATAATGCAGTATCTCAAAATACCTCGTACTCATTTCATTCGAGAGTCACTGTAGCGCCAGGCAGGCCAGCTCCATATATAGATACCAACGCCCTGAATCTCCGATCCCCCATCTCACTCTCCGTCCTTCAAAGTGTAAGTTCCATCCGCACTCTTCACTTACCAGGCCCCTCTCATCTCATCCATGTTCCGTCACTCTCACTCTATCACCGACAAGGGAAGAAAGACCTGCATGAAGAGAACTTAATCTTCAACCCTTTGACCAGCTTTTGTGGCTGGGATGAGCGGAGCACCAGATTAAGCAGATTCGGATGGGGAGCTTCCTTTCGGTGGTAGGGAGGGGTTATTGTCCGGGGCTGGGGTTTTCTTCACTTTATGGGGATCATAAGGTTACTGACATATTTTTTTCCGTCATCAGCAAGGAATCAGATTGAATTTGAAGTCGAGCCAAGATGGGGAATTTGTTAGCGAGTGTGGATCCTCTCAGATCGTTTCCCTGTGTGAGGTAGGCCGCCGATAAAGTATGTGGGATAGAAAACTGCACGTATGAAGCTGGTTGATGGATTCCGGTCTGTACCTGTCCCAGGCAAATGTACAATCTCAAGACTAAATGGAGGTAAACACAGTACATTGAAGCCGTCTAAACCTTTTTGCAAAAAATAAGAAGATCAACAATTTCATAGCTCATTTCATCCATAGCTAGTACTAAGAAAAAGGATTCAAGGAAGGAATTTTATTCCATTGAGATTCTGGTGTAGTCAAATCTCCCTCCAACCCAGAGAGCAAAAGTGTCAAGACACATTAAACCACGCTAGTGGATAAAGCGACTGGAGGATCCGAAGAACGCAGGAAAAAAAATCCCCAAAGCGGCCGAGATCACTCCCGCTGTTCCACAGTACCTTTCTCAGGGTCACTCTGGTACCCGTCGCGGTCCATGCCACGGTGGGCTGCGACAACAGCAAGGTCCGCATCGTGATCCGCATCAAAGTTCCGACCCAGACGCTCCGGACCTGCCAGGGTCAACAAGATTGTGTAGGCAAAGACACAGCCCATGAAGATACAAATGACCTTGCCATAGTCGTAGCGGTGAGCGGCGGTTGGGGTCGGAGGCAGAGGGAAGCGCTGGCCAATAGTGGACTCGATGGTCGAACTGGCGGAGGACACCAAGTTACCCAGTTGGTAGGCAGTGCCAACCACAAAGGTTCGAATGGAACCTGGAGACAGCTCCATCAGGTGGATGGGGATCACACCCCAGGCTCCCTGGACCATGAACTGTTCAAAGAAGGCAGCTGCCATGACGGCTTCGGTCGTGACGAAAGTGTAAGGGTAGAGCAGGGCGCCACCGACAATACAGATGACAATGATCGAGAAGCGACGACCGAAGATTTGACTGGCCCATCCACACAGGGTGCCTCCGGTCAAGGCGCCCAGGTTGGCGACAATCTGGGTCACGGTGACAGCGTTCTTGCCGAACTTGAACTGGTTACCGAGCATGGTCGGGTAGAGGTCTTGAGAGCCGTGAGACTGGAAAATTGTCAGCATCAGCTACGTTCAAAGTTCCGCTTTCCATGAAACATGAACCCTCAAATCACGTACCATAAAGTTGAAGCCTGCCATGAGGAGGACCATGTAGATCAACAGCAGCCAGTGACGCTTCAATGCGACTTTACCCTCAGAGACGAACGAGGCTGCAGCGCCTCCCCTCATCTCTGCACGAGCTTCTTGGCGTTGAAGGAATGTGTTGGTCTCGGGCAACCACAGGCGGAAAGCGATGATCAGAACGGGCGGACCTGCAGCGAACCAATAAAGCGGGCGCCAGCCATGCGGGGTGGTGTCGACCAGACCTCGAGCAAAGGCAGTCGCCAGCAGGTAGCCGAACGCATAACCCTGCTGCAACAGACCGGAGATGATACCACGGGCCTCGGGAGGGCAGTCTTCGAGAGCGGTGGCAGCAGCATTACCATAGAGACCACCCATGGCGATACCGAAGATCGCACGGCAACCCAGGAATTGTTGGTATGTCTGGCAGAAACCACCACCCAGCTCGATGGCGATGAACAGCAGTTGATTCACCACAAACGGCCATTTACGACCGTAACGATCGGCGGCAATACCGAAAATGATGGCACCCACGGAGCGGAGCATCAGCACGAGGGTGATACCCCATGTGATGTCGGTAATGGAGACATCAAAGGTCTTTGCCAGCTGGGAGGTAGTCAAGGAGACGGTAAAGAAATCGAAAGCATCCCAAGTCCAGCCTGCAAAGGCGACCTGTGTTGGGCGATCTGGTCAGCATTCATGTCCACTGAGACATGCATTTACACTTTGGGGACAGCTTCGCTGCGCCTGATCACTCACTGCAAAGAACATCCATTGTTGCTTGTTGAGGAGTGTCAGCGCCTTGAAAGGATTCGGCGCTGGGTTCATAGGCGGTTTCAGCGACGAAATCCGAGTCGCAATGTACTGCCCGACACTCATATGCTCCTCCACATCGGGCGAGTGTTGCTCGTGAGAGGTAGTCAGATCTTTCGTTTCACCCATCTTGGGCGTCTTCGAGGGCCCTCGGCACCTATGTCAGACAATCGAGGAGGAGAGACTTGAGTCCACGTCAAGCACCTGCCAGACAAGTCTCAGAGTAAAAGCTGGTCAGCAAGACTACTCTGTCTGGGCTGGCTTGGACACAAAATAAAGCCAAACACGTGAGCAGTTAAGCCGGCAAGGAGGAGGGACAGTAGTGACTCTAAATACCACGACCCGTCACTCGTTCCCGAGGAGTAACCTCATGGGGTCGTGGAGTCAAATCCTGCCTCATCATGACCACTGACTGGTCAGATGGACCGAATGACTCTTCGAAAATCTTTATTTCTATGATTTAGATTTTATTTTGTTGCTCCCTTCTTGAGACATGCGAGCGACGGTTGGACCTGCAACCCCGCGCAACCTGGTAGGCAGGGATAGTGCCGAATTAGGTCCCTGGTTCATTCGTCCAAAACCGATGGTCCGCGGTCTCTTGGAGGAGCAACGTGTATCTCTGATCGGGGAAAAGTCACCGCCGATCACTGCTCTGGTCTTCTGTTCTGGGGAAGCGGGAGCTGGAGAAGCCCACACTACTGTACTAGTAGTCTAGTACACTGTACTTCTACCGAAAAATGTATGACAGCAACGTGGTCGATGCGTCGGGCGTCATCTTACCTTGACGCCATTCCACCCAATTTAGTAGAACACCAATTGACTCTATACCCCAGCCCGCTGAGGAAAAGGTCAGACTTGTATCTTTTCGCCTACAGTACAGTGTCTCGAAAGGTACCATCCCCATTTTCTGCAATGCATCTCACCGAGCGGAGACCCATCAGGTTGGCCCGAATCTGTGTCTCAGAGTCCAGCCAAGCTCAGTCCCGTGTTCAAGGAAATTTTAGCCGCTCGGCGTATGAGACTCGCGGCTTTGGATGGATCCCAGGGCCGACAGGGTGACCCGACAAGGGCAGGTATGTGATTCCCAGAGGAGGAAACTCTTTGGGTCTTGAGTCCGCGGGACCCCGATCTCCACCACGAACCTAATCCTGTGCACTACGTGGATAGTGGATCACTGGATACTCTGGAGTCTGGAGTCTCGATAGTAGTAGTAGTAGTAGTGATACTGCTTGCTCATGCTGTGCATTGGCCTTTTGCTATCGGCAGATGTCACCCAAGAGCTGACCGAGTGCAAAGTCGAGTGTTGCTCTGTTCCCCGCATGCGCCTTTCTCCACAGACAACCTTGTCCTTCTTGGTGGTCGCATACCCCGCGCGAGTAAGGATGGAAAGATGAGGGATCGAAAGCGGCTGATTCTGGTCACCGGTCACCGGTCACCGCCAAGGCCGGCCAAGCCCAGCCCTCCCGCGACAAGATTTGCTGGGCAAAGAGCTTTTATCCGTCCCAGGCTTGTTGAACGCTTCGTCCTACGTCGCGGAGTCATGAACATTCCACTCGTGAATTGTGCGTCGGATGTTGTCCGTTCTGCTCAGATGGCTATGGCCTCAAGTTGCGATTTCGATATATGAACCAAATAAGGTGCATTTCCGCGGAGACTGAAGCCAGAGGAACGGTCTGGTACAGAGGACTAGGTTAACCTTCTCAAAGTGGCAATGTGATGCCCTCCCGATCTTCTCCGACTTTGGGATCTTGGGTTTCATTATACCTCAGATGTTCACACGCTCGAAATTCAAAAGGGATCCGGGGTCTGTGTGCCGGTGGAGTGCTGGGGGAACTCCCTGGCGCTGTCCAACTACACTTCGAAGATGGGGGGCTGCGGAGAGCCCCAGGTTCCCAGGTCAAAGTCGTGGCAGGCATAGATTCCGGTTACTCTCAAGTCAAGACACGTTGTCCGTGTGCTATACGAGCCCTTTCGTATCTTTGCATACACGTCAGAATACAGCAGGTCCGATGTTGAAAATCGAGAGTCCAAATGCTTTCATGTTTGGAAGACTTGTTCCAGCGGCCACCTTTTCTGTGCCACCTTGGCCTTTAACATTTCAGTTGCTCAAATCGGCTCTACCTCGGCTTCATTGAGTCGGGCAATTCATCGTGCCCGGGCCAAATCTAGTCCCACTCTCCAGATACCGACGATACCGACCCGCAACAGTTGAGCCTGCCCCGGCGAAGACAACACGGAGGCCCAACCATACAACCAGACCAGACTTGGTGTTCACGGAGGAGCTATCGTGAGAGGCTGTTTGGAACTTAGTCATGATATTTGAAAGCGACACAAATGTCAGTCAACTTGTCACATTCCAGATTTGACGGAAAAGACGCGAGGCCCTTTCCTCCGACTTTCGGCGGGCCTGGGGCTGGGGCTGGATGGCAACCCAAATAGACTTGTGGGGCCCTCGAGGGCAACCCCGAGAATTGAGTGCGGAGTCGGGTTATTCAAGAATCAAGATGGGGTGTGGTCAGCGCGCACGCGGAACTTGACCGAAAGGATCTTGTCTCCCGGACTGGTACAACCCCTAAAAAAAAGCCTAAGGACTGGGTATCGGGTATCCAACCCACAGCCACTATGACTTTAGGCCCGTAGCCTGGCATCAAAGTCAAACACGACTGCGACCAAGACCGAGACCGAAACCAAAAGACTAAACGGGTCAATATGACCGGGCCCAATTGGACCGAGGTTTTTCCGACGCGATGAACGGCCACTGATGGGCTATATGGTGACATGGTCTATGTCGTCCATGGAGGGACTCAAGATTGAAAGGGTTTTCTCTGCTATTCAGTTCTCGTCATCCGGTCTCGGCTTGTGACGTGACCTATCCGCTGGACCGCTATAGTCTCTGACCATGTGCATCTCATCCTTTGCTCTGTTTGTGTGCCATCCACTCGATGGATCGAAGCTGTATGCACCAATGACCCACGCATCCTCATTGCAATATTTCTCGGTGATCCTGCCGACACCCAAAACTTACGACACCACCCGGGGTTAAGACCGAGGAAAGGTGATTCGCAGCCTGGTCTCAGTCCTCCTAGCTCAGATCCCCCGGGACCCTTGTTTGATTTGTTGCGAACCCCGCCATCCAGAATTAAGTCTAAAACATAGCGGCCGCTAAACGAGCATGTAGCCATGCACTCATCTACATACCGTGGTACAGCAATCACTCTAAAATGCTGCAGATTCGATTGGATGAGACCGCCGATTGATCTTATAGCCGGCCTGATGCAGCTAGACCTGGAACCTACTTTATGGAGCTGCATCCAATCTCAATTGCTTAAGTTTGTCGTTCGAGCGGCAAAGCCGCCTTCCGATGACGGATGATTAAGTGTAGGTTCAAGCCTTGTTCTCGGCCATTGAATATAGCTCCGATGGGGCGCACTCGAGATTTGACTTCAAGATCACTTGACGATTCCATGAACTGGGTCTACCTGGAGGGATAGGTAACGGGTGTTCTCGGAGCGCACGCTGGCTGGAGGTTTATATTGACTTCCACAGGGGTCTGTAGGAGCTATTGCGGGACAGGAAACCAAGCCTGATTCAATCCAGGAATGTGCAAAGAAGCTGATCTACCATTTACTGTATGAGGAGACGAACCGATCTTGTTGTGGGTGCGCCTCTTTGCGCAGGCCAAAGCCTTGGATGTGTATCACCCGTCAGACGGGCCATTCTCCATTGAGTCCAACCCACTCTTGAAATTACTCCAATTGAATAGGTCAGGTGCACAAGTAACGTATACCTAATATACCTCACTCTCAGTACCTAACCTCACACTCGCACCTCAGCAATCCAGACATCCAGTTCCCAACTAGATCTACTTCTCTTCAACCCTCTCCACCACACAAGCAGTTCCATACGCACAGATCTGCGAACAAGACCCAAAATTATCCACATCAAATCTCACCGCGATAATAGCATTACCTCCACGACTCATACATTCCCCGACCAGTCTTTCCATCGCTTCTTCGCGAGAAGTGTACATCAGATTCGTAAATATTCGAATCTCTCCTCCGACCGCCGTGCGAAGGCCACCGCCAATATCCGCGCTCCAATTCCGTGCGCGCACCGTGATGCCGTAGATCGTACCCAGGACTTGTTTGATCTTGTAGCCTGGGAGATCGTTCATGGTAGAGGTGATTACGCCGTGGGTATCAGTGAAGCATGACGGAAGCTCCTTGGTCTTCTTGGACGAGGACATGATTGAAATAGATCCGCACTGGGTAGGTCCTGATGACGAGGAGCGTCCAGGGGCGATATACACTGATGCACTGATGCAGTGAATGAAAGCTCTATGACTCTTATTGGTTGTACTCCATTAGCGGGTGATTAGGTGCAGGTCTAAGGTTCTGGGAGGCCTGTTCCATCCAACGACGGATACTGCTCGGGCGTTCAGCTACCTTGGAGTCTTTCTGTAATCAAGATGAGTCCTGTTGATGAATATGCAATCGATGCTGCAGATGGCGTTCACAGCTATGGTTGACTTCTACTCTTTTATACAGTCAAGCCTTGATGGCACAGTGTCTCGTGGTGCTCCCGTCAGTGCGGAATTTCTCGCCAGTTCACGCGCAGCGGCCTGTCCCCATTAGGTAACTTCGTATTGGGGCGTCTCTGGCTGTGCAGGCGAATCTTGCAGTGACTGGATCCACTAGTGACGTCCTACCAGATGTGAGGTGTCCGAGTCCTCCCCCCACCACCTGTGAGATTCAGGTATCTCGTTCTCGTGAGAGGCTTGTCCGTGGATGATGTTGCGTTGTCCTTTGAGTTAAATCTCGAGGGCACGCACTCTTCACGTGATTGACAGTCGCAACTGGAGCACGTGCTCTGTGAAAGTTGTGAACTGATGAAATGCAGCAAAGGTAAGTCTACTGGCAGAACAAGCACAAGCACACATATTCCACAAGCGAAGTGTCCTTTCCGATCAAGCCTACTTGAAGCCTCGTCCGTAGAGTACCTAGCTCAGGTACAGTGGGTATATACAAAAGTACCATGAATGGCCGAACGAACCCCTTTGTTTAACTCGGTCACTTCAACGCCGCGGCTGCCACGGCGCAGGAAGTGGGGCGATAGCAATTGCTTCGACTTGCTTGGCATTTGAAGAATAGCTCATCGGCGTACTACAACATTCTTCAGCCAAGGAAAGACACACCAAGGTCGAATATCGTGGAGAGATAGTGGCAGAGGCAGTGGCTGTGCTCGTGGAGGATTGAGAACTTGAATAGTACCTTAGGTACCACTACTACCGTACTTACCAGTACCCAATGTACCCATGCTGCATTGACCCCTCCCCCCATCTGACTCGAACACGGAACGAAGAGCATAGGAAGCTGGGACAGTTTGAGGCGGTGCGTGGATTAGCCGCGACAGCCCCTCAGCATCGTAACTTCCAATCTCGCCATTAGCTAGTCTCCAAGATTGCCACCGGTCTTATTTAATCAAGGTTTCCCTCTCAACTCTCGAATTCGTTTCCTAGTAATCTCATCCCCTCATTTGAACTCGTCTGAAAATCAGTCAGGTTCGAGCTAAGATTGCTACACTCTCTCATCATGTCTTACCACGGAGCCCCCACGAATAATCAATACGGTGGCAATGACTACTATGGCCAGCAGCAAAGTCAGGGTCAGGGCCACTACCCGCCTCCGCAAGGCCACGCTGGCGCTCAGCAGCCCGGCTACTATCCTCAACAAGTATGTCCAAAGTCGAACACATCGGTGTGCTTGATTACCGCACCCCCCCCCAATGTAAAGGGGACAGTCCCCATTCGTACCGGTTCACTGGGACGCTTCAAATGCTAATGGACCGTCAAAACAGCAACAACAACAACCATATGGCCAGCCCCCGTACGGTCAACCTCAATATGGCGGACAATATCCCCCTCGCGAGCAAGGCCAACATGGTTACGGTGCACCCCCTCAATACGAGCAGTACCAGCAAGGACCCAGCTACGGCTACAACCAACAAATGCCTCCTCAAGACCAGGTTCACTCGCCTTATCCACCCCAACATCAGCAGCAGCAGCAGTATCAGCATGGTGGAGCAAACTCTTCATACTACGGCGGTGAAGCTGCTCAATATCCGCATCAGCAGAACCCGGGCTACGCCCCTGGCCCCGGAGGTCCGCAGGGAGAAAAGGGACTTGGGTCAACTCTTCTCGGGGGCGCAATGGGAGGATTCGCGGGCCAGAAGATGGGCGGTGGACTCCTAGGAGCAGCAGGCGGTGCTGCCTTGGGCGCCATTGGTATGAACGCTGTAACTCATGAAGTGTAAGTCTGCGCGTCGCCTCGTCAATCAGTAATGACCCGCCCCTGATACTGACAATTGCCCGCAACAGCAAGAAGGACAAGAAAGACAAAAAGCACAAAAAGGAGAAGAAGGGAAAGCATCACAAGCGCCGTGGCTCGGGTTCTAGTTCGAGATCCAGCTCCAGTTCCGGTTCTTCCAGACGCTAATCTGTGTGGGATCGAGCCGCGGTGCGACATTGCTCGATCGCCTCGTAGATGCTCTTCGGTAATTCCCAAGTTTCTTGTTCGGCTGGTTTGAGGATAATGGTTGCGTGGACCATTGCTATACCCTCTATGCCTTTCAGCCATTCGTTCTCTTTTCGCATTGCAGGAATACCACCAGCATTGAAGGGTCAATATTATTACATTGTTGCCCACTTCGGCAAACCGACATTGAAGATGATGGCCTGATAGGCGATCGGAAAAAGCAAGAATATCATTTGAATCTTCCCTAGAAGAGGTGATCAGGCAGTAGATTTCGTGAGGACGCTCACCGAGGCATGGGATTGTAGAGCCTTTTTGTTATAAAAGAGGATGCCCAGAAATGATCAACGTGAAAGATGGAAGCAAGAGGGTATATTGGTGGTTGATAAAACACGGAATGATCGCTGCAAGATGGAATAACAAAACCCTGTTCTAGAGCTTGACTCCAGAGGCTTGTTTGACATATACGGGGACCTCCGGCCTTGATGAGCCAGTACTTTGCTCATTCGGTTGGGCGTCTTGCCCTGAACGGCTTCCAGTCACCGGACCAAAGATGTCCTCAACACTTACATCCTTGTCTATCTCAAATGCTAGTTGAGGCATGACTTTGGGACTGTCCCAAACAAAATAAGCCTTGTTCGAAAAGGGATTGTGATGCATGCGAGGAACCAAAGAGGACACCCGCCTCCAGAGTCGACGCATGAAGCGATAAGTAATTGCATGGGGCCGGCCATTTGCAAATTCACGAAACGTGTAATCCTTTTGAGGCCCTCGAATCAAAAAGTCGAGGAGATGGTTACCATCAAGGCCTTCCACGGCATTCTGAGACGATGTAGCTGTTCCTGACTTTCGCCGCCGCGAAGGAGCCCAGTCCCCGGTACCTTCAATCAAGCCATCCAATACTTGAAGCTCTTTCTCAGGAAGCGGTGGTAAAAGGGTCTCCAACAAGTTACCGTACCACCGTTTCCGGATGTTGGTACGCCGTATGGAAGGCATTGGCTTGCCCCAGCTATTTGTTTCGGGTATAGGAGGGTGAAGACTCTTCAATGCGGGCCGTATCCGTGACGATGTCAACACACCATTATGCATTTGGGATTTAGCAAGACTGAGCACAATCTCTGGCGGCTCCCAGCCATCTTCGAATAATATAGGCTGCGAAAGAAGTTCTTTTACAGCCTCACTATTCTGAGGCACTGCTGGCTTCATCAACTGTGACAGAAGATCATGTCTTCGCCTGCCGATGCGGCCATAAGACATGAACAACACTCTCTCCAGAGGGCGCTGGTAACCCTGGTTGGCACGTTGGAGCGTTGATAGCCCTTGTCGTGCTACTCGAGCGAGATCTGAACTTGGGCGGTCTGTTTTTTGAGAATGCCGGTAGCGATGCCTGACATGTTGCCGCATGAATTCCCTGGCCATGGGATCTGGGAGATAGCTGCACTCTCGCAGCGTGGCTCGGTATATTGACCTCCATGATGAAGGATCGGCGATGTGAAGAAATCGAGGTGCTTGTGCAGTTGCCATCGCAGTGAAGGGCTATCTAAAGCTCTAGATTATCGATTGCTCTTATCATCTCAAATTGAAGACACGAAATCCCGGGCGGTAAGACTCGTCACGGGACCGACGCGCCTCTTTTCGCAGCCTCAACCCGCACTTACTGAACCCCAACCACGCGTCGTGCCTCGGATTTAGAGATTCCTGTACATCTTGTATCATCTCACGTGCGCATCCAACACTCACACACATCATTACTGAGGCTCTTGCATGGAGTCTCGGATTGCTGATTGCTACTTTCCTTGCCGGAAGGTCGGCAGCTACGCGCCTCCTCGAGCTCGCGTCTAGCCGCCGTTCGGTACGCATCTCCACCTTGAATAATTCAATATTTCCTACCCTGGTCGTGCCCTTGCGGCTCGCTGAGCATACCACTGCAGCAGACCCTGCAGCATGACCAGTGCCAAGAGTGGTGTCGGATCAGCGAATACCTTACCCTACAACAAATCACACAATTCACAGTCCTTTTCATCCACCCCTCGCGCGACTCCGCCACCTCGAGGATCGCAAATGTCCTCATTCGGCATCTCCAATGGCGCCGCCTCCCGTGGCAGCTTCAATGCCAACTATGATGGTGCAAATGACTATGGAAGCATGATGTCCTACCAGGAAGATCAAGGCCCACAGATTTATCGTGTACGTCCCCCCCTCCCGCCTTTTGCTCACGCCCTGTGCTATCATATCATCAATTGTCTGACACTGTCTTCGGTTCTGTTCGATTTGCAGGCGGTTTACTCGAACATATCTGTCTACGAGATGGAAGTCAATGGTGTGGCTGTCATGAAACGACGGTCTGATTCGTGGCTGAACGCTACTCAAATCCTGAAGGTGGCTGGGGTTGCAAAGGCTCGGCGTACAAAGACCCTGGAAAAAGAGATCACGGCTGGCGAACATGAAAAAGTTCAGGGTGGCTATGGAAAATACCAAGGAACATGGGTCACCTATCAGCGAGGTGTTGAGCTATGTCGTGAGTACCATGTTGAGGAATTGTTGCGACCGTTGCTCGAGTATGACATGAGTCCCGATGGCTCTGGCCCTTCGCACAGCGCCCTGGAAACTCCGACGAAAGAGCAAGCCATGGCAGCTCAGCGGAAACGTCTCTACAGCGGCGCTGAAAATCGCGGGATGACCCAGTCTCAACAGGGAACCTTTTTCCAGAATATTTCACGCACGGCAGCCACGGCGGTGAACGCCCTGAGCAAGGCTCGCTTCGATTCTCCAAATGCGAACAGCCGACGACCCAGCGTCATGCGCAAGCCGTCACAACAATTGAGCAGTCAAGAGTCGCAGATGCAAATAAGTAGTCAGCAGAGCATGTACGTATCCGACAGCGGATTCAGCAGCGCTCCAAACCGTCTGCCAACGCATGACGAAAACGATGAGCTTATGGAGCCGCCTCGCAAACGGATGCGCTCAACGTCACACCAAGGTCCTCCGATTGGACTTCCTCGAGATCACTCTACACTGTCCATTCATGAGCCCACTCCAACCGAACCCAACGATTCATTCTATCAGGACGCGGATCTTGCCCCACATTCAGATGATGGACACAAACGCGGGATTGAAGCCATTGCTCCTGCGTCGAATCCTGAAGGGTTCAAAAAGCAGAAGCTGATCATGACTTTGTTTTTGGACAAGAAAATGAAAGATTTTTCTAAGCACCCTGCCATGTTGCAGCTGACTAGCAAAGAGCTCGAAATGCCTCTGGATAACTACCAGAACAACGCACTTCACTGGGCCGCAATGCTAGCGCGCATGCCACTCATTCATGCTCTTGTGGCCAAGGGCGTGAATATTTTCCGAGTGAATGCCGCAGGCGAGACAGCTTTGCAGAAGGCAGTCGGGACTCGTAACAACCTTGATTATCGGAGTTTCCCACGTCTTCTCCAAGTCCTTGCGCCAACGATTGACATGGTCGATTACAGTGGGCGAACTATCCTTCATCACATTGCAGTTATGGCAGCCACAGGTGGGGGTGGACATGTGTCAGCAAAACACTATCTCGAGGCCCTTCTCGAGTTCATTGTTCGTCATGGTGGAAGCGCGTCTGCAAACGGCAATGTCGGGCCCGAGACGGAGAATAGCGAGGTCATTACTTTGGGTCGGTTCATTTCGGAAATTGTTAACTTGCGAGACGATCAGGGTGATACCGCTCTGAACCTTGCCGGACGGGCGCGATCCGTATTGGTTCCTCAGCTCCTGGAGGTTGGCGCTGATCCGCATATTCCAAACCACACTGGACTGCGACCTGCGGACTACGGTGTTGGTGTTGATATGGTAGATGGCAATGGACAATCGCAGCCAGAAATTGAGCGCAATGATACCTTCATCAATCAATTGGCAAAGTCGAAGAAGGAGATCATTGATGGTAAGATAATAAATCCTTTCTCTCGACAATACCAAGGAGCAATACTGATGCCATTCTAGCCGCGGTGTCTCAAATCAGCAATGTCGTTCAAGAGATGCTTGAAGGAATCGCCGGAGATCTCGCATCAATCAGTACCCAGAAACAGGAGAAATTTGATCATTGGCACTCCAAAATTCGAGAATCAGCCAAGGCCCGTCAGATTGAGCAGAAGCAGCTTGACGCCTTGGAGAAACGGGCGTCGGAGCGAGCGCATCTCGACCGACGAATCAAAAATCTTGAACAGTCATCGAAGGAGTTAATGGAAGAACTAAAAAATACGCCCGGATTTGACCCGACTCGGACTCTGGAAATAGGCGATGCTGACAAAGCTACTGGCGTTGACTTTGTGACGTTCAGGTCCCTGTTTCCGGAGGACTTCGATCCATCCAACGGATTTTCAGCTCAGCAGCTCGAGTTTCTGAAGTCGCTTCCTCGGCCAGAAATCCTGGCGAAACTCATCGAGGGCTATCGGAACATCAACACTGGTATCATGGCGGAAGTCAATGCATTGAAAGCGAAGAATGCTATTCTGGGGCAAAATTACCGGCGCATGGTGATGGCATGCACGGGCTGGTCCGCCGAAAAGGCAGACGAGTCAGCCGAGGGTCTTACTCAATGCGTCAAAGAATTGAATGACAACCCAGTCCCTGAAGATGAAGCTATCGAGATTCTGATGCAAGACCGTGGCCAGGACTGGTAGGGTGGGGGTACATTCGCCATTTGTCATGATTATTTTATTGAGCGTTCAGGCGGTTTTGTCGGATTGGTGTTCTTGTGTTGCATCCTTGTTTGACTAATACCCAGATATCCTTGTTGAATGTCATTCGTTGCCATGTTCTGTATGTACAGTCATAAAGTCTTGTCCGAAGCCATGTTTGTGACATGAAGTTGTCGTTGTTGCTCCCGTTCCGTTCCCAAACACGTGGGGGGACCCATCCACCACAATAGGCTAAATAGAACTATGAATTTAGCCAGCCTTTAGCAGCAGCGGCAGGTGCAGTTGTGTACAAATGTACAGTGGACGATAACGGTCACACCAGGCAGTAGGGACTTGAGGAATTGTTGCTTTCCTACTATTCAACAAAGATAATGATGTCTAGTGATTTGTACATCTGGCCCAAAGCTTCCTTTCTCTTCGAGCATCCTACACGGGATTCGGTTTCCCGGCATAACATGCTCATTTCCCATCAAGGCTACCTACGTTTTTCGCTACGTATCTGCTCATTGCTCTCTTTGCTCCCCCTGAGCTTACATCTCTGTCATTCCTCTTTTCAAAAATTTCTCGGACTACAAATGATCTCACCGGAAGATCAAAATCTTCCACCAATGCCACAATTGATGTACTGGCCGGTGTGACCGTTATCATCCACCGTAGTGTTGTATGTAGTATGTACTATGTAGTTCACCCTAGTTGGGCAAGGTCGGCTCTTGTCACGAAATGACTACTTTTACCCCAAATTCCCCCGCAGTCGGAGGCCACGCCGAGTTGCTCATCTATGAAATTAACCGTGCAATCGTCCGGCAGGATCATTTTCTTGGCTTTCTTGTTTCCTATAAATCGGTGTCAGCCCGATCCGTCTTTCCATGGTAAAACAACGAACCCCTCTCCCGAGTTCCTCTCAACCAATTTTACCATTGTTTTGAGCACTATGGCAAGCGGAATTCTTCGCGTGAAAGACGACACTGTTGTCGATGAGAATGGTCAGCAAGTTGTCCTTCGAGGCACCGCGATCGGTGGATGGATGAAGTATGCCAAGCCAATGTGCTCAGAAGCCCCCGCCAGGTCATTGTGCTGATTGACTCTGTAGCATGGAGAATTTCATCACAGGATTCCCTGGTCATGAGGTGCAGCATCGCGCAGCTATGCGGAGGGTCCTGGGTGACCAAAAATACGAGTTCTTCTTCGACAAGTGGCTCGAGTACTTCTTCACCGACGCAGACGCCCAGTTCTTTGCGAGCTTGGATCTGAACTGTCTACGAATTCCATTCAACTATCGTCACTTTGAGGATGATATGAACCCGCGAGTTCTCAAGGAGTCTGGCTTCAAGCACCTCGATCGCGTGATTGACCTGGTGAGTGACCGCCAGGATACTTGGGCAGAGGACCGCCTCTGCACACTGAGAATCGTTTGTACTGAAACTTGGAGATAGTGCGCTGCCCACGGTATCTATACGATTCTTGACATGCACGCTGTGCCTGGTGGTCAGAACCCAGACTGGCACTCGGACAACCCTACAAGCTATGCTGCATTCTGGGACTACAAGGATCATCAGGATCGCACAGTGTGGCTGTGGAAGCAGCTCGCAGCCCGCTACAAGGACAATGCTTGGGTTGCTGGTTACAATCCATTGAATGAGCCTTGTGATCCTCAGCATGTCCGACTTCCCGCATTCTATGAACGGATCGAGAAAGAAATTCGCTCAGTTGACCCTAACCACATCTTGTGGCTGGACGGAAACACATTCGCCATGGAGTGGAAAGGTTTCGATAAAGTTCTCCCCAATTGCGTCTACGCGATGCACGACTACTCGGTGCGTATTCGATCATGCTTCTGTAGTCAAGAAAGAACAACTGACTGTACATCATCCTAGACCATGGGTTTCCCTACCGGTGAGCCCTACAAGGCGACCCCCGAACAGAAAGACTCGCTCGAACGCAAATTCCTCCGCAAGGCAAAATTCATGATGGAAAAGAAGACCCCTATCTGGAATGGCGAGTTCGGCCCCGTCTATGCTGATGCAGTCCTCGATACCGATGCCGAGTCAATCAATCAGGATCGCTACAACCTACTTGGAGAACAGCTGCGCATTTACGACAAGTACAACATCAGCTGGTCAATTTGGCTATACAAGGACATCGGTCTCCAGGGTATGCTCTACACCAATCCCGAAAGCAAATGGAACAAGACGATCCAGCCTATCCTTGAGAAGAAGCGCAAGTTCTGGCTCGATAAATGGGGACAACGGCCTGCGCCAGAACCCGAGGCGGTCTTCCGACCCATGGTGGAGTGGATTGACCGCGTCAGCCCAGCGGCCAAGGAGACGTATCCGACATCGTGGAACACGGACTTGCATCTGCTGCGAAATGTGTTCAATACTTTCTTGGCGCAGTCCTTCGTCGATGAGTTTGCGGAGTTGTTCCGGGGCATGGATGAGAAGCAGCTCGACGAGTTGGCGAGAAGTTTCCATTACGACGAATGCAAGCAACGAGAGGGCCTGAATCAGATCTTGAAGGACCACGCTGCGACATCCAAGTGAGGAGCAGTACATGTTTGTGAATAGCTCGGATCTCATTGCATCGTATCTCGAGAATTATTAAGAGCTACCGAGGATAGTTACTGATTTATTCTTGGCTTGTATTTCGAAAACTAATCCTAGTAGGTATCCATCTACAACGGCTGCTGCCAGCGGAGGCAGCCAAGTGGCTCTTTCTCAATTTCCTTCGAGATCGTCTTCCTCTCATGTCATTCCGCTGGACTAGTCTGGAAGTTCTCAAATCAGTAATTCCCTACTGTAGACATTCGCGTCACGCGAAAATAGCACTGCACCTCTGCAAAATCTCAGTAAGCGGACGAGTCATGGATGAACGGCTTCCATGTGTTCCGCATAGATCGTAAACATCCAATAAGCCCAGACGCTGGGTTGGAGGGGTAATCGGTGCGTGGAGTTATTATGAGGAGCCTTCAGGGTTTGAGAAGTGGAGTAATTGCGGTCGAATAGAGTGGCTTCACTGGCTTGGGTGTAATCTGCACACAGCTTTATTTATCCGCACGTTATCGATAAGAGGCACATTGCTGAAAAATCACAAAAAAAAGATCGCGGGGTCGACTGTACTCGGATGTGTTCAAGATTCGGTGGCGTCGCATAACAGCTGTTCAGCCTCTCCGTGCTCTAATCCCGACAACTTGTGTCGACATGGCCGGCGAACCTTCCTACCCGACTACGCTAAACAGCGTTTGTGACGCCCCATTAAACTCCCGATATGATCCCATCCATCTAACGTCCGAAAACATCGTGCCGATCTTCGAACTGCCCCTTGCGCAAGAAATTCTGGGTCACAATGTCTCAGAGCAGGATGCACTCATGCAGGTCACCCAGGGCCAAATATCATATACGGACCTTGTCGCTGACAGAGCTCGCGCGGCTCTCCAATCCCGCCGCGACGATTTGACGCCGGAACAGACAAGATCGCAGATTGTGCATATTGGTCTCGCTGCCCTTTTCAGTTTCCTCCAATCGAACGTCACCGGACCTCCTCTTGACTTCACGCCCGCAGACGTCCTTCTTCCCTCGGTTTTGCGTGACGATAAAGTTACCCTTCGAGCTGTGCGCGCAAAGATCATCCGGGATCTGTCCGTGGACGGAGAAGCGCTTTACAAATTGACGCCGAACCCCGAACTCTTCTCTGTCGCCAAGGCCGTTCTTGTTGATTTGGATGTTGATGGTTCAGTTGCGGCCAGCACCGCGCGTATGCGCGTCAATTTCCTCCACCAAAAGATGCTTTCCGAGGTCACAAGCACATTGCAGGATGAGATCTACAAGGATTTGGAAAGTCTCATGAAGGCAGATCTCAATAGTGAGGAGAGAAGTCGACTGTTGGTGGAGCGAGCGCTCATTCACACGCATCATGGATTCGATGCCAAAGCTCGTGCGGATCTTGATCAAGCATCGCAGATTCGGGGCTTTGAATTCGCCTTGACCGGCAAGCTCGGAAAGCGGACAAAATTCCAGGACCGTGACATCAGCCAGCTTGTGGTGGTTGCCAAAAGCGCCGAAGAAGCCCCCGACTCTTCCAAGCCGTCTGGCCCGAAGAATCTTGACTTGAACGACGACACACTGTTGGAGGCTATCTCGTTTGCAGACAAGAAATCCACCACGGTTGCCGATGAACTTCCGGAGGCTCTGCGCTCTGTTGATGCCAACAACCAGCCCATCCTCAATCCCGTCGACTCCGCTATCCTGCTGGCCATGGCTACCGCCATCACCAACACTTCGCCCGACCATGGGCTGACTCGTGAGGAGACGCAACCGTATGCAGCCCGTGTTCTGGAGGGTGGCAGTTCCAATTGGCAGATCTATACGGAAGCTTTGTTGGTTCGCAGTCGTGTCGAGGGCTTCCGCTCGCGCACTGTCGAGAGATCTGTTCTTCAAATGCAGGCACTTGTTGATCAGGTCCTTGCGGATACCGCTACAAGTGACTCCGCCGCTCAGCAGCCAGGCTCTGACGCCACTACGTTCCTTCCTCGTCCGGAGAAGTCTGAATCGGCCCCTGCTGCCGATCGATTAGAAAATATCTGGCTATTAAATTTTGCTACGCGGTGGAGCTTGGAGGCTGAGCTGGCTAAGCGGTGGGTTGAGCTTGGTGGTCTCCGGACTGCTCTTGAAATTTACGAGCGATTGGAGATGTGGGCTGAAGCGGCGCTGTGCTACGCCGCTACCGAACGTGAGACGAAGGCCCGTTCTATGGTTCGCCGGCAACTGTACGAACCCAAGGGCCCCGTTGAGAATGATGAGAATGAACAGTACGAAGGCCCGGAACGATCTGAACTGCCAGTGGATGCTCCTCGACTTTTCTGCATTCTGGGAGACATTGACAATGACCAAAAACTGTACGAGCGTGCTTGGGAAGTCTCCGGGCAACGTTACGCTCGTGCGCAGCGTTCACTCGCGCGTTACTTCTTGGGCCTCACTCCGCCCCAGCTGGAGAATGCCGAGGCGGCGTACCGTAAGAGCTTGCATGTTAACCGTCTGAACGAAGCATCTTGGTTTTCTCTTGGCTGTGTGCAACTCGAACTTGAAAAATACGACGACGCTGTCCAATCTTTCACACGGACCATCCAACTCGACGACACCGATGCACAAGGATGGAGTAATTTGGCCGTCGCGACGCTTCGCTCAACAGCGCCTGAACCAGCTCCCGAGGTTGAGATTGACGAGAGCACTGGCGAGGAAGTTATCAAAGAAGCCGATCCCCACCAGCGTAACCGCGACGCTCTCAGGGCTCTTCTCCGTGCTGCACACTTAAAGCACAGTGATGCCCGCATCTGGGACAACGTGCTTACGGTAGCAGCCTCCATTCCTCCCCCCTCGACACCCTTCCGTGACGTGATCACCGCGCAGAAGCGAGTGATTGAGCTTTTGGGGGAAAAGCAGGGCGAGAAATGTATTGATCTCCCCATTTTCGGCATGCTCATCGACTTCCTCGTGACGGCGTTCGACTATGAATCTCTTTTCACTGAAGGTGACGATGGCCCTGTCATTCGTACAGGCACCATTCCAGGCCAGATCCTTTCTTTGGTTGACGATAACGTGGTTCCACTGATCACGCACTCTTCTACGCTCTGGCTACTCGTCTCGCGCGTTGAAATGTTCCGCAACCGTCCGAGTCGTGCCATGGACGCCCATGAAAAAGCGTGGCGGGCAGCTGTTGCCTCGAATGCCCAGGGTGCCTTTCAGATGGGTGATGAGAAGCCCTGGATGGCAGTCGTGAAAGCCACGGAGAAGCTTGTCCGTGATGGCTACGCGCGGTACGGACCTATGGATCATGAAGAGAAAAAGGTCGAGGGAACTGATGAGCCCGAGATGGTCATGCGCGATTGGCGATTCAAGGCCCGCAGTGCTGTCCGCGGTATCATGGGCAAGGGCAAAGAGTTCTGGGAGGACTCTGAGGGCTGGGAGAAGCTAAAGGAGTTGCAAAGCGAGGTTGTGGGCAATTGAAGCGGCGGAAGCCTGCTCAAGAATTCACGAAGTTATAGAGGTCTATCAATATGATACCACACGGAATGATCGGCGTTGCAATTGAACAAATTTCTACTATTTTTCGATTCCTTTTCTACCCGTAGATCATGCCAGCACGCATCGATCACAGATCCTGACTTGCAGAATGCTTCATGCTCAGACATTCGTCCTTCTCCTTTCTCGTATATCATTATTTGCCTTCGATTTTCCGTTTAGCCATTCCGCAAAAGCTTTCGAAGATGACACTATCCGTTCCTTGGATCCAGCGAATCGTGACTTGCACTTCTCTTGCTTCCTCCCCAGTTCCTGACAGTAGCCGTACCTGGATTCTGACACCTAGTTCAACCTCTGTCGGAGCAGCATCCAGCTTTCCAGACCGAGCCTGTCCGGCGAGCTTCATCTTCCTTCGAGCTTGTCGAGACCAGACATTTTCTGATGCGAAGCCGACACCAGCACTGAGATTTTTATCCCATTTCCAGAACCAGGGAAGTGTGTCGAACTCTCCATTCATACTGGCGATGACTGAATCGACATGAGCCCCGGTCGGTAATGTGAATGTGAACTCTGCCGGGAACGGAAGTAGATGACGTGGGAATCCAGGAATATTCCGAGCTAAAGGCTATTTGTTTTTTTGCGGAACGAGATCGATACCATCAGCTGCACCGTATCTAAGAGCAGGAGGAAGATCATGTTCGAGTATCTTACCATTGAGGGTCTCCGATCTCCCCATGACCACGCGAGAGCCCATCTTTTTGTCTTGTTGCCCTGCACAAATTCGGTGACTGCGTAGTTATTGTTGCCGTATTCGATGAGTACTTCCACGAGCGTCGTTATACTGCTGAGTTTTCCCAGCATTGAAGTGTACCACTGGATCCGTTCTTGCAATTGTCGGCTCTCTTCAATCATGCGGGCGACAAACGCGGTTTCACCACCTTCCACTATCATTTCAACAGCAGCTCCAGTGCAAGCCGAGAATGGGACGTGACATTTCGTCTCAGCAGAGCTCAACATGTCATGCTCTGAGGCGTAGAATGGAGGGTTGCACATGGTAAAGTCAAGCCTGTGTTTGGTGTGAGTATGAGTACACGAAGAAAGACGGTGGGAAACACACTTTTCCTGCTTGAAAACATCCGGCGCGAAGAAGAGGTCTTCTGCATTGGTCTTTATGATCTGGATTTTTGAGTCTAGCCCATTTCGAGACACGTTTTCACGGGCCGTCTTGACATTTTGCTCATCGATGTCTGCCATGCATTATCAGCACTGATGTTCCGAGAGTATTGATCAATTGACGAACCCGTGGCTATGAATCTCCATCGTGGACGGACCTTGCAGCCTAAAAGAGGGTAAATGCTGCAGCATCCTGTTCCTCTGTGGAGGCGTCAGTGACTGCGAAATGTTTGCCCATGATTTCACGTGCGACATACACATCCAGTCCAGCGACCTCTCGGTCTGGGTCGTAGTTTTCACGAATATTGGCAGTACTTGTATCAAGAAGATCTTGAATCCAGATGACGTAATTGAGTCTGTCTCGTCAGACACGATATTTTGGAAGCACGTCGAACTTGATCCTTCCCACATACCTGTTTGGCACCTGCAAACTCCATTAGGCTGGGGTGTTCATTTCTGCAAGTTAATATTACACTCACTGGGGGGCATAGTCTATCTTTCGGTAATTTCACATGAAGTCCAAAATCATGCTCCAACAGACTGATTGTCAACTGCCTGTGAATTTGTTAGCCTGTCGATCGACGTTGGCTTGCCGCTGTATCATGCTTCAATGTACCTCACAGCAGCTTCATCGTGAAAATCCAGTTGACCATTGAATCGCAAGCTGTCGAGTAATCAGACCAGATCCAAGAAAATCTTGGGGCAAGCTCACGAACTGTTTCGCGAATTCTCGCGACTGCAACGCGAGGGCTGCAAAGTCGATTTCCTTCTTGTATAGGGTTCGCGCTTGCTCCATTGCTCTGGTTTTTTGGTACTGCTTATACGGAGGACTCGGGTAGGCTCGTAGCAAGGGAATCTCGCTTGTGGCTTGAGAGATGTGATCAACCTCTCTCGTGTACGGTAGACGTCGTTGCAGTAGACGGACATGAGAAAGCAACATTTATTTCTGCCTCAGGCAACATCATTCAATGGAGCCACGCAAAGCAAATGCCCGTCTTTCAATGCGACGAAGGAAAGGAAGACTCAGCGAAGCCACTGTCAGTCAAATCTTAAGCTACGCAAGAGAGTCATTCTTCGATATCTGATCAAGTGATCTTGAAGCCCTATGTGCGTGGCTAGTCGGATGAAGAGAGACTGAGAAGGTCGAATATTTGACGTGCCGGACCTCTCAGGTAGATACAGGTGTGGCTCGAATTGTGCCTCAAGCATCCCCGCAAATATAGACCCTAGATCTGCCGCGGAGATACTCGCACAAATATTAAGTCCTCTTCCGGGCGTGCTGTTCATGATGTATTTGGAATGTACATACCAGGTCCTTTTGCGATTGTAAGGCTGATAGTATGTGCATAAGTACATTGAAGGTACCGACTGGCCCCCAACTTCGGAGATCATCTACTTCATGGCCTTGTCACATCGACGTAATAGCGACAGCGATGTCTGCGACCTGAGTCAAACCACAACCATTCTTACGGATTCAGTCATCTATACGAATACATTTTATAAGTAGCTTTCTCAGAAGTAATAGATCCTTGGTAAGAGACACTTTGCCAATCGAAAAGGCATATTCCACCAATTATCTCCGCTGCCCAGGCTTCCCATACAGCCGCGACCTGTACTCGGTGCAGACAACCCTGCGAAAGCTGTCCAGCTGGGACTTCGTATTTCATGATGACGCAAGTTGAATTTCTCTCGTATGAGAGCTACATCTCTGCCCCAAAAGCTCGGTGGTTCTGGGATGTTCTCAATAACAACTCGACCTCATAATATCCAAGCTTCTATCGTTGGACACCTCTCGGATTCACTTTCCACAGCAACCATGCTTCCACAAAACATGCTGCTTCGACAAACGTCAGGCGTATTTCCATTGCGTGCTCGAAGAAGATTGTTAGGTCTTTATTCGCAGCGAAGGCACATTCGACAACCGAGCAAGCCAATACACCCGTCGGAACACTTTGATCTCCATGGCAAGGTCTTTGCTGTGACCGGGGGCGGACGCGGACTGGGCCTGGCAATGGCAGAGGCCTTGCTCGCAGCAGGAGGAGAAGGTGAGTGTCCCAAATCACCAGCCAGAGAATGTTATGGGTTTTCAACGGACTCTCCTCCGTCTACTTGTTGCAAATGGGCACTCACTAATGCTTGCACTTGCACAGTTCATTGCTTGGACAAATTACCCGAACCAGCAGAAGAATTCCAAGCGGCGCAAGCACGCCAAGATGAACCCTCAAAACAAAACCTCCAGTACTGGCAACTCGACGTCTGCGACACAAAAGCCTTAGACGAAGCAATGGCCAGCATCTCCGGCAAAAGAAAACGCCTCGACGGAGTCATCGCCGCTGCAGGAGTGAACCATCTCGGTAATGCCACCGACCATACGGAACAAGACATCAACCGAGTCATGCGAATCAACTACATCGGCGCATTCCACACGGCGACCGCAGCCGCGAACTATATGAGACTGCACAACAGCCTTGGATCGATCCTCCTGGTCGCCAGTATGAGCGGGCTGATCGCGAATAAAGGCATGGTGTCGCCTGTTTACAATTCATCCAAAGCAGCCGTCATTCAATTGGCGAGGAGCTTGGCGATGGAATGGGGGAATCCGGACGGACAAATGCGCTCGCCTATTCGGGTGAACTCTCTTTGTCCGGGTCACATCGCTACGCCGATGGCTCAGATGGTGATGGACAAGTCGCCGGAGACGCGGAAAGTGTGGGAGTCGGAGAATATGCTTGGGCGGCTGGCGCAACCTTGCGAATTTGCTGGCCCGGCTATTTTCCTCTTAAGTGACGCCAGTAGCTTTGTGACTGGGAGCACCGTCGTGATTGATGGCGGTCATACCGCGTGGTGAGATAGTGAGTCGCAATACAGCAAAGTTAGCGATCGTGCAGGCGCATTGCTTTTCCCGAATATGATCAGAGATGTCTTTTGGCGTCATCGTTCATTCCAGTCCTAGGCCCTTGAAGTTATCTGTACGAGTATTTCCACCTGCTGGTTTGACCCCTTAAGGTTTGGAAAGGGATTGGGTTTCCAGTGCAAACAGACGCAGCGACAGAGCGCAACGAGTTAGGTCGAGGATGATCACGGTCCACTTCCTCCAACGAGCAGATTTAGAGGACTCTTTGATTACAGGTGAACCGAAAAGCAAGTGTAGTCGATACTATCATTGTTCACTAGCTCGATCAGCGCACCTTCCGCGATCACAGAGGGATCTTGTATGAGTGAGAATCACCATTGAGGTGGGCTGGTGTTGACGACCCTTGAGCATGCTTGATATTGACCAAGATTTAGAGATTGATGATGATGAGAACGCCTAAGAAGGCCAACGGAAGATGCCTGAAAATGAATGTCCATGAACATGAACATGAACAAGAGGCAAAGGGACAGACCGACATGGTGACGGTGACGGTGACCCCGTGAAGCAGTCTTGATATGAATTCAGCGGCAGTACCAATCTGAGCCGAGTAAAAGCGGCGAATTAAAGAGAGAATAGAAAACAGAGCGTAGAATATTTAAGGTTGGCAAAAGGGGTATTTTCATGCAAAGGATGCCATCATTGCTTCTCACTCAGGGCGACTGCTTGGGGAGCCTGGATCTGCGGAGGCGCCACGTCCACGGGCCTCGGTGGTGCCGGAGTGACCACTTCGACGCCACCATCATGGGAGCGGACCGCAATTCTCTGGCCACACTTTGTGCAGAAGTGATGAGTGTCGTGGCACATCTGCATGCAATAGGGCAAGAAGGCGCAGATGATACCTCCAAAGAGACAACAGCAGATCGCGGCCATGCTAAGTATGGTGTTAGTCAAACATTCAGAATACGACTGCGTCTCGCTTGACAGGCCGTAAGGGATATTCATGTTCAGAGGTAACTCACGACGTGTCGCTGGTGCTCTCCTTCTCAGTCCGAGTCGTGGTTTGCTGGTGGCAGAAGGGACAGTCAACCACGCAGGGTTCCTCGCCAGCATTGATGATGTTGATCGATTGCACAGCTGGAGCGACCGCCTGACCGGGCTGAGACGCGGGTTGTGCTGTCGCCGCCTGCGCCGCCTGCCATGCGGTCTTTTCTAGCGGAGCGGTATTCTCGGCGCCTGTGGTGGTGTCGCGATGTCTGCTCGCGGAGTTAGCATTGTTTCTGTCTTTGCGATAGGAATGCGGTCGAGCTCTTTTCTCATTGACATACTGCTCATAGCTTGGTGGTGGCGCATCGGCACTAATCACGTCCCTCGTTCCGGCAGCGGGAGTTTCTTGTGCTGTGGTTGTATCGTTCGCAACCGCAGGAGTTGCAGAGGCAATCACCGAAGTGGCCGCGGGTCGCTCTGCGGTAGCGGTTGTGTTGGTCGCAGCCGTTTCCTTGTTGGGCTCCATGATTATGTCGAATTTGCGAACGTCGGTCTTAATAAGGAGCAGATTCGTTCAGAGACGAGCAAAGAGAAAAATATAGGAGCAGGAGTCCTGCTTCGGGAATAGGGGGACAAAGGACTTTTAATACGAATAGAAGCGAGGCTCAATTTTCGTCTTAGGCCGTACTTGTTTAGCCTCAAGCAGCTGATGACCTTTTTTTTTTGGCCCCAATTTCTGGCACCAAAATGGACTAGTGATTTCATTTGGGGGGAGGACTGGACGGCCTGAGGGCGACTGAGTCAGAGACATGTCTGGACGCGCAGGGCCCCTGCGTTCACATCACGGCCATGTTCATTTGTTTGAGAGAGCTCGGTCCCCCGATGTTGGACGAGGGCTGGGGCGCAAGAGACACAAGGCGCAGCAAACAGACACTGCGTCAAGTCATGCAGGGTGTGAAGCTGCCCAGTGAGACAACAGGCCCGATTCCGGGCTATGCACGACCAGCGCGCGCTAGACTGGAAGGAGTCGCGGCTCAATTGACATGTGAAACTCAAAACAATCCGGGGACTCGATCCGATTTAGCACATCATGACACCGTGCAACTCGGGGTGAGATGAGAGGTCCAGTCACATGACGCGATAGCTAGAGACAGAACGAAGCTGAAGGAAATCCAGGTAACACGAGGAGGACAGTGGACTATGAGGAAGTCAATCTAATGGCATGCATGCCCGGCAATTCAACGGGTGTCCTTAGGTTGTCCACCTCGCTAGGACCGAAAAAGTAAGGTCAAATTATCTATTTATTACGGGTGCCGTTTCGAAAGTGTTCGACTCTCAAAGTAAAATACTACTCCGCCTTTAATTTCCAACTTAACACTTCAAAATTTCTAAGTTAGCGGTCTAGCACCTACCTATCCTCTGAAATCAAGTTCATAGCCCTATAGAGTCACTACTTAAACCTTATCCCTAATAATTCTCTCGGACTATAATTAAATATATAATATTATAATATAAATAAAAGTACTTAAGGATAGTGAGAGACCTACAGCGGTCCAAAGGCACAGGAAGCAGCACGAGATCTGAACGGGTTGGGGAGAGGAAGAAGGGAAAACCTGCCCACGCAGGGGAAAACCTCCAAACCTCTCAACACTAGGCAACAGCTGGTCCTGGCCACGCACACCACGCAGCACCGAGGGAGGAAACTCCATCAGATAGAAAACTTCTGAATGAGTTTTTGGTGTTCTCGGTCGGGAAGTCAGTAGGCGGTAAGAAGTAGCAAAAAATAGTTTCGTCTCTTGGCAAGTACAGCATCGATACAAAATGACAGAACAGTCACGTGAAAAATAGAGTTCAGCCTTTCCACTCTGGTCCTAGCGAGGTGGACAACCTAAGGACACCCCAATTCAACAGCCATTCCAGTTCTGAGCTTCTCCAGCGAACTGGTCAACGGAACTTGAACAGGCTTCTTGGGAGAGTCCAAATCAAACGACCAGTATCAAATACGAGCCTTCCAGTCGTTTGAAGCTAACTGATATTGATATAGACTTTCGGGAGAAGCTCTGTGCGCCAGCGTGGCCTTCCATGGAATTTACCTCCAATTACCAGCGTCAAGGTGACGGTTCCTTAGTTCCCGACCATTGCTGCGACTCCTGATGGCTCCTTGGATTACGCATCATCTGGCACCTAGGTAGGTAGGTAGGTAGCAGATAGCACGTAGATTGAAACGTGATAGATGATGGTCCAGTCTCCTCGTCGTAGGATCAGAGGATGTATGCAACATTGCAAAGTCTCTTGGCTCGGTCGGGCTTGCAGTGATCACGGGGTCTAAGGGTTTTCTGAGAGGGACAAGGCTCAGGGTCGATCATCACCCAACGCTTGCTGTGGGTCATTCACCGTGCGAAGCACTGGTAGAGGACAGAATGTTAGGGGGTTCTTGAGGACCTCGGAAAAAGGTTGTCTCCAGAAATATGGACATGAAAAGTCCAACGACTTAAAGATGGGAGGGTCTTCGACGGTATTGATGTAAGGCGGAAGGCGGTGAGGTGATGGCCGTGGTGATGGAAAAAGAATGCAAAAAGATAGCAAACCCTGGTTTCGATCCAGGTACCTTCGGGTTATGAGCCCGACGCGCTTCCTATGCGCCAGCTTGCTTGTTGCTTGAAAAAGTCTGTCATTTTTAAAAATATGGAGAGTCTGCACTCATCACCCGAAGTTTGCTTCTAGTTCATCATCGGCCTTGGAATGGAAATATACATCATGAGAACAACACATTATGAGAAAAATAAAATAAAGGACCCCCTTTCAACAAACTTAAACTTCAGTTCTTTCATTATGGCGTACTGATCAGCGTCTTTCAAAAACGCCTTAAAATAGCAATTGGTCTGGCGGCTCGTAAATTTCGATGGAGGGGACCCGTCCACTGTCCTCCAGTAGGTGTAGATGGATATATTGCGACCTTCACTCCGAGCAAAGGTCCATGCCTCGTTTCTTCAACGAGCCACTCCCGTCCATGGCTATCATCCCGCAAGCAGAACTGGGTATAGTGCAACGAAACGCAAACCTCCAAGATGGAGCAAGGCATTAATAAACAAACATAGTAAGTGTCAATAATAAATGTCTGAAAATCCAAGCAATAAAGTTTTGGGCCATCACCACCTTCAGCTAGATCGGCTGGGCGCTGCGCTGTTGAGCTGCTTCCTGCTCCCTCTCTAGTCGCTTTAGACGATTCTGTCGCCAGCCCGCACCCCATCGCATTTCAACGACTAGCAAGGGGCACATGAGCAGTGTGGTGCCCGCCAGAAGCAAAAAGGCCCACTGAGCTGTGAGCGCGTCAATCATAGGCTGGATGGCAGCCACCCCGCCGGCTCCCACCAAGCATCGCATCAGGTTGTTGACAGCTGTAGCACTGGCACTCGCACCGGGATAGAGATCAATGATCAGTGTACTATTGATGGTGAAGATGGCCGTGGCACAGTAAGCGATGATGTACTGAAGGATAACCGGTACCGCGAGATGTGTGCGCAAAGAGAAGCCGTATGTGGCGGTGCAGATGATGAAGACCGCCGTGATCCACCAAGTGTTGCGCATGCGGGCGTACTCGATGGGGAAGTCGGGATGAGATTTGGTGGTGATGCGAGTCTCGACAGGGAGATCGCTCCTGACGCAGTAGTCGCGCTCGGTTCGTCTGTGGTTATAGTCCATCAGGTATCCGATGGTGTACGATCCGGACATGCAGCCGAAGCCTGCCAGATGATGTCAGTCAAGCCCGAAGCAAAGCCGGAGAAGAGAAACTGACCGTTGCCCAGAAAGGTCAAGCCGACCTCCAGAGTGTTGAGCCCATAGGTTGATTCGAACAAGTCGGACGTGGACGAGGTCACCATGGACCACACAGAGTACACAACTGCACCGAAGAACAAGGTGACAAAGACATCTTTTTCACCCAAGAACCCGAGAGGAGCTACCACCGTCTTCACGGTAATTTTCCTTTTCGTGCTGTCCCGAGCAACAGCATCCTGTCTGGCTAGTCTTTGACCAGTGATGAGGTAAATCCAAGGCTTGTGGATTCCATGCAGAGGAACTGTTCCGTCTCCGGCAATCGAGCGGAGGGTCTCGGGGAGAAAGAAGAGAATGGTAAGAAGGCTGAGTGTGGACAGTATGGCAAGGAACCAGAAGATCGAGCGGAATCCCAGATATTCGGAGAGAACACCTCCGAAGACTGGACCGATGCCCTGACCAAGCATGCGAACTGGGATGATGTTAGCTTTGCTTTATATATAAATAGACATGTGACTCAGGGGGGGGCTATTCCAACCTACCTCCACCGAATATACCAACCAAGCCTCCCCTTTCGGCCGACGAGGCAATATCACCAATGACACCAGCACCTGTCCAGAGATCAGTAAGAGACATCCTAATCGATAGCCAGCTCCACAGGTAGCAACATACCGATCGAGATGGTCGCGGCACTACCGGCAGCTTGCAGGGCACGGAAAGCCATGAGCTGTCCATAGTTTTTGGAAAGAGCGAGAGCGATGTTCGAAATGATGTAGACAAGGAAAGTGCCCACGAAGATGGTTCGGCGACCGATTACATCGGAAAAGGAACCCCAGAAACTCGGGGCCAGCCCTTGCACAATCATGTATATTGTGACAGTCAACGTGATGAGAGACATGGAGATATCCAAGCTCTAGATGAGAATAAATGTAAATGAGTGTTAGCCGATATTTCCTGGTCTTTTCCATAATGTGCGGGTTGAGCGACCTAGTGGCTGAAGGTATTTACCTTAGATATGAGCCCCAACGCGGGGAAATAGATATTCGAGGACAGAGGAGAGAAAATAGCAGCAAGTGACACGATATAGACCATGCATAACTTTTGAGTTCGTGAAAAGACATGATAGACAGGGGCTGGCGGGGGAGGTTGACTCTCCAGATCGTTTGAGCTGGGAGAAGAGGACGGGATTTGCTTTTCATTTTGGGTTGAAAGACTAGGGCTGGAAGATGAGACTGAAAGCTCTGTGGTATCAGGCATTTTAATCTGCTGTGGGCATGTAGAAAAAGACATTCTGAAGGTAGTGATCTATGGGCGAGCACAATATCGATCATTCGAATCACAACAGGAAGTGAAGTGTATAGAATGGGAAAGACAATGGCAAGCTTCTTGAAACTCAAGATTGGCCTTTGATTCATCTGATTCTCGAAATTCAATGACCTCTGGTCTACGTATTTGTAGTTGGACACCACTCCTAGATTACCCGCCCCCTTTGGGCAGAGACTAGAAGCTGTCCGACACCGAAGATGTGCTCGGAGGGCTCCACACACCATCCAACTATCTCCCATCCACTTGGATACGGAGACCGCGCATGTGCAAGGATCGGACGCAAAAAGTAGACGACACTTCATCAGACCCACAAGTAGATCAATGATTATCAGGGACTTATGCCTATCTTCAAAGGCAGATGGTATTCGTTTGTCCGATTGTGATGGTAGCCGCAGGCTTGACTGTTCTGAGATGGGAGCCCGTTGTGATCGTGTTTAGTTCCAGGTACCTATTATTATGATTTGATATCTTTGCAGGTGCTACATCAGCCGAATAGCCTAGATGGATCAGATCTTAGGGCTTAGAGCTATCTGTTGATTACCCGCCTTTTCAGGATTAACATGGGGTTCTGGAATGAATAGGGGATCTATCTTCCAAGGTGCCTACGTAATCCTGTCTTGCTTTAGAAGATCCATGAAAATGATCTGCACATTTTTTGTACTGCACGAATAGCTTCTCGAACCGTTAATAAGTTTTTTCCGAGTTTTTCCATCCAGCCGCGGAGCTCTGATTGTGCGCTGGCAATTGATTTTTCGTGCAGCCATCAGCTCGAAGTGGCGAATCGAGAAGCAAACCAACACCGTCATTTAAAGATCCGATTGATACTCGTACATCCGAATAAACTGTGGCTTTTCCAGCCCGTGAAACCGTGCTAAGAATGTGGTTCCGATATAAGGGGCGGGCAATTGAGCATCGAATAGATCAAACCCTGCAAAACATGTGTTTTCGGCCCGCCCGTTACGTGGACATTATCTTTCGAATCAGAAAGAAAACCCAGAGCACGCATACGAGATTGTGTTGATCCTCACCACCACAGGTACCTTGTGGCTCCGATAACACTTGTCGCACGAACAGACCTTGCTTGTTACACCAGTCCCATCAGGTTTGGCGTTTCATCCTCCTATAGAGATCGACCTCGAACCGGCTCATCAGCCCTCATCACCCTGGTACAGACCTTTGGCAACGGGTCTCTGAAGACTTGCGTGGTCCGGCCGGGTCAATCATCCGCAACTTAGATGATGAGTTCATCAATTCTAATAACAATCACGATAGATTGTCAAGGGGCAAGGTAGAATGTGGATGCCGAAGCCCAATTTAGGCTTACGACAGCTCCCAAATGATCGACAATCAATAGTGCTTCGCCCTGCCGCGACGATCTGACACACTGACATAGTCCACTTGGTCAATTAGACTCTGGAATCTCTTGGCAAGTCTCGGAAACCCGCACGCACTGGGCCGATTCCATGCCAAGCAATCTCAACACGTTCGTGGATATCGTCACCTTAGAGGCTTGGCCCTAGGGTTTCGCTAAAACCAAGGCTGCCGACCTTTTTTGCAACTCGCATCACTCAACAGGAAGTCTCGTGGAAGGTGTCACCGAGCGCCTGCATCTGCAACTGAATCCTTCACGCACCTCACCATCACAATCTTATCATGATGGCATACCTATATGCACCGTCCTTGTTGGCCGTATGCCGTCAGCAGCGCGGCGTTCCTCGTGGCGGCCAATCGATACGGCGTGTCAAAGTGCATGCCTGTCCACGTAGCATCGAGACCCTGATTTAAGCCTCGGCGTATCTCTTTAGATTGATCCCACCACTCGGGCAAAGTATCGGTCACCAACCGTGAATCGGCTTCGGATATATCTTGGGGTACAGAGGTACCCACGCCAGGGCCGGTCTGTCCGTGCCAAGACGGGTAGCCGAGAAGGTCCTCGTCTCGAACTTGCTTACGAGAGGAAATACACTCCGAGCATCACGCCCAGACCAGACTCTTGCTGCCTGACTTCATCACAACAACCAGGATGGTGTGGGGCGAGACAAGTCTTGCAGAAGGACCACATGTTAGATTGAACAAAAAAGAAGATACAGTGGCAAGGATCAGGGCGAGATTGATGGAAAGGGGATTTTCTCCCAATAGCTTCTGCACCGAACATCACATTCATAGCGAATATCCCGAACACCTTCGGAAGGCCGATCTTGTGCAATGGGACAGTGGAGTCCGTTGACACCCTCCAGTTGAAATTGAAAGATTCCCTTAAGACTATGCAGTCTGCATATCCTGAAGGGTCCTCTCCACAATGTAACCTCATTTTCAAGGAACGCCCGGGTTATAAAAAAGACAGAGTATGAATACATTTTTTTTCGCGCGGAGCCTTTCGCGGTCGCAGAACAGCTCACGTTCAAGTATCGGATCCGCAGATCAACAGATACGCTGAACATTTGGCAAAGGGCTATGATGGTGAGGTCGGGTTGACATTAGTGAGCAAGTATGAGGTGCAATCATTGACGACATAAGTACATACGACCATAGGGTGTGGAGAACAGGGCTTCCCGTCCGCTCAGCCGTACTTAAGCCACACGCCGGCCAGTTAGTAGTATGGTGGGTGACCACATGCGAATCCTGGCTGTTGTATGTATTTCCTTTTTTGTCAAAGGAAATCTGGTTTTGCTCAAAAGTTGACATACCTACTACCTAGTACCTACTTGCCTTCTGGAACATTCGTTCTGCAAGTATCCTCTCCGAACACGACTCTGTGGCTCAGTCGTCTGATTCTCAGGAGCTTTCAAATAATCTTTCTCAGTCACTATCTATCGTAGGGTACTGAATCCGCACGTGGGGGTGATGTAGTAATTCAAAATATTTATGACATGCACCCTGTTGTGCGCAGTCGCGAAGTTGGCAATCGACCTTGCGCCCTCGACATGCTTTAAATTGGTACTGTCATGAACAAAAGCCAAACTGTCGTATCGAATCATCAGCCGGGCCACATGTAGATCAGTATCATGATATCGTAACGTGATGAATCTACAGGTCTATATTCAAAGGAGATACGGTAAGATCAAACAATCTGAATCAGATTGAACCGGGTGCTGGAGTTGGATAATCCGTTCTCGTCGTCAGCTCGAGAACCTTGAGTCTTCCGTTAAAGATGACCAGAAACACCTAAAGATAGTAGAGACTCAGAGAGCCTCTTAGATATCTGCTAAGCACGTGTTTGACCGTTTGTGAGCGGACTCAAACTCTGAATGGTAGCCTTGACGGGGTCCTATCAGAACACACGCATACAATATGTTTTGGTTTCTTTCCTTGTTCTCAGAGAACATGACAGGAAGATCGATTCCGTGTGTAGATCGTATTCCATGGCAAAAGCTTTGATCATCTGACGGTCAGGTCGAAATAGTTGTGAAGAACCACCATTTGCCCGAAGACAAGCAAGATACTATGCAAGAAGAAATGCAATACCGATTGCAACTCACAGTACTTTGCCGGGAATTTGAGTCTGGTATAACTAGGAAGATTCCGGTGCCTAGACAGGGCTTTTTCCAAATGTACAAAGCCACGATACTAGTCTTGAGGTCGTCCAAGACTCTCTGCCCGGTGTGGTCAGTATCGTCCAATGTAGGCAGGGCAGGGCTCAGTCCCGCTTCAGTAGTTTCCACATCGACGCTCCATTCCCACAGGCAATTTATATCATTACCCATCCATGCCACGGCCTCCATCAAGTATGAGCATCAACTTTTGGCAAACAGGTTCCAGGCGTGTCTCTCTATCAGCTGTGTGCAATTTGCGCATGTCTGTCATAGGGGGTTTCTAGATGCCGCCTCAACTCTGGGTGAGGGCTGTGCTGCGGCAAGGACCACTCGTCTTCGTGTGAAGTTACCCGATTCAGAATGTTGTGGGAAGATGACGGACTGGATGGACATACACTTGCCAAAATCGCAGGCCTTTCGTCATTCGAAGAAGCAGGCAGCAACCAAGTGTACTCAAACACAGAGAAATAATGCCACAATGCGTATTTGTATATTTGCCCGAAGCCCAAGGCCATCCAATGGCGGACGTCTACAAAAGTTGGCTCCAGTCCAACGTCGCATTGCTCAACGACACTACTGATGTTCATCAATATTGAATATGTATGGTTTTCTCTCGAATCTGGCTCTAGCTGCCCTAACACCCTCTTCTGGTCCCTCCACGGCATGCAAAGCCTCGCCTTTGGATGCTTCTTGGCCTTCCGTCAATGAATGGACTGCCCTGAACAGTTCCATTGGGGGAACCCTCGTTCAAGCTGCACCTGTTGCATCTTCTTGCCTCAGGGGAAACCCGTTCAGCTCGTCTCTCAACTGCACCGAGGTCCAGAATCACTGGTCCTATGCCGCCAACCACTCCGGATGGCCGGAAAGTAATGACTACTCTATCTGGAACAACAATTCATGTGTGCCCCCCGGGGTAGACGGTTACACTGAGGATAGAGGGTGCAGCATTGGAGGAATGCCTCAGTACATCGTGGACGCTCGCTCTGAGGTACAAGTTGCAAAAGCAATGGCATAGGCGTCGGACAGGAACATTCGTATTGTCATCAAGTCTACTGGACATGATCTCAGCGGCCGGTAGGTTTTTATTCCCTCGATGAATCGGGCCATTATTCTAACGCCCCGATGATATGTATGCAGATCAACGGGAGCATATTCGCTCTCTATATGGACGCACAATTTCAATCGCATCCAGTATCAGCAAGGATGGCGGATCCCTGAAAGCAATGATACAGCAGATGTTCTGATCTGTGGTGGTGGAAACAACTGGGGCAACGTTTACAACGCGGCTCACAAAGTCGGCAAGACGGTTGTGGGAGGAGAGGATGCAACTGTGGGCCTCGGAGGCTTGATCCAGAACGGGGGTCACGGAATTTTGTCGAGTTCATATGGCTTGGCATCTGACAAGGTCTATCAAGTTAGGGTGGTGACTCCTACCGGAAGAATCTTGGGTTGCGAACGATGCACAGAATCAAGATCTTTTCTGGGCCATTCGAGGTACTGGTGGAGGACAATCTGGTGTCGTCACCGAATTCGTGCTTCAGACTCACCATATTCCGAAAAATGTGGTCACGGGGGGTCTGACCTTCTATCCACAAAGCAAAGACAATGCTAGCGCAAACGCGTCTTGGTCTGCATTTGCCGAGGTAGCGTCTTCACTTCCGGATCTGATGGATCAAGGCATCACTGGCTCCGTCATGGTAGCCACGAGAGAAGGAGCTATGAGCTATACTGACCAAAGTGAAGCACTTGCGGGGCCCTCGGTGGTGCTTGGTTTCCTCATGTACAACTCCACGGAAGAAAATATGAATGCGACCTTGCAGGACCTGGCGGCAAACCTCACTCGTGTCAGTCTCAATCAGGTCAACTTGACCTTGACATCATCCGAAACTCAGGGCTACTGGTCATACGCAAAGCCCGATTTTCTCGCTAGTCGTTCTGCAGGTGCGACCAGCTTAACTTCGAGTCGACTCCTCGGAAGAAAAGAGCTATCTGACCTTCCCAGGTCTGATCTGATCCACTACCTTCAACAACTCTCCGCTGCTCAAGTCATCAAGTCGGGCACTCTGCTTGTGTGGGGTCTACAAGGTGGAAAAGGGCCGGCCGGCACCGCCGAGATTAGGCGTGGTAGTGTGCTTCCTGCCTGGCGGACAGCCTACGCCCATGTCATGTCCTACGGCGTCTCAGTCAACGCTACTGCCGACCCAAGCAAGGCTCTGGCTGCGGGAGCAGAATGGCTCGAGACTGTCCTGGAGCCCGTTTGGCGGAAGTGGGCGCCCGATACCGGATCTTACATGAATGAGGGCAATCCGTTCTCCAGAACTTGGAAGCATGACTTCTATGGCGAGAATTATCCGCGACTCCTTCGACTGAAGCAGAAGTATGACCCAAGTGGAAGCATCTTTGTATGGAGTGGTCTTGGTAGCGATCACTGGCGCTACGATCTGCAAAGTGGCTTGTTGTGTCGAGTCCACCCGCAATAGAGAGACATGTTCAGGAAATGACTGGGAGCGGGCAGTGGCCAACTGGACACGCTACTGAGCTTAGCAACCATTGTGATCTGGGCATTCAATTACAGCCACAGGATAGAATGGTAATGAATATAAGCGGTGAATGGCCAGCATTCAGAGGAAGAAAATGAGCTTGTTTGCAGGTGTAGGTCACGCGACACAACGATCTTTCGCTTCGTCGGCAGCATTGACAAGGATGTTAATTCGTGATATTCCTGTTCGCATAAAGTGTTAAATGGCCGGAAATTTTGCTCGGATGAGATACTATTAGCTAGTAGCTACTATTTTGTGGCTTGGAGCGTAAAACAATTGTTCTATGGCAAGGAGCCGTGCTCGATACTACTAAAGCAGTGAAGTAACCAGCAAAGCTGATCTGGAATAACCTGAGAACGGAAACCTTTCCTCGCACTGATCCTGCGCCCAAGGGTCCAGCAATCAAAGTTGAATACCGACTGTTGGCAGATTGGATCTGTAAGATCTCGGCAACGGATCACTAAAACAAAGTCGGCAAACAGGGCTATGGTATCATAGCAAGAGTCTCATGCGATTATGAGGCGTTTTTGATAAGACAGCGACATACATAGTCAATGCCATTGTAAGCTTTCTTACTTTCTTGCTTTATTCAGCCCGCCACACCTGGATTTGAGACCCAAATTGCTGGAACATGATTTGGAATATGAGTACGAGACGATTGTCGTGGTTGGAGGCAGCTCTAATACTAGGAAGTTTGCTCTTCATGCGCGCCCGCCTTGCTGGCTCTGGAAGACTCATCACGAATGCTATGATCCGCAGTGGCGGGAGTCACGCGCTTCGTGACTTGAGGACCACTCGCGTTTTCGATCGGGACGCAGCTGATGTGGAAGGTCAAATCCGTGCACTTGTTGGCGACGACCTGTTGTCCGCCATCGGCACGGTCAATGCAGCTTATGGAGGTGCCATCAGTCATCTACTGGCACTCTCACTTCGGTTCTGTACTAAGGAATGATTGCTGGCAATCTTGCTTGCCGGAGAAGCCGATCCTGTAATTGCAGCTACGAAGACCGCGGGCTTCAAGAAAAACCAAGTGCTCGCAGCCGGGGACCTGCACCGTGATTTATTAATCCGTCTCTAGCAAGGACTACCCGGCAAATCGAAAACGACTACTTAAGGCTCTTGAACTTCCAGGTTGCAGATGACCTGGACGTTCTCAAATGTCAACAAGCTGCTGGACAACTATCGGGACGGAAAGCGCCATTCAAGACTCACGTTCATCCTCATCATGAAAACTAATTGTACGTGAGGTTGATCAGTGAGTGTGGTGCGCATGAACGTCGTGCCATGCCTCCTAAGTAGGAATTCTGTCAGTCCTTCGGAACATGGTAGTTCTATGGAGAAGTCTATGGAGAAGTCTATGGAGAAGTCTATGGAGAAGTCTATGGAGAAGTCTATGGAGAAGTCTATAGAGTAGGAGTGTTGTGGTGAGCTCCGACGTTGAATCCGTGGACACACTCCTGGCTCCTGACTGTGCCCATATTGGTCTGTCGCACGCCTGACCCTCATCAACAGCTGTTCCGCATCGGCATCAGAGTTGAGCTGGCTCCCTCTCAGATTCTGTACATTGATAAGAAAACGTAGAGCATGGAGCGGCTGGAACTTGAACCCACATTAAGTCACAGTCATAGGCCCGTTGCGAACTTGCGAACATCCCCCCGGATGGGGCTCCGAACCCACCGTCCCCACTTGGTTAAAATGCGAATACGCTGGAAATTACCTAAAGCGGTAATGCATGCAAATACTGTAGTATCTTATCCTCTATCTACTCTTCGTGGATCTCGGATCAAGTTCTAAAAATACTTTATCAAGTCAAGTTCAGACTGATTCACGGTCACTGAAAACTTTCGCGTGTAGCGGGCCTAATCCAGATTATGGTATATGATTCTTAAAGGGAAGAATTTAAGTCTGGCAATGGGAAGCAACCCTCTTCAGACAATTATTCATTTTCTCCCTTTCTTTCTCCAAATCTCCTACCACCACTATGACGCGCAAGCTTCAGAGCGTTGGTCTTTGTGACCTCTACTGGAACAATGTCGGAAAACGAGGTCGAACCCTCCGTGTCCTCCGCCCTGCGCAGCTTCTCTTCGCCATCATCGTTGCCATCCTGTACGGCATTGATCTCGTCCATGTGACGAACATGAACACCAGCGCCTCTCCAGAATGGGTGTACGCTGAAGTTGCAGTTGCTTTGTCTGGCGTGACGTCACTCGTGTTTTTCCTTGTACCTGTCGTTCACTGTGCATGGTCAATCTGGGATGGCGTACTAGCGATCATCTGGCTCGCCCAGGCCGGTGTTTTTGGAAATATCTTCATTACGCAAGGCACGCTGGACGAGCCTCACGCAAGCGCGACGTTGTCTCTGGCTTGTATGCGCGCTGCTGTCTGGGTGGATCTGATCAATCTATTGTTGTGGCTTCTCACATGCATCCTAGGCATGACGCGTTGCTGTTATACTAGAAAATCCCGACGTCAACAAAACAACACACCTGAGAATGCTGTTCGATCAATAGAAAAAGATGCGGAGAAAGGTGTTGACTATTCACCGAGCCTTGTGGTCGACAAAGAACGGGAAGAGTGTGCTCCACCGCCATACAGAGAGAACCAGAACCCTGGTGAGGTTCTGACTGCCTGTCTCAGATAGGGTAATGAAGAACCCTCGGTTCTTGGGGCGGTTCTCTCAAGGGGCAAGATTTGTCCCCAAATTGCGCTGGACCGAGTGTTGACACCTGCACCGAAGATGGGTACGTCGGTCCGACTTTGTGTATCGCTGACAAACTCGCTGACAAACTCGCTTAGTGTTATATTTGCCCCAATTCGGTTGAGGTTCGTTATCTCTTTTATTGTTTCCATTCATCTGGTTCACGAATTTAAGAACGGTGTCCTTCGGCCATTTGAAAAGAGGCGCTGGGTTTTGAGAGTATGAATGTATGAATGTCTGGTCATTCTGCCAACAAATGATACTGAATCACATGCGCCGTGGAGGCTGCAGATATCATTACAACCTGTCTATAGATATACCGTGAGCTTCAAAATATCAAGTCATCTGTGACAAGTCCGACCTACCAATGAGTGTCAGGAACGCTGAGATATAGATCATTTTGAATATATTATGCTACAGGGGACCCATGCCATTCTGGAATAAAAGTGGAACAAAACATCAGCGATCAGAATTGTCCGAAAATGGCCAACGCGCACTTCTTCTTGTTTGTATGACATGTGATTCTGCCACTCACCACAGTCCATAGCTTAGGTAGAATCTCTCCCCCATAGCAATCTCTCTCCCCATCTCTCTCACACATCGATACTGCTGCCCCTACAGTAGCCGTATCCCATCAATATCCTATAATAGTATTTAAGGCTTTACTTCGCCTTCCTTATTTCTTCCTTTTGTGATCTCAGAGGTATACCAAAAGGCGGGTGCGGGATCAACTGACTATATATACCGTTGAATGCAGACTATTCGTATCGAATAGTCTAGCTTAGACCTTTTGGCTTAATGATAATACCAGTGAGCAACCGCACCGGGATTCGAGTTTCTGTTTTCCTCTTCGTCTTGGTTTCTTTAGTATATAGGACATAGTTACTTCACCTTCTTCCCTCTATACGTAGGTTCTTATAGCTGTATTACCTAGGAGTTATAGTATATTCATCGGAGTTTGATACGGCGACCCCTGCTCTCCCTAATAGGCACCCCCTCTACCTGAAAGAGGCTGAAATTTAAGGAGTCTACAGCAAATCTGGTGATTATTAGGTATAAACCCATGACTACTTCTGAGTATATTTACCGCCTATTCCCATCCTCAGGCTCCCGCCTTCTATGTAGTATATCCATCCACCTGGCTATCCGCTACTTACGGAAGATCCGAATTCCCATAGATGCTGGCTTGTAGAACCAGAAACCGGTTGTTTCGAGGTTCTTCTCTGGGCTGATCAGCTCAAGACGGTATGAGCGAAGTAGCTCAGGAATGACCTTATACAGCTCGCACAAGGATATCTGTTCAATGGTCAATCGTGGTACTAGGTCTCCCCAAACAAGTCTGCACCCACATTCTTTCCCATACATCCTCTGGAACCAGCTCCGAACTATAACCAAGACAATCAATACAGTTTCTGAATCTCGTTGGGATTAACTCACCTGGAGGATGTATCTCTTCATCTTATCGGCATCTGGCTTCAGCCAACGATCTGGATTATATTCACCTGCATCATCTCCAAAAGCCGCTTCATCGAGTTGCATGACCGCCGGGTTAATTCCCACACGAACTCCGCCAGGAATCCACTTCCCTGAAATCTGGCAGCCATTCGATGGCACCTGTCGGGGCATTGTGAGTGCCACGCTGGGATGGAAGCGGGCGCCTTCCTTGATGCACGCGCTCAAATAAGGCAGCTTGCTCGCTTCATGGTAGGATACATGCGGAAAGCTCAAGTTGCCCCGCTGCGTGGCTTGTGTGATCTCGTTGTTGAGGGCTGCGTGAACTCCGGGATTTTTCAGGATATAATATAATGTGGTGGATAGGTGAATCGCTGTTGTATCACTTCCAGCAAAGCTAACAACCTTTCAGTCTGCGGATCGCGTGGGCTGAGAAAGTATTGAACTTACTATCCTCCAAAGGCCTCCAGCTTCACATCATCGATCTGGAAATCAAGCTTTTCGCCTTGATCTTGGTGGATCTTAAATACCTTGGATATAATATCAACACGTCGGATAATGCCCTCGTCTGAACTGGAGTTCTGAACATGACCCTGAACAGCAGAGTGCGCTGCAGTGGCCAGGTCATTCAATGCCGAAAGCGCATTTCGTGTCTCGGAAAATAACACGCCAACAAGCATGAAGAACGATCGGAGATATGATGGCATGACAGCCGAAATCGCCATGGCAGGGATCAAGGTGTCGGTAGATTTCATTATGCCAAGATGGTCGCCCTTTGCTTTCATCAAACCAAACATTTTGCTGAAGTAAAGCTCGCCAATGACGTCGTAAGCGTACCTATTCTTGTTTTAGATATGCCCAACAACAAAATCTGAAGTTGCCTCACATTCGCGCCCACTCAAGCAGGTCAATCGATGTTTCGTCGTCTGCATACTCCCCAAGTCGCTGCAAGAGAACATCTGTGCATTGATCAATGTACGGCTCTGACTGGAGAATGCTTTGCATAGTATATACGCCGTTGACAATTCGACGCCTTTGAGCATGGACTTTCTCATCAGTGGATGTGAAATGGTCGGGGTATCGGGCTATTGAGCAAGATGTCCTTAGTGCTGATCGAATCCCCCCGAAGCGATGAACTTCTTACTATAGGGTGCGCGGAAAGCCAGATAGAAATCAGTCTAACGAAAGGTTATTCTTTGTTCTTTCCATGTGATTGCGTTCACTCCTTTTTTCCAGAACTGACTTTGATAAATCCAGTATTGACGCCGTAGATAGTCTTGACAGCCTCGGGGTCGCTTATGGAGAGCTCGTTTGGCGCAACGCGAACAATGTGACCTATTCAAATCCATTGATAGTGCGCAGGGTAGAAGTTTTTCAGAGATATCTTACCATAACGTGCATGGAGTCGTTTCTGGACCTCGTGGGGATTCCCGTTGATCACAGAGCGCACAATCCAGGCTCGCGACACTGAAGCACAGAATGGACCTGGAAAAGCTGCTAGCGGGTGGAAGACCCGTGTGTAGACAATCCATCCAGTCCAATAAGCACCAATCAAAAGGCCAAGGCCTTGGAGCAGGCTCTGGACTGTGAGTTCCAAACCGGTCGGCTTGAAGGTGTCCATTGTGGATGAGAGTAGTTGAAAGACAACGTAGTGATGTGGGATAGGGATTTCCAATAACTTGCAGTTTTGAACCAGGGCCCTGGTATATATGCCACTGAACTTGCTAAGTGGGGCTATCACTGGACCAAATTATCTGTACTGTATAGCCTTTTCTTAGTTTCTAGTCACTTCGACGATTCTCTATCTTGCCAGCTATCAATCCCGGGTTCGGATATAATGGCCGATTATCTAGCACAAAAAGACAGCCTTGTCGCCAATGATCAACTTACAGAAAGAGAACGACCTCGTGGAATGGGACCGCAAGAATATGTACTGAATTTGGGAAAATATAGCTCCGATTGTTCAAAGGCGTACATTCATCAAGTCTGATAAAGGCAGTGGTAGCCGGCCAATGGGGTGTACGTCAAATTTACCCCTGAAACAACCATCTTTACTGACGTTACATACAAATTTTTGGTGTACTTATTGGACGTTTCGCTACCTTTGAGGGGCGAATGAAGCTCGGCTAAGAATTAGCCGGGAACGGTCTGGCACAACAGACATGTTGCTAGTCTACCTAAGATAGGGATCGTGCGGGTTATCCTGGGCGCCTCGACGATGAACCACAAAGGCTCCAGTCGTTCCATCATCATAGTTGAAACCAGAAGAAGGGACAACATTTTCGAACTTCGCATTGTCCTGATGTCCCCTAAACCGAAGGATAAAGGGGGGGGGGGGGGGGGGGGAACAAACAAAACGAATGGGAACGAAAACTCGGAAAAGTCAGCCTTACCCCGGTCAGGCTAAAATGGGGCCAATTGATAAAAGACCCACTTGGACCACTCACTACTAATGCAGTATTTCTATATGAGAGGCTGGTGTCACACTATAGTACACTATGTTATACTCTTATGTCTAGTTGCCTATAACCCCCTTGTTGAATACAATCATTTCTTTGTTCACCGAGTGATGAGCCTGTAAGACCCTGATCCGATTCACTAGCATACCACATCGAATATAAAGCGTTACCCTGGCTAATCTTACTTTGGAATCTCACCTGATTTCTCCCACCGCAAAGCCCATCAGCATATGATACTCGAGATGCGATGCGTATCAAAGGCCATGTTAATATTCGTCATGCTGGGTTTGGCAGCGATGTCTTCCGCATTAGACATGCCGCTTTGCGCAGTGAGCTTCTCCTATTCCCTGGCTACGGACTCTACTGATACTCCCAAAGATAGATTGCATGTCGGCTAGTATCAAAAGCTCGCCCTGCATTATGCACGATACTTCTTGTATCTGTGCAAATGCCCCGTTACAGTCAAATTTGACAGCGTGTATCCAAGCTAGCTGCACCGTCAGGGACGGTCTAAGTAAGCCTGGGATGGGTGCCGCTTCAAGTGTGAGTATGCTTATCAATGAATTCAGCTGCAACGAATACAACACGCACCATGTGTCATAGCCCAATTCGCGATAATTCTCGGATCATCAAAATCACTAATTCGGTGTTCGGGGCCCTGGCGATCATTGCAACCCTGATTCGAAGCATGGAGTTTTGCAAGCACTTCGGCTTTGAAGATGGGTTTGTGATCTTGAGTCTTGTGAGATGCCATCTATAAACTATCCGCTACATTCTTATTAACCATCGCAGCTTTTGAGTGTGAGTATGGGTATGTTAGAGTTTTTGAGTGAGTGCTTTGCAATTAGCAATGAGCTAGTCTGTTCTTGTTTTACTGAACCATCGATTCAAGTGGTCGACGCAGGCTACGGACGTGATATCTGGACGATATCTTTTTCAAATGTCACCCTTATTCTCAAGGTACGCGTTGCAGAAGCAGGTCCCTCTTTCCACTTACTGACGGGCCTACTTAGTATAATTGGGTTGTTGAGATGCTCTATGTCGGCGCTGTTTCCTCAATCAAATTGGCTTTCCTCAGCCTTTACCTCCACATTTTCCCAAATCACGGACTCCGAAGTGGAATCTACATTACTATGGGAATAGTGGTCGCTTACTTCATCGCCTTTTTCTTCGGAACTTGCCTCAACTGTTTACCTGTCTCATATATCTGGACTTCATGGACAAATGAGACCAGGGGTAATTGTCTAAATTTCAATGCCTTTGGAATTGCGTGCGCAGTTCTCAACATAGTCCTCGACGTGGTTGTGATGGCCCTGCCACTTCGCGAACTTGCGAGACTGAAGCTTCGGCCAGTGAAGAAGAACCTGGTGATGCTGATGTTTTGTACAGGATTTTTGTGAGTGAAGGGACTACGCGTGGACATTCAAAGAGAAAGAGAAAGAGAGAAATTACTATGTGGTACTGACAAAAGGGGATTTTGTCATAATAGCATCACGATCGTGAGCATCATTCGCCTTAAGTCGGTCGTGACATTTGCCCATACAAGCAACGCAACATGTACGGAAAGCTCTACGGTTCTTGTTGACTAGTTGGACCACCAATGAAAGATTGAATTCACTGACAAATGTCCACAGACGATTTTGTGCCCGTTGCATACTGGTCGCTCATCGAAAGTTACACAGCAGTGATCTGTGTCAGCATGCCAGCAATGCGCCGCCTGTCAAAACGTCTTCTTGACCCCTGCATTGGCATTCCCCACTCATCTGGGATAGATCCAAAGACAACTGAGAGAGAAAAGAGTTTCCATCTTCAGCGAGTGGCCGGGCGGCACTCCCGAGGTGTCTCTCTCGGAAAAAACATCAAGGCCTCTGTGAGCCAGGAGCCCCTGACTCGCCAATATTCGGATGGGATAGAGCTGGCCGATGTTGTCGAAAGATCGTGAAAAGAAATCTCATATCATGCCATATTTTGGTCATACTTGACCCATTAGGGAGAAATATGGACGGAAATCATGACGAGACTGATGATATTCTCATTCTCAGCAGGGTTTAAATCATGACGTGTGAAACGCTTCGGAATGTCCAGCAGAAGATCGAAACCCGGATCCGTGGGTCAGAATGTCAGATCAACTAAAATCGCTACGGACTTGAATCTAGAAGGAATATACAGGTCTGATGACGCGTGCGTAGGTAACGAGCTCGGAGTATAAACGGAAACCTGCCTGGTCAATGGAAGGAACCTTTCCGCTCTCTAAGCCTAAGTTGGTTCTGTACCACAACAAGAAAAGAAAATGTGGAAACCGATTGATCTTGAACTCAGAGTTCCCTAAGACGTCAACTCCATAGATGGAACTTGAGACTTCGACCAAATAAAAGGTTTTTACCTTCCGCGAAGCCATGTACGCACAAGTAAATTCCCCACGACACCGTGTATCTATCGTTGAGAGACAGTCTCTCTTATTCCAGAACGAGGAAAACACTCTCTGCTCTCGGTGCCAGTCAAGAGAATCTCAGTAGTTCTTCATAGGCACCGGAGCAGCGTTTGCCTTGGCTAAAGTAGAACCTTCCAATCCATCCATGACTTCGAGCGTGATATAATTGTCTCCTCCAGAGAGATGATTCAAAGCTATGTTATCCTGCGGGACCAGAAGCGCCGCACCGAGTGAGTAAAATATACCAGCAGTCAAGGCTGTCCACTCTACCAGATCTTTGCTAAAGCCTCCACAATTTTGTGTGCTCACCTTGAGTTTGACTTATATAAATGGTGTCGCCGAAGATGTATACTTCCTAGACTTTTTTGCGAACGTTGGAAGGGATAGGTAGATTGCGCTTGGAAAGCTTGACGAGACGACCCACCTTAGCTATCTAGGATCATGTCGTCACTTTTCGAATGCTGGAGAGTGAGGTCGATCTGAACCCAAGCGTACCTAGTAGGTGCCCAGAAGGTAACTCGAAGGAGGCGGATATGTCCTCCAGCTGAAATCCTCAGTTTCAATACCAGACTGGTGTAGCCCGGGCATCTAGGTAAGCCGGTATTCCCCCGACATCAATTTGGTATGGATATCCACGAAGATTACCACGTACTACGTCTCTGTGGACTTCCAACTTAACTACGAGCACCAAACTGCACGGAATAAGGCTACAGGTGCTGATTCCCTCACAATGTTCTGTTCCGTGACGAGAATTGTATGTCGAATAGGGCGGGAATACTATATATTTACCGCGAAGTGCATTAACATGGAGTGAATTTATAACACAATTGAACTAGCATTTGCCTTTTCAAATACCGACTGTCCTCCAGTCCGGGTCTACCTATGCCAGATCAGTCTTGATCTGCAGTTCAAGTGTCCAGTGCAGTCGGTAAGCATGATCTCGTCTTCAGTTCGCAGTACACAGAAGCTAAAACTAGACAACGGTTATACATAGAGTCTTCGATTGATCCTGATTCCTTTTTGAATCGCAGAGTCATAATGAACTGATCTCCACCCTTGCGAACTCTAAACTATGGAATGTCATGATGGAACGTCGTTCATGACACAGAAACATTGCGTCTACCCATTAACCTCAGAACGCCTGTGGTCGTCCCGCCGTCAATCCTCGATGCCGCTATCGCTTGCTTTCCCATTACTAGGGCGGTATGTCCATTTGACATATCTGATACTGTGAGTAGCTAGCTTCAACATTACCTAGAGACGTGAGTAACATGATACCGATTATTGCTCAGTCACTAATATTCATGGTTGCCGGAGGATGATAGGTAATGTCAGCTTACTTTCCACCCCAAATTTGCTACTCATATTCTGAAAATCAGTTTTGCAAATCACATACGACCATAGGGTGTGGAGAACAGGGCTTCCCGTCCGCTCAGCCGTACTTAAGCCACACGCCGGCCAGTTAGTAGTATGGTGGGTGACCACATGCGAATCCTGGCTGTTGTATGTTTTTCTTCCTGGCAAGGTTATTCATGTTTTTATTGTCTATTCTGATTAGTTGTATTATGTCTCAAGCCTTTTATTCATGCGCTAAGTATTCCTCGTCTAATAATCATCAAATCCTATAGGATATCCCTAGTATTACTCCAATTTATAGAACAACCGCCTAGTAATTGTAGTTTTGGTTTCACAAAATCATTAAGATTGATTATTTGAATTTGAGCTAGATCAACTACATACGACCATAGGGTGTGGAAAATAGGGCTTCCCGTCCGCTCAGCCGTACTCAAGCCACACGCCGGTTAGTTAGTAGTATGGTGGGTGACCACATGCGAATCCTGACTGTTGTATGTTTTTGTTTTTGGCTCAAACTCATTGCCTCTCAACCTCACCCGTCATTAAAGTCGCCGTGTCAGACGTTCGAGCTGTATACAAAGGTCGTTGCCCTTCTCTTCTGGAATACTGACAACCTGGAAATGCTCAAAACCCCTCGGTATGACCTGAGGTCTCGGGGATAAATAGACGTCCGCTCTAGCAGCCTCCATACATGGCTTAAGCATACTTGTCACCCACCAAGCCTGTAAATGGGGGCACCTTGGTACTACGAGTGCCTAGGATTGACACTAATTGCACTGTTTCCCAATTGAGAATGCCTCGTACATACTTTGATTCAGAAGTTTACAAATGCGTGTAGGGATGTTGGAAGGATAGTCTTCAGGCATTGAGAATGAATAAATCAAGTCATCACTCTAGCATGCCGTGAGCGGTTGCAGAGGGCAGTTTAATATGCTGTCGCAGCCGCCATGTCCCATTTGTGAACTTGACAAAGGGGGAACATGAACCATCAGCCGTGAAAGAGATACTTTCTAGACCCCCAGATCGAGCATCGACTGCTACCTTGAGCGACCTCGTCTGGCATGGTAAACGAAGACCATGACATTGTGTCGAACCGAACGAGCCTCACGTTGTCAACCTTCATCATCGTAACTCGTTCCTGACATGAGGGTGATCGCTAAGCCGTACCTGGCAGAGCAAGGCAGAGGAGCAGAGAATCCGGCCAGGGGCAAAGGTGTGACATCGAGCTGCTGGGATTCTGGACCTCCAAAAGGCTAAGAAAATCATGCACGTGAGACACGTAGCCGCACGAAAGCAAATATCCCTCCGCGTTCGGTCATTGTCACTATATCGGTCGCCTAGACTGCTCTGAGTGTCCGTCAAAGGTCCCGACCAGGGTGTCCCGGGCGTTTATGCCGGAGAGAGCCCAGTGCTTGGCCTTCGCTGTTTGTCCCGCCGAGGGAATGAAACATGCTGCACAGCCAGCCTATTTGGCATTGGTGTCGATCTCCGAGGCGAATGCAGGAGAAATCAGCGGTTACGGTGTAGTATCTCAGAAGCGGCCTCTCTTTGCGCCGCCCCGACCACCCCGACCACCTCGACCACCCCGCCCACCACGCCCGCCACGCCCGCCACGACCTCGAGAGCTTTGCATCTTTTCCAAGTCCTGCTTGCTCAGATTCAATGTACCTCCGGAGAACTTGCCGATCGACGAGCCTCCGACACCACGTTCTCTGCGCTTGTTATCCGTTTTGGCGACCTTGCTGGGTTTCTCCAGAATGATGCCGTTCTCTTTAGCCTCTCGTCGTCGCTTCTCATCTTTAGAGACAGCTTTTGCCTTGATACCCTTACGGAAGGCATCAGGCATGTTCTTCTGTTTGTAAAGGGACTCCTTGGCTCCGAGATCTTGCATGCGTAGATCTAGCGCTTTCAAACGGTTCTTGCCAGTCGGGGCAAGGTCAGAAGCTGACTCCAAGAGGTGGGATTCGCGAAGGAGACGCTGGAGATCAAGATCGTTTTTCAGGTTCATCGCTTCGTGGGCGTCGTCCTCTGAGTCATCCTTTTTCGTTACTTGAGCGGTCTTTTTCTTCTCGTCCGCGGAGGTGGGAGGCTTAGCACTCTGTTGATGGGTGATTAGCTGATGTCGAACGACACCCACGACACACTGAGACGTACCATGAAAGCCTTGTACGCTTTCTTATCCATCAGGTCACTTGCTGACAGATTCGCATCCTTATGCTCAACGACCTCCACTTCCGCTTCCTCGTCGCTTTCGTCACCGGAAACACCATCCCAGTCCGAATCCACCTCGGACAAGTCTTCATCCTCTTCATCCTCTTCATCGATGTCCTCATCTCCGGAAGAGAGCGCGTCACTTTTTCGCTTCGAAGAAGCACTGGTCTCAATCGGTTCGAATTGCGCCTCGAAATATTTGCGGAATATGTCCTGAGCGTCATTTACCGGAGGGGGACTTGGCTCTTTCTCATCGCTGAGTCTCGCAACAACGGCGGTATCTTTTCTCCTTTTGACAGCCATGCTTGTAGTTTGCGACGACCAACTTCGCGGGCTAATTCACAAAATGTAATTAACTGGTCAACATCTTATTCTTCCCCGAGACCTTTTTTTTGAAGGGTTTCGGCCGAAGCTCAGTATCACGTGTGATAAGATAAGACCCACTACACGGAGATCGGGGAGACACCGGAGGTGCCCTTTTGCACGCCATCGTGTCAGTCTCATGAAACTATTGTTACATACATCTCAACATTCACAATGACGCAATTTCGGCCTTGTATTGACCTTCACTCAGGTCAAGTGAAACAGATTGTGGGAGGCACACTCAGCCAGGTCGCCGGAGATTTAAAGACCAACTATGTCTCCAAGCTTCCCGCCAGCCATTATGCGGAACTCTACCGAAAACACAACTTGCGCGGCGGACATGTCGTCAAGCTGGGGCCCGGCAATGAAGAGGCTGCGCTAGAAGCATTGAGGGCTTGGCCAAATGGTTTACAGATCGCCGGAGGAATTACGGATCAAAATGCGCAATATTGGATCGAACAAGGCGCGGAGAAAGTAAGCTTTGTGTTCCCTCACCCCGCAATGGAATGTTTAGCCCCGCGACGACGCCGCGAGTCTGTAGTTGAGTTGCGCTTGGTCGCTGTTTTGGTTCATCTGACCTTCGAATCTAAATTTATACTCTGATTGAACGGTGCAATTTTTCGCTCTATTCTCAAGATCTTATACTAATTCGAATCAATTGGCATCTGTAGGTGATCATTACGTCCTTCCTCTTTCCCTCCGGCAAGTTTTCACTCGATCGACTACAGTCTGTCCTAGCAGCCCTGGGTGGTGACAAGTCCAAGCTGGTTTTGGACCTGAGCTGCCGCCGGAAAGACAACACATGGTTTGTAGCCATGGACCGGTGGCAGACCATCACCGAGATGGAGATTTGTCAAGGTACGACACATGCTTTATTACCCGGGTGGAACAGGAAACAAAAGAACGGAATCAAGAAAGCTCTACTCTAGAGATATGGTCGGACGGCTCACTAATCATATGCGAATCTCGCAGAATCCATCGCTTTACTAGAGCCCTACTGCTCCGAATTCCTCATTCACGCTGCAGATGTCGAGGGCCTTCAGCAAGGTGTTGACGAGGAATTAGTGTCCAAACTTGCTGAATGGTGTACCATCCCAATCACATATGCTGGTGGCGCTCGAAGTCTTCACGATCTCGAAAAGATTCACAGCAGCAGTCGAGGCAAGGTCGATTTGACTATCGGCAGTGCGCTGGATATCTTCGGAGGCTCTGGTGTGACGTTTGACGAATGCGTTGAGTGGAACAAAGCTCATCAATGAACCATTACACGTGTATAGAACCCCGTTCGTTGGAAAAAAAATGAATTCAGAACGCATGCCTCATTTTTGAAGCAAGGTGCTGGTCGCCGATATTTCGCTTTCCAGTCTCGAATGCATGCCGGCATTCAATTGCTCCGCGCTTGGTACTCATCATCATATCCAGAGACTTCAGAATCTCCTTGCAATAAGGGGGCTGTCTTATAGTTCGACGGAGCTGCCCTCAATCGAGACAAATCCAGAAGTGACGTAGACAATGGCCATATACTAAATGTTTGTAGGACGTGAAAATCGCCCTTGGTACACGTGAATGCAGAGGTTACGAAGCTTGATTGGAAAGGGGTGGGAAAATTCTTCTGATCGTTGAAAGCGCAGCGTCATTTACAAGGAAACAAAGGGTGATAGAAACACACTGGGGCCAGATCTTAGGGCCAACGGGCATGAAATTTCGTGAAGTGTCTTCATATACCGTGAAGGGAATACTACTAGTAGTGTGTTCGCTTAAATAAGATTATCTCTTACGACATGTCATGGGCCAAACTTTGGTGTGAATTCGCAAGTACCAAACAATGTTCCCGGCTTATCTGCTATCAAAGAGACCTGGGCGAAAAAGACTTCGCATCTACAAGCACTGGGAATACCAGGGGTTGGAGACGGTGCAAGTGAATCCCGCCGCACATTGAGTTGGACCGGTCCAACCGTTACCTCCGCATTGACCCCATCGCGGAACGGTGCCGCCGCCAGATCCGGGCGAGCCTCCGGTGGGTTGGGTGCTCACGCTTGTTGTTGTGTGGCTGCCTCCGTTAGTCGATGTGGTCGTAGAAGGCGAGGAGCCGCTGCCGGGGGAGCCGCCGTCGGAGGAACCGCTACCTGAGAATCCAAACCAATCCATATCGCCCGATCCGTGAATGGGAACCGTGTGGCCGACGCCCGAGGCGAGAATGCCCTGCACATTGGGACCCCATGTGGTAGTAGTGTAACCGGACTGGGGGCTGTTGTTCTTGATCGACTGGGGAGCGTTGTAGTTGTATCCGAAGATATTGGCCCACTGCTTGCAGGTTTCCTGGTAGTTCTCGGGGTAGAGGGTCGTGTCGATGGAGCCGTGGTAGATCTGCATGCGAGGGCGAGAGCCAGTGTAACCGGGGTACATAGCCCTGGCGATATCACCCCAGTGCTGGGGGGTGGTGATGCTCTTACCCTGTGCGCAAGTGCTGTTCCAGGCATCGGCTTGATTGGCGGCCGAGTAGAAACATCCGGCGGGAACACCGTTGTAAAGACTGGCGGCCTTGAACAGCTCCGGGTAGGTAGCAGCCATGACATTCTTCGCATCAATGTTGGTCAGTTAAAAGTTACTCATTCCCTTCATGATGGATACTGCTGAATGTATTTGGAGGGTCCACTCACGGTCATCATCGCACCCGAGCTGGATCCGGTGACGAAGATCTTGCTGGTGTCCACCTTGTATTGTTGGGTAGTCCAGGTAACCATGTTGGCGATGGAGTTGCTGTCACCACCACCGTTGTGGGTCAGGGCAGCCTTGGAGCTGACGTCCCAGCAAGTTCCGCTGTAGGGACTCTCGGGATAGATGACAATGAAGCCATACTGCTCAGCCAGCTGAGCGTAGGGGGAGCCAGTGTAGTAAGCTTGGGCAGTTCCAGTGCCTAGGTCATGGTGGTAAGTCTTTGTACTGTGGAAATCAAGGATATCAAGAAGACTATATCAAGACAACAAATCCCGCTTACAGTAATGAATGGCAACAACGACACCGGGGCTGCTGGCCAACTTCCGGGGAACGTAGATAAACATCTTGGTTCCGGACGGGTTGCTACCATAGTTGGTCACCTGTTGCAGCGACCCAGCGCTGACCCGTTTCGCAAGATTGCCAGCATCTTGGCCGACTGGACTAGCAGTGGACAGGCTCAAAAACAGTAAGAGAGTGGTAAGGAAAGAGAAAATGGAGCCTTTCATCTTGGCGGTGGGCAGCTATGAAGCTGCTCTTGGCAAAAAGGAATGGCAGTTCGAGAAGGAAGACAGTTGGTGAAGACGAAGGGAAAAACAGTGCTTTCAGTTGGGATATTGTCAAGCATTTATGGAGGCTGATCTGCGAGAAGCTCCCTCTCGCTCCTCTGTCGGTCGTCTTCAGCGTGGCCGAAAAGGTAATTGCTCCGGCTGGTTTCATTCTCAGAAGGATTGCGATCCATTTTGGCTGAATGCGAATAATGATATGATTCATAGAAGGCAGGTCTCCGGACCACTGGAAGGCAGGGATCTGCGCTAGCTTCGTCGCCTCCGCTGAATCTGGTTTCCGAACCTGGGCCGACTTTCCTCAGGCTAAGAAAGGGCGTATCAATCCTCCAGGGGTTCCCCGCACTGTGAGCTAAGTGATGGGATTTTTGCAAATTCTGCAGAGTCGATGCTCGTCATGACAGGGATTCTAGACTCACGAGGTCAAGTATCACCGCGATGCGTCCACTCTGAAGAAACTCATTACCCCATATTGCCCGTAGTACGGCACAAGTGCCGGCACACCATGCCCGATTTGGCGCATGCGGACCCTCCCCACTCACGGTCACTCCGTGTCTTGGAATTACATCGACCCTCGTGTGAGATTCGGGAAGATAAAACACCCTGAAACACTTCCAGGCCAGCCACCTTGTTCTTTTCCAGGCTCTAGATTCAGGGTCGAGGTGCGAGGTTGCGGGTTCCACCAACTGGGCTCTACCCAAACCCTTTGAGAGCGGTCCTTGATCCCGGAGCTTGAATCAGACTTGAGTTGGTAAAAAGGCCCTCGGGATGTGCAGAACTTCGTCTGAGTTTTGGTTAAAAGTCAAGCTTGCATCGTGGTGAGTCTGCACACAAAAAAGCTCTTCCCCCAATGAGCTTTAGTTTTTTGTATCACATGACAAGAGCACGAGACTCTGTCGCGGCTAAAGGAAATGCGCAACTGTTGTCCTCGCAACTTCCCCAAAGCCAGACATCGCTCTTGATCCGGTGCCGTCAGTCAGAGAGAGACGTGCGATTCTCTAGCGAGGACGGTGGCGTCACTCATGTTCACCCGGAAAAATGGCGAGATGTGGTAGTTGACCATTCCGGTGCGCCAGCTAATCCTAACTGGGTTTGGTCCAAACAATGCGAGACTGGCTAGCAGGAGTGAGACGTGGTCCTGAGGAAATTTAGCAAAATTTGCTGTGTTCTGAGCGACAAGGGTGAAGGTGCATATTCAATAGTAATACTGATCTTTGAATCTCGTACTGATTGTCTCTTGATTTGCTTCTCGAGGATCTGCGAGTGCGTGTTTCTCATCACAACTTTGCAGTCGACACAGGCATCATGAGACATCGATGATATTCGAGAAAGCCACCCCATAACTTTCCATTTTGGCCTTCTTGGGCGGTTTCAGAGAAGCTTTAAGGGAGAAGCTTGTTGAATTTCCTTGGAAACAGTGAGTGCGTCAGATACGCGTTGAGTTCACGCGCACGCAGACCACTGATATTCGTGCCCTGCTGGATATACTGATCCGCGGGTCGTGAGAGCTCGCTCTTGAGTCGGTAGTAGTGGTGCACTGGTGACTCGGTGGCTCGGTGAGTACGAGTACAGGACGGCCAAGTGGATCGCCATGTGCTCGACTTGTATGCGCCGGTGGGACTGAGTGGAGGAGTGGAGAACCATCTTTCGTATTTCCGGACAATTTTGGTCTGACACACGAATCATACAAAGTCAGGGTCTGGCCTGCCGAAAACACCCCACCCGGCAGGTATGATCAAGTGTGCTGCTCCGGTGGGACAGGCAAGCTGGGATAAAATGCGTCTGTCATTAGGAGGAAGATAGGAGGAAGTGCTGGGTGCAGTGCGGTGGAAAGCCAAACCTCGATACGGAAGGATCAAAAGACCCGTGACAAGGGCTTCTTGGATCTATCACATGAGCAGTGTCACGTTCTCGGACGAGATTGAATTACAACATCTGCTGCAAATTGCACAGCTGGTCATATCCATTTCAACAACTTCTCGTCGTCATCGTCTGGTCAAGCCGTTTCAAGTGACCTGAGCTCATCTGACTTGAATTCATATCATAGAGTCGCCTCAGCGCTTTTTGTCATCTACTGGGAAATCTGCAAGATACGGAAGAGATATGCATTTATCAACTTCAAGCGGAAGATGTGACACACTTAGACAGGCAAACAGAACAACTTAGGACGATTGTCCTGAAGTTTTCTGGCTGAAGATTTGCAACCCCCACCATATGCGTTACCCTGTGATGGACTTTTTACACATTATCACTGACACTCTCCCTAACTCTACCCCTGCCCATGGTTCTTATGCGCAAGTTGATTGAAAATGCCTCTCAATGCTTACATGCTCACTGCTGCCCCAGAATTTCTGGCTCGCTTCATTAGTGATCAAGTGCCAATAAGCAAACTACCACAGCATGACAAGTGCCAGATTGACACTGTTGTAGGAGGACGACCAAGTTAATGCTCTGTGTTATTACTTGCCCGAGCAAATCCCGATCCATGTCAATTCTGTCGCGAATAATATTACTTTTTACATGTGCATTCATTCGCCCCTGAATCTTGGGCCCATGTTCGCCAAAGCAGCTTTGAAGTTTGATTCTGCACCGAGACTGCTGGAAAGAGCTACGACATGTGATGGACCTCCCAACATCCTAGGATATTCGGCGAAATCCGTACACGGTGATCAATAATTCACAACAAGACATGTAGGCCAGATTTTGAGTGTGGTGACATAAATCAATCGTATATTCGCAGAGCACCGCCTTCATGACATGAGAAAATCGGAGAAAATCGGCGGAAAGGAAGGTCAAAAAGGAGATATCAAAAGCGAAAATTGCACTTCGGGAGTTTGCCTTTCCACGTCTAAAAGCTGAATTACTTGAGTGTATGTTTCTTCCCATGTAGGTGGCGCGACTAGTCGCTCCTTCAGGAGCTGGGAAAGTGAACCTGAACCAGAGACGAACGAGAAATAAACCCATTTGACCTCTCGTGCGAAAGACCTCCGGCACCACTCCGGTCAAACAATGTCAACCTGCAGTAATTGCATATTCGATCCACCGACGATCCCCCGCCGAGGCTGAAGAATCCGTAGAAACTCCGGTGGGGTCGGCATTTCTAAGCTTGCTCCTTGTCCCTCGTCCTCGAAATTCCACACACACTAATGCATCGTCCTTGGAGAGACAGACTTTTTTTATCCCACAAATAGTAGCATTTGGCCCAGTTGAAAGGAGATGTTGCATTCAATTGCGGGGTTGACATTTGCGAGGAGGGAGGTTGAAGTGGAGGTTTCGTGGCTTTCGTTGTAAAGGCCGTAAACTCGGACTCGGACTCGGACTCGTGTGTATGCTGTAGAGCTTCTATCTGCGCAGGTTAGAAGAAAGATTTGACGTGGTCAGGCAATATCACTTCCGTCGACACTCCTCGACACGTACGAGATGTATCTGAAAACGGCCTTCCTGGTCGCAGGCCTGGCTTGGGCACAAGGGGCGTTGGCCTCTTTGGAAATCGTCTGTTATTCCACCGTCCCTCAAACTGCCCAAAATATACAGAGAGAGAAAATGGGGCTCACATGAATAGGTGCCTGGTGCTACTTGGACTGCGGGTGGCACGAACCAACATGTGCAAGCTCACGGTGGTGGTACGTAAACAATTGAACGCACATGATGATTCATAGAAAGCTGACTTCAAGTTGCTTCTCAGGTATCATCGAGGAAAATGGTGTCTACTACTGGATCGGCGAGAACAAGCTTGACGGGAGCGCCTTTCAATCCGTGAATTGCTATTCCAGCACCAACCTGGTAGAATGGGACTTTGTCGGAGAGCTTTTGTCCCGTCAGAGTAGCGGAGATTTGGGGCCAAACCGCGTCGTCGAGCGCCCCAAGGTCATCTATAACGAGGCCTCTCGCAAGTATGTCATGTGGATGCATATTGACAGCAGCAGCTATGGCGAGGCAAAGACTGGCGTTGCTACGTCGTCGAGTGTTTGCGGAAAGTACAATTACCTGTAAGGCATATCACTCCATCCTTCCTGAGAAAGAATTCACGCCGGCAGAGTGTTAAGTCTTCGATTCACAGTGGGTCATTCCAGCCTCTGGGCTTTCAGTCACGCGATATGAATCTGTTCAAAGACGATGATGGATCAGCTTACCTCCTGACGGAAGATGTAAGTTTGTCAATGATGCGATTTCAATCCCCCGCGTGCAGATGCTGATCTCTCCCTCGTCACTGCGCAGCGTCCGAACGGTCTCCGAATTAACAGACTGACCGATGACTATACGGGTGTCGCCTCGAATGTGTACCTGTGGCCAGACCATATTGAGGCACCAGCGATGTTCAAGAAAGACGGCGTATATTTCATGTTTGGATCGCAGTTGACAGGTGAGAACTGAGCAGCCGCCTTGTAATGACCATTCATCACTTCTACTAACAATCCAAATGACAGGATGGTGTAAGGTCTCGCATGGTCTGACGACAGATGCTCTGGCACTGACACCAAAATTCTGCAGCAACAAACGATAACAAATACAGTACGGCCACAAAACTCAGTGGTCCATGGAGTTCCTGGAGCGATTTTGCCCCCAGCGGGACGAACACGTACAACTCTCAGACCTCGTTCATCCTAAGAGTTGGTCCGAACGTCATGTGAGTGTGAAGCCTGAAAACCTATGCTCCGTGAGAAACGACACAGCAGAAACGCTAAATGCAATAGGTACATGGGTGATCGGTGGCTGTCCACGAATCTGATGGCGTCAACCTACATCTGGCTACCTCTGACACTGTCGGGAAGGATTGCGAAGCTCGTGAGTAGAATTCTTCATTTGCTCAACCTTGCCTGAGCGCAAAGAAGCCGTGGCCAAAGTGAAACTGACCCGTCTGCCGGCAGACTAATGAAGCCAGCTGGACCATCTCTCGCCAGAGTGCTTGGGCACCAGGCTCGACAACAACATCTTCAGAAGCCGAGTCATCCTCGAACTCTCTTGCCAATGGTGCCAGAATACTCTCTTGCAGTAATTGCTCGGGTGGCAAGTCAGTCGGTTACCTTGGCGGGAGCAGCAACGGCGGCATCAAATTCAGCAGCATCTCCACCAGCTCAAGCGGCATGACCACGGTTCAAATTCGCTATGAGAATGGTGATAGCACACAGCGATACGCCACGGTCACGGTAAATGGTCAATCACACATTCTGGCATTCATTCCATCGCGAAATGGAAACACGCCATCCTCGTCAAGCTTGAATGTGAACTTGAACTCGGGGAATTCGAACGTGATCAGTATTAGCGGATACCAGGGCGGATGGGGTAAGTAATGCTGAACCCGATACAATGCATTATCGGGGCTGCTCGACCTCGAGTATTTGAAGACTGACTTGAATCCTAATTCTAAGCACCGGATATTGATCGTCTGTTAGTGCCACAGCACTAGAAGGGGAACCGAACCACACAGGAATGCGTCTTCACGGACATTTGACTGGTAGTTAGTGAGTGGTTTCATGTCAGCGCGCAAGGACTCAACTATGTCTTTACTCGGATTCAAGAATTAGCCTAGAGATACTTCAATAGGTTTCAGTTCTGTACTTAGATGCGCTCAGCAGTAGATTGAAGGATAAGATAGAGCTGATTGTGTAGAACTAGACAGGATCCGCATTCATCTGACTGGTGATCATCGGATTCGAATGGATGCCTTGCACCATGCCAAAAGCGGTTTAGGCTGTTGAATCAGCTCCGCCCGCCAACCTCCGTAACCTTCAATCGCTTGCTCCTCTATTGGCGTCACAGCTATCTCACAGTCTCACCTCCACGACGCCATCTTATTCAGTGCGCATATAGCAAGCTGCTGCTTCTCCAACCTCTCTTCAAGCTCTGAATTTGCGGGGTCGTTCTGCCTACTACCGCCAAGATGAAGCCAATCGTGTCGGCGATGAACGCCTGGTCCTGGTAGGCTCTCTCTCGACTTGCTACATGCATGTCCACTCCGTTGAAGAAGACAATATCTAACCAAGTTGTCGCCCTACAGTGTCGTTATTTCTGTGTTTGCCATTGTCATTCTTTCAGTTCTCGGCTCTCTCTACGGCGTATGTGAATCGTCTCACCTCACGATTTGAAACCGCTTGCGCTTGTCGCCCGATACTCGCAAAGCAATAACCGTCAAGTACTGACAATATACGATCTTTTACAGAGCAATAACCACACGGTGATGGGATCTGAAGAGGACCCTGAGGATGGTCCTGCCGTCGCCGCTTCTCTGTACACTGCTGTTGTCGTCTACGCTGTACGTCATCTCACATTCCAGCCCCTCCGTCGAAGCTCGCCGTCGCTCGTCTACAAGTTCGCCTTGAGCTCGAGTCATACTACCAGTTTGAAATGTTGCTGACGTGTTGATCGATTTGGATGTTAGGCCTTCTTCGTTTTTTGCGGTTTCCAAGCTTGGCTCCACCTTCGAGACAGCCGAGGCGGCGCCATATCACTTCGGTAATTCAAGCACTATATGAAAAGCAACAACGACCACATTTTCCTTTGATTTACCTACTTCTGTCGTCTGCGTGGAGGCGGTGTTATTTCAGTAGCCTTCAATTTCTGGCTTCATTATAAATTCGGGATTTTTCTTCGGGGATAAGGTGTGTGGATTGGAGAGCGCGAGACGCAGGAGACCTGGGCGCGAGAAAGACAGACTCTCTATTTCCACTCCGGCAACTACGACCTCCCAAATTTGAGCGCTTCTATACCTTCACGTCTCAAGGCCGACAGTCACGAGTCCTGGCTGACTTCAGACAGACAGGAACTTGCTCGACAGGTTTCCTCAATCTCGCAGTTTCCACCACCAACTTGATCCGTCAAGACACGGCGTCCTGTCCTCTACGACCTTTTTGTACATAGCAGTGCGGAATCTGTTTTCCATATTTGTTTGATCGCCTGAGAGGATGCCGTGGTCCCTCACTGAATTCACCTAATGAAGAGCAATACAAACAAATTTCTTCCCATCGTTGATAATCGTTAAGTCACATGTAAGCATTTTTGAGACCCCTTGAAGAAAACAACCAGCAGCGCCTAGAAATATGCGAGAGTAATCGAAATTTTCACAACTTCTGTGGTCGCCTCTCTACTCTTCCTCGCCCTCGCCCTCGTACGGATCGAGCATCTTGGACATATACGGACCATCCAAGGTGTAACCCAGTCGGGCGTAGTAGCTTCGCACCCCCACGCCTGAGATGACACTGATCTTGGTGCTGCCATGCTCTTCGCGAGCAATGCGCTCAGCCTCCTCCATGAGCAATGTGCCAAAGCCTCGGTGCTGGAATTTCCGGGCATCGCGACCGTGAAGTGGCACAGCCGATCCATAAACGTGCAACTCGCGAACGATACTCGTCTGCTGACCGGTAAATTCGGGACGGAATGTGTGAGTAGCGCTGCACTTGCGAAGTCGAAGCAGACCGATAAGAATGTCCTGCTTGGGATCCTCGTAGGCCAAGAATGTCTCCCAGCCGCCATTTGCAGCATAATCACGGCGGATCAGCTCAACTTGCGAGGGACGGATCTTATTCTTGACTTCATTGATTCCGACCTCTCGAGTCCGTACGTCTCGACACGTCGTGCCAAAGTCCTTCATCCGGGCCAGGGCCAGCTCGCGCAGGTTCCCGTTTTCGACTCCAGACGTGACCAAGGGCATTGGGATGTCTCGCTGGACACGGTAGATTCGAGTCCATGGGGGCACCAGAGCAAGAATACGAGCCACGAGATCAATCAACGCGTTCGGTGTATAGTTCTTGTATCGGCCAGTTCGCCACAGCTCGTATAGACCGGTTCCGCGAATGACCAGCGTCGGATAGATCTTCAAGCCGTCTGTCCGGAAAGCCGGATTTTCAAAGTATTCCTGGAATTGAAACAGATCGCGTTCCATTCCCACGTTGGGTAGATCGGGCATCATGTGGCTGACGACCTTAAAGCCTGCGTCCTTGGCAAGCTTGAAGGTCTCGGCCACGGCGGCCACAGTGTGACCACGGTTGGTGTCTCGCGCCACGTCCTCGTACAGACTTTGTACACCAATCTCCAATCGAGTGCACCCATAACGGAGCATGCTGCTCAGATGGGTGTCCAGGCAGTAGTCCGGCCGAGTCTCAATCGTAATACCAACACACTTGGTGTTACTCATTTCGCCCGCCAGGACTGCCTCGTCCACATTGTCTGTTTGGTATCCGCTGAGAGCATTGTGAAGCTGCGAAATGAAGCTATCCCGGTAATCCTCGGGCAAGGACATGAAAGTTCCACCCATGATGATATATTCCACTTTGTCTACGCTGTGACCCAACGACTTGATCTGATCGACTCGTCCTCTGGCCTGCTCGAACGGATCATAACGAGCGCGGATCGCGCGCATCGACGTTGGTTCATATCCGGTATAGGATTGTGTGGAATATTCGAAATCGGAGTCTGGGCCACCGGGGCAGTAGACGCAAATGTTGCCGGTATAAGCGATATGAGGGCATCGATGGGGCTTGCACATGACCGCCACCACGGCGATACCAGAGGACGTTCCTGTACAAGGCTGTAAGCTTCCACGGTGTTGCTCACTCGGCAGTTAGAGGTGACATACGGATCGGCTTCGCAATGAGCTTGGGTAGGATATATTTCTTGTAGTGTTCTGGCACGGCAGCGATGATCGCCGTGAGAGGGGGTTGAGTGGCCAAGGAGTGCTTTTTGGCGATCATGCCCCGCAGCTTGTTCAAATTGATATCTTTCCGTGGCGCAGAGCTGTCTTTCTGAGACTCGTACTCCTGGATGAGTGCATTTGCAATATCTGAGCACGCTCGCATGTATCGCTCATTTTCCGGAATCAGTTTATTGTTCTTTTTCGCCGTCTTCTTATTAATCGGCGCAGTCATAGTCATGGTGGCCATGGTGAAGAAATATCACCGCGCAGCGGCGACGAAGGTTGGAGCGCAGCGCAAGCCAATATCTGATTTTGATCAACTCTGCTATGACGATCGGAATCGATACCGATGAGTTTGATGGCGTTTTGGCGGACAGCTAACGTGGATCGTTCGCGCAACGAAGAAACAAAAGATGTGGTGGCCGAGGCAGCACTCCGAATTGAGGTGATCTCGGGTCCGCTTAAGTAAAGGATTTGTCCCGAACGAAAACTCCCGGGCGCGCATCCCGATTATCCTATCCATCTCTTCCCCGAGTCAAAACCTCTCTTCCTCCACGCTCTCCCCTCTCCTCTCTCCTCCCATCACCTTTGATCATATACAGTCATGCAGGCCTTCCGCCGTAACACCCTCTCGGCCGTCCGAAATGTCGCTGGTCAGCAGCGCCGGACCTACCTTAAGGCCACCTCTGCCTACGCCGACACTGTGAACAACCTGCGGATCAACAAGGATACCAAGGTTCTGTTCCAGGGCTTCACTGGAAAGCAGGGAACGTGAGTATTGGTCTTGAGCATTGAATTGATGCAATGCGCTGGATGCTGACAAGCTTCTTTCTCACTCAGTTTCCACGCCGAGCAGGCCATTGCCTACGGTATTTACCATCCTTGCGTCGCGACGTCGAAAAATAGCAATTCAACTCACACCTCACAGGCACCAATGTCGTCGGTGGTACCAACCCCAAGAAGGCCGGCTCAACTCACCTCGACCGTCCCGTCTTTGCCAATGTCGCCGATGCCGTGAAGGAGACCGGTGCCACTGCCTCGGCCATCTTCGTCCCGTACGAGAATCTGATACTTCAAAACATTTGGCTGCGCGACAAACTGACTCTTTTTTTTCGCAGTCCCCCTCTCGCCGCCGCCGGTATTGAGGAGGCCATCTCCGCTGAGGTTCCCCTGGTTGTCTGGTACGTCTCTGCGCTCCGGCGACTGTCAGACAGCTGGCTCCCCTGATAGGCGCCTTTTTTCGTCCTCTTTCACCCCCCCCCTCTTGGCCCAGGCTAACAACCCATGCGATTGCGTTATTTAGTATCACTGAGGGCATTCCCCAGCACGGTATGATATAATTTGCAGCTCACGGATTGGAAATTTGATCTGACATTCGAATGCTAGACATGGTTCGCATCACCGACATCCTCAAGACCCAGAACAAGACCCGTCTGGTTGGCCCCAACTGCCCCGGTATCATTGCTCCCGTAAGTTTGAAGCATCGCCCAAGCTTGTCCTCACTACCACCTCTAATTGCTTCGCTGCTGTTCTCAGGGTCAATGCAAGATCGGCATCATGCCCGGTTTCATCCACAAGCGCGGTCGCGTCGGTATCGTCTCCCGCTCCGGTACCCTGACCTACGAGGCCGTCAACCAGACCACCCAGGCTGGTCTTGGTCAGTCTCTCGTTGTCGGTATTGGCGGTGACCCTTTCTCCGGCACCAACTTCATTGACTGCCTGAAGATCTTCCTCGAGGACCCCGAGACTGACGGTATCATTATGATCGGTGAGATCGGTGGTTCTGCCGAGGAGGAGGCCGCTGAGTTCTTCAAGGCCAACAACATCCACAACAAGCCTGCTGTTTCCTTCATCGCTGGTATCAGCGCTCCCCCCGGCCGCCGTATGGGTCACGCCGGTGCCATCGTCAGCGGTGGTAAGGGTGGTGCCGACTCCAAGATCTCTGCTCTCCAGGATGCTGGTGTCATCGTTGAGCGCAGCCCTGCCTCTCTCGGCAAGACTCTGCTTGCTGAGTTCGTCAAGCGCGACCTTGTTTAAATAACCCCGTCCTGGAAAGCTCTGCTTGCCATTCTTGTTTCGCCCACAATTTCCGACATTCCTATGCTCAACAAGTGATCCTTTTTCTTTCGACTGGAGAACTGGGGTTGTCGGGAGGTATATCAACCATGTCTGTCTAAATGGTCAACTTGCGGTCCATGTCTTTTTTGAATGCCGCCTCTGTATTCTCTTTCCTTTTTTTTTCCCTCGTGTGTTAGAGACCCTTGAAGTAATTGAATTTCGTGTGTCATTGGAAAGTAATCCATACATCCAGCCCTCCAGTCACATAAACTGAACGTCCCATTGGTGTGTGTCTGATGAATTGTACATTGATTACGCCCTGATCAACTTTCCACTTTGGAGTTACGATCCTCTTTGGACTGACTTTCTCGCAAATACTTCCCGACAATCAGTGCGCCTGTCACGCGAATGTAGTTGCCAACCGCATTTGCCATTACACTTCAAAATTGTTCAACCACCTCTGAAGATGGGAGACCTCTACGCCTTTCCGTAATTTTCCAAAGCCTCGACAATCATCTCCGTCCTCAACACATCCGCAAACTCGCCCTCCAAACTCGCAACCGACACCTGATGCACCGTCTCCGCATCGAACCCTCCCTTCGCAAATGTCGCCGTCGCGTCCGCAGCAAGAATGATCCGACCATCATCCTGTTCCCCCTTCGCATCGACTAGCTCGAAGTCATGAATATGGTCGCCTTTCTGCCTATATGTCAGATCGGTGCCCCAGAGAATATCCACGATCCTCAAGTTCGCGGCCATCCGCACCGTCGTCGACACGCAGTGATCGGTCGTCAACCCCGCAAAAACAATCTGTCGAATGTTCAACTTGCGCAAGTGCGATTCCAGCTCCGTACCAATGAACGCCGAATTGACGTCTTTCCAGAATACGGGCTCCGATCCATCGGCGGCGGGGATTGCAAAGTCCAGCGGCTGGATCCCGCCAGATGGGTGTTCCTGGTGCAGCGGGGACGTGGGCGAGTCGGAGGCGTGAAAGACATGGATGATGTGCAGGTTCTTGCTTGCGCTTGGAGATGTTGCGCGTGCTGTGCGGAAATGGTGGAGTAGGGATTGGAGATTGGCTTCGTAGTGGGGATTGGAGCGCGAGGATCCCCAGTGAGAGACTGTTGCAGGATTGGTGAAGGCGAATTGGTTGTCGATGAGGACTAGAGCAGTTGGCCGACTGAGATCCAGGGGTTGTGCCATGTTAGGAGAGGATGGAGACGGTTCTTGTTCTTGTCCCTGATGATGGGTCACTCTGATGGGAACATCGACTGGAAGGTCTCAGGGTGGTGGCTCTGATAGTAGGAGGGCGAAGATTGCATAAGAGTCCAAACTCCTGCCAGGTGAGTCATTTGGAGTGTTGATTGCCAATACAGCCTCGTGGACAATTTTTAGGTTTCTTCCGCATACAGCAACAAGCCGCGTCGTTGACACTGACACTACTGCGATGGGCAAATGACTCCCAATAAATTGTACGTTATCGACACGCCCTGATTTTGTTTTGAAAATTAGCCTATTTGAGAGCTCAATGCCTTGGTTGCCTTTTTCCTCGAGCCGTGAATGTCCTATGAAACTCTGGACTGCGGTTTGAAAAAGCAGCGATCGTCAATGCAGCAGACGAACTATCATACTTCATTGCCGAGACACAAGGTGACGAGGCAATAGAGGTGCAATTTCCTGTTTAGTTATAGAGCGCTTACACTTCATGCCATGTACTACTTGTACTAGCAGTACATGAGATTACCCACGACACAGAATATTTGCCGGTATGCTCTGGAAAAGGTCAAGCCTCAAAGAGGTTGACGTGTGTGTAAAAGACGTTCATCAAAAGGATGGAAGCTAGTTGTAGCCGACGGTGCCATTCGAGGTGTGTCTCTCTTGCCCAGGTGATCAACAATCCAACATTGAACGTTTCTAGATTGCGTACAATTTAAGATCAAACATCCCTGGTAGATAGGTGAGAATCCTCGAGGAAAAGAGTACCAGATGCAGAATTCTCGTGGGCCTGATTCGACCAGAGAAAAATCCTGAAACCGGCGCTAACATTCTAACTGGTTCCTCCAATACAAAGTCATAGCGCCCGTGACGAAGTATCCCAAATAGCGCTTAATCTGCGTCTATTAATTCATGACGTTCGGATCTGAGTGCGAAGACATCCGTTTACAATGGAATAGGGCGAGTGCTTGATCAGAAGCAAATATTTAAGATGTTGTAATGAGCTTTCTTAGACAGGAACAATTCATACCAGTTTCTTCTGTCTACCTATCTAGGTAGTAGGAGTTCACGATCTTGCTACCACAAGTACCTCGTCGACCTACCTACCGAATCGTCAGAAGCCCTCAATTACATTCATCATGGGCCTCATTTTCTCCCAAGTGCATCAAACGCCCTCAGGTTCCCAAGAAGGAAAATCACACCTGCACCTCGATTCACCCTTACCCTCTGATTTTTCCCAAGAAAAAGTCTTCGCCGTGCTAGCCGACTATCTCAGTCCCGAAAGCCCACTGCCGCTAGATCTGGCGGTGGAATCGCTCTTGAAACTCTTACCGGCCAACGGTCCGGATTCGCAAGAGCTTTGTAGATTCGGAGAAGATTGCTTCGAGATCGCCGAGATAAGCTCGTACAAGACCTCGGCGCACTCCAGACTGGCGCAGTTGCTTGAGGCTTTGGGGTTATCGAGTCAATTTACTTGGGTTACGCGCGAGGTAATGAAATCTTCTTGGCTTGAACGATGAAGGTCCTGCTTGTTGGATAGGATTCTCGTGGCCCTATCTTGATCCATTTGATTCAATGAGAAAAACCGGGCAACTGACTCAAACTATACAGAACGGCCGAGTCTGGCGCTTCGAACCATTACGCATTTCAATGCACAATTCCTATAAAGGTGATAAGCCCAACAGATTCCTTGACATACATGCCAGTTGATGATCTCTCACAATGCTCATCCAAATACTGTACCACTGAGACGCAGGCCCCAATCGATCCAACCCAACCCACTACATAAACTACAACTCCTTCCTCGCCCACCTGTACTCGCACCGCATCTTCCCCACCGACCCGACATACGCCCTGTGGGCCATGCGCGCCGCCTTCGAAGACGACAGAAACTCGGAGCCCGCGGCGCTGCGTAGCGCCTGGGTCCTGGGCGCAGCACAGTGGATCCTCTGGAACGGCCAGGGTCTGTTTCAACTTGTCATGGAGCCTGCGCTGTTCGATGTCACGCTGGAGACGTGGCCGGCTTTGAGGCGGGAGCAGGCCTGGGGGGTGGGGAGGCGGTATGAAGGACGAGGGGAGGGGGGGCTTTCGTTGGAGAGGTGGAGGTTTTGGAGGGGAGGGTTCGGGCAGGTTGAGACTGGAGTTGGAGATGGACTTGGGGATGTCAATGCGGATGCAGATGGAGATGGAGGGAATGATGGATTCAGTGAGGAGTGTAGAGTTGTGGCGGGGAGGGCGAGGGAGTTGATGGAGGCGTTGGAGAGGAATATGAGGTTCTAGGGATGGCTTTGGTTTATGATTCACTCGTCGAACAGAGAAGGGAGGCGTTTGTCCATTCGGTATTAATCCTCCTACACAATGTGCATGAAGATTGCACGATTTCATCAAGTTGGGAGATTGATGTACTATGGTAGTGCGGGTATGATTGCCCTCTCGATTGCTGCCTGTATGCAATATCATGCGTCATGTCTCATTTCTAGATCATTCATCCAGCAGCGGCTCCTGGCCACTCTTCACCGGGACCACAATCGACTCTCGCAGCGTGCCCTGGCTACTCGGATCATCTCTCACGTTCGACGTCACCACCTGCCCGTAATTGCTCGGTGCGACCCGATTGCAAGGCACGCCCACGGGATTAACCAGATTCTGACACTGGAACACCTCGTCCTGTAGATTGGTATTAGACATGGGCAGTCCCAAGGTATGATTGACCGATTGTATGTCGACGTTCTCAAACTTGATCCCGGGACAAGGGTGCACGTCCGAGCAGTAGAGCGAGGCGGCAATGTTGTAGCGTGACGTTCCCCTGATATTCGACCAGGTCACGTCTTCAATGGCCATCTTCGAGGTGTTGCAGTTTCCTGCATTTTCATTGTAGATGCATTGGGAGATTTGGATGGGCATGGCGACGTTGGTCAATTCGAAGTTGCGGAAAACCACGTTCTTGATGAGGCCGCTCCCACCTCCGCCGGCATCTCCGTTGGAACTGTCGTCCTCGGGAACACCCTGCCACGTTTTGATAAAGGCGGCTTCCATGCAGTTGATGCACTTGACATCTTCAAAGGTGATGTTCTCCACGTAGTCTGGATTCTTGGGATACTGACCCACGGATCCGATGGCCATTCCAAAGCCCCAGTGGCAGGTCACATTGCGAACAAGGAGATTGGTGGTGTTTCCCTTGACGGCGATGCAGTCATCCATATTGGTGACCACGGTGTTTTCCACCAGCAGGTTATCGCTGTTCCACGAGTCAAACCCATCGGTATTGACGGTACCCCATTCATCATTGCTGGTCGCGTTAACGTAGAAATTCGTAATCGACACGTTCTTGCTTTGCCAGACAAACGTGGCCCAGAACTGCGGTTGAATGATCCTCAGTCCGTCCACCCACAGATTGGTCGAATTGTAGAAGGTGATGCTAATCGGCCGGCCGGGCTGATTGCTCTGGTTCCGATTCTGAGTATACCAGGCCTGGCCTTGCCCATTGTACCAGCCTCCCTCCTCGCCTTTGAGAGTCACATTCGTGCCGCCAAACAGCCACGCCGTGGACTGGTCCTGGAAAACGACCGAGTAGGAATGTGACAGCCAATACGGAATGTCCGTGGAATATCGAAGCTCTCCGCGCAGCGAAACCTCACAGTTCACCAGATTCGTCGTGTTCATGACCGAGTTCACGTGAAAGACCTGGTTCGCCGCGAAAATCACCTTTCCATCGTGTCCACAACGCTCAAAGGCCTCTTCGATCGAAGGCGCATCGTCCACAGGCTGGCCATCATGTTTCAGTGACTCTGGGTACAAGGTGCACGTCTTGTCTTGCTCGACCACCCAGCCTGCAGCTGCGGCGACCAGCGAGAGTTGTAACCACAAACGCATCATGAAAATTGTGCGGTCGCTCTGTTTCTCGTCACTTTTTCTCGGGAATCAGAGATTCCGAGTCTTGGGAGGACGGGGCCGCCGAGGGTGGGCAGGCCAAGGGAGGGTCACAAAGAAGAGACCCTTTACAGTGCTTGACTACATACCACAAAAGCGCGAGGGTTGCTCCCTACTTATGGGGCGCCCATCTCGACTGAATATAGAGAATTTGCATGCAGTGGGTCACAATACCACCACCCCATTTGGCCGTGTGATTGCCTTTCATGACCGCCTGGGGTCAAGGCCAGGGCAGGACTGTACCTGTTCCCCGCATTTTTCCCCCATCATCATCATCACCATCTTTGTCCAGGGAGGTCAGCTTTCCAACGACCATCCAGGACCGACTCTTTTGCATCCAATCATCGACGCTTCTGATCTGTAGGCCTGAACGAAATCGGTCAATGCGTCCGAGGCAGGGGTGAGATCGGATTTAAAACTGTGAGGGGGAAAAGGGAAATCGAAGAGCCAAAAGAGAGTTTGCGTGATGTCTGTTCCGGTGCAGATTATGCCGTCATCTGATAAGGCAAGTCCCGTGAGCAAAGACATCGGTGTTACTACGAGCGCGAGTCGCAAGTTGCAACAGACCTACCCCAAACCTGACTCTGCACGACTCTTCTTCATGACATGAGACTGTCGGTCCGCTCTGGGCAATCCATGACTCATGCATATGGGAGTGGCTTTCCCGTCGCAGGTTGTCGGCAAGATTGCTCGTACTCGTTCATCCCTGGAGACAACTGTTTTTGTGCCACCATGCCATGTGCGCTAACGGTCGACACGCTTTTGATACTTGAGCGTGCCATGTCATCACGTAGTCTTCATGTCTCTTTACTAGGTCATGGCTCTGAAGAGGGCGCTTCATCAGTAACCTTCTCACTGCCTCGTGTCTCTGTGAAGCTGCATCTCCTTCGACCCCTTGAGGTCTTTTTTTGCCTGCATATATGCACAGCATCTGGTTGCCGAACAATCAGATGTCACATTCTGGTGCGTGGCAGAAGATCGGCAGCCACGCCCCCTCGGAAAGCAAGCCCTCGGAAACTTCTCCAGACAGTGAACGAGCTCTTCTTTGAATTTTGTCTAATCGATATAATAACCGTCTCACTACGGGTAGAAGGATGCATGTCTTGCCCGTCTGACCCCTTCATAGCGTCTGGGCAGGTTGATTCATTCTTCTTCGACTTGCGCCTTTCCACCCCCTGTTTCCCCGTTGGGAGATCAACAAATCTCAAAGTTTCTTCTTCCCATAGTCACGGGGAAACTTCCGAGTCCGACTCCGCAGCATTTCCGCCCGCTGCTCGAGAGTCATGTGGACCTGGTCACCGATCGGGATCAGACACTTGGCCAGGTGCATATAATTCTTGCGCAACAGATGGACCGTGATGAAAATGTAGTCGACGTTGCGGAAGACCAGGGCTCGCTCTTCCGCATAGCGATCCTTGCCTTTGACAAATGCGACAGGGTGATCTCGCCAGTGACGACGGGGGTTCAAGTGATGAGAGGTATGGTAGCCATCGTTGAAGGAGTATCGGTTGCTCTGGGATCGTTGTTAGTAGTCTTTCCTCATCTGGGTCAACTGATTCGCGAGAAAAGCAGGCGGTCTCTTACCGGGACATCGATCAGGGTGATGCTGGAGCGATAGTCCGAGTCTGGGTCGATGGGGTCCACAAAGGCATGCTGGCCCCAGTTTCCCACCATCAAGCCACAGCGCATGACCGTTAGGGGCAGAATCAGCACAAAGACAGTCGCGCGGGCATTGACATAATGGTAAAGCATATAGATGGCGATGTAGTTGCCCAGCTCCCAAAAGGCTGCCTTGGCGGCATACTTGGCCTGCCCCTTTCTCCAAAAGTAAAGCGGCAATTCCATCCAGATGAAGAAGATGAAGCGGCCCACATAACAGGCAAAGTCATACCCGTTGTCCCGGTCATAGAACATGGTGGTACTCAGGTCCTGCTCCCCATTCCCTTCCACATGGTGATGCTTGATGTGATGGTAATAGTAGGAGTTCCACGTGTGTCCAAGCATCGGGTCCAGGAGGTACGGGAAGAGGGTGTCAAAGAGCCAGTATCGAGGCGCCAAGACACCATTCATGTGGATATGTTGATGCTTCATCAAGGTGAACGCTCCGCAGTACCACAGCTGCATGAGCCAGTGCAGGATCCCGTGAATCCAGGAGAACCGATAGTACAAAAAGATCCCACTCGGCACAATGGTGGTGAAATATAACAACAAATGGGTCAACATCACCACATCCGTGGGGAATCGGACCACTCCCTGGGCCCATTGCCGATACGGCTGCAGCACATACTGCTGGAGAGCCACAGGTAATTTGGCTTGTAGCACGGGAGAGTCCCAAAATTGGAAGATGGTAGGATCGAAGTCTGGATGTGATGCATCATTCATATCCTGGAGCTTCTGTGCAACATCTTCATCGCTGGGCCGTTGGGCCCCGGCTGTTGTGGTCTTTGCTCCTATTGCCTTGTTGTCAGTGGTCGGAGCCAATGCTTAATGTTTTGACTGAGTGCAAGGAGGGCAGTATGTGACGACATACCTGTGGCCAGAGATTTATCCACCAAAGTGTCCAGCACGAGGTGATCAGCAATGGTCAACTCTGGATCCACGTATGTGGTAGGATCCATGCTGGGCGACTGAACAGAGATATCGGCTGTTGTTTTTTGAGGTAGACAAGTTGGGGGAGGGATGGCTTGGCAACCCTGCGCGGGAGATGGATCGGGAGCTTGTTGCTCAACACTCATCCATCAGGGGGTGAAGTGTGTTACAATTTCCGGCGAGTAGTTCTAGTGTCTCGAGAGAGGGGGTGTGTTGTGATGAGAATGCCGAGAACAGAAACCGCAAGACTTGAAGACAGTACGCTCACAAGCTGGACATCCACGATCTGGCCTGACTTTTCGTCGAAAACGCTTACTCCCGTCAGGGGGTGGGAAATTTTCTCGGTGAGGGTGGGTCCAGAATCACGGAGATCAGATGGAGATCAGATGGAGATCAGTCGTGATTCTGTGAATGAGAGAGAGCTTGGAGTCGGAGTCTTCTCTGGGTTCTTTGGAAGACAAGTTTCATGAGCATTTGGGACACCCAATCTTGGAAGATATTGCCCAGAGTCCAGTTGTCAACCAATTCGGAGGACGGACCCTGTAAGGGAATTTCTCTAGCCCAGCGATGCTTATTAACGGTAGCCTCATTCCACAACAGTCCGGTCACGATCCGCTCGGTGGAAAAGCTGGATTGCAGGAGTCTATCCTCGAGGGGGTATGGTCATAGGTCTCATGGGTAAATGTGCATATCCAATGTAATGGAGTTGGATCGTCCTGAGCAAGACAGTTCGGTATAGTACAAGGTCATTGAGGTTGAACAGTGAGGCGACCTCGGTGGACCTTTTGCCGGTTGGCTTCCACTTGGACCAGGCGCACCGATTTTTACCCACTCGGTCAAGTGTCGCTCGACGCTCCGCAGTACGGATCTACCGTGTCCAGCCAAGATGAATGGCGTTGGTCTCAGCTCGCAAGTTGCCAAGGTGCCTCTACGGAGCTCGAACAATAAGCTTATCGGAAGGGGACTGGAACCCATCTTGTCGGCACGGGTTCATGGAGAGTCCGCCTTTGCCAGCCACGATCTGGGGCTTCGAAGGGAGGTTGGAGATTGATGAACTTTGTCCTGTATTTTCAGTCTTTGAGTTATACCTGAATTTTGGACGACTGTGGGTCCTAGCATTGGACCGATTCCCAGCGTGGAAATATCGTGAATATCGGTTTGGCCATGCTAGATATCGAAATGGTAGTGAGGAAAGCTCAGGACACGCTGCATCGCCGACGGACTCAACCACGGCGATAGTTGTTCCTCGGGTGCCAAATACACGCACCGCCCCTTATTTCGCAGGCAATGGCATACCGACGACACTACAGTATTTCTACAAGGAGGCTGGCTGGGTTGGTCGGTGGAAAGGTTAATACTCAATGTTGGGGGAAGTCCAGGCGCCGAGGGAAATACCCACCGTGTGTGACGAAGGGTGTGCAGAGTCGAGATGGTCTGGAGATTTCCACCTTATAAGCAAACTCTCTTCTGAACGAGACGTGAAACGAAGAAAAAGTTCATGCAGGGAGCGAATAATGCGCTGGTGGTGAGTGCCAACCTCGGTGTTCCTCCCGTCGTCGAAGCCTCGCTCTCGCAAATCGGCGATCTCATACGCCCGGCAATGAGATCATCGTGATCATGTACAGTACTCCCGTACCTGCACCACGATCCAAATAAAGGGAGCGGTGATAATTGAAAGAATCTCGAAAGCGACCCTCTCATTCGCCTAGTCCAGACCTACGGTTGAGAGGAGTCAATTCGAACTCAGAAAGGCGACTGTCTGCTGTTCCCTACTGCTGTGATGGTTCCTTTCTCCTCCCTGGTAGATCCGAGAATCTGCAAGTGGATGACTTGTCCAGATCTCCGTCCGATCGCGATCTGATCAATAATCCACTTGGGCTGCTATCCACCACACTTCAATCGTTCCTTGTTGGCTTCGAACAGCGTGACCAGGTCCGCCACCCGCCGATGAGAAGCATCGGTGCAGGGTAAAAAGGTAGGGTAGATATGATCTCATCCCGGGTCTCGGCACGCGTGCGGAGATCAATCAGCCCGGGATTTTGCACGTTGTATACACCCAAACGAGCCCAGCGATGACTCGTTTCCGCCCCAGTCCGGGGAGTCTGCCACCAGTTACGACATTCCAACACGAGGTGCACTACGGTTGGATGGACCGAATCGATCTGGGGTCGAATCTGTATGTGACAAAAAGTCGGAGAACCCTCAAAATAGGGAAGGGAAAAAAAAAAAAAAAAAAAAAAACATGGTCATCGGAGACAGAGATCGTACGGAAGAAGAATGATATATGCTCGCTCCTTTGTCGGTCCAAACCTAATCAATTCTCCTTAATTACCAGGCCGGCCAACTCGAAGGAGAGTCTTGTCTTTCAACCCGTTGCGCCGAGAACTCACAGACCTTCCCGATGGAGGCTCTTGATCAAGTCATCTCACTTCCTCTCAACAGGCCCTACCGTACCAAGCAGCTCAAGGATGAGAAGCCCTGTCTCGACGACGATGGATACGTGTGTTTCTCGCCCGACGATGTTGAGAATCCCCATAATTGGTCGAAACGGCGGAGAGCCGGGGTGACTATGAGCGCCGTGCTCTTGGTCGTCAATGCCACCTTTGCATCCAGTTCACCCAGTGGATGCCTTCCTTCGATAGCCGAATACTTTCAAGTCTCACGAGAGGCGGCAGGCTTGACCATCTCATTGTTTCTGCTAGGATACTGTGCAGGGCCTTTGATATTTGCCCCGCTGAGTGAATTTTATGGCCGTCGATGGATCTTTTATGGCTCCTTCACCGGCTACATGGCCTTCAACTTTTTATGTACATGGCCTCCCAATTTCGGGGCTCTGCTGGTGGGTAGATTCTTGACGGGCACTTTCGTCTCTGCCCCCTTGAGTAACTGTCCGGGCTTGTTGGCGGATATGTGGAATCCGCTGCAGCGTGCCAATGCAATGGCCTGCTTCTCCGCGACGGTGTGGATGGGGCCCGCACTGGGGCCTGTGGTCGCAGGCTTTCTGCAGCTGACGAAAGACTGGCGCTGGAGCTTCTATGTCCTCCTTTGGCTCGGCGGCTTAACCTTTGCGCTCATGTTGACCATCCCCGAGACTTATGCGCCGACCCTCCTGACTCACAAGGCCCGACGCATTCGCAAGAAGAAGATCGCCGGATATGAGAATGTCAAGGCGCCGGCTGAAGATGACGATCGGTCGCTGTTGGGTATCTACAGGGTCGCACTGACTCGTCCATGGATCATCCTATTCGATCCAATCTCGTTGCTCATTGCAGTCTACATGGCATTTGTGTATGCCTTGCTGTACATGTTGTTCTCCATCTACCCCATCGTCTTCCAGCAGAAACGGGGTTGGAACGCCGGTGTGGGGGAGCTTCCACTGCTGGGAACTGTGGTGGGAGCGATCCTTGGAGGTTTGATCGTCTTTACAAACACGACCTTGCAACAAAGAAAGATCAAGCAAGGCAAGATGCGAATGGAGGATTCCACGCCCGAGGATCGTCTCCCACTGGCTATGGCCGGTGGGATCGGGTTTGCCGTGACTATGTTCTGGTTTGCATGGACGGCCGAGTTCAAGTGAGTCAATTTCCACTCTTACCCCATTTCAGCTCGGATGGACCCCCGGGCAATGGCATTCTCTGACTTGACATACAACAGCTCCATCCATTGGATCGTTCCAACCCTCGCCGGTGTCTTCTTGTCTAGCTCACTTCTCCTGATCTTCGTCTCATATCTCAACTACCTAGTCGATGTCTACAAGATGTACGCCGCCTCGGCCATCGCAGCGAACACCATTGCTCGATCCGCCTGCGGAGCCGCAGCCCCCTTGTTCACGGATCAGATGTTCGCCGCCCTGGGGGTTGGTGGCGGAGGTAGTTTGATTGCTGGTGTTGCGACCCTTCTCGCTGTCATTCCGTTCCTCTTCTATAGGTACGGTAAACAGATCAGAATCCGCAGCAAGTATGCCCCAACGCCCGATGAAGAGAAGGAGGAGCGAAGAGAGGACGAAGAGCGGGGGCTGGACGAGGCGTTTGAACCGGAGGAGGATAAGCCGGAGGCGCGTAATAATTCTACACAATAGTCATTGGAGGAGGTCTCATGTTGAATCATGTAAAGGAATCGGGTGCGAACATGTCAAGCCGCATGCTGCCCACGACTCTATACCTATGTATTACCACCGATGCTGGTCAGGGTCGAGTGGGTTGATGGTCTGCTGCACTGTCAATTGTAAAATAGCGAATACATGACTGATGAATAGCGAATTCCAACTACCTGCAACAGCTCTGAGCACACGCGATCAGCCTGCGAGTCTGGTTAGTTTTACCTATTGGTGCCCATTTCGACATCGTATACCTCGGTATATGGCACAGCACGAGCAAGTGACTGTTCCTTTCCTGCTCCATGTTGCAGAAGCAAAACTCTTATCGATCCACCTATCCATACTCCAATTGATGTTCGATCCCCGATAAACTTCATTTCTGCCACGATCCCGCAAGGGAGAAAAAAAAAATACCACGAAAAAAGAAAGCCTCCACGCGGGATTGAACCACGGACCTCTTCATGTCATAACTACTCGGATGAGCGGATACAAGTGAAGCGCTCGTACCACTGAGCTATAGAGGCTTATTGTTGTATAGTGGCAACAAAGTGTAATTCTTATAGTAACTGATTAATTCTGACATGGGAGGCACATGTTGTGTACTCTGGAAAAATAACAGCTGCGACCGTAGTCCATTTAGATGTAGTTAAGAGTGCGGCTGTGGTCGATTGAAGCCAACTACGATCCTGATGGTTTTAGATTGTGAGTATCAAGCTGGTTTTCCTGGAAGTTGAGTGGGTACAAGGGTAGACGAAGTGCAGTGCTAAATACCTTGTGCTTTGTTGATGGTTAAGTTTTCGGTTTTTTTGGAACTGTGATATATCCGTGGGCCTTGCCTGTCCAGTATGGGTTGATCGAGGTAAAAAGAAGGATAGGTAATTCCACCTTAATGCCCGACAGCCCTGCCACCACCTACAAAACATTGATCCATATGTGGTAGGAGCTATAGGTGTAGTAATTCCGTGGGACTTGCTGTACCGACTGATCGCACACTGTACAGGTACACTGTACAGTCAACAGTGTACAACGTGTCTCCCGGGAAGCCCTATCATATATATAAAAAAAGGATTCCGTCCGAACCATAAGAGATACCTCATTTCTAACCCGAGGACGGGACCAGCTCCAGTGCCCATCTATGAGCTCCCAATTGAACCATATGCTAGGTATGTAGTATGAACTATACGCATGTAGAGCCAACAGCGACGGACCTTGTACACCTACTCCCCCGAGATAACTCACACTGACTCAAGTCACACGAACCCGACGTCATATGCAAGTAGTCAATATCCAAGCCCTGCCGAGTTCGGACACAGCAATGCCCTGAATCACAGACTCACAGACAGAACCCATTTGGGAAGAGTGGTCACATACCCGAACTGATATCCTGAGACCATCATGCCGGTTCGACGGTCGTATGAGCACGCTCAGCGCAGAGGCTAGCTCGGAAAAAAACAGCCGGTAGCATTCAGTGCAATGTCATGGTGGAACCTCCATGTGAAACCACCTGCAGCCAAGTCAGAGCGCCTCGAGAAGTACGATTTCTTTGAGGTTGGTACTCGAGATCAAACTTCGGTTGAAGTATGACACCCACTTCGGTACTCGCGGGTATACTACCTTGGATATGCAATTGCGAGTGTCTACAATCAACTACTCACCATGGACGCAGGCCAATGGATGATACTTCAATGATACTTCAAGTATCGGGGTGTTATGGCATAGTTGTATGTCAAGGGCCCGATAAGGTTGTCTCCTGACAATATTCCATACCAAACTGCCGACAACGTCCCCCTGATTGATGCTTGCCCAGGTGAAGAGCCCGTGGACCAATTTGGGGAAGAGTTGCCTCTCGTCAGATCATATGTACTACTGACTACAATATGGGAGGATCGATAAAGTCCCGTTTCTTGGGACGGGAGTGGCAACGGAGACTAGTCGTCCAGTACTACTGTAAGGCTGTAAGCATTAAGCAATAGTAGTATCGACAGCCGAACAGTCACGATATCGTGATGCGCACATCAACAAAAGACCGCCATGTACACATGTCATATACCAAGTTCCCCATCCACCGACAATCTTCCAATGATCTCTGGTCAAGACATCACCCATTCCAGCTGGTCAAACTATATTCGGTCGAATGTCTTAAATGCCCTCCACCAATATGATCGACCTCCGCCTCTTCACCAGCCCAAATGGGGCGCAGATCGGCGGAAACGTGGAACCGAAGTGGCGACTGCTTCTCCCTCTGCCCTCCACCCCGGACCCGATCGACTCTAGCGGAGCTGCGTGGTTCACCTTTTCCCATTCTCTCATTGCCCGTGTCCCATCTCCTTGTCCAGAGGGTCACATCCATCTCCTCGCCTGGAAAAGTAGTCGTAGACTAGACTCACTCGCTTCTACCTCACTTGCCCAGGTAAGTCTCCTGTCAGCGCCTTCCACACGGTCTCACCCACCGCACCTCGACTGCACAGCTAGCAGCAAAACAAGGCAACTCTGCCACATTCCGTGTCTCTCCATCAAAGGCAGGCCAACTCGGCGAGCCCGGCTGACGATGGTGCTATTTTAGACGTCCGACCTTTGCGCATGATTCCACTCAGCGGCCTGCACTGAGAGTACCACTGACCCAGTGTACCGTGCTGCGCTGCGAGGATCTGCATCACACTATCAACAGACCCCCCAAAAAAAGCTCCGCACTCACGGGCCTCAATCGTTTCGAGTCATTATTTAAAGGACGATCACATCCGCTCTCATAAAACGAGAATCATCCAGTTCGCCAGGCTCTCACTTTATCAACACTTTCTCCTGCACAATCCATCGTCTCACTCTCTCTTCCTGCCCCCCTGCAAACCGACAAGATGAAGTTCCTTGCAACCCTCGCTCTGATGGCCACTGCGGTCATGGCCGCCCCAGCCGCCAAATCTTCCAAGGAATTTCACCTGAAGACTGCGGGCGCCAGCAAAGCCAAGTTCAACGACTTGTTCGTTTACGCCTATCACACTGGTGCCGGACTCAACGATGCCGTGCTCTCCAATGACAGCTCCATTGCCAGCGCATTCTACTTCAATGGCACCATTGCCCTGGCAGACCTCAAGACTGAGTTCCCATGGGGCATGGTTGCGCCCGGTGATGCCAACTATGCTTGTAAGTGTGAATGAAAAAGTGATCAGATTACATGCGGAGAGAGGAACCCTATGCACGAGGACCAGCGATGATCCGTTACGAGGAGAATTGTACTGACCCGGGATCTTTCTCACAGCATGGGAGCCGATCTTGATCAACGCCGGCAGCGGCACAGAGGGCTTCTCCATCGACAAGGGCAACTTTGTCTGGTCGGCAGACTATGGCTTCGGTGGCTGGTTGGGTAAGTGATTTCTTATGTTGGAACCACCTGGAAGCTTTCATTCCAGTCCTGACACCATCGATCTGACTGATCTCATGTATAGTTTGCGACTGGTACCACAATGCCCCCCAGCTGTTCTATCTGAACCGCTACTACCAGGCGACCATCCCCTCCAGCTGCAGCAAAGTGCAGTTGAAGCCCATCTCCCTTTAAGTGGAGTACCTGCAACCTGCCTTGCTCCACCCGCACTGGTTTGCCGGGTCCGACTATTTTCTGCTACGACGCATGACGAAACTCGACATTTGTATTAATTGATGATCACCATCTCGCTTGATTCTCCAGAACCATATTGAAGGAATTTCATTCATTTTAGCGTGCTTTTTGCACTTCATCAATTCGTTAATCACGTAGACTGCATATTCCCTTTTTTTTTTTTTTTGGTAATCTCGTCATGAAGCTGCGACCGGCGTTGGAGTCGGACCGTAATACCGACGATCCATCCCAGCCTGCAGACGAGCTTCCTCGTTAAAGGGCCCCTGAATGCTACCTCGGAAGTGCTTGGACACATTGTCTCGGAAGATCTTCACAGGGTCGGTGCCTTCCTGCGCACAAATCCAAGTCAACCAACGGTGTCCCGTCGTGACGTGCGTAATTTCGTCATTGTGGATGATCTCCAGCGTCTCGACACTCTCCAAATCCGCCGCAATGCGAAACTTTTGAATCGTCAACGGATTGACATCCAACCCTCGGGCTTCATGCACCAAGGCAATTATGCTGATCCGAGATCGTAGGTCATACGCCGTCTCCAAAGCAGACTGCCACAGACCGTTATGGACCGGCAGCGCACCGAAATAAGAACCCAGCTCCTCGATCCGAGACCGCAGAAGCGAGAAATGCTTCGCTTCGTCGCGGGCGACCTTGAGCCAGTCGTGGAAGTACGCCCGAGGAAGCTCCTGCGGATTCGATTCGACTGTCTTGAAAGTCGAGAACCGCACACAGATATCGATGGCCAGATCGATGGCCCATAACTCAATATTCGCCAGAGCATGGAGCAATGCGATTCGACTCTTCACTGACCCAGCCTTTCTGGTACGGGGCATTCCGCCGGGTCTCACTTCGATCATCTTTTCTCGGCGGGGTTGGTCCGGCGCAGTGACGGTGCCTCGGCCGATCTCCATCGGGGAAGCGGTGCCTTCTCGCGCAGCAAAGATGTTGTAAAGGTGTGTCGTCAATTCGATCTTGTGTTCCGGGTGAGCGGTATTCAAGATGTGAACAGCCCAGTCGCATAGCGTCGCATCGTCGCCAAGATATTGGATCGGGCCGGCCTCTGTCGTGTTCGAGGGTTCTGCTACCGTGGGGACCGACGACACCGAGGTCCCCGTAGACTGTGCAGCCGTTGGATTCGACTTTGACTTCAACTTGACTTTCTCGCTGACAGGCTCCACGCGACTCATTCCCACGGCATCCCCGGCCTCCGTCGGAAAATCGATCAGGACATCACCGTCGGATACATCAACGGGGAATGTACACGCCTTGATGCCCACGCTCGACTCGCCCGTCTCCACGTTAAAGTCATAAGCATGCCATGGACACGAGACGATATATGCCGAATCTTCAATGTCGACCGAGGAGTCCGCCATCGGCCCGCCTGCATGCGGACACTCGGCCTCCATCGCGTAGTAGGACCATCCTTGCGTTTCGTTGGGTTTAGAACAGGACGGGTCAATGGCGGCGAGGCGGAATAAGACGAGTCGCTTTCCGGTCGACAGATGGATCACATAGCGGGGATTGGTGAACGCTGAAAGCGGTCCGCAATTGATCTGCATCTTGGGGGTGATCTGGTGAGGGGTTTGAGGGAAGAGCGACCACGTACTCTCGCGAAGTGTAGCGACTGAGATAGTAGTATGGGGGACTACGTGATAGGGTCATTATCGCGGGGGCGGTGATTTTTTTTTTTAATTTTTTTTTAACGATCACGTGCTGATAAGATTTACACTGTTGATTTCAACTTGATGCCGGGCGGTGGATGCACTGCCAGGTGGACTAGTATGGTACAGGACAGCACGAGCCAGTGAGCCTGTGAGCCAGACTACCAAACAGCGCGGTATGGCGGTCCACCTGAAAGGCGGGGATGGCCGACGGGTCGCCAAATTGCTCTTCGCCGAGTTCGCCGATCCACAACAAAGCATGAGATGACACTTCCTATGCTGTCAATGTTGTCGGAGACCTACAGGGTTCAAAATTTGGATTGGAAGGACGGGACGCGGGAAGTCTATCATCAGAGTTTCTAGTACACAAGAACTTCGATCTGCGTTCATACGCGTCCGGTTGAAGAAAAAGTACATATAAATTCTGATTGTTTACAATGAAGTGAACTCCCTCGTCCAGGTCGATGCCCTTAGTATGACGGTCTGGTGCATCGTGTCAGCAGAGTCCTGTAGTCATTGATAAGCGCCTCCTTTTCTCGGATCTCCTACAATCTGCCGTGGAGGCCTTGAGGATTAGTAACCAGACTTCCTTGCAGCTGAGAAGGGGGACCGGAAAGTAGGGTGCTGAAACCTAGTATAGACTTGAGCTGTCTATATGCATCTATCCGACCGCTGGAAACAGATTCTTCACCAGCTTAGAGAAAGCTTAGCCGTTCGAAATAGGTCGGGCCTGAAGGTCGAATTCTGCAGGGTCAGGGGGCCTGATATTGGATGCCTGACTGCTGTACCAGGCGTACTGCATACTGCGGAAGTGCATAGTCACGCAGCATTATTATGCTGATGTGCTCAGCTTTCCCAATTCTGCCGAGTAACTAACAGTTGAAGGCACCAGACGCTCCGGTGTCGCCGCGATGTCGCGCACAAAGTCGAGTCGTCGACAGATCGTGATCATAGTACTATAGCGCACCTCCACAGAGGCACAGACGAGCAGCAGCGGCAATCACTGACAGTAGCCGAGGGTCGAGGCCGGCAACTACTGTGACGAGTCCGAGTCTGAACGGTGGACTAGTGAGCAGCGGGCATGTCGCACCGAGCCGCCTCGACAAAGCCCGCGCTGTCCCTTTGTCTGGTCCGACCCGGTGGGGGTTTGAGTTTGGGGGCTCGTCTTGCCTTGTCTTGGGTTCGAGCTGAAAAGAGTTTTGGTTTTGTGGGGGCACGCACTTGAGTGGCCAGGGCGGAACCCCACGGAGATCTCGCCCGCGTTGATCTGAGTTTCGTACACGTTCAGTTCAAGCTTCTTGAACAGCCGAATGGTTTGCTAGAGGTAGAATTGAAAATAGGTGTGTGCTTTCATAGTGGTGCGATGATGACTTCGCACGAGTCTGCCGCTTCAGGCGTACCACAGCATTTCCCGTGCAGCCAGCGCAGCTGAACCTGGTCATATCGCATAATCGCACTACTGGCCGAGATCGGGCCTGCAATTGATCTACATGTGGAGCCCATCCAAAGCATGTACGGTAGTAGACGCTCTAGACTGAAGAAGTAGCAACACAGTCAGCCCACGAAGCCACCAATGGTCCAGGTGTGACTCAAACACAGCGAGAGAGACGCGAGGTGACCTTTATTAATGGAGCCAGTCTGCTCCGCGGCCTCGCAAGGGCTTTCCTCTTTCCATCAATCTTTGGCCTTTCACGGTGCTAGGATAGCTTGGCCCTCTGACAGGATTCGGCGCATTGACGGCGAAAGTTCCCCATACCAGCGCATAGCCGGGAGTGGTCCAGAGCCGCGGACGAGAACCGCGCAATAATAGCGTTGCACTCGAGTCATCCCTGCACTCTGGGGCAGACCTGCAGCTCGCGACTCCGCAAAGCCGAGGCGCAAATAAAAGGCTGCCCATTCCCCTCATTCGAAGGGCCTGGAGTTTCAAACAAGAGGAACCCTTCATCACAAGCGCGGAGCTCATGGAACATAGGATGAAGCCCGGTGAGTGACTTCTTCGTCCACTGCGCAGAACGTTCGCGCTCGTTGTGTACGGATACCACGGGCACGCAGTCGAAACCCCACGGGTCTTTGCGCTCCACCGGGAATCTATACTGAAGGCGCTTTTTCTTCCCAATGTAGACATGCGGTCGGAAAAAGCCGAGCTGGATACGAAGAGTCCTGGACAGGTCCTCGATCCCCCTTCCGAGTACGAGCAGGAGTTGCCGGCGCTCACAAGTACCACCGAGCGCAAGTTGATGGCCAAGATTGACTGGCACATTTTACCTTGCTTGTGTGTTCTGTACCTGCTTGCTTTCTTAGATCGGTACGTGCGACCCTGTGTTGTCACAACATTGTCTTGCGATGCTGAATCATGTTGCTAACCTCTGAACCGGGGATATCACAGAGTCAACATTAGCAATGCGGCGATTCTCGGGCTCAAGGAGGACTTACACTTGGAGAAGGGCACGAAATACAACACTGCCCTCACCATCTTCTTTGTGCCATACATTCTTCTTGAGATCCCCTCCAACATTATCCTCAAGAAACTGAAGCCTCATGTCTGGTGTATGTTCTTGAAGTTCAAAATACTTTCTGTTGATGACGTGGATCTGACCCAGTTCTGATTTTTTTTTTCTGGCTCCAACTAGTGTCGCTCTGCATGTTCGGCTTTGGCCTCGTCATGATCTGCCAAGGGCTTGTCTCCAGCTGGGGTGGATTGATGACCACTCGATTCTTTTTGGGTGTCTTTGAATCGGGCATGTTTCCAGGATGTGAGTTATATGTGTTGAGTTGTTGAGAGATTAGACAACCTTGTGAAGCTGGAGGCTGATGGAGAGAGACCATAGGCTTCTACCTGATGGGCATGTGGTACAAGCGAAGCGAAGCACAAAAGCGCTTCAGCTTCTTCTTCAGTTCCACGACTCTTGCGGGCGCCTTTGGTGGCTTGCTCGCCTATGGAATCGGACAGATGGATGGTGCTCGCGGGTGGAGAGGCTGGCGTTGGGTGTTTGTGATTGAGGGTGCCATCACCTGCGCCTTCGCCATTGTCTGGTTATTTGTGCTGCCCGACTTTCCCGAAGAGGTCAAGTGGCTGAGCGATGAGGAGCGCGAGTTTGTGAAAGCCAAGCTGGCTAAAGATGTCGGCAAGTCAGCTCACCACATCAAGATGGGCTGGCGTGAGGTCGTGGGCGTCTTAAAGGACTGTAAGTGGAATGTTTCAATCAGAGCGTTGCTGAGTCAAAGTGTGATCATCTGACAATTTCTCCAGACAGGGTTATCATCGGAGGCTTTATGTACTTTGGTCTCATTGTTCCCGCATATGGTCAGTATGGCCTTATCATGCCTCAAAGCCGTGTGTTTCATTTGTGAACAACCTGTAACTGACCTGTCTTTCCTTGCATAGGTTACGCATATTTTGCACCCTCGATCATTAAAAGCTACGGATACTCTCGTAAGTCGTTCCATCTTTCAATTGTCACAGCGACCACCCCACTCATGACCGAATTTCAACAGCTGTCAAAACCCAACTATACTCAGTGGCACCATGGGCCGCCGCGTTTGCTTTTTCTCTCGTCATCGCCTGGTGCTCTGACCGTCTGAGATTCCGCTTTGCATTTACCATCTTCCCAATCTGCGTGGCAATCGCTGGCTTCGCCATGCTGATGTCCATTCACGGTAAGGAGAATCGAGGAGCCCAGTATGGCGCACTGTTCCTAGTCACCAGTGGTGCGTACAGCGCCATGCCTGTCATTGTCTGTTGGTTTGCTATGAACCTCGGTGGCCATCACCGACGCAGTGTGGGCTCAGCCTGGCAGATCGGCTTTGGTAATATTGGCGGCATTATCGCCACCTATTCCTTCTTCGACAGCGACGCACCCCTGTACAGAACAGGATATAGCATCTGCATCTCGTTCTGCTGTCTGTCCATCGTGGCGTGCACTATCTACGGCTTCCTACTTTGGCGCGAAAACCGCAAGCGCGACAACGTGCCCCCAGAAGCTCTCCCATCGTCGACCGAGGAGGAGTATCTCGGCGATCTCGCTCTCAGCTACCGATACCAGCTTTAGACGTGCAAATGTTATCAAGCGATCTATGACGGGCAGACTTCTCTCATTTTCCACCAAACGCCAGACTGTCAACTTAAATTGGGATACCCTGTGGCAAAAGGTGGAATATACTTCGCTCTCTTGAAACAGGAGCCATGAAAGACTGAAAAGTCTGGGTCTTGAATGCTAATGATATGATGTGATCTACATAATAAATCATCTAATTAAATTCCATCTACTAAACAATAAGCGGGACAAGAATTTATATTCTTGAGTTGTCAACTTTAAGTAGTACAGAAATTAGAATCCCATGGAAGATATGATCACAGGATTACCTTCCAAAAAGTCCCCACAGGAAAACACCATCTTCGCAGAGTCACTCTCAAACGTGTCATTGACCAGCAGAAGGCCCAGCAACAAAGTTCTGCCCCGCCTGAAGCGCTACCGTGTTTGGCCTCTTGGAGCACTCCTCAGACTAAACATGTCAGTGTGTGATGTAAACAGTCACGTGGGCTGTCTGCTGGGCAGGCCCTCAATTCGGCTAGCGGCTCGCTTAGCTGAGTAAGCTGCCCAACACACAAATGCGTCGCGGGTCATCGCACTTTCGTCTTCCCTCAACCATCTCTCCTCATTTTCGCAGAATAGTGAGTCGCATTTCCAGCCCAAGAAAGATGATTCGCCTCGGCATGCAATTGCTAACCATGACCTCCTTCACAGAACATCTACGAAGATGAGAGCTAAGTGGAGAAAGAAGCGCGTTCGTCGTCTCAAGCGCAAGCGCAGAAAGATGCGCGCCAGATCGTGAGTTTATCTGCCCTCGAATTGCGATTGCTTCTCCAAGCGATCGCATCGCCTGCCAACGACAATGATGTTTCACGATGCTAACAGTTCTGGTCAGGAAATAAACTACTCGCCCACTCCATCTCAGTTCTTCGGATTGAGGCCCACGTTTGAACGCCGAACATGACAACCCACGAATGGATATCATGACTTGCACGTCGCGTATCGTTCATCGCCTTTCATAAAAACAAGCTGCATTTTCGAATATGGTCTCTGCTCTCGTTGAGACCTGGCTTTTCACCGGTAGAATCTCGTTCGAACAACTTCTGTTCTCCGTTTCCCAATCCCCAGATTTTCTACATCGCCGGTCACATGTCGAATATTGCATCCAGGTGGTAACACATTGGATCTCAAGCTTGGAAAGGCTCCTATGTTCGGTGGAGGATTGGAGGATTGGTGCTCTGCTGATCCTGCTGGGATTTTGATACCGAGGTTCTGGTCAACCACCAGCTCAGTTGTTTCCCGCATAACCGTTTTTTTTGGATTCGTTCAAATATCGGGAGCTATGGAGAGGTTTCCATCCGAGAGTTTAAAAATTTACTGAACGATCGGTTCACTAGCCACACCAGTTATGAATCGATGACTTGAAAAGTATTCTCATTGTTCAAGCCTGAGTAATTTCGCATCCATATTCTTCCGTAGGACATTGATGTAATTGGAAAATGTGAACCTCATGTAACCATACTTTTGCATTCTGGATGTGTGCGAATTTCCGCTGTCGTGCTTCATTTGTGCGGGATCCGTATACACCGCCTGCCTGATACAGCTTCCTCGGATTTTTTTCTGCCACCGACTCGATAATGATTTGATGAAACTCGTCAGTCGCAAGACACTAGCAGATTCGAAATTGTACAGCTGGGACTGACGAATTCCCACTCACACCGAAATGCCTTCAGAAAAGATTGACAAGAAGCGCAAGCGCACATCAGACCGAAATGAGAGGCCAACAAAGAAGCCTAGCCTGCAGACTCTTCCGACTCTCGCCGCCAGTGTCATTGAGGACAAGAGCGAATTGGCGCCTGTAATTGGTATGCGCAGATCTAGCTTGAGAATTTCTCTCTATCACTTGACTGACATGCTCTCCACCCGATAGCCACGACTCCCGGCGTTCTCAACTCCAAGGACCTCCGGTTCAACCCATACACCAAGTCTCGTCACAATGCCGAGCGGACAGCGACCCGTAATGCGGGCATTGTCGGTGCCGAGATGCTGCTGCAGTCTTCCGAACATGAGAAAATGGACTTTGTTGGTCGTGAAGGAACAGGCGAAGATGCGGATTCTCAATTGACGCACTACGTTGCTGTTGTGGACCCTGAGCGCAAAACATGGCAAGTCATCGAGGCGCGGCGAGTCACCGTGCGTGGTGCTGTTCGAAGCAGAAAGCCCGTGGAAGAGGAGTCGGAGGAGTCGGAGGAGGAAATGGTTAGAAACTCCTGTCCCTGTTCCAACACCTTGGCTTCAGAGGCCTCACAGTATTGTCACGAGTCGATCAAAGCTCGTAAGGCAAGGAGAACATCGCTGATAAACTTCTGTCTACAGAACACAATGCGTGCCCAACGAACCAACCTCACCAACACCTTCGGTACCAAGCAATCTCGCAAGGCTGTTCAATCCATGGCCGAGAACGCCCAACTATCCAACGCCCCCGCTGGCACGCTCAACGAAGCTGGCGCCGCCCTCATCTCTACTCTTCCTGCCGATGTGGCTTCCGGTCTCGCCAAGGCCAGCAGCGTGCAAGCCGAAGTGCAGGCAGCCAAGCCCCTCCCTACCCCCGATCTTACTGCTGCTCATCCCTCGGACGTTTACTCGCTCGAGACCTTGGTGCCCGGTGGTCATTCCACTCTGCGTCAATTGACCGGTGTCGACGAATGGGTAGAGCAAGTGGAATCTGGACTGAGCATCGTCACCGGCTCCCGATACGTCTCCAACCGGGTCGTGGCGGTTGCGCAATCCGGCAACACCACGCAGATCCAGGTTCTCCGCTTCATTCAGTTACTGCTTGAATTCGCCCGCTCACTGAAGGGCATGGGCCGTGATAAGGGCGCCGGCCCCGGAAGCAAGAAGCTCCCTCCCCGCGAAGATCTGCGCAAGATCCTCTCGAGCACATCTGGCGCCGGCGCCACCAGCACCACCAAGGCCGGCAAGGAGGAGGACGATTCAAACCTCGCGCTTCTTCCGGATTCCGTGGTCGATGCTGTTCGTCGCCGATTCGCGCCCCAGGGCGGCTTCCTCTCCAAGCATGACCTGACCCTGCTGCACACGACCATCTGCGCTCTCAGCTTCCATATTCCTCCCCAGCCGGCCAAGGACGGTGGCTCCAGCTCACTGGGCGGTAACTCGCCCAATGAACTTGCCACTGATCCCTCGGATCTGCGTGATGACCTTCGCCTCGACTCGAATACCATCCAGCAATACTTCCGTGAATTGGGTTGTCGCATCGACAAGCCCCGTGAATCTGAGTTTGCCAAGTGGAATATCAAGGGCGGTAAGGCTGAGGCAGCGGCTCGTCGGATTGCACGCTTGCGCATTCCTCTCGAGTTTCCCAAGGTCAGCCGTGGAGGTCGCAAGTAGAAAGGTCTCTTTCGTTACTGGGGTCTTCTGAGCATTGTGTTGAGTATACGGGAAGGGGTTCTCTTTTGCTTCGTTGCAGCGGTTTCGCCTCGACTTGGGGTCGCAGGCCACAAAATTCTGTTTCACGTCGTACACTACTATTTGGGATTGACATTACATGTATATCCGGCGTTGTTATATTGGAACCTACAATTAGGTCGTAAATATGCCGATTCTTTTGACTCTTCGCGTGCACATTTCCTCTTCGTAGGATCTGTGACCTGAGCCCTCCTGTCCTAATACCTATCTATCACTCTTTTATAATATCCTGGATATGCACATGTTTCACTGCGCCTGCTCGCGCACAAACTCATCAATCGCAGCCAGCCCCTTCTCCATGACCACCGGATCAACAGTAACATGAACCCTCACAAACCCACGCAACATCTCCAACCTCTCTCCTTCATCCTCCATCCCAGTCCCCTGCAAATGAACGTCCCCGACAATCCCAAAACACTTCGTCCCCGGCGCCAACAAAACCCCCTTCTGTCGGACCAACGCCTCGCAAAACTCCACATCATCCACAGGCTCCCCGGTTTTCCCATCTCTGAACCTCAGGAAGCCCGTTCCTCCCGCTACGGGCCTTGCCCACGAACACACGTCCTTGTGCTTCGCCACGAACGCATCGAGCATTTGGAGATTGCGTCGGGCGAGTTCAAGATGTTTCGCTTGGATCGCGGGTCGGCAGCGGTCACTTAGGGCTTCTGCGGCGATGAGCTCGTCGATGTTGCTTAGGGCCATGATGGTGTACAGGCCGCGGTTGAAGCACCGGGAGAGAATGGTTGGGTTGCGGGTGGCGAGCCAGCCGATTCGCAGACCGGAAAGACCCCATGCTTTGCTCATGGAGCTGGTGATGATGATATTCTCGTAGGGGGGCGAAGAGGCAGAAAGAGCAGACGTGGGAGAGTCTGTTGAAGGCGAAGGGCCCGGCAAGTCGACGAAGGATAAAGGCGCGTCTTTGGAATCCGAGACCCCGTGGTGGAGAGCGAGGAAGATCTCGTCTGCGAGGACGGTGATGTTGTGCGAACGGGCTATCGAGACGATCTCCATCTGCGTTTGTTTTGAAAGGACAGTACCGGTGGGATTATTGGGATTGTTGACGACGATAAGCTTGGTCGTTGGTCTGATCAGTGCTTTGAGTTGGTTGATATCAGGTCTTGCCTGGTCGTCGAGGTCGAGCTTCCAATACGAGACGTCCACGTTTGGAACGGCCTTTGGCAGCGAGATGAGCTGCGTGTAGCAGGGATACATGGCGATGACATGGTCGCCGGGATTGAGCAAGCTCTGGAATAGCAGGGCGTTGGCTCCGGTTGTGCCGTGCGTTGGGAAGATGTGGTCTGCGGTGATGGTCTCGTTGTATAGGCCGGCGATTTGGTGGCGCAGCTGTGCGCCGCCGCTGAACGATCCCAGTGTCATTTTGAGAGATTGGATACTGGCCAGATTGGCGGTTGTTGTCTCTTTGTCCGTGGACAGATCGATGAGATCTTGTACGGAGAGGCCGGGCGTGGCACTTCCAGCCAAGGGTAGAGACGCTGCAGCCCCTTGGGAGTCGATCCACTGCGAGTTGAAAATTGTTAGACGTGGACTATCTGGATGCAATCCGACGGGGATGCTGTATGGATCAATTTCTAACCTGGGGAAGCGCAAACGGTGCAATCTCGCTCATCTTGAAGAGTGCCGAGTGATTCTCAAATCGCGATAATGAATAGATCAGAGCCTCGGATCTCAGCGTCTGCCCTTTAAGTATTCCAGAGTCCAGACAAGAAAGTTCAGTGACTAGTCCTCGGGAACAAACTTGTATTATCAATCATCCAGCCCAACTTGGAGTGAAACCGTCTGAGTCATCGTACAATATCAGGGAAGCTGCAGACTTGATTGACGCATTGCCAATATTCTACCCCGCAACAGTGGATCTCGTTGGAGTCGAATGGAAGTTCCTCTTGCCTACGCAAGTTGGAGGTTGGAACACCGTGGTTAATGAAAGTTTAAAGCTGCCGAAGTTTCTGAATAGAGAAAGTCACGTCCGAGACTTGAACAAATGATGATATGCAGCATTGGCCATCATGAATGAGTCTGCCAGTCTTTCATGGACCATGGAGTACATCCAAGTATACAAAACGCATAAGAGCGCTGTTACAGGTGTGTGTGTGTGTGTGTGTGTGTGTGTGTGTGTTGGGATGTTTATGCAGCGGCGAGCCCCGGCCCAGCTTGTATCCTGAGAAAATTGCTACTACGTTGAGTTCTACGCGCGGAAGAAAGTGACTCGCTCTCCCTGAAACCCCGATGTATTTGACTTGACTCAGATCTCGGCCAACATGGACGCGAGATGAGATCATGGAGGGAAACTCTGGATATACTATGCTCGTCAACCAAGCACAATGCATCGTATGCATCGTCTAGTCTGATGGACAGCATTCCATAAACAACTGGATCGTACGACCATCACGATTGGCACAAGAAGTGATCAAGACAAGAGTCTCGAAACGAGTAAGAGGGAGAGAGAGAGAGAAAAAAAAAAACCTTTTCATCTCAGACAAACGCTGAAACATTGCAAGATTGTCTGCAATATGTGGATGTGATTATGTTCAAAAAGAAGGAATGGACAGGCATATGTATCGGGTCACATACGACCCGAAGCCCAAGGAAAGCAACAAGTGCTTCTCGCATGCTGCAAATGCTTTATGCGGAAATGGCCTTCTCGGCGGCCTCGGTGCTGAGCTCACGAGCAATGGCAGATTCGAGAGGCTCGGCAGCATCCACGCCAAGTTGGAAGTCCTTCCAGATGGGCTGGTTGGCCTCCTCGGCACCATCAACGCCGACTCCGACGAAGCCACCTCGCGCCTGCCAGTCACTGGTGCGCTTGATGCCCAGGTCATTCCAGACAGCCTGCACCGCCTGGACCAGGTGGTCACGAAGAGGCTTGACGTGGCCTGGGGTTGGGGTGATGCGCAGACGCTCCTCGCCACGGGGTACGGTGGGGTAGTTGATGGCCTGCACGTAGATACCATGCTCTTCCAAAAGCTTATCAGAGGCGCGCTTGGCCAAGTCGGCATCTCCAACCAAGAGCGGGACGATGTGTGAGGGGTTGGGAATGACGGGGATGTCCAGTTCCTTCAGAGCGGTCTTGACAGCTCTAGTGTGCAACTGCTGAAGGATGCGATCGCGAGGTTGCTGCATCTGGTACTGAATCGCAGCGTCGGCACCCGCCATCGTGGCAGGGGGGAGAGGTGGTGAAAATGAAGCCGGGCGCCAGAGAGCGGATCGTGTCCACGAGGTTGGCAGAACCGGCGATATACCCTCCAACACAGCCATAGGCCTTGCCCAGAGTACCGGTGATGATGTCGATGCGATCCATGACAGTGCCCTTGGTGCTCTTGGGCGAAGCAGTGTCCTGCGAGGCATAAACGTCGTAATCCAGGTGCTCTGCAACACCTGCCCCGTGTGGGCCGTACATTCCGACGGCGTGAACTTCGTCATTGAAGGTAATGGCACCGTACTTGTCGGCGAGGTCACAGATTGCTTCAATCGGGGCGATTGATCCGCACATACTGTAGACGGACTCGAACGCGATAATCTTGGGAACGTGGAGGGGGAGAGATGCCAGCTTGGCTTCCAGGTCTTTCAAGTCATTGTGCTTGAAGACCATCTTCTTCGCACCGGAGTGGCGAATACCTTGGATCATCGAAGCATGATTGAGACTGTCTGACAGAATCACACAATCGGGCAGCTTGCTGCCGAGTGTGGCTAGAGTGGCGTCGTTGGCCACGAAGCATGAACTGAAGACCAGGGCAGCCTCCTTTCCATGTAACTTGGCCAAGGTATCTTCCAGGGCCACGGCGTGCTTGTTATGGCCGGAAATGTTACGGGTACCACCGGCGCCCGCACCATAGGTGTCGAGCGTCCGGTGCATGGACTCGAGGACTTGGGGATTGCGGCCCATGCCCAGGTAGTCGTTCGAGCACCAGACAGTGACGCGCTCCTCCGCGGAGGCTGTGTGGGCACGAGGGAACTCCTTGGCCAAGCGATTGATGTTGTTGAAGTAGCGATAGGACTTGTCCTTGTGCTTCTTCTCCAATTCGCCATTGTAGAATGCATCGTAGTCGAACTGAGAAGTGACGGGAGCGGCCGGGCGAGGACCACGAACCGAGGGTTGGGCGGCGGGAGTCGAGCGCAATGTCTTGGCCAGGCTGGGATGGACTATAGGGACACGAGGGCTTGTCAGCACATTAAATCTCAGTGGGGTATATTGTCTTCTTTGGGAGGGGTTTGTCTTACCTGACTCGGTCTTCTCATAGGTGCCGGGGGCGACACTGGCGGGATGACCCCCGGTCGTGTGCAACGCGCGCTTGCTCATCGGGCGCAACGGCGCAGCGGCGGCAGTGCTGGAAGAGGAGGAGAAGCGCTTGAGGCCAGACATGCGAGCAGACTGCACAGCCAAGGCCTTGCTCATCACGGGGCAGCGGCGAGCCACGACCTGGAGGTTGGACATGGTGCCACCGCCGCCGCTCGGATGAGCGGCGGACGACAGGGTCCGCAAGGTCGTGGGAGCGGTGCGCTTGAGGAAGGGGCACATAGCCCGGGACTGCTGAAGCATTGCCTCCATGGTGATGCGAATTGGGATGAATAAACCCCTAAACCGGCGACAATGGGTGGTGTAAGGGAAGACGAAGTTGAGAGCGGGAGAGACGCAAAACGAAAAAGGAATCCCAGGACTTCAGAGGCCGATCAGATCCCGGGGGCACGGAGAGTCCGGTGAAAATCGATCCGCGCGGCGGGGAGAGGCTGACTCATCCTGCGCTGACAAAGTTCACTTGATCATTGGTGGACGGGGCCGGAGCCGTCTGGCCCTGAAAGCCTCGGTCCCAATCGGGCAAGTGTACAGCCTCCTCGGATCATCCTGGCCGTGAACAGAAGAGAGCCAAGAGAGCATACCTTTGCTCTAATCAACACCATAGCACGGCGCCAGAGGATGATCGGTTGAAGGTTGGTGACTGCAGAGGCGTCCTTAGTAGATCTTCGGGTACTTCTACCGGAGTATCCGGTACCTAAGATGAAGCCATTCGTGGGTACTCTTGTAGTGTATTCTATACATGGCTTGAGGTGTACTAGATGTCTCATATCAAGTACCCCGTACAAAGCCAATCCTGTGGCTGAACTCTCGCTCGGTTTCCGAGCTCAATCGCGACTAACCCTAGCCAGTTGACGAGCATCAAGCTTGGAAGGGACCCCTAGACGACGAGCCGATTCTCGATGAGAATGCGGGGTAATTAGTCTCTGTGAATCCTCTGTCTCCGAATTCGTCTTTCCACTTGACTCTTGTCAATTGAAGAACAGGTCTCGAAGACCCTACAATCAAAACATGTCTGCTGCAAATCATTACGCCAGCAGGCTTGCCTCTCTTCCGTGATGCGCCGGTAGATTTGATCTCAGTCAGTTTGGGATCCTCCGCCGCAAATGGGCCCTGCAGTTGCAAAGCAGTGTCAACGATGATTTTGGTGAATTCTACAGTGTACAAACTACATAGCCGTGGTGTGACTTGCATGTCACAGAATACGGATAGATTCAGCGCTGACATCTGGGTGTACCTGATGCCGAGGGCGGAAGAGCCGGCTAGAGTGACTAGACCAGGGTAATCGTAGCGTAGATCGGGATAAGAGTGCCTCGACTACAATGCAAACACTCGCAAGTTAGACTCAACTGGGCATCAAAGATGATTCCCTTGTTTCATGTGATCTATCGGCGTCCCTCATTTGAAGCTTCAGCTCCATCGCGGTGCCAATGAAGATGTGGAAGTACCTACCTACACGAATTTGAGATCACACCGCCCATTGTGCCAGGGGCAGTAGATGTACAGTCACCACAGTACAAGCCCTCGTTCCACAGGCAATTGGATTTTATTATTCCGTCAGCGTCAGACAGCTTCTATGAAAAGCGCCACGAATCATAAGTTTGGTCTACATGCAAAACACCAAGAATGAAACAAATACAAGCGTCAGCATTGTACTCTCCACCGCAAGTGACCTTGTGTTTGGAAGCCTTCCCACTGGAACAACAACAGGGCGATCCACGATCAAAGGTTGATTGAGGCAGACAAATACGATCCATGTCTGCACGTGCATCAAAAGGAGCTCAAAAGTAGTCATAGGGTAATACATGTCATAGGAAAATAAGAGATAATAAAAAAGACAAACAATCGAGCGATTAGGAGGGGAAAGAAAGAAGATCATGGTCAAGGGGGGATAGAGAGAAGGAGAAAATGACCCAAACACAGAATCAACAGGCATATCGTAGACAGAAGGTACCACACAAGAACCGGCGGAGGCAAGTGAAATCCCGCATTGTCAGAAAGAAACGCCACCACCCAATTCAAGATAGAACGCAACAGTATGTAGAACATAGTCAACAGAAAGGTTGAACAATTACAGTAAAACAAAGCACATGATGTCTCTACGACTTCTCTCTAGCTGAGGCCGCCATCACCATCGATCAGACGGAGTCGTTCTTTCACGGTTTTGGCACGTTTGGATGAGCCAGCCTTACCCCCGCCACGACCACGACCACGCTTGGCTGGCGCGACAGAGGAGTTCCCTGGTACCGCGTCAAGATTGTCTGACATGGGGGTAGCAGCACCGGACGGTTTAGCACTGGCATCGTCAAAATGCCCCTCGCCTACAGACACAAACATCCTCGGGTCAGCTCATCTGCTTTCTACAGCCACGAGAGGGATTCGGTGGGCAGTGTGAACAGCATCACAAGAAACTTACCTTCGTGGTACATGTCATCCATCGTCAGCTCACGCTTACGCTTTCCAGGCGCCTTCTTACCGGCCTTGGGGACACCGAACGATTCACCACGCTCGAGCGCCTCCTTTTCTTTCTGCTCAATGAGCTCGGCTTCATCATCGTCCGCAAGCCACATCGCAATATCCTTGGTACGATTCTCACGAGCGCGAGTGTTGAAGTCAACACCGCCAGCGGCACCACCGGAGATAACGACACGCTGCACCTCCTCCTTTTGTAGTGCCCGTTTGCGAATTCGCTCTTCAATGGTGCCGCGGGTGATGAGGCGGTACACCGTGACTTGCCGCGTTTGCCCCAGACGATGGGCACGGTCCATGGCCTGTGAATCGATTGTGGGATTCCAGTCGGAATCATAGAAGATGACGGTGTCTGCTGCAGTCAAGTTGATACCAAGGCCACCGGCACGTGTCGACAAAAGGAAGACGAAGATTTCTGGATTCGACTGGAAGTCGGCAACTGTATCTCGACGGTCCTCCAACTTCGTACTTCCGTCGAGTCGACAGTACTTGTAGTTTCGGTAGGTCAGGTACTCTTCCATCAGATCGATCATGCGCGTCATCTGGAAGTACAGCAGAACACGGTGGCCACCTGGCTTGAGCTCCCGCAATAGCTCGTCCAGCTTGGCAAGCTTGCCGGAATCTGTGACAAACCGTCGCATTGACGGAACCTCGACATGAGTGTATCTAGCCTTGCGCGACAGTGGTTCTGGTAGCATCGGTGGCTTCGAGTACGGTGAAGGTTCGGCCTTGTTGAGCAAGAGTTGCTCCTCGAGGTATCTTGAGGGTTTGCTATACATTGCAGAGCGGACGTCAGGATTGAAGAGGGCACGCCGAGTCTCGAGCTCAGCGCCTTGACCCGAGCAAGAAAGGGTGATGGGCGGAGCTGAAGCCGCAGGCGCAGCGCATGGTTCAATCATGTTCAGACCTTGGTCTTCGAACTTTGTCCGGGAAACGTTCAACAAGTTGCGCATGATACCGTCTGGAGTAATTTCGTTCAGGGCCTGACGATTGTTCCGCGCCACAATGTTCATCAAAGACTGAGGCATTACAGTATAGTCGGGGTAAGCCTCCTTGTCGTCATAGACGACATTCAATCTGGAGAGCTTGTCCTTGAGCGCACCGCGGGTTTGCAAGGCACGCTCAAGTACCCCAGAGCGGCCGTATTGGCTCGCCTCTCCGGCCGAGGTCTCAACAAAGCGCAGGAATGAGAATGCGCCGTCCATACGCGAGCTCTCGTGGACATTTTGCGGGTCCCAAATGTTCATCATATGGTCCAAATACTTGCCTCGGAACCCAGCACGATCATTTCCGGGGCCTGGCATATCCGTACGGCCATCCGCGCTGCACAGTAAGCGGGGCACTTGGTACTCAATTCGATTTCTGATGGAGTACCGGAGATCGACAAAGGGTCCTTCGCGAATGAAGGAGGCACACTCAGCAAAGGTTCCGAGGGAGAGTGGCGATCTGGTCTCGGCACGCTCGAAGAGATCCGGGTGATTGCAGACCTTTCGGAACTGCATGACCAAGTTCATGAGCGTGGTATTATCCGTCTCGTCGCCGACTACAGCCTTCTCGATAATGTCGATAATGCTCACACGATTGCGCAGGTTCGCATACAGGGCACGCTGGCGGTAGTTGAGGTCGCAGAAAATATCCTTCTCGACCTTGTCGCCAAGTTCTTGTTGAACATGCTTCTTGACACGACGGAGCATGAAAGGCTTGAGAATCATGTGCAGACGCCTCAGTTGATCCTCGTTCAGTTTCGTGTTACTCTGCGCATGAGATTCAATGTCCTTGGAAAACCACTCACTGAACTCGTCGTGAGAGTCGAACAAGGTCGGCATGATGAAGTGGAGCAAAGCCCACAGCTCTTGCATGTTGTTTTGAATCGGTGTACCAGTGAGGAGCAGGCGATTGCGGCAGGAGAAGCCCAGCAGATTCTTCCATCGCGAACTTTGCGAAGACTTGATGGCCTGAGCCTCGTCTAGGATCATGTACTGCCACTTGACCTTCTGGAAGTATTGTGCATCGACAACCACCAGCTGGTACGAAGTGACAAGCACGTGAAACTCTGACTCGCGAGTGTACGTGATGTGTTTGCGGTCCCAGAATTTACGGAGAATCTTGCGATCCTTCGTGGTTCCCCAATAAGGAAGCACCTTTAGGTTGGGCACGAACTTGGCAATTTCTTGTTGCCAGTTGTGCAAGGTGGACGCAGGGGCAATCACGAGGAAGGGACCCCAGATGTTGTGGAATTCCGCGAGATAGGCCATGACGGATATCGATTGAATGGTCTTACCCAGACCCATCTCATCCGCAAGGATACCATTGATACCTTGCTCGTACAGGTTGACAAGCCAGTTCAGACCCTTCAGCTGATAGTCCTTCAGCTTGGCGGTCAACATGGTCGGCTGTGAGATTTCAATGTCACCTAAACTGGTCGGATTCTGGAAGTTCATCTCGCCTTCATCAAAGGCCGCCATCTTGTCGTCACCATCCTGCTTGTTGAAGGCGCGGGCACGATCCTGGGCTTGCTGCACGGCATTCTGAGCGTTTGCCATGGCAGCCTGTTGCAAGACGCTTTCATCCTCTGCATCAAAGTCGATATCCTCAAAGTTGGTGACCTTGGCGTTCTGATCGGCAACGCTGTCAGGCAGGTCGACCGTGTGTGCCGTAGGCTTGCCTGGTTGGATAGTCTCGTTGCTCCCGGCAACCGTACCATCTCCAATCGCCTCTGCTTCGGCGGTTTTGATCTTGCGACCAATGAAATGGGAGTACAGCTCTGTCTGGGAGATCAGGAAGTTCAGCTTCCGCTTCTGTCGGTTGGCCTCACGCTCCGCCTCAGCCTTCTTCGCCGACTCGAGCTCTTGCTTCTCAGCCAAACGACGAAGATCACGCTCCTCTCGCTCGTTGCGTTTCCAAAAGCCCATCATCTCACGCATGTTGCGCTTGGCACGGGCTTGGGTATCCTTGGTACTTTTATTGGTCCGTTCTTGCCATTTGCGTGACTGCTTGCCAGCCAGCTGGGCTGTCTTACGCGAGTTCTCTTGACGATTGGAAAGCGAGGCCGTCTTGATACGGTAAACCTTGGGACACTCTTTGCGAGCAGTGTCACGCCAGATCTGCTCGTAAATCTGGTTGTAGCCCTTGCTCTCATAGTGCAGATGAATGATGGGCGTGGCTTCCTTGGACCGGGCATCCTTCTTGGGCTCGCGCGGGGTGGGCAGGACGGAGTCATCCTCCAAGCCGGCCAGATAGGCGTTCTCGGCGGCATCTTTCTCCGCCTGTTTCTGCTCCTTGGATTTCTTGGGCCGCGCCGATGGGCCACCACGTCCCGACTTGCGGCGCGAAGGTGAGCCGCGACCAACATGGAAGGAGCTCGTTGTACCCCCCTCGAGGTTGGGAGCCAGGGGCGTCACCTCGCCGAGCTCATCTTGAGCATTGCCACCTTCCAGCGCACGCTTTGTCGACCGAATCTTCTTTTGTGCCCGCTCTGCCTCGCGCAAGAATTTGGCCTTTTCAGCGGAATCCTGAGCCTTGTCGGCCTTTCGTTCGGCCTCCAGCTTCTTCTGCATTTCCAAGCGGACGGTGTTCTCGCGGCGACGTTTTCGTTGCATATCCTTCTTGCGCTCCTTCTCGTCCTGAATCTCTTTCTGTTGCACTTCGGCAACGACCGAGCTTTCGTGACTGACACGGAATCGTTCTGCACCGAGGATGGCATGCTTCTCGAAAGATCGTCCCAACTCATTCAAGGTGTGATTGCGTCGACGCTAGATGGCTTGTTAGCGGGACTGCGGATGATAGCATTCAATCTAGTTTACATGACTAGCTAGTGTACTTACCTTGCGGCTGATTCGTTCCGTCCGAGAAGTCTCCAAGAGTCGTTTCTTGCTTTTTTCCTGGAACTTCTCTAGTTCCTCATCAAAACCTGGACAGTCGACATCACTCTTGTCGCCACTATCAATATCTATCATCGCCCGGTGAACCTGATCGGTATCGACACCAGCGGGCGGGGTGTCCTTCTTTTGTGCCGGGCGAGGGGCCAGGGCGACCGGCTCCGTCGCGGTCTTGGACGACCCGTTGGGTGTGAAGATCCCCTTGGGTGGCTCCACCAGAGGCTTAGGCTCTACTTTTGGTATTCTGTCGGATTTGTGAAGGAAAGTGCCCGGCACCGGTCCTGTTTCAGGCTGACGGGGTTCAAGCTTTGGCGGAGTCGGCGACGCGGGTTTCGTCGCAGCGGGAGGAGGAGTGGATTTTCGGGCCGGCTGTTCTTCTGTTGGTCCGGACAAGATGCTGGCAAATGACATGGGATCCGCGGCGCGTGTTGGCTTCTGGAAATCATGCAAGCATGATTGTCAGTTAAAGTTCCCTGAGATCGACGTTCATCTATCGACTATTCCGGTGGAGGTCGGTCTAGTATCTAGGAAGGGGAGGGGAAGGAAGGCCAGTGAGAAGAGAAGAAGACCCTTTCTTCATGGACGTACCGATTCCCGCACCGGGGACGTTGATTTGGGCGCCGAGGATCCATAGACGACGCCATTGCCTCTGAGGCCGTAAGGCGAATGAGAATCCCGAGTTGGTGACTGCGAATGGCTCTCCAAACGACTTGTCGGATGAGCGTGGGCGGCTGAGGGCCCGTAGGGCGAGGTGCCATTGCCAGTCATGACGGTTGATGAAAAAGGACGGGGCAGCGGCAGCCCTGGAGTGGCACTCCCTGATGGACCTGATGAGTATTGAGAGGAAGTCTCCGGAAGAGATGGGGGTGGAGGAGGTGCGGCCCCATTCAAGGGCGGTGGAAGGGTTGACGAAGGAAGCGGCGACGCGTGGGTAAAGCGCGGGCTCCGCGACACGGCTGCAGCACCAAAAGCTGGAGGAGTCTGCGGAGCAGGAGGGTGCGCAAAGGATGGCTGTGGTTGCTGCGGTCCCTGCGACGGCTCATTGCTCGGGTAGAAAGAATGATTCTTGGCCGGAGACTCGTTGGCCGCAAATCGGGGCTGCTGCTGGGGGGATTCACCGTTGTACGGCTGAGCGCCCGTCATATTGTGCGGGAGTCCGATGCCGAACCTGCGCAGCAAGGACGATTTTAACCTAGGGAAATGCAGCTGCCAAGGATGGAAAGACTGAGACGGAAGGGCAAGAAACGAGAGATGGGATTGATGGTGAGATGGGAGTCAGCCTCCGACGGATTTTCTCATGAACTCGCTAGCCCAGGACTTTGTGGTCTTTTGATGAGGATCTGGGGGGATCCCGCACGGACGCGACGTCAGCTGGAAAGAGGAATAGCCGCGTAGAAAAGGTCAGGTCGAGAGTGGTCCAGTTGAAGCTTTCAGCGAGAATGATGAAGATGTTGATGCTCCAGCGGAGGATGGAAAAGGTTACGTTTGGAAGAGTGGGAAGCTGCAGGAGGATGGAAGTTCTTTGTGGCCGCGGCAAACCCAAGTCAGAGCAAGCGCGGGTTGGGGGGGAAAAAGGAAAGGCAAAAGGGTCAATGAGACACTAGGCGAGGATGCAGGGGAAACGGTGATCGAGACTGGCGGCGATGATCATTTGAGACCGGATGAGAGATATCGAGAGTTGGAGATGAGAAGGGATGAGGTGATCTCTACGATATGCCTCGAGTTCGGAGGAAAAGATCATCAAAGTCGGTCTTGGGAGGAAAATGAACGGAGGGGGCAATGGTTCAAGGTTGTTTGGTGGGTGATGAGATTATCCGGTAGGTTCTCTCGTTCGGGGCCGACCTGAAGGAAGAGGCTGCCTTTTTTTTCCGTTGCCTCGAGTCGACGGCCGCTCTTTTGGCGATGAAGTTTGTATGATTTCTACCTGGGATAGGGCTCTCTCTCTCTATGATTGACATTCGATTGTGCAGACCGATATGTCGAGGGCTGGCTCCAATGAAAGATCTCATTATGTTTACCATCTCATTTTCAGTGTTGGGCTATCGCAATCTCGTGACAATTGATGCAACGGATGGATACTTTCCATGTCCGATCCTCTCCATCTGATGGTGGTGTCGTGTACTTCCGTGCTGGGCCGCAGTTCATCCAATACAAACAACTCCATACATCAGAGGACCAATCCGCCGGTCGGAATGCAGATCTGGTCGGAGAGATCTTATTCTACCGGATCAGATATTTCGTTCTGTCCTTCTCAACAAACAAGTTACAAAGAGTCCATTGGCGTCTCTTTCGGCCATCAATCGCATCTTTTCATGGCGAGAGCCTGGTTCCTAGCCAAGTGAACGGACGCTACGGTCGTTTCTTCTGGGCCCGATGGACTCGGTCGTGGCCAATCCCGTGACCTGTCCGACGGTGCCTGTCCCCATATGCCGATTGTGCCGCATAACGAGAAAAGAGTAGAGTCATGACAGCGAAAACAATATGAGCTTTGAAGAATGAACCCGAACTCCGGAGTACCATAGTTTCCCCGTACCTGGAGATTGAGACTCAAAGAGACATCAGTAGATGGTATTGAGCTTGATTTTGTCCAACTTCAAGTCCAAAAGGCTCTCTGCTCGTCATTCCGATGACGGAGATACATGCCAAGGCTGAGAGCCACGCCTCGTCAGTGTCAGTGTCAAAGTCAGTGTCGAGCGACGGACATCGAGATCGAATCCTGGTCCTGGAGAGCCATGACTATAGCAGCCTCCTCTTTCAGGTCACCATTCATAAGAGCGTTCATTGCAGGGCAAGTGATTCGTCATTCAAGCTTAATGGGCAGTAGACAAGCATGCAAGGTTGAGTATTAGTTGGTTGAACTCATCAAGTCTCAGGTGATTTGCGGCGCTGGTCATCCCATAACCCCAGGCCACACATAATTCTACAGTTTACAACACGCGCATAGGCAACAGCGACGAGAGCGTCTCCTGCTTTCGATCTCTGGCACGGTAGTTCGCTGTCGCTTTGAAGCCCTAGGAAGAGCGAGCGAGTACCCTCAAACACGTGACCAACAGACCCGTTGATCACGTGAGATCAAGGTGTGAGCATCATTGGTAGCGCCTCGTGTTTCAGGCTTCGCCTCAAGAGGTTGGTTCCGTTCCGTCTTTACTCTATAGCTGGCGATCAACGGGCATGGATCAAGCCAGCTTGCGTTGGCTTGTATCTCTGAAGCATAGAAGTAAGGTGCTCGGGCAAATATGGAATTTTGGTGATTTCGAATTTGTTCATACAGTTAGAGCTTCACATATCTACACTGCCACGCTATCATATTTTCATCTACGTTCGGCAGCTTTGCGGCGTTTACCAACGATTCATGCTCACCCAGAAAACTAAAGATCAAAATCGAGCCAATTTCATCATCGGCAAATTTCCAAACAAACTACTGGTATACGAAAGTTCATGTCACAAGGGTGACCTTCTACCCCCGGAACTCCAAGCTTTTTGTGAGAGGTAGGACGAGGCTCGAGCAGCAGTGGTACAGCCACGATCATCCCGTCTCGGGCGGGACCCGTTGGCGTGGCCCAGCTGACAGTTCCTGAGCGATCGTTACCCGCCATACTTCTGTAGTGACAACTTACAAGTGTCGTGACTTACTGCTTCAGTGCTTAATGCTTAATGGTACATAAAATGTACTCCTACGTAGTGCTGACTACTCGGCATCGGTTCGTTAGATGGTGGCTGATCGGAGAGATCTTCATTCATCATACTCTCCCCCCCCTCCTTTCTTCTCCGAATAAGGTCAGTTCAGTACCATCCATGATCACCGCATGCCGCATGGGCATACCCATCACCTGTGAATCCTGCTACCAGTCTTCCTCTGCGGGATGGTGGAGAAGTGGACCGAGGTGACGTCCTCCACTCGATCGGCTTTCCTATTCCCCAACGTGAAAGTACTTGGAGCTTTCGATCTTCTCGGGATGATCTGGACAAAGCCAGCTCCCCGCTTTCAGATGATGCAGCTCGCCTAAAAGAAGCAGATATCCCACTAGGATGGTGAAGTGGTCTGGCGCTAGCCTGAGTGGCAGTGGTGTCAGTGTCTTGTACCGTCAACCCTTCGGCCGAAGCGGTACTCGAGGCGATTGACAGGTGACAGGCAAGAGTGCAGCCGGAGCTCAGCAAGGGTGTTTCGACTCGAACTATGAGGCGTAACGAGCATATTTGAAATCAAAGGCAAAATATCCATGGTCAATTTCGACTTGACGCTCAAGACGTAAGATTCGATGTCAAAGATGAATGGTAGAAGTCGTGGAAACATAAGGCGATAGATTGTAGGACTAACAATGGATCGGCTGTCGGAAGCTCCATCAGCAGGTGGAACCACTTGGAGCAGTGAGATCGACGGGTTCGGGAGTATATGGAAAGGTCACAGTGACTCGACACGTTGTTCTGGGAGGGGCACATTGATCGATAATGAGCCATCGTCCACTCTCGTAGTGTAGCTGGGATCCGACCAGTTTCACCCGTATAGTGCCACCATCGGTCGTCAACATGGCATCATGAGGCGGTTTGCCCTGCATTGGGAAAATGCCGCCGAGCCGGTTTGCTTGTCCTGCCGATTTGTTGCCATCATCGACATCGTGCGATAAACCAGCTCCGACTCGGTCTCTGCCCCCCATCTTCGTGTTTGATGCGTGTGGGCAACGCACTTCTTAACCCCAACGTCTTCCCTTGTGTCTCACCTCTTCTCTCCTCTCATTCTACCTAACTATCAACCCAACCGAACTTTGCCTCCTTTCTGATCTTTCCAACCAACGTTTGTCCTCTTCATCAATCCACAAGCACTCGCCTGCCACTTCCCTATCCCATATTTACACCCACTGAATCAGTCTTGTCAACACTCTGCCAATATCTCACCCACTTCACCCTCGATGGCACCCCAAGTCCCGGAGAAGCAGTGGGCGCAGGTGGTGGAGAAGAAGGGTGGACCTCCCATCTACAAGGAGATCCCCGTGCCCAAGCCAGGTCCCGATGAGGTCCTCGTGCAGATCAAGTACTCGGGCGTCTGCCATACCGACCTGCACGCGATGAACGGTGACTGGCCTCTCCCTCTCAAGATGCCTCTCGTGGGTGGCCACGAAGGTGCCGGTATCATCGTCGCCAAGGGTGAACTCGCCAGCGGCGTCGAGATTGGTGACTATGCCGGTATCAAATGGCTGAATGGCTCTTGTCTGTCTTGCGAGTACTGCAAGACGGCCGATGAACCTCTCTGCGCCGGTCAGCAGCTGTCGGGTTACACCGTCGACGGCACATTCCAACAGTATGCCATTGGCAAGGCCGCTCATGTGACTCTCCTGCCCAAGGACATCCCCCTGGATGGTGTTGCTCCAGTCCTGTGTGCCGGTGTCACCGTCTACAAGGGTCTCAAGGAGTCGGAGGCTCGTCCAGGACAGACCGTCGCCATCGTCGGTGCCGGTGGTGGTCTTGGTGCCATGGCTCAGCAATATGCCAAGGCCATGGGTCTGCGTGTCATTGCTATCGACGGTGGTGATGAGAAGCGAGAGATGTGCGAGAAGCTTGGCTCCGAGGTGAGTACCACCCGACGTATCATTGAATGGATTTACCATCGACTTTTGATTCATGAACGTTCGCATGCAACCCCCAGTGAAGCTAACAAAGCCTGCCCCCTCCTTAGGTCTACATCGACTTTACCAAATCCAAGGATCTCGTCGCTGATGTCAAGGCCGCTACTCCCAACGGTCTCGGGGCCCACGCCGTCATCTTGCTCGCCGTCTCTGAGAAGCCCTTCCAGCAGGCTGTCGAGTACGCCCGTCCCCGCGGAAATATCGTCGCCATCGGTCTGCCTGCCAATGCCTTTCTCAAGGCCCCCGTCTTCGAGACCGTCGTGAAGATGATCAACATCAAGGGCAGCTACGTGGGCAACCGTCAGGACGCTGCCGAAGCAGTGGACTTTTATGCTCGCGGTCTGATCAAGATCCCCTTCAAGACCGTTCCTCTTAAGGACTTGCCCAAAGTGTTTGAGTTGATGGGTGAGTGATGCCCCTGCCTCTTCTCTTTTGTTTTTCTGCTCCTTTCGTTCCCCTCCTTGATCCAATTGTGACGATGTGCTAACCATGTGTCTTTCTCGGAACCAGAGCAAGGAAAGATCGCTGGGCGCTACGTCCTGCAAATGCCAGAGTAAAGTACTCAGCCGACCGACCCGGCCAACTCGAACAAACTCAAGGTGAACTCTCGCTCTCCGACTATGAGAGCAATGGGCCCTTTCTCCTCTCATGATCTGCCACACCTACCTCTGTATGAATAGCCAGTATTGCCATATGTCCCAATGCTGTGAGCTACATGAATGAGTAATGAAACATATTATTGAAATAAGGAGATGGGTGTGATTCGTAGCCCACTTCATATCAGGCACCCGTCCAGTGCTCCTCAAGCTATTGCGAGCAGGACTCAGTGAAGACACAAGCGTCTAGCACTTTTGAGAAGCTGACCAAAAACATCCTCAGTATCTCCTACCTTTGTACCTACTCTTCGTCAGTATTGCCAAACCTTGCCCACGCCAGGCAACGGGCGCACCCAAGTTAGACGCCGTACGTAGTGTAGCGCCTCATGATCGACAGACCCTCATCACATGACCGACGATCCGTCCTGTTCACTCCGCCATCACCAAAAACTTGAAGCCCAACTGTTCCTTAATGCCTCCTGGATTTCATGGAACCTTCACACCCTGTCAACAACTCATTCCCCGTGGAAAAATGTACAAACAAGTTGGTCGAGAAATAGCTGTGACCCGGTAATGATTAGAAGCCCATAAGTTGTTTGGATATTGTGCATTGTGCTTGCTATCTATGCCACGACTTGTCCAACATTCCCAGTAACGTCAGCTGAATATGGGGTAAGTCTTTTTCTTCTTGTCTTTTTTGAGGGGGGAAGCAGTGCTCGTTGATCTCTCAATGTCGTTTCATGCTGACTTATCCCCGCACGTGCACGGCAAAAAGCGAACGTCTTCGGGAACACCTGCGTCAACCTTTGAATCCTAAGAAGGCTGGGGGACGGGACTGCGTTGATTAATATCGAGAACGGCACAAATGATCGGTGGAAAGCGAGTAAAAAAGAGAGAAAAAACGTAAAAAGACATGGTCCCAGAGGGGGTCGAACCCTCGACTTTGGCGTTACAGACTTTGCAGCTGATATTAGCACCACACTCTAACCAACTGAGTTATGGAACCTTCGTTGGAGAACGGGCCTCGATTTGGACCATAGACTGGATATTTTTTCTGCCGGTAATTCCCGCCTTGTACCTGACCCGCATTGAAAAAAAAAAATGGTTCGTCTCCAATCACTTCAATAAGAGGCATAGAGGCACACCCTGAAAATCATATCAATTCGACATTTTCAAAGAGACAAAAACGTATGGACTCGCGGGGAATCGAACCCCGGACCACTCCCATGCTAAGGGAGTATTATACCACTAAACCACAAGCCCGCTTGCTTGGAGGGCGTTCTTGGTACGGTTATATCAAGCCACCCCGTGTCCCAGTGCGCCAAGTTCCGCTTCGAAAGACCCACCTGCACTCTTGGTAGGTACCTAACCTACATAGGATTGTGGCATACAAATTCTGAGGGCAGGTTCATCAATTGCAACGAAAGATGGAAGACCAAGATCTGGTTGTGAGGTTATGATTTATGCCGAGATCCGAAACGTGTGGCTGCTGTACTGTAGGCTCGGACGGCAATAGCATAGACCCTTCGAGATGTAGTGAGCCTTCAATTTTTCATTCTACCGAGCCTATCTGATCATCTGATCCCTGAGGTGGGCTGTATTGATCCATTGTTGTAGCGGCGGAGCTGGATGGAGGGCAACCCGATTGGGATCCATTGTGTCCGTTACCTAGGGCTGCCTGGAGAGCCTTGAATGGTCTGTATACCTGGGTGTGACCTGACTTTGATCCTTGTGTACGGCGGTCGATCCAGTATACCTAGTATGGTGGTAGGTAGGAAATTGAGGTGTCTATTTGCCCGATAGGTCGACCGCAGATGCCGCGACCTACCTATCTCCTAGATGGCCTTTCTCGTGGAGAACGGACGTCACCCGTGCTCGATACTTCCAATGTTGTTGGGTTGAGAAGTCTATCCTGGTTTGAAGATATATTTCCGGCCCTCACTCGATCAAGACAATTAACACAACCCAACTGCAGATTGTATCTAAAAATACGCACTCCAGATACTACACGAACATGCAGTACATCGAGAAGACTGATATAGATGGAGAAGAACGATCACATGCCCTTAAGTACTAAGGCCACGAGGGAATCCAGCGACTAGAACGTTCACCAGATCGAAACCTCCATCAATAACCGCGCGATAAGCTCCGATGGGCGGCTCCTCGCCGGACCGGTTTATCGCGCCGATAAGGACGGGCAAGCTTATCAGCCCCACGTTTGTTCCGGAGGGTCGATCATCATGACTTAACAGCATGTACATGAGACGGTCGATTCTGTAGCCGCCAAAATGACCAATTGACTGTGGTCAAAGTCAATGCAGAACAGAAAAAGAAGACTAATGGAAACCGCAAACCGGCCAACCGACACAGTCTCCCCACATTTCAATCAGGTTGTTCAATCCACTCAGGGCTCACAATGTCTTCAGTCCCAGGAAGAATGCCAGGAGTGCCGCTCTGCGTAGACCTTCTTGATTCGTCCCTTTCCCTTTCGGGACGCCTCGGCGTTTGCTATGTCACATCCGGAAGCGCTGATTGGCTCACAGCGCCGAGATCCAATGGTCTCGACGCGGGGAACGAGGACAAGGTGAGTTCTACGGGGAAAGATAACAAAAAAGTGTCGCCATCGAGATTGATATAAATGCTCTAGCCCCCGTGCTTTGCCCTTCCCATACCTTCCAAGTTGTCATCTTTAAACAAGCTCAATCAGGAATTGAGCAATATCATCATCTTCGGTGTGACACTTGGTTATCGCCCGCGCACCGAGTAACCTTGAGCCGCTGACCGCCCCCGCACTCAATCCCCTCATCCTTTACAAATCTCCCGCGAGAGTCAAATTCCAATTCACAATGGCCTCCGTTCTTCGCTGCGGCTCGAAGCTGCGCACTGCGGCTCATATGCCTGCAGCTCGCGCTCTTTCCACCACTGCTCGTCGTGCTGCGAATGAGAAGCCCTTCTTCCCCAACGAGCCTGCTGCTCCTACTGTCTCAACACCCATTCCCGGTCCCAAGAACAAGGCCGCCGCTGCCGAGCTTGACGAGGTCTTTGACGTGCGATCTCTGAACATGCTCGCTGACTACCACAAGTCTATTGGAAACTAGTACGACCAACCACCCATATTAGTGCTCTTTTCGACCGAAACTTTGCCACCACGGATGCTAACACCAGCTCACTTAAAACAGCATCGCTGACCTCGATGGCAACCAACTTCTCGATGTGTAAGTCATTGCGCTTTCTGATCCATGTTGTTGAAACAGCATAGCTTACACAGAATCGTACAGCTATGCTCAGATTGCCTCTATCCCCGTCGGCTACAACAACCCCCACCTCCGCCAGGTGTCTCAATCCGAGGAGATGATCACCTCGCTGATCAACCGTCCTGCCCTGGGCAACTTCCCCTCATCTGACTGGTCTCACATCCTCAGGACCGGTATCCTCCGTGCTGCTCCCAAGGGACTGAACCAGGTCTTCACCGCCATGGCTGGCTCTGATGCCAACGAGACTGCCTACAAGGCTGCCTTCATGTACTACCGTCAACTCCAGCGTGGTGGTCCCGAGGTTGACTTTACCGCCGAGGAGATCGAGTCCTCCATGAACAACCAGGGTCCTGGCTCTCCCCAGCTATCCATCTTGTCTTTCAAGTCTGCCTTCCACGGCCGTCTCTTTGGATCTCTCTCCACCACCCGCTCCAAGCCCATCCACAAGATGGATATCCCTGCCTTTGACTGGCCCCAGGCTACCTTCCCCATGCTGAAGTATCCCCTCGAGGAGCACGTGCAGGAGAACGCCGCCGAGGAGAAGCGCTGTCTGGAGGAGGTTGAGCGCCTGATCAAGGAGTACCACAACCCGGTGGCCGCCGTGATGGTCGAGCCCATTCAGTCGGAGGGTGGAGACAACCACGCCTCGCCCGCCTTCTTCCAGGGCCTGCGCGACATCACCAAGCGCAACAAGGTCCTCTTCATTGTTGATGAGGTGCAGACCGGTGTTGGTGCCACTGGCAAGTTCTGGGCTCACGATCACTGGAACCTGTCCACTCCCCCGACATGGTGACCTTCTCGAAGAAGGCCCAGACTGCTGGCTACTACTTTGGCAACCCAGCTCTCCGCCCCAACAAGCCCTACCGCCAGTTTAACACATGGATGGGTGACCCATCCCGTGCTCTGATCTTCCGTGGCATCATCGAGGAGATTGAGCGTCACGACCTGGTCGAGAACACCCGCATCACCGGCGACTATCTGTACGCCGGCCTGGAGCGTCTTGCCAAGCAGTACCCCGAACACTTCCAGAATCTCCGTGGTAAGAACCAGGGTACCTTCATCGCCTGGGATACTCCCAAGCGGGACCAATTCCTGGCCAAGGCCAAGACCGTCGGTGTGAACATTGGTGGCAGCGGTGCGCAGGCCGTCCGTCTGCGCCCCATGCTGATCTTCCAGAAGCACCACGCTGATATCCTGCTCGAGAGCATCGAGAAGACCATCAACCTGCTTTAATCGACTGAACTCTGTGTTGAGCCTTCCGCAAACGAGAATTGACTTTCGGGGCTATTGATACCCGCGGATCTTCATGGACTTTCTTGTCTTAATTTTGCGAATTTGTGAGCGTTTATGTCTGTTCTTTTTTCTCGTCATGTGATGTACGTCACGCTTTCAGTCCTGTGCCTGGAGAAAACACCGTGATATTTCATGTCCATAGACACTTTTTCTTCAAACTGATTTTCATACTTTAAATTTCGAAGTGCGTTCGAGATCACAAGCTCTGCCGGGAGCAAGGCCCTGAAGATTGAGAACCATCGTCTTATTCCCGCGCACTCTAAACGCGTGACCGGAAGATAAGGAAAAAAAGACCAAGAACAAAGGCTAAATGCAGTCATGTAAACGAAACTCCCCAAAACCAAGCAATGCATCCATGTACTCCATCTTCTAATTTCGACCCGCCATGGACTTCGTAACAGGGTATCTAGAATAGAGACAGCCTTCAAGAGGCACGGGAGTTGCCACGGGGGGTCGAGAAGACGGTGAGATGGCATCGAGTATCAAGCGTCTTGGGCCTCATCATGGTCCATACTTCCGTCACGTCTAAAACATCATAACTTGGTTGGCTTCCGATCGCAAGATTCTCGTTCGCGAAGGGGGATGAGTGACTCAGGAGGGGGGACTCACGGTACGAATTTGATCCCAGAGTCTTCCAGACTGCTGATGATGTATTCGGGGAGCTGTCATTAGAGACCGTCCATCAGCATCGAGCGCTCGCTTCATTTGAATAGAGGGTTCAACTTACTATGCCCGTCACTTTGGCCGCATATGTGCCAGCCACGTAGTTGTCCAGTCGTTGCCACCGAGCCACCCAGCTAACTGTTGGGTTTCCAATCGACATCAGTCCCTCAAAGACCTGCGAGGTGCATTCCTCGATGGCGTCGGTGTTTCCTGCGAGCTGGAGCACGTTCTCGCAGTTCGGACAGCCCTCGCGCACGAATTTCTGTAGTGAGACAAGCAAGATATGGTCAGCTCTGTGTCTTTAAGTGAAGCGCCTTGCGACCCAGCACAAGGGGGGATCGTCAGAGTAGAGTGCTGGGTGGAAGCTCTTACGGTGTGTGGCTGGACGACGGCGCAGACCATGCATGCGCGAAGATGACGCTGCTGAGAAGGAGTCGCGTAGAAAGACATGATGATATGGCGCGAGCAGAGAACTTTCCAGACAACAATGAGTGACTGGTTGGAAGATCGGAGTTGGAGTGCGTTGCGCGGTCGATGGTTCTGGAAAAGCGCCAAGCCTTCGGGGACAGCGAATGACGGGGAAAAAGTCACGGCGAGAGCAGATCGCCGAGAGAGCGAGAGACGATCGGAGGGACAAGACGTTGAGACGGCCAGGTTATCAGATCCCTCGGACCAATAGTCTTTTTTTTTTTTTTTTTTTGGGGTCGGCTTCGACATCTCTTGTTCGCCTCACTCTTCCCTTTTTCACCTCCTACCGTATACACCTTTTGGCACCTAGACAATTGTGATCCAGTTCTCAGTTCAATTTTCTATCGCCTGCCCACTCTTCTCCTCTCTTCCCCGCCGCCGCATCGTCTTTGCCCGTCCCCGATCATCGCGGTCTCGTGCCCCTCCGTAAAACCTCGTTTCCACACTCGCCATGGCTTCGGCACAAGAAGAGGCTAACGCCCTGAAGCTGAAAGGCAACAAGGCCTTCGCTGAGCACGACTGGCCCACGGCAGTGCAGTTTTACGATCAAGCCATTGAGAAATACGACAAGGAGCCATCCTTCTTCTCCAACAGGGCTCAGGTATGACCGGCTGCAACATGAGATCACTCGCTTGTCCCATGGTAGATTTGAGGGCGCACTGAATGATGCTAATTTATTGTTTTTTTTTATCTTGAATACAGGCCCAAATCAAACTCGAGGCCTTCGGCTTCGCCGTCGCCGACGCCACTGCGGCCTTGGAATTGGACCCCAACTACGTCAAGGTTAGCCGCTCACCATCGAGCCATCCGATATTCCGATGTTCCTCGTTCCCGGCGAGATAGAAAGCCACGATTCTGATGTGATGATGTTCCACTAGGCGTACTGGAGAAGAGCCCTGGCCAAGACTGCCATCCTCGACTATAAGGGAGCCCTGCGCGACTTTAAGGCAGTGGTTCAGCGGGAACCCAACAACCAGAATGCGAAGATCAAGCTCGCGGAGTGTGAGAAGCTTGTGCGCCGTCTGAATTTTGAGAAAGCGATCGAAGTTTCCGACCCTCCTTCAGCATTCGAGGGCCTGGATATCGAAGCAATTAATGTGGAGAGCGACTATGATGGCGTGCGACTGGGCAGCGAGATGACTCAGGAATTCATCGATGATATGATTCAGCGGTTCAAGGATGGCAAGAAGATTCACCGCAAATATGTGTTCCAGATCATCAAGGCTGTGAAAGAAATCGTCTATAATGAGCCAACCATGGTGGAGGTTGGTGTTGATGCGGGCAAGAAGTTGACAGTCTGTGGTGACACTCACGGTATGTCAACAAACCAAGTCCACTTGTCGATGTACTCAGAACGGCCTGACTAATACGAATCAGGTCAATTCTTCGATTTGCTCGAGATCTTCCGTCGCAACGGAAGCCCATCTGAGTCGCATGCCTACCTCTTCAACGGTGACTTCGTTGACCGAGGCTCGTGGTCGTGCGAGATTGCCTTGCTGCTTTACGCTTATAAGTGGCTGCGTCCGAGCGGCTTGTTCCTCAACCGTGGTAACCACGAGACGGATGACATGAACAAGGTCTACGGTTTCGAGGGCGAGTGCAAGGCTAAGTATAATGAGCGTGTGTTCAAGGTCTTCTCCGAGTCATTCTCTGCGCTTCCTTTGGCGACATTGATTGGCGAGAAGTATCTTGTCCTACACGGTGGTCTGTTCTCAGACGATAAGATCACCTTGAACGATATTCGCAAGCTGAACCGCCACAACCAAAGGCAGCCCGGCCAACAAGGCTTGATGATGGAGATGCTTTGGACTGACCCCCAGCCTCAGCCCGGCCGCGGGCCAAGTAAGCGTGGTGTTGGCCTTCAATTCGGTCCCGATATTACCAAGCGTTTCTGCGAGAACAATGGTCTCGAAGCCATCATTCGATCGCATGAGGTCCGCATGGAGGGTTATGAAGTTGAGCACGATGGCCGGTGCATCACTGTCTTCTCGGCGCCCAGATACTGTGACTCAACGGAGAACAAGGGCGCCTATATCAACATCGGACCCGATCTCAAGCTCAACTATGAAGTCTTTGAAGCAGTTCCTCACCCTGATATCAAGCCCATGGTAAGTTCGGGATCTTGCGGTACAATCTCGTGAGAATGTCCTCAGCTAACGTTCGTGTTCAGGCCTACGCCCAAAACTCGATCTTATCTTCTATGTAAAACCCACAGGCCATACGCTGAGCGGACGCTTTTCCTAGACAGAAACGTTCTATGTATTCACGAGCCCCGCGATCTCTTTTTACTTCACATTCGAATTTCAACATGAGGCGGCGTACGAGCTGGTAACTTTCACCTTGTGATACCTTGGCATGAACTGTTATTTCTAAGACAATGTGACATACGTGTTAATGGTCCATGGCAGACTGGATCCAAATCACTATTATCGAATCTGGCAGACTCCTCGATCAGAAAGACCTCCTCCTTGACCCATCTCCAACTCCGAAGGCCGAGGTCCCAGAACAAGCTGATGTAGGCTAGTCCGCGGCTGTAATCCAGGAGGAAATCATACATCATTGCATGCATCATTGGATACTGCGCCAAATCTCGATTGACCGCTTTCCGTGCCCCGCGGTCCCCCTCCACTAAGACATATGACGGCTTCCCCAGCTTTCCTCAATTCAAAGCAATTAAATATGGAATTTGATCCAAAGACACGTACGAAGACCACCTGATACATTTTGCATATGGCTGGGCTATTCAAACTGACTTATATCAGCCCAGTATCTCACCTCGGACCCATCAAGCTTCGCGTCTGTCTCCGCCGACGACCGATGGCCCGTCATCCTTGTATGCCCACGACATTTACCTCCGTTGAAGTCGTCCACCACAGGCTAATGAGAAAAGACCGGTGCTATTGATGACTTGGCTCGGTCGGTGAGCGCTGTCTCGGATGATGAGAAAGCCAAGGAAGGCAAGGGCATTATTGAGAAGCTGGCGACTTTGAAGTATGAGTTGCAGCATGATCGGCAATTAAGGTAAATTTCATTTCGTCCTCTCACACGATTCTGAGGTGATAAGGCTTACCTTATCTAATAATTGTATAGCCCCCTCGAAGACGATGGTGCGTCGGATATCGCATCGTACAATGAGGAGCTTGTGCAGCGTGGAAATCCCAAGTGGCACGATGCCCCTTGGCTATTTGCCGAATGCTATCTTTGTACGTTCGCCCATTGTACTGCTTCCTGACGGATAATGACATGGGACTGATATCCAAGGATATATAGACCGCCGAATGGAGACCTTCTTCGCCCTGTCCAAGCACTGGAAGGGGTACGATGTCTTTGCACGCCAAAAGATGTCAACCTTCAAGTCCTCCCGACCGGCCGTGCTAGAGCTCGCCGCACGATACCGCGAATTGGCCCATGAGGCGGAGACCGGGAAGGGAGTGGATGGACGATCTGCGGAACAAGTTGAACAAGCTGAGAAGCTCCTCTTCTCGGAAATGTGTGAGATCTGCTTATGGGGCAATGCCACCGATCTCTCCCTCCTGACCTCCCTTACGTACGAGGATATCCAGAAGCTGCAGGGATCGGATGCGCGAAAAGCATCGCAGAAGAACATCCTCGTCAATGACCTCGACGCTGCATTCAACGTCATGCAAAAAGCTCGTACCGAGAAGAAGGACGGCGAGCGTCGTGTCGATATTGTCCTGGACAATTCTGGATTCGAGTTGTTCGTCGACCTCATCCTGGCTGGGTATTTGCTGTCTGTCGGCCTGGCCACAACTATCGTTCTGCATCCCAAGCGTCTGCCATGGTTCGTTTCAGACGTTACACCAAAAGACTTTTCAGACCTTCTCAATTCGATGGTCGACCCACAAGCATTCTACACGGCTCCTGACGAGTCGGGCAAGACGTATCCCCCTCTTTCGGAGAAGGAGGTGCAAGATGTGAAGTTCCTCTTCGAACAGTGGAGTCAATTCCACCAAGATGGCAAGCTCATCGTGCGTCCACATTCCTTCTGGACTACCCAGGGATCTTTCTGGCGTATGCCGCACGTGGCCCCGGAGCTCTTCGAGGATCTCAAGGAAAGCGAGCTTGTCCTATTCAAGGGCGACTTGAACTATCGCAAGCTCGTCAATGACGTACGTATCTTGATTTCAAAGACCTCTTGCACCCAATATAAACACACGCACACGCACACGCACACGCACACAAATCTTATTTCACTAGTACTGACCATCTCACTCAGGCTCAATGGGACCCAAAAACTCCCTTCAAAACTGCCATTGGATCCTTGGGGCCAAAATCTGGAATCCGTGTGTTGGCATTCCGTACGTGCAAGGCGGATGTGGTTGTTGGCCTGCCTCAAGGCGAAGACGAGAGGCTTCGCCAGCTTCCTGGAGGCGGCGGTGCCGAGTCGCGAAAGTGGGCGTGGACTGGAAAATGGGCCGTGGTGTCTTTCTGTGATGGTAAGGCTTGATCTCAATGGGTGGAGACTCTGATTTTCAATATGTGGGTGTGCACAGAATGCTGTAGATTTCTAGGGGAATTTGTTGGTCAACACATAGAACTGTTAATATAGGAGGACTCAATAGATCAAAGTTGACCACCAATGTGCCAACCGCAGGTCACGATGGCGGGATTGTAAGTTATCGCTGTTTTTGATGTTTTTATTGGGCATAGACAAGAAACATGTGCTTGGAAGCAACGGGGAAAAACATTGCGTTAAGCAACCTGGCATTACATACGCTCACTCGATAGAACCAAGCTTCAGCAGGGAAGAAACAGAAAAGTAACAGCCGCTCACAAACAAACTCAACCCAAGACTTTCCCTGCGCTATTCTCCTTGCCCATTTGGTTCAACTTTCGGAGATCCTCCTTCTGCCTCAATCTCGACAACGCCGCAGCCCGGCGTTCGGGTGATAAACCATCAGCTCTGAGATCAGCGAGCCCTGTTCGCCGCAGCCCGCGACTGCCTCCGTTGAAGGTATTGCCCGCGTATGTTTGGCGCGACGAGGGCAGCGGAGACATGGACTCAAGCGCGGACTTGATGTGTGAACGGGGCTGCAGAGCAAGGTCCCCATAGCGATCCTCCTTTGATACTGCGGGATCTCGTCGGTAGAGTGAGCGGTAGCTAAGCTGTTTGTCATCTACTTTCTGGGTCTTTTGGGTATTGCGATCGAGGGTTCTCAGTGCTGGGATGTCTGGCGGGGAGGAAGGGGGCACTGCGTTATGGGTGCTGCGGTAGGCGACGTTGGGTCTCGGTAGGATCTCGTTCAGATAGTGCGTAACTTCGTCATCATCGGCGGTGACATTTTGCGCGGCGCGCTTCGCGTCAATGGTGCCAGTAGTCACATTCCTGGCTTGGAAGCGCTTTCCTGAAATCTTGGACCGAGGGCTGGGACTCGGTGGCCCGCCAAAGTCTGCGGTGGCATCGTCGTCATCGTCTATAAGTGGCGGACCATCGGTCAGCCCAAAGTCTTGAACTTTGACACTTTCGTGTGTCTTTCGAGGGCTGAGTGACAGCTGTGGTTGTTGTCGTTGCTGTTGCCGTTGTCGCTGATTTAGGTCACTCCGGCCCGAGGCTGACGCTCTGACCTTGAGCAAATCGATTTGAGCCTGCATGCGGCGACGCTCTTCTTCGAAGCTGGCCCGCAGCTTCTCTTCCGACTCGCGATGTTCTTGGGTGGTTTTCTTGATCCGATCACGGTATTCTTGAATACGAGCCTCAAGTTTCGTTTCACGCTGCTTAAGCTTGGCCTCTTTCTCCTTGCGTCGGCCCTCATAGCGAGACATTTCTTGCTTGACGCGTGCCAGACTCTGCTTGAGGGATTGATTTTCCTTCTCGAGCTCCAGAGCTTTCTTTTCAGAACTCTGCGCTAGGCTTCGGAGCTCGCTCAGTTCCGGGTTTTCGCGCTTTAGCTCCTCCACCTTGGCGTTCGCTAGCTTGAGCTCTTCCTGTGCCTTGCGTAGCTCTTCCACAGAGCCGGAGGTCCCCTTAGTCGAAATATCTGTCTTGGCTGGCTCGGGGTCTTCCGCCACATTGTCTTTAACCACACCTTGCCGTTCCAATGTATTCCGCAAGGAAGTGACCTGTTGCTTGTATTGCAGAGCCAAAGCTGTCTGCTTGGTCAAGTCCCTAATCAATTGCTCTTTATCCGCCTTGGATCCTTCTCCAACGATGGTGGCAGCCAGACGTGTCACTTGTTTCTCCATGTCTGCAACTTTCTCCTCTTCTTCTCGTAGTTTATCTGCCAGGCGCAGAGCCTCCGAGTCCTTCTTTCGCGCGTAGGACTTTGCAATCGATCGGTAATGGATGAGCTTCTTGATCTCGCGATTGGTTCGCACCCGATAGTTGTCGAATTCAGTCTTCCAGTACTTGCCGGATTCGGAGCGCGGTTCGTCTAGGTTCATTGTGATATCTTCCATGCCTGGTTCATCCTGGGTGACAGGCTGCGCAGCAGAATTGGTCTCAGATGACTGCTCTTGTGATGATCTCGTTGATTCCGCGTTCTTGGACGCATTTTCGCGAGCATCCAAAAGTGTTTGTGTCAGTTTGCTCGGTGGCTTGCCGTTCGCTGAGCCCGACATCCACTGGGCGGTAATTCCTGAGGGATTCGGAGGTGTTTTTGGTGCCCGGCTGGACTGACTCTCCCGCTTGCCCTCGTTATCAACGACGCCTTCTCCAAAAGACACGGTTTTCCGACGATTCGCGATCGTACCTGGGGTCACCAGTATACTCTTTGTGGGCGACCCCGATGGGTTGAATGTATTGTTGATGTCTGGTTTGAGGAGCTCCTTGTCAAAGATGGGCTTGGAGGTGTCGCTTTTACTGCGTTGATGAGATAATGATTCTGGCTGGGATTCGACGTTTTCTTCTTTCTTTGTTTCCTCTTGCTCGGTCTCCTCTGCACCGGGAGTTCCGAATAAAGCGCTCCTAAACGCGCGCATCGCAAACACGGGAGCTGGCGTTTCGGGGGGCTCCAGCACGGCGGAGGTGCCTACGTGTCGAAAAATTGGAGAATTAGTGTCTGTGATCTTTCAATACATCATGCTTCGAAGTGTTACCTGTAGGCCCAGCCTCACTCCCCTTGATCCATTCCAACATGGTTGGGTGTCGAGAATTGATTCAGATAAAGCAGAGAGGCTTGTTTACTGACGCGCGGGAGGACGGGGCGCCAAAACATTAAGGCTAGCGCTTATCGATTAGACAACAGATCTGCGGCATAGTGGTTCATCGGCACACCGGTACATCACTAAATGTGTTACGAGGTACAATTGATCGTATTTGCTAGGAATTGCTTGTGGTGTCTTGAATGAATGAGAGTATAGAACATATCATTCTATAATACTCAAGTCCAAAATACTTGTCTCGCGACGCAAGTCATCTTAGCAGAGGTACATGGGCCGTAAATATAGACTTATGGAAGAGAATTCATGCAGTCAATTGAGATGCAGGGCGACTTTTACAGCTTGAAATATGGGAACGAAGTATAGAAATGATTGACTTTCCTGACCGTATTTTGCATTCTCTCAGCAAGCTGCAAGTGACCAAGTTCTGTACTTCGAACCCCAATAGAGACTTGGCAGCACTGAATCACAACCAGTGTTCTCGTGCATGGATTACTGTGACTTGAGAGACCGTTGGTCTGATTGGGTTCGAGTCTTTTGAATTTCTCGACGGGTGGAGAATGGCGAGTGATCCGAGAGGACACACCTTGAAGCAAGGTCAAGTTAGTCCCTGGCCAGCGCAGACTTGATATCCACTTCTGGGCATAAACATAACGTCTCCACATGCATCGGACAAGGTTGGGTCGGAACTATGTCTAACCGCCATGTCCCTACGGACATCAGTCGGTGTGTATGTCATTGTATTTGCCAGGACTGAGCAATATCAGAGAGTCATGCAATCAGTCATGTATTGCAAGATCAGAATTGATAGTTTTTTGTGAACAAGTAGGTGCCTTTCTGCAATGTAGTTGGGCCGATGTGGTAGGCTGATGTGGTGAGCGTGCATGGTTGCAAATGATACAAACATGAGCAATGGTGGAATGATCAGCTATCGATAAGGCCGATAGACACGATAAGCCCTCAGCGACTATGTAACTAGCAGCTGCCACATTCAGCGCACTGCTGACCGCCTGTTTTCTCGGCGCCGAAAAAAGACCCACCCCTCTTCTACTTAGTTCGTAGTCGCAATAGTTCTTTCTTTTTTGAATCGAGTACCTTTTGTATACCACCTATCTAGACACCGAGTTCCTCATGTCGTACGTCCTCTCCTGGATGTAGGGCGACTTCGCGCCACGCCCCCGCGATGTCTCCCAAGCAAAGGAAGAAAGCATCTCCCCGTGTGAAAAAGCAGACTTCATCTGGCTCCGATTCTTCTTTGACATCCCCCGTAATACCATCATCAGCAACCAATTACCGTGAAATCCACCTCAATGAGGTGGAAGCACTCCGTTCAATCTATGGCGATGATTATCAAGAAGTGGAAACGCGGCGGACAGCATGGCAGGTAGGCAGAAATTCAAAATCAATCCAATCGAGTCTCGAATTACCGGTCTAATATGTGCATTACTTAGCAATCGTCCAATGTAACATTCAAACTTCATCTCCGTGCTTCCTCGAACCCAGAGCCCTACCTGGTGCTTCTTGTAGAGCTGCCAGCTACGTACCCCAAAACAACTCCGAATCTGGCTTTACAGAAGCTCGACGATCTCCGCGAAAACGCTCGGTCACGAATCCAGAAGATCATACGGGACAAACCGAAACAGCTGCTCGGCAGCGAAATGATTTTTGAGCTAGCTGTGTCTATTCAGGATGTCTTGGAGGACGTTGCGCAAGCACGCGAGCATGACAAGGACCTGCCGAGTCTCGAGGAGGAGCGCATAGAGCAAGAGGCCGCTGCCATTCACCGTGCCGAGCTTGAAAAACAAGAAGAATTGCGAAAGCGCGAGGCTGCGCAAGCAGAAGAAGCACGTGCATTACAGCTGATGCTTGAAGACCGGGCGCGACAGCGAAACAAGGCTCAACTTCTGCGAAGAAAAAGTCGGACTGGTGGTGTCGAGTCGAGTGATGTTGAGGATTTGGTTGAAAATACCCCAGGCGCCATTCGCTTCGATCCTCCGATCACGGTTGGCGATACCGATGACAAGCCCCTTTTCTTCCGTGCCGTCCACGCCAAAACGTTGCTACAAAGCAGACAAGGAAAGAAGGCTTTCACTGTGAGACCCGTCGTTCCTGAAGATAGGTGCCACGTGCCTCTGCTTGTGCTCAAAGAAATCACACTCAGCGAGAAACGCTCAAATACCCCTGCTGTTCGAGAGCAAATAAGATCTAGCGAGGACAAACTGGAAGGCTTGAAGAGATTGCGGCATCCAAATCTTGTCGATTTTCTCGGGTTCAAAATCATTCGCCCATCTACCAATCTTGCGTCGGCCGACAATGCCTGGACAGTTCTGACTCTCGTGGAATTTGCGAATAAGGGCTCTCTACTGGAGCTCCTCGACATCGTAGGGACCGTTGCTGTTGAAACTCTGCGTGGCTGGATGATACAACTTCTTGAGGCATTGGAATTTTATCATCGTAGTGGCTTCGTTCATGGTAATATCCATTGCGGTCGCGTCATGCTGAATCGGAGTCCCTCCGGAGGCACAATTGTCAAACTTGAAGCCGGCGTCGAAGAGGCATTACCTGAGTCTCCTGGTGCGAAGCGATCACTGACCACGTCGAAGTCTCCGTTATGGTTCCCCCCTGAGCTAACTCACGAAGGGGCTACCCCAAGCATGAAGACCGATGTCTGGGATCTTGGAATCATTCTACTGCAAATGGCGTTTGGCAAAGATGTCCTCCTGCGGTACACATCGGCCAACCAGCTGATGGTGTCGTTGGGCCTGTCCCCTCCATTACAAGACTTGCTAGGGGAATTTTTCCGACCCGATCCCAAGAAGCGACCTACTGCCTTCCAGCTCCAACCATCGGAATTCTTCCGCGTGGACGCACCTCTTACGGTGCGTGACAGGTCGTCCAATTCGGTATCAATGCAACGCCGACCGCGCTTGGACTCATTTGGGGCCATGCCGGCCTTTTCCAGGTACCACCAGGACTTTGACGAAGCCGGCCACCTGGGCCGAGGTGGTTTCGGGCAGGTCGTTAAAGCGAGGAACAAGCTGGACGGGCGATTCTACGCCGTAAAGAAAATTTCTCAAACATCTTCGGCGGCTCTGAAGGATACTCTTTCTGAAATCATGCTTCTCTCAAGGCTGAATCATCCTTATGTTGTGCGATACTACACCGCATGGTTGGAGGAGGACTTCAATCAGGTCGAAGAGGAAGCGATCTCTTCAACTGAAGGCGATCCATTCTCAAGTCAAGATCACCGCGGTTTCAGTACTGGTGGCCTAGACTTTATCAGCTCTAGTGGATATCCGAAGATCGAGTTTGCTGCCTCGGGGAGTGAAGATGAACTAGACAGAACAATGTCTGGAGCAGATGACAGTGAATCTTCTAGTATTTTCGAGAATGATTCTGGATCCGAGGCTAGCGGTGAACTCAGTCGAGTGCACTCGGGCTCTTACGGCCGCCCTATTCTCACGACACTCTACATTCAGATGGAGTACTGTGAGAAGCATGTAAGTTATTTTTCTTACGAAGCCATTTCTCGCTCGGTGGGCGCTGACTTTACCATTAGACACTGCGTGACCTGATTCGAAATGGCTTGTACGATGACATAGACCGCTCGTGGCGTCTCTTTAGACAGATACTGGATGGGCTGAGCCACATTCACAGCCATGGCATTATTCACAGAGACTTGAAGCCGGATAACATTTTCATCGATGTCGCCAACAACCCGCGAATTGGTGACTTCGGTCTTGCCACCAGTGGGCAATTTACTACTGCGGTACGCTCATCTGCAGCTGCGGATTTCGAAGGTGACTTCACGCGCAGTTTGGGGACAACCTACTACGTAGCTCCAGAGATGAAGTCCGGATTACCGGGACACTACAATGAGAAAGTTGACGTAAGTCACATAAAAGCAAATCTACCTATTCATGTGCAAAGACTGACATTTACTAGATGTTTTCTCTCGGCGTCATTTTCTTTGAGATGTGCCATCCCTTGACGACGGGAATGGAGCGCGATCACACATTGCGATCCATCAGAGAAAGATACCATACCTTGCCTCCTACGTTCAGACAATCAGAAAAAGTCGTCCAGGGACAGATCATTGAGTCTTTACTGAGCCATGATCCCTCCGCGCGTCCGACGGCAGCTGAGCTTCTCTCCAGCGGCAGAATTCCTCTTCAAGTTGAGGAGGAGACGTTCCGGCGAGCCATTGTTCACCTTTTGTCAGACCCGAGCTCCCCAGACTATAAGAAGATTCTATCTGCTATATTCTCTCAGTCCCCGAAGAAGTTCGAGGACATTGCGTGGGACGTAGAGTCTCAAACGGCTCCTGCCGCGAATGAGCTTCTCATTCAAGGTCTTGTCAGGAAGCGACTGACCTCCATATTCCGCAGGCACGGGGCAGTCGAGTCGCCAAGACAGATGTTGTTCCCCCGTTCCCATCATTACACCGCTGGTGCCATGCGGCTGCTGGATGCTTCTGGCAATTTGCTACAGTTGCCATTTGATCTCACACTTCCAAATGCTCGAGCGATTCCGCGGCAAGATCCTTCCCTCGAGAAGACCTACGCTTTTGGGACTGTTTACAGAGAGTCTACCCACGGTAGCGAGCCACGAACTCATCGAGAAGTGGATTTTGATATCGTGTCATACAATACTCTGGACCTTGCGCTCAAGGAAGCAGAAGTGATCAAAGTCCTCGATGAGATAATCGATGAATTTCCGCCGCTCCGGTCTGCCACTATGTGCTTTTTGGTCAATCATTCTGATCTTCTTCAGCTCATCATGGAGTTTTGCCGCATAACCCCGTCTCAAATCCCTCTTGTGACGGAAGTCATTAGTAAACTCAACATCGGCAGATACACCATGCAAAAAATCCGAAGTGAGCTCCGATCTCCGTCCATTGGAGTTGCATCGACGTCTTTAGATGACCTCGCTCGATTTGACTTCCGGGATTCACCCAAGGAAACTCTGCGCAGACTGTCGAGCATCATGGAAGGCACCGAGTTTGTCGAGCGTCTTGCTCCGATATTTGCTCGCTTGAATGTGCTCATGAAATACCTTCAAAGCTTTGGGGTCAAGCGCAAAATCTATATCAATCCTCTGAGCAGCCTCCACGACAAATTTTACCGGGGAAGCGTGTTATTCCAGTGTGTTTTCGACAGTAAGCGCCGTGATGTGTTCGCAGCAGGTGGTCGGTACGATCGCTTGATTCAGGAATTCGCACCAAAGGCACTGTCGAATAGACCACAGGCTCATGCCGTTGGCTTTAATCTAAGTTCAGACCGGCTGGGCTCTTCCATGGCCGAGTATTTAAAGACACGGGCACAGTTGAAAGACACTGAGGGACCAACCGAGAGATATTGGACCGCTCGAAGGGTGAGTTTGCGCCATCTGCTTTCCATCAAATCTTGAAGATTCCATGGCCATGCTAATCGAATCATCATAGTGTGATGTCCTTGTGGCCAGCTTTGATGCAACTGTCCTTCGCACGATGGGTGTCAAGATCATTGAAGATCTTTGGAAAAATGGGATCAGTGCAGAGCTTGCAGTGGATACATCCTCTTTGGAGGAGCTGATGGCCCGGTATCGGGAGCACAATCATCGCTGGATCGTCATCGCTAAACAAGATAGTAAAGAGCGAGGGTACAAAGTTCGAAGTCTCTTGCGCAAGGAAGAGTTCGATATCCGTAGCTCTGAGCTCATTGCGTGGCTTCGAAGCGAGATGCAGATGCAAGCCAGGCATCAACGGGATGGCGGTTTCGATTCTCGCCAGGCTCGCCAGTCTAGTCAACAAGACGCCTCATTTGCGGGTGAACGGGCGAATGACGTGCGTATTCTGGTCCCTCAACACAGGAGCAAGAAAACAAACCGCAGAAACATCATCGAATCTGGTAAGTTTATGACGGTCAACACAAGAGATTCATATTCTGGAGTCCCACTGACACTCAACTTGATAGCGCTACTACACTCCCGTGAGGTTGTTGAGAACGCTCGCAATGGGCCCATCGTGGCGATTGACACTCGTGATGATGTGCTTGACTCCATTCGAAGCACGAGACTTTCCGACCCAGACAGTTGGCGTGCTGTGATTCAGAATGCGCCTTTGACCGAGAGAAAGTATCTTAGTCAGGTGTACGAGTTGCTTAGTGATCTGGCCTCGGAGGGCCGCTCAGATGACAATTCTGAGAATTACAGCAATGCCTTTATCTACAACTACAGAACAGGCTCATGCATTTACTATGACCTCGGCTACGGTGACAAGTGATCGAGCTGAGTTGAGTGGGAAGCATGACTGAATGATTGAATGACTGATTTGATTGAATGGAGGGATGAGGAATGTTGAAGGATTGCGAAACAACTGTTGGATTCCCTGCATGAGTGTTGGAAGCTCGAGATTGGTATTGCATTTCATGGCCTTGGAGGGAGCCTATTGTTTGACCACTGATCAATTTCATGTCAGTGATATTCGGCCGCGTTTAGCGAATCATGCATAGTCAGAATAGAACAATTACACAAGTCGCATCTCACTAGGCTCCTCATCTTCTGGTCAATCAACGTAGCTTTGCGACCGATCGTAAATAGGTAGTCGTGGTATCAAGCTCAAGCGAGGAACTGAAAAGCCAATTCATAATCCCATGAAACTCCAAAGGTATCGATGCTATAGAATACATGAAGGGCCCAATGCCGATTTTGGAATAACGAAACGGGAAGCCCCCTATGCAGAAAATTATTCGAAAAGAACCAAATCTAATCGCTCTCATCATCACTGCCATAAGCAACCAATGGCCCCCCGGACATTTTAGGCGCAGCCTGTGTCGTCACATTGCCCCCAGACATACCCCGAAGAGCCGCCAGCGTTGAGCTCGAGAAGATCCCATTCTGCGTCCCGAGCTGTGCCGCAGGCTCGGGCTGCTGGTTCGCTGACGAGCTTGCCTCGATCATGAGCTTCTCCGCAGGTGCTTCGAGTTGGGGAGCAGCGTCTGATGTATCTTCAAGCTGGCGTGTACGTGCATGCCAAACGGCATCTGGGACATCGTATCCGTCTAGCCCGAAGGAACCCTCGATCTTCTTCCTCTTCTTTGCTTCGGGATCGCGACCCTCGATCTCGGCCACGAATGCGGCGGGAAGAGCTCGGCGGACGGCTTCCGCGGCTTGTTCTTCTATCCTCCGGGCTTCACGCTTTTGTGATAGTGGGTTGGGATCAACAGTGGCCCATCGTACGTTTAGGATTTCGTCGTGGTCCAGGCTCTGGCGCGACATTGCTTGCATCTTTGGATTTGAGTTAGCTGCTGAAAAGTGGGGAGGTTGTCCGGGCTGATTTGGAAGATTGACACCTACGGCGAATTGTGCATTGGCTTCGTTTGAATAAGTCACGAAGGCGACACCTTTATCCTGTCATGTTCGTTAGTTGAGATTCTGTGAAGGTGAGCCGCTGTCATGCTTACAGTCAATACGCGAATGCGCTCGACCTGTCCCCATTCTGCAAAGTGACGAGCAACAACTTCCTGCAGAGTTATTAGTCAATCTGCACTGCTCGGTCTACACTGGGTGGACTTGGAATTTGCGTACCTCGATATCATCCGTCACATGGATTCTTCCCACGTAGAGCGTTCGATTAACTGGAAAGCGAGGTTAATGACTGAACGTCTCTCAAAGCACCCCAGACCGGAGCCAATGGTATCGTACGAACCTCTGGTGAATGCGCCAACACCGCTCATATCGTCTCTGTCAATCAACAGTATCAGTCTCGGTATCGGTATCAGATCATCGTAAACCGCGCACGTCTCGAATCCGCAACCAGCGAGACAAACTCACTTGTAATCTTGATGCTTATCTCGTCCAAATGCATCGACATTGGGATTGAAGTGATCATGAATGGTCGGAATCCGATGCAAGTACTCGCAAGCCGCGCCCTTCCAGCACTGTCCTTTACTGAAGTAAAGACAGAAGTATGACCCCGGCACCGAATCCGCCTTGGTGTATCCCGAGTCGCGCGCGACATTGCACCTGTAAGGCGCAGGCTGATCGAGTCCATGCTTATCATGTGAATCGCCTCCGCTCCATTTGCTGTACCAGATGTTCCAGAGTTCACCTGTTTGCGGGGGAGGCTGGCTTGGGACGGCGGAGGGATCGACTTGGACACGCGCGGGCTTCTTGCGGCGCCGGATGATTTTCTTGGTCTTTTTGACGGGTTGAACGGCTTGATCGCCTGTTTCTGTGGGGACGTCGGGAGTTTGAGTATCTTCGACGACGGCGACGACGTCACTGGGCTCGGTTGTCGTTTCCATTTTTTGTCTTGTGTGACACTTTAGGGTACTTGATAACGAACGATCTCAGGACCAAATCGCGACGACGGGAGTTTGATAGTGGAACAGAATAGAGGTGAGCTGCTGCTGTTGCTGCAGGCGGTGAGAAGGGCGGTGGGAGCTTTGGCAACCCACTGGTCGTTCGGACTGAGTCCGCGGCCGCTATTTTTGGCTTACATAAGGCTTTAACCGGAGCGGACTTTGTCGTTGTCGTTGATATCAGCAAAGAAAAAGGTTTGATGGTCGATCAGACCCTTTCGAGACTATTTAAACACAGTTGAGAAAGCGCGCAGTGCTCTATCAAGCGGTTGAGTGCAGTAACACGAATTCAAAAAGCTCTATCTGAGTTCGACTGAGGGCGCAAAGCCACAGCAACCGCCAAGATGGTCAACATCACGGAAAAGATCAAGGAGTATGATAATTCGAGATGACTGAGACCAGCCTCAAATGCGAATACTGATGATAAGACATGCAGGATTGAGGATGAGATGCGTCGGACGCAGAGTATGTTTTGGATGCCTCCCGCTTCCTCTTAGCATACAGAATCACCCCGCTAACAGGATTGCCCCGCAGAAAATAAGGCGACAGGTCAGTCTTTCTGAGCATCAATGAATTCCGGTGCATCTGAACTAAGCTCTCGAAGAGTATCATCTGGGTTTATTGAAAGGGTAGGTGATGTTGACGCTAGTCAACAGCTTTGAAAAAGAAAAGTATATCAACTGACTCCCATTCGACAGAAAACTCGCTCGTCTACGAGCTCAGCTCCTTGAGCCTGCAGGTGGTGCTGGCTCAGGCGGTGGCAGTGGCTTTGATGTCAGCAAAAGTGGTGATGCGCGTGTAGCGCTGGTCGGTTTCCCATCCGTCGGAAAGTCTACTTTCCTATCAAAGATCACCAAGACGAAGAGTGAGGCGGCGTCTTACAGCTTCACGACGTTGACTGCTATTCCTGGTGTGTTGGAGTATGCGGGTGCTGAGATCCAGATCCTCGATTTGCCTGGTATCATCGAGGGGGCCTCTGAGGGAAAGGGTCGTGGTCGACAGGTTATTTCAGCTGCCAAGGTGAGATGATCACGATCATGTTTAAAACTCGGATTGGCGAACTGGTGCGAGTGAAGGATCTGACGTTTGGATTCGATTTCTCGCCAGACTAGTGATTTGATTCTCATGGTGCTCGATGCTACAAAGCGAGCCGAGCAGCGTGCGTTGCTGGAAGCCGAATTGGATGCCGTGGGTATTCGATTGAACAAGGAACCCCCGTGAGTTTGTCCGCTCAAAAAAAGGGCCGGCGTGATTGGGGGGCGCTAACACCTATCAAAAGCAATATCTACCTCAAGGTCAAAAAGGCTGGAGGCATGAAGATCACCTTCCAGACGCCACCCAAGGTGCTGGATGAAAAGATCATTTACAACGTTCTTCGCGACTACAAGATTCTCAACTGTGAAGTGCTAGTGCGAGATGAGAACGGTACAATTCCCACCTAATTGCAAGGCTTTCTTCCTTGAAGACAGTTCCGCTGACATGGAATGCTCTGCAGCAACCATCGACGACTTTATCGATGTGATCATGAAAGATCACCGCAAGTACATCCGCTGGTAAGTCCTCTGTCTCTCTCTCCGATATGCTCGGACAGAAGCTCTGCCGGTAGTTTATGCTCGCTGACTCACGTTGTGATCCCAGCTTGTACGTCTACAACAAGATCGACAGTGTCAGCTTGGAATTCCTCGATCAATTGGCTCGCGAGCCTTACACTGCTGTCATGTCGTGTGAGCTTGACCTCGGAGTCCAAGAAGTCGTTGAACGCATCTGGAAAGAACTGCGCTTGATGCGCCTGTACACGAAGCGGTAAGATGAAGCGACCCTATTGGAGGGTGAACCATTTGACGATGATCTTATGGGCTAATGGTCGATTCTCATTCACAGAAAGGGCGAGGAGCCTGACTTTAGCGAGGCTCTGATCGTGCGCCAGGACTCGAGTATCGAGGATGTCTGCGACCAGATTCATCGCACACTTAAGGAGACGTTCAAGTATGCCATGGTCTGGGGTGCCAGCGCCAGACATGTTCCTCAACGGGTGGGACTGGGACATATGGTTGCGGACGAAGATGTTGTATCTATAGTTGCGAAATAATTACAAGGCGCACATTGCAGAGTGCATATCTTACAAACTGAACACTAAGTGGCGAAACTACTGATATTTATTTTGTCAATATGTCGGAATTATTTGAATTGTACCGAAAGTGAATATGAGCAATGAAAAAAAGTGAAAATATGAACTCCAAAGAACCCAGATCTTGGCCGTCCATGATCATACCCGAAACAGTTTGTCCAAACTCCGACTTTCCATTTGCGAAACCAACACACTCTAAGCAGCCGCGGCGGCAGCGGCAGCGGCAGCAATGTTCTGCATACCAACGGTGGGTTGGACACCCACGCGCTCATTGCCCAGAAGATCCACCAACAGGGGGCTGGGACGGCTGTCACGCTGAGGGTAGAGACCAGCCTGGCTCTTCTTATACTTCTGCACGCTCTCCAGGTAGATGTCGAAGAGGTAAGAGGAGTCAAGGGGACCGCCCTTGGCCTCGGGATGGAATTGAGTGCTGAAGATGGGACGAGACTTGTGGATCATGCCCTCGTTGCTCTGATCGTTCAGGTTCACAAAGTAGGGCTTCCACTCTGAAGGGAGGGTGGAGGCATCCACAGCATAACCGTGGTTCTGGCTAGTGATGTGGCAGCGACCGGTGCTCAGATCCAAAGCGGGAATGTTGTGGGCCCGGTTGCCGTACTTGAGCTTGATGGTGCGTGCACCAGCAGCCAGAGCAAGCAGCTGGTGGCCAAGGCAAATACCAAAGATGGGGACCTGGGAGGTCTCCATCAGGCGCTGCAGGTTGAAGACAGTGTCCTGGCAGTGGGTGGGGTCACCAGGACCGTTGGAGATGAAGACACCGTCAAAGTGGTGAGCCACCTTGTGAATGGGGTAATCGAAGGGGAAGACGGTAACACTGGAGCCCCGGTTGACCAGACTGCGCAGGATGTTCTCCTTCACACCGCAGTCGATGACCGCGACGTGCGAGTGAGGGTCCGCCGCACTGATGTGGAAGGGCTGCTTGGTGCTGACCTGACGCACCAGGTGAATCTGCTCGGGGTCGGTGAAGGCCTCATCCTCGTTGGCGTCATACTCTTCACCCACAGTGATCTTGGCCAGGGAAGAACCCTGCTCACGAAGGTAGGTGACAATGGCACGAGTATCAACGCCCGAGATGGCCGGAACACCTTCCCGCGCACACCACTCACCCAAGCTCTCGACGGCGGTCCAGTGGCTGTACTGCTCAGCCACATCGGCAACGACGACACCAGCCGCCTGGAGGTGGGGGGACTCGAAGTACTTGAGAAGGCCGTTGGGATCCTTCTCCGCGGAAGGCACACCGTAGTTGCCGATGAGTGGCTGAGTGAAGACAAGGATCTGGCCTCGGTAGGAAGGGTCGGTCAAGGACTCGGGGTAGCCGACCAGAGAAGTAGTGAACACGGCCTCTCCGGAGATGTTGGAACGAGCACCGAAAGATTTACCAGTGAACATGGGGCCGTCGCGGATGGTGAAGGTGGCAGGCTCCAGGGGGGCACGCTGGCGGACAGTGGCCATGAAACGGGCCTGGGGCTTCACGGAGGCGAAAGCCTGAGCCCGAGCGGGCATGGATTTGAAAATGTTCATGAACATGATGGAGTGGAGTTTTGGTATATTAGAAGAAGATTGGAATGGAAGATGGGTCGTTCAATTCAGTTGATACGGGCTTTCCAAAGGTGGTCTGCAAGGGGTGAGTCAGTACACTGAACGCGAAACTCTGGAATTCCGGGCAGAGTCTGCGACGTCTAGGGCCCTCGCAGAGACGGATTGAGAGGTGAATCATACCCGAGATGTAGTCCTGGAGGGGAAAAATTGTAAGCATTCCTGCTCCTACCATGGCATTATGTTTTTGGGTGGGATGGAAGCCAATGAATGATGGGGGTGGGAACATACCTGGGAGGTAAAGATTGAGGGTGCCAAACACATAAGCGCGACTGATGGTCTGTAGCAGTCAATTGAAGGGAGCAGAAGCAGACGATGGCTTTTTAGCAAGACATATGTAGACGCGGCGGGGTTTGATGATACTCGAGGGGGTTGGATGGAGGAAGAAGAGAGGGAAAAGAGTGTGGAGAGAGTCTTGAGAGAAGAAAGAGGAAATCCGTTGAGTCACTGGATGGCACGTGCAGACCGTCCTTCACCGACCACCGGCGTGGCCAATCAGGTGGCCGGGCCGACATCGGCTGGACGAAGTGTCGATCGTTTCGCTCATCCGGCGGCAATTATCGAGGTTTTGATTGGTCAGCTGGGACAGGGCTTATCACGATAGCCGGGCGGAGTGCAAGTGGTGGAGAGAAAAACTTACACCGCTACGGAATGATACGGTTGGCGTTGAACTTGACTGTACCTTGCGACAAACTACAAAGAGCCTGAAGAGGGGGTGAGCGCCGCCGAAATGAGTGTAGGACGAGGTGGTAGACAACAAGACGGATGAAGGCCCTCTGAGCCCTCGAAAAGATCACTATTCGGGCCTTCCAAGGCCTCCAGTGGTGTTGGGGCGTGTGGTTGCCAGTGCCACTAGCCCTAGAGGTGCTCCATCATACTCAACGAGGACCATACTTTATCAACTCAATAGTCGCAAGTGCCAACAATGATTCGAAAATCATAACCATTCTATTCAACGCGGCTGTCAGGATTGTGCTGTTGATCCCACCACCCCTCGTGCAGAACTGCAGACTCTCGGCCATCTCCGAAGAGATGAGTCAAGATTCTCCCTCTGAGCTGGAGGTTGCGAGAAGCCAAGCAGTCTATGGGACCGTCACGAGGTGAAAGTCATGGCCCACCTGCAGTCTTTCTGCCACGTTCGAATTCATCCGTCGGTCGAGATATGTAGTCAAAGAAGGGATTTGATGTAAGTTGGTCTTGATGCGCCTGGAAGATAGTATATAGGGCGAAGGAACCCGGTCCACCCTCATTCTTATGCGATTAGTACCCCACCAACTATCACAATCTACTTTACGAAACACAATCATTGTCACACCATGTGGACCTTGACACTTCTCCGTCGGTCGTGTTCCTGCACTTGGGTGGTCTCGGAGCATCTCCTGCAGGTCGCAGCTCATGACGGAGAGTTCCCACGGGGATCAGGGCAGTAAGTAAGGGCCTTTTGCGGGCCACTCACCGTGCAAGGTGGGCGCTTAAGCCTAGTCCCTGCAACTAACCAGGGAAGAAGTATTACAAGTTAGTTTCACAGTAGTGCTGCAACTTTGTCCCACGTCCTGTCATATTAACTTGACAGCCCGTGCTGTGTCCTTTGCTCCACCTGATATCCCGAGGTCCCAGGCGGCTTGTGTTCAACTGTCAGTGGTAGTACATTATTGTTCTACGACCGAGCGGACTAGACTCCAGCCTCTCCACGGGCGGCCTTGTTGAGTCTCGGCACTCTACACTCGACACCAACAAACAATGACCGACCCACCGCCGCGCAAACGCTCTCGCGCGGCCTGTTTCTCGTGTCAGTCTCGCAAGCGCAAATGTTCAGGCGAACAGCCCTGCAGCACCTGTGCCCAGGCCGGCGTCGTCTGTGTCTTTAGCGATCTGCCGCGCAAGAGGCGCACCCGTTCAGGTGTCGGATACCGGACATCGCTGCCCGGACAGAACAGTGCTCATGAGCGACTGGTGCTCTCGTCCGATCTGGACGGTGGTATCTCCTCTGCAGCGCCCGTCGCTCGACCGGCGAGTAGCAGTGTTGCAGGGAGTGCGCCGTCGCCGGGGTCTCATCTGCGCGTGAAGGAACCGCGTCCCGGCAGTGACTCGCTTGAGGCGAACTCCGGAGCGGCGTTTGTTCGCAAGTTGGGGTTGAGAATTGATCCGGCGCGTGCACCGAGGTTGCACCTTTTCGCGTGGAATGTGGGTGAACGGCGAAAGTCGCAGCGGCACGCCTCGACGCAGACTGATGGTCGGAGACTACCAGGGTCTGTGGTACAGATCTTATCCGAGCAAGAGATGCGCCGCCTGGCTGGAATCTACTTTGAAAAAGTTCATCCGTGCTATGCGTTTCTGGATCAAGGCACCGTGTCTGCACGGATATCACAGCGCTGGTCGTCGACAACCGCTTCGATCGAAAGACCAGCAAGCATGACACGAGACCCACCGTACGATGTGGTTCTTCTCGGCATCGCTGCCCTGGGATTTCTCTTCTCATGCCGGGAACTGTCCCCTCAAGAAGCATTTGTCGTCGACACAGCACGGCGTCTGCTTGAAAGGAGTATCCTCGGCCCAGACTCGCCCACAATCGACATCGTCACGGGATGGGTTCTACGTACAGCCTACCTCCGGATGACAGCTTCACCGCATGCGGCCTGGATGGCCAGCTGTACATTGATGCACCTTGTGGAAGCCGCCGGTCTGCATATCGAGTCCGAGTCTGCAGACCCCGAAGCAACGGGTCTTATACAGACGACATCGTCCCAAATGAACAACAACAACAACAACAACAACAAGCTCCTGAATCAACCCTCCTCCCCAGTGATTAACCGCTCTTCTTCGCATTCTTCCACCGCATCTCCCACATCAGATGCCAATCTCCGCCGCCGCATCTACGGCATGGCGCGCCACCTCAATACATGGATCTCTTTTGACCTCGGACGATCCCGAGTCGTCCTTCATGGCGCCTCCTCTCACCCTCCACTTCCCCCTCCCCTTCCCTCTTCCACAACCACTCCCACAAACACAGACCTCTACCACCTCCTCCCCCTCTCCGAAAGCCTCGACCCAACAGGCCCGACCCCCCAAAACCTCCCCGAACTCGAAACAGCCCTCACCGCCGTCCTCACCCTCTCCTACACCGAACCCTCCCTCATCCTCGTCCAATGTAACCTCATGCTCTGCATCTACCGACGCGTGCGCGCCCTCAACGCCCACGCCCCTCTGCCCGGCCGCGCGCTCGACCGCATCCTCGAGCTCGGCGCCCGCGGTCTACGCGCAGCCCGCGCCATGGTCACCGCCACTTGTCCCTGGCACCAGGTTGCAAATGTGCCCTTTCAGGTCCTTTGTATCCTGTTGGCGATCGATAGTCGGGCGGCGCTGGGGTTGCTTGCGGAGGCGATGCTCACGCTGAGAGAGGTGCTAACCGCGTATGATACGGAGGTTATGCGCGAGGCATACTCGACGGCGTATCTGCTGATTGCGCTGCATCAAAGACGGAAGGAGGACGATACGAGGGCATTGGGGGAGGTTCTGAGGGCGAATGCAGCGGCTGCGGCTGGGACCGGAACTGAGACTGAGGCTGAGACTGAGGCCGCAGTGGGTGGTAAAGAAGGTGCGCCGGTTGATACTAATGGCTTGGCAGCGGATCTGGGTATGAACGTAAATGCGAACGCGAACGCGGACGTGAGCGACATATCAGCAAGGGCAGAAGTGGGAGGCAACATCTCTGCACAAGGTGAAGCGACTGGGAAAGCGCGCGCCCAGGATGTACTGGGCCCCGTATCGGACGCGGAACTCTCGTGGCTGGGTGATTTGATGATTGATATGCCGAGCTTGCAGAATTTCGATCTCGATCAGTTCCTGCTGACGGATGTGCCGTGGCCACTCCCGGAGATGGGTATTTGATGTCTGTGTAATTTGTTTCCCTGAGTATACCAAGGGCATACTGCTGAGGGACTTTAAAGGGCATGTCTCCGTGCTCTTCCATCTTCGAGTGCTCGTCCTTTTCCAACGCCACTTCGTGAATGTAGTATACCGTTCTCATGGTTCCCCACTCGAACTGCGCATAGTCGGTGAACAATTCATAGCGAAGGCGATACAGATCCTACATTGCGACTTTTGTTGTAGGAAACTAGAACGCATCTTAACGGGGTACTGCGGCGACTGTAGCAACTGTTGACTGAAGATCGATGAAAGCGAGTGACACGAAACTCGCAAGACACAGCACCTGCCCAACAAGCCTTCTGCATGTTCCCCCACCATCGCTGTCAACCTCATCAACCAGAATTTCAAACCGATGTCTACGCTTCTCACATCTGTAACTTGTCCTCCTGGATCCTAGAGCTCAATTCTTGATGTTCGGAACTGATGATCCATTCTGTCTACAGACTCCGACAAGATGCCAACAGGCCCGACACGCCTGATAGCATTCTGATGACCAAGAATGCTTAGCTAAAGGCGGTTGGAGAGCTAAAGGTCCCTTGGGTGTACGAACACGAGATGAGCGAGGCGTACGAGGAGGAAACTATGCTCCGCCCTTTGCTTGCCCGGCCGATCCAATACATGAAGGATCTGAATTGCATGTCGGGCTTCATGAGTAACTACTGGGAGAGGTTGTTCCTTCTACAGGGGCTCATTGCAGGCAGATGGGTTGTCGGTTACTCTCCACTCGTAATACGTACTGATATCCTCACCATCTTCGTAAGGCCATAAGACCAGAAGGCCACCGCATCTCTCAAGCCGCACCTAAATACATCGAAGGTAACCAGATCCCCCACTACACGAGGTAGGTATACTTGATGATTAACTATACATTACGCATTCTATTTCATAAAGGTACAGAGTGTGCAGATCCCACAGCAAAAGAATTCCGCTACTCCTTCTTCTCGTGTCCCTCCCGGAAACCAGGTCTAGCTTTTAAGAACCCAACCTGAATCAACCGCCAAAGAACCCACAAGAACCCAAGTAAAATGACAAAGGACGTGCCCAACTCAATGATTTGAGCCGTAACCAGTCCCTCGCCATTATTCAGTTTCAACACCGGCACCTCGATCTCCTCGACAAGTCGTCCAGTCTCAGGATGTAATTGGTAGAACATTGTTCGTGGTCCGAATAAGCCGTCCCAGCCGAGATTCGTGCGGTCAAACGGATTGACCCCCATCTTCGTACCGTCTTCGGCTGTGCAGGCCCAGAATACGACTGGCCAGGGTACTTGCGCTGTGCGGTACCCTGTGTCTGAGGGTGGCAGATATCGCAAGTGCAAGGGAATAGTAGCCGTCCAATTCTTCAAGGCAGATGCTCCTTCGTCTACGGTGGGTGAGTCAAGCTCGAAGAGCCAGGTTGAGCCCCAGCGCTGGACAGCCCAATCTGGTGCCTCGAGATCCATTTCGCCGGCGTGCGCGCGAAGTGCAGCCAAGTTGTGCGATTCCAAGAACAGCGTGTCCTTGGTGCCGAGTTGATATTGATCCCCAAATACGGACGAGGGAAGTGTTAAGTAGGTGTGCAAGGCACAGGTTGCGTCTTCGGGAGCAGGAGGTCGTTGAAGAGAGGGAGCTTGCATGGTAATGGACATGGTGGGATGAAGGCCCGTCGGCTTGGAGAAGGAGACGGAGTAAGTAGCGTCCGAAGGGAGAGGATGGTGTCGAGATGGAAATGAGAACATAGTTGGCTCTATGGAAAAAAAACCCCCAAAGTTAGCACCTTTTTATCACTCATAGTTCCACGCACTGTCGGGATGTAAATCACGTACTCATCTTCTTATCCTCTCCAACCACCGCAAGCAGCCCTCCCACTTGTATTTCCGTACGCTCAATGCCTTTCTCTGCAGTCAGGACACCGATTTCGACCTTGTCATTATCTGACGCAGACTTTGACACTTCCTCCGTCCAACCGTTGGCCGGAGGTTGAGCCCAAAACCCGGAGATTGTCACTGCATGAGAGATGCTATCATAGTCGATGTCGACGGAATTGGCTGTCAGCAGTGTATCCGCGCGCTTATGACATGCGCTGCCACCAGATTGCTCCTGATGACATGCTGTGCGTCGAATATATGCAACGAGCGACCGGAGATCTGCCAGTCGAGTGTAGTATTGAAGGGACGCCGAGGTCGCGAACCTTGTGGAAACGAGCGGGGTTGTGATGAACGAGTCCTAGAAAGATTGGGAACTCAGCATTCAGCGAGCTTGACTCTGATTTCCTCGGTACGTGCCTACCTCGGGCCTCGTGCAATCTACCACGGCTTCTCCGTCTTCGTGATCGACGAAGATTGTACGCAACAGCGTGCAAATTGAGTCCCTGTCAACCTTTCTCAACTACACTGACCGAAAACACATAGACCTGCGCACTTCCAAGGTAACTCACTGTGACCCGTTCCTTGCCTGTGGAGTGTAATGCACATGTAACCCGGGCGAGATCCTGCTCGCAAAGGGCGCAATGGCATCAAAGGAACGCTCGGTCGCCCATCGCAGGCGCAGTTCGTGGGACTGTTCAAGAACATTTCGAAGCTATAGTCATATAGAGAAATATCAGTACAGCGCAAGAACACGTACTTCCAGGGGTTGAAATTTGACACTTCGTTTACCTCGTCAGGGAGTTCGCTCAAGCTCAAGGTGATCCGGTCCTCTCGCGCTGCTACCAGGTTCTGTACTGATAATGTAGAAGCGCTTAAGGAGATCTGGTCTGGTGCGAAAGGGGTTCGGGGGTTTGGGCGAATGTAATACGGCGCTTCATGATGTCAAATCAATTGGAATGGATATTATTGTGTTTGAAGTAAGAGGGGCAACATTGCACTAAAGATAAGGATGATGATGTTGATTTCTCCGAGCTGGCGGGAAGGATGCTTCTCCGCATTCTCTCCCAAATGGGGTTAGACCAGGATGTCCTCCACTATAGCTTTGTATAACGCTCGTTCGAATGCATGAGTTCTACCCACACATAGAGCAATGGCGAATATTAAGAAAGAGTAAAGAGGTAAGAAAGAAAAAAAAAACACAGGCAAAAGAAAGTGCCCTGTTCAACTCCAGCTAATGACTCGGAGGGACAAATTTTAGGGGTTGGCAGAGAATGACAAAAGCGGATGGATAGAATGAATATTGGACGTGCCGTCATGATCGTCAAGAGAACCGCCTAACCAGCGACAGAAAATCAAGTGAAATCGCTCACACCAACGCCTAAAACTATGCATCAATTCAAAATTCAGAAAAAAAAAAGCCTTTCCTTGTGCTCAAGGAAGCAAATCCTTGAGAATGGTCTTGGTCTCAGAGCTCAAGGTCTTAGGGAAGTTGACCTTGACCCGAACGACCAAATCGCCACGCTCGCCGGACTTTCTAGGATTCGGCATACCCCAGCCTGGATAGTGTTCTTCGTGACCAGGCTGCGTGGGACCAGGCTTGGAGACACGGATGGACTTGCCGTCAATCGTTCGCACAATCCGTTCCCAGCCAGTCAAGGCTTCCTTCAGACTGAGTTCCACGGTTGTGACCAGGTTATCGCGCTCGAGCTTGAAGTCGGGATGATCAATCTGTATCAAATGTTAATAGTGACTCCTTAACAGCATGATCAGACTCGGGGCAGGGGATTTCATCACTTACGTATTTCACGATCAAATGCATATCCTGTCGGCCACCTTCTTCTCCATCGCCAATGTTGCGATATTTGATCTTGGTGCCGGCTCGCATACCAGGCTTGATGACGGCCTCCAAGGGCACGTCTTTAACAGTGCGCTTCCCACTCGTATCGAAGGATTTGCTTTTCGCAACGACCGTCTTTTTCACTCCCTTGAAAACTTCATCCAGGGTAACCGGCAGATCCTTCTCAATGACAGTTGGTTCCGGGGTGGGCGCCCGATTTGCTTTGGCCGACGAGAAGTTCCCAGTGCTGGGACGGCTTCGGAATCCACCACCTCCAGCACCACCCATACCATTGAACATGGACGAGAGGATGTCATCGTCGAATCCACCGGGCATGCCCCCGACCCCACCTCCCATACCTCCGGATGACTTGGCAAAGTTGCGGAAAATGTCGTCAGCATTGCTGAAGCTGAAACCGCCATTACCACCACGGCCAGTTGAGAAATGGAAGGTCCGGGTACCACCTCCACCACTGGGCATGCCGCCAAAGCCAAAGCCTTCAGGCATGCCACCTGGACCAGCACCTCCCCCGCCACCGCCACCGCCAGGTGAGGGCGCAGGGCCCCCGCGCAGAAGGTACTCTAGACCGAACTGATCGTAGACTTTGCGCTTCTCCGGGTCTGAGAGGACTTCGTAGGCTTGTGATACCTCTGGAGGATCGTTGTGTTAGTATACCAAGGACCTTGACGAAGTGGATGCGGGGTTGATGCTTTGCAGCATTGGGAACGAGTGGGGGATGGGGGAGTGAGCTGGTAAGTTACACGTACCTTTGAATTTCTCTGAGGCTTTGGGGTCATTTTTGTTCTTATCAGGGTGCCACTTCAAGGCTGCTTTGCGATAGGCCTTTTTTATTTCGTCCTGTGAGGCACTGGGTTGGATGCTCAAGGCATCGTACAGTTTCGTCTCTGCCACCATGGTTGCTATATGGAGAGGTTGATGTCAAAATGTTGTCTTGGCCTGTAATGAGAACGCGACCCAACGCGCGGTGGTGGGCAGTGCACGTTTTTAAAGGAATCGAAGACGTGAAGTGGGAGGAATGGTATGACGCTGCTGCGGTCAAAGATCCTCTTAAAAGAAAGTCCTGGTGACTTCTCGAATGGGACGGGAGATACACTGGTCCTGCGTAATGAATCGGGCTTGTTGTTGTTTCAAGCGGTGTAGAAGTGTCCAAATTGGTTCCAGCTTTCTCTGACTTGGTCTTTCAGCGTGCTCCTAGCTTGAAGCTTATCTTTTGGTCGATGCGCATTAACATGGGGAGTGTTTGTTAAAAAGGTTGATTGCGGGGGAGTAGTTGGGTGGGTTCGATGGCCTCGTTCCCGAGTTGTGACATGTGACGTGTGACGTCGACTTGTCGAAGGTTCCAGAATGTTCGATCGCAGGCTGTTCCAGCAGTTGTATTTTAAGGAGGGTACTATAATTCATAGGAGCGAGATGGATTCATCAACCGAGAGATCATGTCCCGTGTCTCATGCTATGGAGTATGACAGCCTTCGTACTAGGAGATACGTTCAACGTTCATGGATGAGTTCTTGACTTCAGGTCGGTGAGGGTCAAGACCGGCTTCCACGCTCAAAGTGGTATCAGCCCGCACTCTATCACATCATCAACGGGTAGGCCCCACATGCTACCAGCTTTTGGACCTCAATTAAGTCATGGACAAGACTAGGTACTTTCGCCGACGGGTTTCAGTGGCAGTTAACTTTCAACCTCAGAAGTTGACGAAGAGCTCCTGCTCAGATGTGGCCTAGGATACGGCTAGACACTCGAGTATCTGCGAACAAGTTGTTTCTCAGTTTCAATTAGAAAAAGCGCACTATAAAGCCATTGGACCTATTTTGCACTAGGTTGATTCTCCATGTACTACTACCTAATCTAGATCAACCAACTACAATATAATCCTTGATGACAGCCGTCCCATTGACAACCCTGGCAATCTGCTCGTCTGTACATGTCGCCTCAAGCGCCAGAATATAGCATTCAGGTTCAGGACTCTCAGGCACATCATTCTTAATGTGCCACGTCGACGCGGGTCCCTCTGTAGAATAGGACTTATTCTTGGCCGTGTCAATTTTTCCCGTGGCCAGATCCCGATTGAAGAGCGCCCGATGGAAGATCTCGTATGCAGTCTGCGGCTGATAAGCTGGGATCTCATGGCCAGCCTGGTAGACTCGCGAGAAAGAAAAGTTACCATATTGCCGCACCTGGCCTCCCACGTACGACTTATTGATGTGGAGTGGCGCATAGCCTGCGGCACGGAAAGCATCAGCCTGCGCATGTTGTATGCGCAAGCTCACATCTTCGCCGCCGATCCAGTCACAGGCGTAGTCGCGGTCGCCGTGAACCAGGGCGACCTTGATGCCGGAATCCAGAACGTAGGCGATATCGTCGAGGTATCCATGGACATCAGCACGGGCATAATCGCCTGTGGATTGGAAACCCTCATACACGCCTGAACTAGACTCGGTGAAGTTGATGGGGACGCCAAGTGCACCTTGAACCCAGTGCTGGTTGAGGAATCCGAGGAAGTAGTTGGGTGGGAATGGGTCCGGGGACTTGTGGGCAATGTCGTAGTAGCCCCGACCTGCGAACTTCACGTAGGGTCCCTCGACGGTGTTGCTGCAGAAATCACCGGCTTTGCGGCAGACTTTGTTCACCGTCTCGTTGGTGCCATGCATCTGTGGGTCACCCTCGGCGGCAAGAGCTCGACATTGCTGGATCTGGTCCTTGCAGCCACCGGGCCGACCCCAGGCATGCATAGCCCGTTGATAGACGGTCTCATTGATGGTCTGTAGATCGTAGGTATTGTTGAACGCCATGATGGGGTAGGATGGTGCTTGGACGAGGAGATCGACACAGCCGTTGATGATACCCAATGTATCGAGGTGGATGTAATGCGACTCGCTCGCGGCGTTTACGCTCTCGTTTCGAATTTTCTCGTTCTGTTCTTGGAAGAACGCCGTGAACGCTGGACCATAACGACCGCCATAGGATTCCGTCCAGATGCTCACTCGGTCGTCATTTGGCTTGTACTCGGGGAATTCAGAGAACCAGGTCTGTGCAAAGTGCCACAACGAACGTGCTGCATCTTCAGTTCCATTCGCGGCCGCCGAGGCCTTTCCACTCGCTGTAGTGCCAACGTAGAACGTGTTATTCTGTTCGGGAACTCCATGTTCCCATTTAGAGACATTCCACGCCTGAGCGACCTGGTCAAAGGTCCCGTTTGTTATAACATCGTAACTGAAGCCGACTTGATTCGGCTGGTCAATGTACAGCATATTGACGTAATTGTTCCACGACCACGGATTAAGCTCCGTGGAATTACTGTCGGCATTGACGAGACATGGACCGTTCTCTTGCAAGAGACCGATCATCGACGAGCTGCCCGGTCCTCCATTCATCCAGATGGACAAGGGAGCGTTCATCGGATCGTGTCGAGCCTCAAAGAACCAAAAGAATGTGTTGACCGGATACTTCTGCTCCATGCCGACATCTTTCAAAGTCCCCGGAGGCAAGTGCACGTATCCGGAGTACGATCTGACCCCCGGCGTTGTCTCGCAAATACCCGGCTGTAGTCTTGATTCAGTGGCTGATTGTGTAACGATAGGCATCGCGTGTCCCCCAAGATTGCATCCATGGTCCGTACCTGCTTGTAAGAGATCTTTACCCCTTTCTCATGCTTTGATTCGACGACCGTCAGGCCCGATGGGAGTGGCGGAAAGTATTGCGCAACAGCACTCCCTGCCAACGAAGCTGCTGCTAGCCATGCAGCGAAGACCATTGTTGCGCCAGTAAAAGCACTACGCAACACGCAATATCTCTGACAGGCGACAGTACTAGGAGACAAAGCTTGAGACTTCCTGTCGGTCGCAGGCCAGCTTGATCATCAAGTTGACAAACTCAATACCAGTGTAAGGGATCAAGAGTGACGCACCGGTCATGCACACGGCGAGGTCGGTGGTCGACTCTGTACAGATGCAACGATAAGCCGATGGACCTTGGCCGGAAGGCCGCCGGACTGTCGGGGTAAAGTGGGGAATTAGTGCCGCGATGTCAGCGACCGAGAGATACAAGAATGACAGGATCGCCAGTGCGATTGTCCAATGGGCTTAACTATACACCCATTGAGGCCATCAGCAAGATCCTCGAGCTTTGGTCAATCTGAAGACAATCTAAATCGGAGGCTTGTAGCAAATGCTGCACTGAAATCCTGACCAAGGTGCCAAACCAAAAAATGTCACGACCGCTGATCGTGCTTCCACGCCCGGGGTCTGACCAGCCCATCAATGCGTTGCATCCGATCCGAGCACCATCAGAAACCGCCTTCACAGCGACCTTTGGCAATGTGCTCCCCAAAGCAAAGTATATACAAACTCCGTGTGGCAAAGCCGCCTACTACGAGCTTCATCCCCAGCCCACAGGCTCTCGACATAGCCAGTCGCAGCCCAAGATTTCACGGGTTCTCTTCGTCCACGGTGTCCAAACGTGCGCCATTGGCTTGCAACCGCTAGCCAGCGCATTGTCCTCCAAATTCCCATCTGCTCACTGTGTCCTTGTGGATCTTTGGGGCCATGGACTCACAGATACCCCTCTGGTCCCTCATGAGCCGGCACTCTTCCATGCGCTGCTCGACGCGTTGATGGACCATCTTGATTGGAAAGATGCTCATCTCGTGGGGTATTCGTTTGGCGGATCGACAACGGCCAGTTTTGCGGTTGCGCATCCGAAGCGTGTTCAATCTATGGCTCTGGTAGCTCCGGCGGGTCTGTTGTTTGCCCGAGACTTTACAGAGGAGGAGAATGTGTATCTGCGCGGAGGCGAGGGGCTGGAACAGCGTGCCAAGGACTGGGTTCTTGAGTTTCTGGAGGGTGGAAGATTGGCTGTTCCTGCGGATTGGGAGGATAGGGTCAAACGGGGGGAGGTGGTGGCTGAGGCTGTTCGAGACTGGGAGATGAAGGAGCACCGGGGCCATGCCGCCAGCGTGGTGGCTATTTTCCGCGACGGCGGGGTGTTGGATAAGGATGTTGAATTTAAGAAGGCCGCGAACAGTGGCATTCCATATCTGAACATATTGGGCGAGCTTGACGGTGTGTGCAGTGTGGACAAGTTGAAGGCCGTGGGAATGGAGAATATCGAGGTGATACCACAGGTGGGACATGGACTCGTGAGGGAGCGAGTGAGCGAAGTTGCTGGACGAATTGAGCGATTTTGGAATTCGCTGTAGCACGTCGAGGGGTTTCGCGAGTGGGATTGCGGATGGTTGTGATCGAGTGAATTGTGCGGACTAACAAGATCACGAGACCAGTAGGCGCAGCTCCCAGATATGAATGCTTAAACAATAGACTTTCAATGCATACACTGACCACGTTTTATTCAAAGAGAATGATCGTCATATCATTGTTGTATGAACTAGGCTCGCTGCCAAGATACAATATCGTGAAGGGAATATAATGCTATGTACTTCAGCCAAAAGTCAATGAAAAGCGAAGCAATCAAGAAAGAAAGAAACCGCTTGAAAAGCATGATCTGATCTGGTCATCAGTCCACGCTTCCAATCTTTTTTCGCCCTCAGAGAGCGAGAGCAAGACCCAGAGCACCAGCAGCACCAGCCAGACTCATGGCAATGCCACCGGTGGCCGCGGGAGCGCCACCGGTCGAGGTCGAGGAAGAAGCAGTCGAGGTCGAAGATCCAGAAGATGTCTTCAAACTACCAGAAGCGGTAGAAGATGCGCCGGTCTGCACTGCGGTAGAAGTGGCCGTCATGGAGGGCGAGGTCGACTTAGGACTGACGCCCGTAGACGCCGAGGTGGAAGAGGCGCCGCCCAAGCTGCCACTCATGGAGCCGCCTGATGTCGAAGCGGCGTTGGTCGCGAGAGGAGTCAGGCCGGTGATTCCTTCTGAGGATGCCCACGAGATCACATCGGCAGGCAAGCTGCTGGCCCAGGCTGGATAGCTACCGTGCTCATAGGCGTTCAGGACCGAAGACTGGAACGCAGAATCGGTCTCGTACTCGTTGAGCCATGTGGTTGGGATGGCGGTCACCAGGACAGCAATGACACTGCTGGGAGGCAGACCTGTTGTGAGAGCGCCCAGTCCGTCTGTATTATCTGCGCTAGAAGCTGGGGCGGCCAGGGCAGCTGTGGCGAAGATGAGAGATGAGAAAGTCTTGTACTGCATGATGCCGAATTGAGGGCGGTTTGATCTGAGGGAGATGAAGAAGAGATGTTTGAGTTGTGGCTGTCGAAGATGTGCGACGGTCAACGCAAATGTTCGGAGATGCTGATGCACAGAAGATGGGGTGTTGTGAGAGGGAGAAGTATATATGTGGGACTTTAGCTGCGTCAGAAAGGCCTTGGGGATTGCTGGTTCCAGCCGGGGAAATGCACGGTGGGTGGAACGGTGGCCTGATTGATGAGGTGAGACTTAAATAGAAATCAGCAACGCGTGGGAGGCTCCTCTCGCCATCTCATCACTGCTTTGGCAATTGCGAAAGTTCACCAAGGTACTGACTGGTAAGAGGGCTGCTGGACCTCTCACACAGAGCCTTCGTCACCAACAGGCCGCACTCATTTTTTTCTCATGTTTCTCCACCAAGCTCAGTCGACTCAGCCCTGTTGCTGCCTTCCACTCAATGAAATGACCGTACTAGAGACTCAGCGCGGTGCTGATCGGCTTAATCGCACCCAATTGAAATTTCAGCCGCCCCCAAACGCCGCCCCATCGATGGATCCAGTTGCCCACAAGTAAAAGACGGTGATTTCAGGCGTCCAAAGTGATCGATGCCTAAGAGGGATCTACAAGACTAACCTTTCTCCACCGTCTCAGTGGCGTCAACACTCCTCAGATTAGGTAGGCACTGTAGGCAGTAGGCAGTGCTGGTATCCACCTGCACTGCCAGGAATCAAACCTGGAGAAGAATATATCCATACCCAATGAGCGAAGACCAATTTCGGTGTTCTCATATCTGCAGTGTATAGCGATGTAGCCATTTTGACGAGGCCATGTTTGTCAAGTCAAGGTATATGGCCTCAGCGAGACGAGCCGACTCGGGCGGAAACGGACCACAAGTCGTCAAGTTTTGACCAACTAGCGACCAACTTGCTTGGCTCTTCTCGACTATCTGACGACTGGATTGCGGCACAAGTGTAAGGCTAGGCCACCAGGATATCATTGGGGTTGCGAATAGAGTCTGCATATCATGACGTAGCATGAGCCCCTTGCTGACGAGGCTTGCTCGTACCTACATCTGAGGTAGGTACAAATCGGTAATTTAGAAGTAGTAGGTATTGACCGACCGCATATAGTTAGTATATAGTATATACTATATAGTAACTTATATACTTAGTCTAAATCCTTAAAGGGAGGTAGCATGTAGCCATGTACTAGGCATATTGGCACTCTACACTCTACACTCTACACTCTACAGTATCTTGTTACCTTTTGTCAGATGTCTTGGTAACTTGGCACCCGGCCCACGGGCAGAACCCCTGCATGGTGGAAGCTGGGATCGATTTGGTCAAAGCAGGAGATTGAGGCAACATGACGGGCTCGCATGGATAGGATTGATTATGGTCTGAACTGAATGTATCGTTATTATTTTGGAAAATGCCTGGTCATCTACTCATCTTGTGTCTAGAGCCTAGACCAGGTTGTGCTGATCGCAAAGACTGCTATTAGTTATTGTGTCAAGTTGATACCTGCTAGTAGGTAAGGTAGTATCGATGCTCTGTACGTAATCGCAGAGATGGTCAGCCCTGAGGTTCCAAGTGCTCATGTGACATACCACTAGTCATGACTTGTCACCCCCCGGTTTAGGTTGACATCAATGATATGACTCCTACTACATGTTTCTCATGTTCAGTCACCTTGATCATGGGCGATGTGAGCGTTTGAAAACACATCCCGCCTACCGATCTAGATCACGCAATGAAGCGGTATCAGGAGCGTTCAAATCTCAGTTGCAGCAGAATCCTTGCCCTCCGGCTTCACTCTCAGCGACCGTTCAGACTGACACTTGATTCGTACACAGGTGTAGGCGCGGAATCCCTGCGTTCGCTCATGGGTTCAATAGAAGGGCCCACGGGGTTCCCTTACTCAGTGAGATCAGAGAACTAGAACCTGCATTATTCAAGCCCAGCGAGCGAGGCCTCCGATAAGAAAATAGTTGATCCTCGTACGCGCTGATGAGAAGAAAGTGTACTCGTCTCGTCGGAGGGGGTCAGCCTGCTCGATTAAGCAGCCCCCGCGGAGAAGAGACTAACCCGTATTGGGATAGTCCAGCCGACGGCATCGGAAACGGCGAATAACCCGGGGTCAGCATGAGTCTCTGCGTGTACGAGCTACTTGGAAGTTAGCAACTTAGTACAGTGCCGAACCATGTCGTGTCAATGGAATGACACAATCATCCACGATCCTCAATCTCCGTCGTGTAGAGTCATTACATAGAATAGCACACTGATGATGTTCATCGCGACAGTGGTCCATAGTCCACACTCAACAGTGTCTGACTCCCACCATTTCGCATGCTTGCGGCAATCCTCTCCCGTCTCCACTGCCTGACTTTCTGGGTATCCCACTGGCCTCGGCGCGCCATTCACACTATGATTGACGGCCTGCTGCCGATAAACGCTCTGACCCCACCATCGGCTGCTCAAGTCTGGATAGGCTGATCTGATCGGCTATCAATCTCGGGTCTGCACCACAACGCGCCTCCCCCTGCAGACTCACGGCGAGGTTAGTGTCGCGCTATCCATCAACTCTGCATTGCGCTCGTTCTTATATAGTCGCGTGGCGCCCCGGAGAAAGAAAGAACTGCAGCCGGACGCAACCAGTGATCGTGCATCTGAATTGCGTGATCTGACTCTTTGATCATGACGACCGTCTTCCGAAATGGGCGTATCTTCGTGCCCTCGTCCACGCCGGCGCAAGAGTCCCACAACTTTGCCGATGCAATGATCATCACCGATGATCGTATCTCCTACGTCGGGGCTCAGGACCAGGTGGACGTACCTGCGGACGCGACGGTCGTCGACTTGGACAATCGCGTCGTGGTCCCGGGCTTCATTGATGCCCACGTGCACATCCTACATTACGGCCATTCTTTGCAGAAAGTGGACCTGATCGAGTGCGCATCACTCGAGGAGATCCGGGCCAAGATTAAAGCATACGCAGAGGCCAATCCATCTGTACCGCACATCTTCTGTCGTGGGTGGATTCAAGCGACGACGAAGGGAGTGGCATTGGCAAGTATGCTGGACGATCTGGACCCGAGACCGATTTATATCGATGCCTTTGATCTACATTCCATGTGGTGCAACTCTGCGGCCCTGAAAGCCATGGGTGCAGATACAGCCCCGGATTTACCGGGAGGCTGTATTCACCGGGATGAACATGGCCGGCCGTCTGGTCTCTTGGATGAATCGGTCGTGATGAACATGGCATGGCCGTACGTGGAGAGCCTGCACTCCAAAGCAGATAAGCTGGCCGCGCTGGACGAGGCTATTCGTGCCTACAGTGCAGCGGGGTATACCGGTGTGGTCGACATGGCCATGGATGAGCCCACGTGGGAGATTCTCTCGGAATACCGTCGGGACCGATCCATCCCGTTCCATGTCGCGGCCCACTGGCTCGTACCATACACCGAAGACCAAGAGGCCAATTTCAAGTACGTCGATCGTGCCATTGAGTTGCGATCTCAATTCACCGAACCGGACTTTTGCGTGGTCGGGATCAAACTCATTTGCGATGGCGTGGTGGACGGATGCACCGCGGCTTTACTTCAGCCATACACCGGAAAGGAAAGTCTCGTGGAACCCATCTGGCCCGAGCATCAACTCCGCGAGGTCGTCCGGCGCGCAGACGCAGCCGGACTACAATGTGCGATCCACGCAATCGGCGACCGTGCCGTTCACCAAGCCATCAATGTGCTGTCGCAAGTCGGAACTCCCGGTCGTCGACACCGGATCGAACACCTGGAGTTGACCACCTCCGAGGACGCCAAACGCCTCGGCGAGCTGGGCATCACGGCCTCGGTACAGCCCGTTCATTCGGACCCGGCGCTGTTCAAAGCCTGGCACGATCTTGTGGGCCCGGATCGTTGCCAGCGCGCCTTTGCATACAAGGACTTCTTGGATGGAGGAGCACCACTGGCGTTTGGCACAGATGCGCCCACGGCGCGCAATCTTCCATTTCCAAATCTCTACAATGCGACTACACGGCGGTCTGCACTCGAGCCGGAGAGTACGGACACGGTCAATACCCAATACAAAGTAACACTAGCACAAGCTGCCACGGCGGCGACGGCAGGAGCCGCGTATGCACGGTTTGCAGAGTCATGGACAGGGAAGCTGCAGTCGGGCTTGGCTGCCGATTTTGTCGTTGTCGACACGCAATGGTCGGCGGAGAAGTTGCTCGAGGCCAAGGTTTGCCAAACCTGGTACAAGGGGAAGAAGGTTTTTGACGCGAGTCAGTCATGATGAGATTGGCTGGCACATATAAACCAAGAGCAGTTTTGGGGTACTGGGACAATACCCCATATTCTGGTGAATTTATACTTTGGCACCTTTAATGTGATTGCACTCAGATCCCACATCTGAGTAACTTACGAGCAATGCTTTCTAAGGAGAATCTTCACTTACTGCTGTAATTGTCGTATTGACATCACGAGTACATCATTCCAAATAATGAAAGCACCCACGTACAAAGTCCCGACAAGGCCGAAGCAATTGGAAAACGTACCTACGAGATAGTAGACACCAACAAATACATTACATAACCCCCGACCCTCCGCCAAACAAAAGCCCTGCAATCTGATATCGAATCCATTTCGGTGCCGTACCATTTATACTAAAATCACTTCACCACTCAATCTCCAGGTCTGCCCAACTCGCACTGCGTCCCGTGATCAAGATAGCCGATGCGGTAACCGGGCCGTTTCTCTAAAAGCAAAGCGTTAGCACTCACCTCTGCAGTGAGTGACCAGATCAAGAATCCTCCAAACTCGAGCCAGGAAACGGACGGGACATACGACCGAGACCTCCCCCATCGGCAGCAAAGTCATGGTCTGTCATTTTATGCAAATCTTCCAGTGCGTGGTCGTGGGCGAGCTCAGCGCAGGTGGACTGGGAGGAGCTATTGGACGTTGGACAGTGGATATTACAAGCGATTAGATATGTTTCTTCCTGGACGTGCGAGACTCAAATGCTCCCAGGGAAATTCGAGCATCTCCAGTGGACAGGGCAAGGAATAGGTCGGGGTCTCAAGTAGGACTATGGGTAGGTAAAGGTTTGGGTGGAATGTGCACTTACGGCGCAACGTCATCAACGATCAGATTCATCTCTGTATCATCGAGTCTGTGACTCTGCATAGCAGCTGGATGGCCGTCGGCGTCGCTGAGGGATTTCCGAGTCTGCATGGTCTCTGGGACAAGGGGGTGGTTTTCTGTTGTTGAGACCATGTTTGCAATCGATGTGTGGTCAGCCCGTCTCTCGTCACTGTAGGTGAATTGGCACTGAGGTTGTGGACCACTTGAAAGGCAATGGGTGGTAGATGTGGGCTCTGCCCAATGCCCAGTGTCTGGTATGATCGGGGGATAGCTGGATTAAATCAAGTTCGCCCAAATAAGGGAACACTACAATGTGATGGGAAGATCAACGTTGCACAGGGCTGGTTATGTTTGAGAGAAGATGAAGAGAGGTAGAAATCTCCATGGTTCACTGATTCAAGGGTTCGAACAAATAGTGCGGAAAATACATGTAGCGGACCATCGGACAACCTGATGTGGCGAGGGCTATGATATAACCACATTGATGTGTTTCCTTGGGTGGATGAAGCTCCAGTTCCATCAGAGTGGTTCGGATCTGCAATTCGGCGGAACCTGGACATTGGCTACCAAGAAGACCTCTTCAGATGGGGACATCCCCTCGTGCGCAGGAATCGGGAGAGGTGGGAGTTTGGGATGGCTACCGAGTTCATTGAATCTCGCTGCGACACTTCTCCTTCCAGGTGTGCTATTCATCAGAGGTTACAAAGGGTTTAAAGAGAACGCCCTGGAGAATCCTCAAAGATGCTTTTCGAATTCAAAAATCACGGAGAGTCTATAGGGCTATGAATGAATGGGCGAACAAGACAGATCCACGATTCCAGCCCAGAGACGTCTTCAACCCCAAGAAGACCAGGATGGAATGTAAATCAACCAGAATAGGCACACGTTGGCCTTGCTCTGACGTCCAACAAAACAAAGGAGATGAGCACACGGCGTTCTCGCCAATGCTTGAATGTCGTGAGACCAGTCGAATCAAGTATGTGGCCTATCTCCGGTGACATCCCGCCCGAGTTTGTTCCTGCCAAACTCGAAGACGTTCAGCCACAGGGTTACGAGGCCAGGGCCGCAGGCAATCCCGTTCACCAATCCTGCCACAATTCGAAAGGACCCGGAAGTGCAGGGCTGTCATACAAAAAAAAGAGATAGAGGACACATGGAATGAGGAAGGATAAAATGTAAAATATTGGGAAAACGTCGGACAAGACGTCATGCAAGGTAAAGCAATTGAACAGGAGAAGACAGGCGCGCCACATCACCGGGCAGTGTAGAGGCTAACGGAACCATAACAATGAAATCAAAGGGGCTATCTTGACGGGGTCGTTGAGGTATCAGAAGAGATCAAACATGAGATTAATGGAACATTGGCAAAGTTCGGCACGCAGCCGAGCATGTTGGGGAAGACCCAATATACAGGAACACCCATGCGAACAGGTGAATATCAAAAGTGTGGGAATCTTCCACGATACAGAATCTTACATCGGTTGCTGCAAGAGCTGAGGAGCGATCATCGGATGCGTCGACGCGACCATTGTGGGCATGGATGTCGCCATGGTCATGGAGGCGGCCATCGGGGGCATAGGCGGCATCTGAACCATCGAATGGGGAACGTGATGCACAGGAGACGTCGTTTCTTCGCCGGCAGATTCAAATTCATTGCCATCATTTTCCAGGTCATCCTCATGTCCCATGGGCGCCTGACCATCCTGCTGAGCCTCGTGAATGCGGCGATGTCTAGAGAGAGGTCGTAAGAATTTTGCTCGTATATCATCATAGGGATCCTCGGACAAACTTACTGCGCGAGATTATCCGATCTAGAAAAGGCCTTGCTGCAGTATGGACAAGGATATGGTCGCTCTTGTGTGTGGGTTCGTACATGTCTACGCGCCCAGGGTCAGCTAGCGCTTATTGAAACGGTCTCACGGGTGACATGTGGTAGACGGGCCCGTGCATCAAAGACAAGATGCGGGGCAAAACACAACGCACATTTGAGGGAGGAGGGGAGCAACAATTTGGCGAGGGACTAACCTTTTGAGGTGCTCTAACCTCTTGAAGAGGCGACCGCAAGATGGGATGGGGCAAGAATGGGATTTCTGGGGGTAAGGTCCCACCTCCATCATTGTCGCACTTCTCGCGCGACGCGCCGGCCCCGGACCTGCACGATCTGAACGTCCACTGTTATGGGGCATGGCCGGCTCCATTGCGGTGCTGTGGGGCATCGAGGTCACCTCACTTGGTGCATGGCTCACCGGCACAGAGCTGTGGTCAATGGCCTGCTCCATATGCTGAAGAGGAGTGCCGTGACGGGAAATTTCCTGCAACAGATCCTTCTGGGGGAGCATGGCGCTTGGATACGTCGTGTGGGAAAGATCGTGCGCAGACTCATCGCTCTCGGCGACCGGTGCGACCGAGCTGGAAACTGACCGTCGAAGATCGCTCGGGCGATGGGCAGCATAGGGAGGGGGTGAGACGCAGGTCCCTGAGATCCGTTGGCCATGTGAACACCACCGCTGGGCCCGGGAGTGATGGAAGGTCGTCGCCTTCTTTGCTTGTAGGTGGGAGAACCCTCCATGACGGAATACGCATTGGAAGAGTACGGCCGCGGAACACCATAGTGAGCACCAGCGAAGTTGGAAGGCGGAAGCTGCATCATGGGGTTGTAGGGCGCAGTATTCGACAGATCCGGAATCGCCGTGTAAAGACCGGTGTCCTCGTTGGCAATGTAGGCAGGCTCCGAACCCATCCCGACCGAGTGTTGCGGAGGTGTTACGGGCTCGAAGGAAAGACCGCGATTGCTATAATCTTCGTATTGCGACGAAACAAAGGAAGGGGCTGGAGAATACTCGTAGAATGTCGGCATAGATGAATGACGCTGGTGGATGCGAGGAAGCGGCATCCCATTGCGGTCGTACTGGATGTGTCCGTAGTCTTGCTCGCGCTTAATGATGCTTTGAAGAAGGTTGTTGGAGAGGGGCATCTGGGGAGTGCTGTACATCGTCTGGTTCGCATGCTCGTCCTGCAAGAGCGGCATCGCCGGGGGAGCCATCTGGGGAGGAGGCATTGCGTCAACGCTCCGAACCACAGGGGAAGAAGGCTGGCCATATGTCGTACTTGCGTGGGCAGCAAACGAAGAAGTGTTTGCTTGCTGCGCCTTGGTCAACTGCTCATACAAGGACTGGGACGAGTCGAATTCAAAAGACAAGGCCGGCTCGCTAACGGCCACGGTCGTCGCCTCTTGGTTCATCTTCTCGCGCTTGAGGTCGCGCTCGAGCGCGTCGAGGAACAACCGGTCGTGCGGCACACTATACCAATAGAAGACCTTCTGCTTTTTCTGAGTGCGAATGCAGTTGTTCTTATACAAGAAGTCCAGGAAAGCGCTCTTGGGCTCCTCCAGAGTCGCATCCGTCCCCGCTTTCAGGTTTCGCAGGTCGGAAAAGATACCCTCTTCGAATTTTTTCGAGTTCTTCACAGGTCGGCCGAAGGCCTGGAATCGGAAGGCCAGGCATCGCACAATGTCGGTTCCGGAGATGTGGAAGAGGTTGCTCCTGTTCGTCGAATGGGCATCAGTGGACTGTCTTGGGACTTTCTTCTCCTTTGCGGTTCGAGCGCCAGTCTTCATGTTCGCACTAACCAAAGGACACAGGAAACGTAATCTCCGGTCGGCAGCAGGAAACGACGGATTAGCTGGTCAGGCTGCCAGTCGACAGGAGCCGAAAGAAGGAAATATTTCACTGGGCGATTGTCAGCCAAAGAGATGACCCTCCCAGGCGCGATTGAGGAGACAGAAGACTTACAGTTGTCGACCTGTTGCAAAGCGACCTGCGCGTCATGAGGCAGGCTCTGTTGAGCTTCGGTTGACAGCATAAACGTCTCTGGCTTCTGGGGAGGCGCCATCGGGGCACCTGGCTGTGGGTACATGGCGAACGCGCTGTTGCATGAGAATGTCAGCACCGTTCTCCAGGAGGGCCACCCTTTTGTATAGGACGATGTCCGGCCACAAAGAAGGAACTTTAAACAAGGAAAAAGTCTTCCCACTGGACAGTTTTGACATGCCTCTGTGAGACGATGTTCGAGACTCAAAGACGTACCTATTGAGGATGATTCACCGGGCCGGCTTGGGATCAACAAATGCGCAACTGCAGATATCGGGTCAAGGGAGTTTGTGGGACGATCAACGGGCGCGCGCGCTCGCGAGATTATTAATAAGTGCTATAAGCTGGTATCGACAAGATGTATAGTGTGATTGCTTGCGACCAGCTGGATCAGGATGATCAGACGGGAGGTTCCAGCCTCTCGTGTCTTGTATGGATTTATCCGAGTGTTGAAGAACACAGCGGACAGACAGAATGAAGAGCAAGAGAAAGAGAGAGAGGAGATGTGAGGTCGGAACTGGGCCAGCCGGAAACGAACTCTCTGGCACTTTTTCCTCGCTCAGCGAAAAAGAAAAGCAACAAGATGAAGCGAAAGTGAAGGTGGGAGAGGAGGGACAGGAGTGTCGAGATGGTGGTGAGGAGGGGGAGACCGAAGGGGTTGAAGAGAGGAACAGGTTGAACGGGAGAAAGGTACACAACGTCAGACTCGACGGTCGATGGGCGCTACTATGTAGTATGTACCACAAAATCCCGTGGACTGGCTCGATGAAGTACAGTACTAATAATAAGTCGTCGGGAGGTACGGGAGAGCCCACCTTAGATCGAGGTTCCGTACAAGAGAAAATAAGGACTCGGAAAAATGAGAAATAAAAATAAGAAATAAAAAGGAAGATTGTCCCAATTCAACAATAAATAATCCCGATGGGTTAAAAGCATGATCCAACCTGTTGTAGAGTGGGAATTTATGGGTTTTCTGATTCTATTATTTCTTTTCCGAACGGCTTCAGCAAAATTGAGACCGGCCAGGAGGGAAATACGATGGATACCGGTATTGGCTGGTATTAAGGGCTGATAAATTACGTACTAGCCCTGCCCGCTGGTGAATGAAGCGGGATCAATTCCAGCAAAGCGCGTAATAGTTGGGTAATAGTAGATCGGCAGTACAATAAGATACAAAAAAAACCTTTTTTGAGCGCCTGCCAGAAGTGCACGGATTGGTTAGACGGGGATAGTCTAGGAATTGAGAGTTATGCACAGGGTGGTCACTGGTCAGTGATTCTGTCGATGCCTTGAAGGCTTATACTTGTACACTTTACGAGTCCACGCTACAGCGCGACACCGTGGCGGTGTTCGAGATCGTCACGCTCAGTTTCCAGCCTCAAGCTGAGCATGGTCCGACAGAGCTCACAAGATCTACAGCATGAGTCATGAACACTTTCTGTTTGTCAAAATTCTCCGATCTACCCTGCCCAAGAGAGATTGCAGCGCTGAACCCGAAGTATATGCATTGTACACCATCCAAATGGATGCCATGACTCTGTTTATCGATGTGAACAGACGAAATCCTACGAACTGGAGTTATCCTTCCTCGCTGTCCTCCGTTTGAATGGCTCGGGGATCCAAGTACTGACAGGGAGCTCAGTGGCAAGTGATGAGTAGCCTACTGGCCACACTCTCGATGCCTTGCAGAAATTGACAGATCACTAGTTGCACGATGATTCGCCGCTTCTGCCATCTTTGTAGTGACGGGACTGCGGAGGTGCAGATGATCTGTGCCAACTGCCAACCGCCAGCTGCAGTCAGTACAGTGAGCGTTGAGCAAATCTCTACTATCGACGTTAAAGCACAAGACGTCCGTCCTGTCCTTCTCCGAGCCGCTGTGGATGGCATCGTACTGAGTGGAAGCAGAACCATTTCCAAGCCCAAGTTCCCCAGTCACTCGTTCGGGTGCTATTGCTCAGTGCTCACAATCTCAGTACTCGAGAGGGAAATCCCGGGACATCTGCTACCATGCAGCAGCCCAGTCCCAACTGTGCCGGGGCAAAGATGAACCAACCACTGGCGCGATGGTGGAACTGTCGACCATCCATCGGGTCGACTGCCAAGGCGCGCGAACAAGATCAAACTGGCGCTGGAGACGGAGCCGGGACCTTGACTGGGGCTTACTAGACTTGACTGGAGCATCTGAAGCACCCACGGTCTGTTTCAGACTTGGTGGGCGCTTACATGCAGCCACTGAAACCAGGCCGTCTTCTCTCGACAGTCCCACTCGGCACATAGTGACGGAGTTCTTCCCCTCGTCTTCACCATTTCCAGATCGTAGAGCTTCAGTAATTTTGCGGATCTGAGATACTGCTCTGCTTCACCGAAGATCGATCCAAGATATGTGCGGATTTGGCTCACTTTACCTCTGCTTCAGACATGGGGAATAAGCGGTTCGGTCGGCCGGTGATTCGGGTTGGTGTACCGACGCGCCCTCGTGAGTTTCTGCACTATCGACTAATAGTCTTCGGCTTACCCCATTTTTGGTGTTCCCCCGATAGCTTGTCCTGATGAGCCCATAGAAGTTCCAAGGGCGTAGCCACTGGACAAGTGGACAGTCTTCTTGGGGTGAAGGCCTGCCAGGATCCTGTATCTCAAAGGGGGTAAACACGACCAGCATGGGTAGGACTAGGAAGTGAGGAACTAGGAAAAGCATCAGGGTAAATGATGACACATCAGATCGAACGAGTCCCAATGACCAACGGTCCAATAGTGTCCAGTGTCCACTGTCCAGTGTCCATTGATCCAGCATCATACGTTGAGGCGAGGATGGTCCGAACGGATTATCCTTGGCCTGCAAAATGGGTGGTACAGTAATTGGTAGTTGGGACACTACCAAGTGAGGTCGAAAGTCGAATAACGAACCTTGATCTATCAATCCGATCAAAGGACTTTGCGTCCCTGTCAAGTCATCCAAGTTGGCAACGTCTTCCTCATAGATGTGCATAGGATGACCGAACTAGACGCATTACGCTCGGTACCCTTATTCTCCTTCCCAATCCACAATAGTCACCTTTATTTACCCTCGCGTTGTGCCGTCAACGATGCGATACCCAGACCAGGGCCAGTAGTCCCCCCACTTGGTTAGTCTCTAAAGGTGAAACACAGACGATCAACATCACCATCATCATCGGTCATCTCATCCTAGCGAGAGGGGGAGTGGATGGTGCGGGACCCGAGATATCCCCGTTGAAAACCGTGCCACTACTGCCTGCGCCCGTGGACTATTTACCGTTGAGGACTCTGAGTCTGGAGTGCATGCATTAGGGCTTCCTGGGACGCAATCCCGAGACGCTCGCTCTGACTTGTCGGATTCGGAATCTCGCCCATGTTGCCACGCTGGGACCTGAGGCTAGTCATCCTCTTGACTGTCCCCACGTTCGCCCATGATAGTTCATTTTCATGTCCATTCTACCAATCTGCGAGATTCCAGATATTGCTCTTCACTGATCGGGCAAAGACCGCCGTGACTAGTGGATTGCCGGATTCATAACTGATGTCATGGATCAAGAGATTCGGGACCGAAACACTATCCAGGCCGGAAGATCTTTTGCGCTTTGCACACATAGTTGGGCTAGGCCACTGATGTGCCGCCATACTGGTCGGTACTTTGGATCGTAGCCACTGGTACCATGGCGCACTTCCCGGTAGAACTATTGAAGTGCCTGCAATGCCGAGAAGACCACATGCAGTATTGCCCAGTGCCCACAGAATCACAGATCCTTGGAATGGTCGCAATAGTTCGACGTTGCCCCTGATTGTGACATCGGAGATATCGCTCAACGTGGCAATTGAGCTCAGCAGGGCAACGTGGATTCTCCCAAAAAGGAGACTGAGCATTGAGCACGCTCGAGGACCTTAGTCTCACGCTAGAGCTTCCCCCACCGGTCAAGTCAGCTGTGGCTAAGCCTTTAGCCTGTGTTGAGTTGTTAGTCAAACCACTTAGTGTCGTGATGCCTGACTAGTAGTATGGAAGACAAAAGAACAACCTTATGCTGGCGCGACAAAGGGGGTCTTGGAAAGTGAACGGACTCAACGTAGTACTACTGTAAGTGAATAGGTATTGACTCGGGAGACTTGGAACATACCCAGGTAGGTACTCCATTCCTTCAGCGCAAAGAACCAGACATGCGGAATGAATGGGGTTTGAACAGAAACCATGACACTGTCCACCTGACAGTATCTGTTACTCAGTTGTCTAGTCACTTTAGTGTCTAGGTTTTCACTACAAACATTGCGGTGGACGTATCTTGAATTGTACCGTGCGTGTCAGTGATAGTCTAGAATCTCATCCTGTGACGAGGCGGTGATCAAACAACACGGACTCCAGGAAAGTAGTAGCATGGGACCGATCACCCATGTTTGATCAGCACGGCAGACTCAAGTCTATCTCCTTCTCTTTTCCGACCGTGCCCTTTTGATCCATTCTTCGACACTCTTCCATGCGCATCACTTACACTATCATTACCGGAGCCGGGTGCCCTATGTCTGTCCAGTTCCACCGTTTAGCTTTTTTCGAACCTTACCCGCTCGGGAAGGCAATGCTACTAAACCATGGATCTGTATCAGGGTGTCTTACCTTCAAACAAGCAGACACGCTTTGACCGTTGTTTTTTGGGGGTACATTTGTACCACTACACAAGTACATCTTTGAACGCTAGTACTATCGTGCCCTCAGATGAACCAAGCAAAGCATCTGAGCAGCCACTGGAGAGGGTCCCCATGGCTCAGCATCTTCACTTTCTTGGGGCAGCTACCCACTTTGAGGAACACACTAGTCGATGGACTATGGCGCGATTGGTGATCTAGCAGGTTTCATGATGAGGATGGGGTTGTGTTCATTGTTGATTGCGAACGATCGTTTAGGGTCAATGAGGGGTTCGATGTTGATTCCCTTGGGGGAGGGAATGGTACCTAGGAACTTCGAGGAATGTGCCAGTCGAATCCATTTCAAGCCCATTTGGTCGACAGAATCCTCGCAGCCTCAAGCGCACTGTACGAGTCCCAATGGATGAGGGCTAGGAGAATGAACACATGATCAGATCAAGGTTTGCGCCTCCAAAATATAATTTTGATAGTACCTTGACCTCCCGTACAAATATACTTTTTGTCCTGAGACAACTTCCATCCTCGATGGACTCGGGCGTTGTGAACAGCTGACTTCTTCGTCTCTTGTATGTAACTATGTGCGATGCTGGGGTCTCCATCGACTTGGTCAGTATCTCCGACTCTCGTCCCTGGTCCCTCCTGGCGCCATCGGGCTAGACTGCATTCCCGGGACGGATGGCCCGCAATCGTAGCGAGAGCACATGGTTCCCAGACGAGATTCGTCCGTTTGATCGTCTAGCCTGAAACAATCTAGAATAAGACGAACCCCGCCAGACTAGAGCTGTGCTCGCTCATCGGTCCTCACTGATAGCCGTGGACCCGGCACTGCATCTGGTCTTTTTTTCATCTTTCCCCTTTGCCTGTCTTGCTTGGCTCATGATGATGATGCGCTTGCGAGTCTCTGGGACCTTGTGGCTGGGAGTGGAACACTGGAAAGTGTCAAGCGACTCACCTAGTTTGCTGCTGCAATGGCCCGAAGGGGGAAGTCTACAGTCCACAGTTGGACAACGATAGCATAGCTAATTCGCCATACACTATGTGACGATACCACAATTTTCCCACGTTGAGTACGGCAGTACACATGATCGCACCTGGACGTATATCGAGATTGGGCCATTCGGGTATCTGGGTATCCAATTCTAACAGAAAAAGACTGTCCGCCTGTTTGATACATGCGAATCTCTTTCTGAGATCAACACGGTAACCAAGGACTAGGAAGTAGGTTAAGAACTAGAGAGGTAGCTATCGCCCCGGAGAACGTCATGGCCGTTGAGATGGGCCACATGATGCCTTCCGCAGTAAAAAAAACCCCCAAAAAAGAAGAAGAAAGTACATGACGGATTATTTGTGCCTGTCGGGACGACCCGCAACCTCTGACTCGAGAAGTCTTTTCGGAAAGGGCATAGCTTCATTTTCCCCCCTGCCCGTTCCGAACACATCCCCGTCTGCTTCGATGACAGGTCGATTCAATGCCATCATCCTCCGGAAGAGATACACACTTTTGAGTGGGAGAGATACGTAAGGGAATCGAAGAGCAAAGAGCAACGAGCACGAGAAGGGGTCAGGTAGGCAAGTCCACTTGGGACCCTTTGAGCTATGTTCACTTGTACCCGTGTCTGAGTGTACAACTACACCGTAGCTTCGCACTGACCAGGAAACTGGATCCAAGGCTACGCTAGTATCTTGGTAGCTTCCTAGTCTCCTCTGTAATCTATCTATCTAGGCAAACACACTGCTTCGAAGTGCACAGTGCACAACTGCACACACTTCACAGTTCACACTCCCCCAGTATTCAAACAGCCCTGCGGCCACTCCTCTATCTCGGAGCAGAAGATTCTGCTGACCAAGTCGGAATCCCGATGCATGAAAAAAGGGGGGGCCGGTCGCCAAAGAGATGGAGCAACGACAAAAACCCACCCCCTCCACATCTGGATCGATAGCGGACTCGTATTCCCGAATGCTGCCAACTGCCCGAACTATTGACCCAGACTATTAGGGGATCAATTGATGAAAATGATCGAGACAACAATTCTGAATCCCTCGGTGCCCGGCCAGAGACCATTGTCCATCTATCTCGTATTCACCCGACTTTTGGGGGGTGGTTGGTGGAACCTCCTACTGGTTGAAGTATGAGCGAGGAACTATGAAAGTCATCCGACGCAGCTTCGATCGTGGACAGTGCACCGAGGGGACATAGAACGGACCCTGCTCAGAAAGACTGGGCGATTCCTTTCCGCAGTCAGTACTACCTTACCACACATATGATAGAACGCGAAGATGTAGACTGACATACTCTAGCTAGAATAGTCAGTCGTCGCTCGTCACTAGTCAGTAACTCAGTACTAGCTAGTAGCAATACTGCAGTACAACAATAGTTCACAAACTGCGGTAGACCATATCACCTGGGTTCAACAGAGAACCGCAAAATTGAGGTGGATGGGCTGGGCTGCAGACCCGTCCGAGACCCCGTTCGGGAAAATCCCCCGATAGACTTCTCGCACATCATGCCCATGCGACCGGCCTAGTGCAAAGTCTATTGAATCCGTGTCCCAAATTCGCGACTGACTGTCATTGCGGATCGTAGTAGTTAGCCTCTGCAACGATGTGTCCGCTTTCCCCTAGAGCATAGATATATGGTAGTGTCACTGACTCACGACTTACTTTTACTACTACGCTAGTACGACTACGCAGTACGCACCGGGGGGTGTAAACTCTATTGTGAGGTCAACGCTGCCGACGATGGCTCTTGCCGGTTGTTTCGTCGAACGGGAGGGGATTACGGGTACAGGTTCAGGGCGAAGGTGCTTGGCATGAGAGTTCCTTGGAAAGAACAAAGTGACGTCTCTACTTCAAACGGCCAGAAGTTCGTGTGCTCGAGAAAAGGAGTAGTGGTAGTACGTGATAGTTCCGACTTCCTCCTCTAATGTGGACAAATCTGCGGAGGAGGAGGAAGAGCAGAGAGGAGGAGAATGAAGAGGAAAAACACAAATTCTCCATGTGTTGCCAACTCCCCCATCATTAGAGTTCAGGTTCCTGGTGGTGGTTCCGCCTCCACGTTCTCTTCCCTTCTTGGAGGTGTTCCGCAACCCCGTTTCTTCGCTCTCGTGCGAGAATCGCCATCGTTTCAGCCGCGCTGAAGGTCAGGGTCATTGCACGAGGGCAAGTGCAACCCGCCGACTCCAGTTCGTTTCGTAGTTTTTCCGGGCCATGCCGGAGCGGGGAATAAATGTACAGTCAACTCTCAACGAGTCAACAGTGTACAACTGTACACGATTGTTCCAAGCTTCCGGACCTCCACCTCCATTGTGTTTGAGCTGTCTGGGAAAAAGTATCCGGTTTTGGCCCAAGATCCAATTTTTGGGTGTGAATCCACTTTCGTGCAAGTTTTCCCGGCCCCTTGGACCTGCTCGCGTGTATCACTAATGATGCTTTGCGCGATCAAAGCTCTGAAAAACGACGCCCGATTGAGCGCGTTGTGGATGATCGAGCGGTGGAAAATTGCACACAAGATCTGGGAAATGTGGAGGCTGGGTCTGAAACATGGCCTTTGCAAGATCTGCTACTTACAGGAGCTGAAGCGAGTGCGTCTAGAATCTGGTACAACAAACACACTGTAAGTGTAGAGACTTGTCATTAGGGGGGAAGGGGCACGGAGCAGTTCGCAGTGTGCGCGGATCGCACGTTGTTCAGATCGACGGATGGGGTGAGGTCAGGTGAGTTAAAAATAGAGTATCCTCGGGATTAGATGTGGATTTTGTACACATCTATTTGACTAGGAGTAGTCAAAATTCGATCGAGAAGACTAGACCGTCGAGTCCAAGCTTTTCCGTCTCTTGTCCAACATGGCTTCCTTCATGAACGGGCTCCGAGCTCGGATTTGCTTTCCCAAAACGACAAAGAGAATCGGCGCAAAGGAGAGGGCAAGAGAGATGAACGCCAGCAGTGTGCTCGCCCAGTGGAAGCCAAGGGTCTTGTACATGCTCATCGCCGCGAGTGGCAAAAACGCCGAGAAGAGGTTTTCGCCCGTCACGATGATTCCAACGGCGCTGGCGGCGTATTTGGCGTATGCATCGACAACATAGTCTGACAGGCCGGTCACCACAACCATGCTCCCGCACCCGACCATGGCCAGACCAACCGCAGGCGCAATCCAGGGGAAACTTGGATAGGAGGTCCAGGCATAAGTGAACATGCCTCCAGATATGCCGACGACGCCTCCTGCGATTGCCAGATAGAGCCGTGCCTCCGGGATAGGGGTGCCGGGAGTCTCTGTGTTTCGCGCGGCTGAATTGAAGTAGATTGGCCCCGATGCCAGATTGACTACCCAGCCCAAGACTTCTCCCACCACCACGGCGGATTGTATGTACCCGGCTTGCACGGGGGTCCAGTCGTACAGCCCGATGAACACTTGCTCCACCGACTGAGTGAAGAGATACAACGCGCCCACGGTAAAGGCAGACCACATGAACATGACAAACACCACTGACTCGGTGAAGAATAGGATTAAGGGCCGCGTCGCGCTTCGGGCAACAATCATCAACAAGGATGTCCCTTGACTATCAATCTCATGCTGGGTGTACGCCGATCGACCTTCCCTCCGCAGCTTCTTGGCTCGCTGACCCAGGATGGCGATACCTCGGCATTCCTTGAAGAAGAAAAAGTAGACTGGGAAGAATGCACCCAGCCAGGTCAGCTGCATGTAGCTGATCCATCGCCACGAGAGGAAATGGTAGATAGGCGCACCGATCACGGGCCCGATACTCGCACCCGCCAGGTAGGTGACGATGTACAGGCTGACTGGGATGTTTCGTGCCTTTTCGTCGTCCCAGATGTTTCCAATCACTGTGGCCGCGGTATTGGCCAGGATCGAGACGCAGCCACCAGCGAAGAACCTCGTGACAATCAGCGTGGCAAAGTTCTGCGCCAGCGCTTGAGGGATCACGAAGCAGAAGAAGATCACATAGGTCATCAAAAACACTCGCCGCGCACCAAACTCCTCCATCAGTGGCAGTATCAAAAGCGAAGAGCAAGCACCTCCGACGGTCCAGGAGGTTACTGGCCAGTAGGAGTGTGGGAAATTGGTATCAGAAATGCCAAACTCTTCATTGATTGATTCATGCGCTACCGTGATGATCGTGCCATTGGCCATGGTGATGAACGTCGCGAACGCCGCCAGCAGGGTCAAGGTCCATTTTTGTCGAAGTGGCCAATTATACGGATTTTCACGATCGTTCGGGCCATTCCAGAACACGATCTCGACGCCGTTCTCTGGCATATGGTGTTCTGGAGTATCTGCATGTCAGTCTCATTTTTCGCTTCGACAATTCTCGGAGTGTATCGTGATGGAAGCGTACCTATGACCTCGTCATCGTGCCCGCAGACATCGCCACGTGCAAAGACCATACTCTTCGTTTCGAAAACAGACTATGGCGAGAACTTAGGGACGATTTGTGTGACAAATCTTATCCATCCAGCGAGGCCTGTTCGACAGGCTTTTGATTTCCTGTGTTAGCTTCCGCGACCCAGGAAAGATGAGCCTCGAATCGTGCACTGACTTCACGGTTCTCAGCCTCGGTCTTTGGGGCCAAGAAACTTATCCAGTCTGCGTCCACGTAGATCTGCAGAATCTCACTTCCACTTGAGTACCCAAACTCTTTGGATTTCGGCAGAAGATTCCCACATCATAGATTTATATATAGTCGCCGTCAAGGTTTGAGCACTCCAAGAGGCAGAAATTTCCTTCTTGCTCAAGCAAACGTGACTTTCCTCGGGGACACAAGTCTTCAAGTTTTTGCGGTTCTCGAATCCACTTCGGCCTCGCCTCTCCAGATAATAGCCGTTTTGGGACTAGCGCCGAGGGCCCTCTAAATGACAGATGGACAGTCACGGCAGTTGGTTCGTCAGCGGCACGGTCATCAGTCGATCATTGGCGTTCGGTCGTGTTCTTCTTAGATGATTCAATTGCTAAGGCCTTTTCTGAATATGCACCCCGCTACTCCACACGACGGCGAGCGCACGAGGACAACGTGGTGAGCATTTCCATCCAGCCAATCTGTGTTGCTGCTAGACAGGGCTCTGCTTGGCTGATTGATCGGGCATGGATGCTTGTAGATGCAAGCGACCGGGCATGCGCCTTCCAAGAGTAGCGAAGCGTCACGATGTGGTCTAGAACCACTATGTATCGACTGGGGTTGGAATTGGTCGAGTCGCGTGTCGCTTCATGGTTTTTAGATCCTCGAAAGGATTTTAAATGTACATAAGTCGAATAGATTCGATACAATCAAGTTACAAGTCTATCATTTCCATTCCTCCTCTCCGTGTTTAGTAAGATCGAAATATATTCAAGCTAGTGGAATATCAAGCATAATGGACGCTCCCGGCCTGCTTCCATTGCTCGGATAGGACTTCCACCGGGCAGTCATGTTTTGACCCGGGATATTGTCTCCGGGCAGTAGATACCTAAGTAAAGACCGGGGATGTGGACCGTCATGGATAAAAACATACCTGAAAGGTATATTGATCAGGAGCAGGCGCCTAGGTAGGATGAGATTGAACGAATGGAATCAATGCCTGTCAGGTAGGTCAGTACCCATTATGTTCTATTGAATATACTACCTTGTCGACCTAACAGTGACCAACACTGGAAGGTGACTAACTACAGTACCTGGTACCAGGTCACTTACCTAGGTACTTTGAATGATCCTCAGAGTACTATACCCTATATTGTTACCTACCTTAGTTATTACATTTTGACGTCACTGCCCATCCCAACATGTTGCGGTTGAATAAAATCAATGCCTGGGTGATATCAAGCGGAAGTATTATCAGGTGGTCGAATGCGCAGGTGACTGGATCATGAGTCTGCACATATTTCTGGCGAATACTAAATTCAGATGAGATGGATTGAGGCTGATGGCCCAGTTCGGCACTTCCTGACTCAGTTAATGCAGAGCTCGGTTAACAAAGCGATCGCAAAATCGAACAAGTACATCGATTTGATGTTGTGTCGGGCGCTTGTTCAAGCGAATGCCAAGTGCCCACAAAATATCACACACGGCACAAAACAAAGACAGACTCCCCCTCGGGACGCTTCAATACCTTAAGAATACTGACCCGAAGGACGCATATAGCCTTTTCAAATGTTGTTGTCCAGTCTCTGCTGAATAGTGTTTAACCTCGATACTCAGGCACGGGCGGCTCTTACGGAGATGCCCCCTCAGGCGTCCCCACTCCCCCGCATACGTTACCCATTTCTTTGGATAAGGTGAGTTTAGCCTCAACTCGTCCTTTCGAATCCAGTCAAGTACTGTTTGCTTTGAGGTTGGAGTGTCTGAGAAATAGAGTCATCACTTCATACTCACAAGTATGACCGTATAGTCTTCACGTATGATTTTTTTTTTTTCACTCTGTATAGGATATGTTCTATCGTTGATGGAATGCCCTCATCTTGAACAGGTCTAGCCAAGCCACCCATTCACGTGATTTGACCCCGTCCAGCTGGCCTTGGGTGATCTGAGACCTGTCAGGCTGTCCACGTCAACCCCTCGCCCCATTCACAATCCCCATAAGCAATTCAACGTCCATTTGTTCCCAGCTGACGGCAGAGTCTACGGACAGTCACTCGGTCATTGCTTGAGGGTGCCGCACCTAACCCGAGTGGATGCGACTGAAAAGGATCGACCCTTGAGCTTCTGCGCGCTCCTATTTCTGAAATCCAATCGATGCCGGATTGCGCCACGACTCGTATCTCATGCCCTTCTGATTTGCAAAGGAAGAAGCCGTCATCAGAGTGATCCAAACGTACCTTTTAATTGACCTGCGAGTCAATGCCCACAATTCTGTCTCTATACATTTATGCTGCACCTCGGCGCATCGTGATCATTCCGCGGGGTTTGCTGTGGGTCGTCTGTTCTCGGCCCTGATAATCGTCTTATGGTTACTTTGACAAAGCAAAGTGTCAACGAAAGCTCGCCGCTGATGGAAACACGAGTTGGCATCGATCCAGAAGATGAATATGCCGAGAGTCATGTCGAGGGCAAGGTCGTGGACGAATCGTCCAAAAGTGGATGGTACATGTTCTTGTTAACAGTATCAATTGGAGGGTAAGATTTTCTCAGGCTATTGAGCGTACATTTCTAGTGACACTGGTGTTCATGAATCCTTGTGTGGGCGCTACTGACATTCTCCCTTCGATTAGACTCCAGGTTGTTTGGTCCGTGGAACTGTCCAATGGATCGGTACGTTCTTCAGGTTTCCTTGTCGTGAGCTCGAAGTATCATCAAGATTGGCTGTATGACGGTGTCTTGCGAGGCGGAAACTGACAATGTACAGCCTTTCCTTCTCTCACTTGGAATGAGCAAAGCGTTACTTGCCTTTGTGTGGATAGCAGGGCCCATAACGGGAACTCTGGTGCAGCCATATATCGGTATTCGAAGCGATAATTGCCGTCATCCATGGGGAAAGAGAAAACCATTTATGGTTGGCGGCGCTGTGGCGTTGATCATATCGCTGCTTGCCTTGTCTTGGGTTCAGGAAATCATGGGCGGGATCGTCTCAATATTTGGTGTTGACCCTAAAGCGCATGGCGCAAAAACCTTGAACATCATCGTCGCTACCGTCTTGATGTATTGTCTTGACTTTGCCATCAATACAGGTATGTCGATCTGCAATTATTGGTGCCGCGAGAAATCAGCTCTGACACTTCGGGGATTTTAGTTCAAGCTGCCATTCGAGCCTTCATCGTGGACAACTGTCCTGCTCATCAGCAGGAGGTCGCAAATGCATGGGCCAGTCGGCTGACAGGAGTTGGTAATATTTTTGGGTTTATCTTTGGGTACATTGACCTGCCGCGCATCCTGCCTTTCCTCGGCAAGACGCAATTCCAGGTTCTCTGTGCTCTAGCCTCGATCTCCCTCGCCGTCACCCTCATTGCCAGTTGTTTCTATATCCAGGAGCGGGATCCTAGGTTGGAAGGCCCTCCTCCATCGGACGGGTTGGGTCTGATTTCCTTCTTTCGCCAAGTGTTCAAGTCAATTCGCAACCTACCTCCACAGATTGCGCGGGTCTGTGAAGTACAACTGGCAGCCTGGGCGGGCTGGTTTCCATTTCTGTACTATGCCACCACTTACGTCGGCCAGCTCTACGTCAACCCTCTATTCGCAGAACACCCTAATATGACCGAGGCTGAAATCGACCGAGCCTGGGAAGCTGCGACCCGAGTCGGAACCTCGGCGCTCCTTGCTTATGCGATCATTTCGTTCAGCGCCAACATCGTTCTCCCGCTTTTCGTGGTCCCAACTTCTGGACAAGTCTCAGAAACAACCACAAAAAACGACATAACTTTGCATGACGATGGTGAGGTAGCAGGAAATGCTGGCCGTGCCAACGATCCTCTCCTCGAGGAATCTCTGCCCAAAATTGTAGAAGAGAAGCCCACTTGGCTCACTCGTCTGCAAGTACCGGGCTTGACTCTGCGTCGAGCATGGTTTCTCTCACACCTCCTTTTTGCTGCTTGCATGTTTTGCACGCTTTTTATCTCATCCTACCAGGCGGCATCTGTTGTCATTGCCCTGATCGGTATATCATGGGCATTGACCCTCTGGGCGCCATTTGCGCTCATTTCTGCCGAGGTAGCTCGCACCGATGTCACACGGCGCCCACATGGACACGGAGCTGGTGGCCCAAGTGGAATGCATGGTACTGCCTCGAGCTCCTATCAACCCGTTGCCAACGAAGATATTCACGAAGATCATGATCAGCTAAGCGCAGAAGACCAACAAGATGGGCGATCTTCCAAGCCCACGCCTATCGACGAGAACGAAAACGTCGCCCAAGCCGGAATCGTTCTGGGTCTCCACAATGTGGCTGTCTCTTTCCCTCAGATTTTCTCCAGTCTGATTTGTAGCGCTATCTTCAAGGCTGCCCAGAAACCTCGTGGAGAACCTTGGGATGACAGCGTCGGCTGGGTTCTTCGCTTCGGCGGATGCGCAGCTTTGGTCGCGGCCTTGCTTACTCGGAGGCTGAGCGAGGGCGCGCAGTAGAGGTGATCAATCCGCTATTCTTGATCTCTCACGTTCGTGAATCAGACATTTGGCGCTCTAAGCCTATCACTTGCTTTCTGTTACAGAGCACTTGCCTCGGAGTTTGTAATGGGAAAGCTAGCTATTCTACTCCCTACAATGGGTTGGAAGATGTAGTAAAATTTGCATGCAAGGCAAAAAGCGGCGTTTCGCTTGCATAAAGGTCTGTTGAGTGTTGAGAGTGTCGACATGCCACTTACTTGGACAAGTACTGATGATGGCGTATTTTATCCCAAGTAGCTGCACTGTGGCTCCTGCGAAGCGTTCCACGTCTCAGCAGTCAACTTAGTCCAGCATTACAGGAGCAATACGAGATAAGCCAGCAAGCTATTCCTTATGTAAACTCGGAAACTCCACCCAACTTGAATCGACGAAGGCGGATACAAGGGGGACCATGTCATTGTAATACGGTAATTTTCCGCTACCCGGCTTGGCGCCTCCTAGGCAGATGTAACGCATCTTAGAAGCTCCGGCCCCCGGCCACCTTGATGTCGAGCGGATTACGATTAAGCTTGTTCGGCCATCGCCCAGATCCTGGACGACTTGTCAATTGTCACTCATTTCCAAACAGACTATGCGCTTTTGCTACTGAGTCTTGCCGCTGTCTGACTCCCAGCGTGAGCGTTCATTAACCACACTACTACGCACGCGCTCTCCGCGCCGCGCCCGCGGAGGCTCATGACCCAGTCGCAATGTCCACTCAAATCATGGGCGAAGCTCTTCACGCCCTCGTTCGTACGTACACCAAGCTTCCCCGATGATGATGCTGGCTTTTGCCGCACGATTTGTTGTTGACAAAGCTAATCGTGCAACGGTAATGCAGGACGAGCGGCCGAAGATACTGATCCCGATGGTACGCATGAAGCAACAGCCCCCATGATTGCATGAGTATCCAATATCTGGACGAGATCGCGACATCCATACACAGTATCGATAGACTGACGGACGATTTGCGCAACAGAGGCCCCCGAGGCAGGGTCGAAGGAGATCACTAGCTCCTGGGCGCTGTTCATTATGATCATGCTCCTCATGTTTGCCTTGTTCACAAGCTACATCCTACAACAGCGGAAAATTCAAGCGGTCCACGAAACGGTGCTATCTATCTTTGCAGGTACGGTCGCATCGAGAATGTTTGTTGCAACCTTCAGATCAATCAATTGTACTGACCTCGTAGCAGGAATGTTCGTCGGCTTGATCATTCGCCTGTCACCCACGTCAAACCTCCAGGATAGTGTCGCATTTGATTATCAATTCTTCTTCAATCTTCTTCTTCCTCCGATTATTCTCGCCTCTGGATACGAGCTGCATCAGGCAAATTTCTTTCGGCATATTGGCACCATTTTGACCTTTGCGTTCGCCGGCACATTCATCTCGTCCATTGTTCTGGGCCTCGTCTTGTTCCTCTGGACTCGCATACCGCTGGACGGACTTAAGATCTCGTTCCTTGAGGCACTGTCTGTGGGCGCTACACTGTCTGCGACGGATCCAGTGACCATTCTTGCTATCTTCAACCTCTATAAAGTCGAGCCCAAATTATACACCATCATTTTTGGCGAAGCGCTTCTGAATGATGCCATTGCGATTGTGCTTTTCGAGACCGCGCAAAAATACGCAGAACACGATGCGGGGTCTTTGACTTTCTTGAAAGTCTTTGAAGCTGCAGGACTTTTCTTGCTGGTTTTCTTTGGCAGCATGATGGTTGGCGTCATTGTTGGCATTGCCACTGCCTTGGGACTGAAGTACACCCTTGTCAGGCGAATGCCGAAGATTGAGAGCTGTCTGATCGTCTTAATCGCATACGCAAGCTATTTCTTCTCTAATGGTGTTCGACTATCCGGTGAGTCGGCCGTGGACGAGGCTTTCTCTCATTTGTCATGCATCATATGGACAACGCTGACTTTTCCCCTGTTTAGGAATTGTATCTCTCTTATTCTGTGGTATTACATTGAAGCATTACGCTTACTATAACATGTCGCGTCGGACCCAGTTGACGACCAAGTACCTCTTCCAGGTGATGGCGCAGCTTTCGGAGAACTTCATTTTCATCTATTTGGGATTGGACCTGTTCGTCGAATCCAACCTCCACTTCAACCCTCTATTTATCCTCGTCTCGGTCTTTGGCATCTGTCTGGCTCGCTATCTGGCTGTCTTCCCGCTCTCCAAAGCTCTGAATTGGTTCATTCGGTACCGAGCCCGACGTCGAGGCCAAGAAGTTGCTGATGAGTTGCCTTTTGCCTACCAAGCCATGCTCTTCTGGGCTGGTCTTCGCGGTGCGGTTGGTGTGGCGCTTGCTGCTGGACTTACGGGGGTTAATGCACCGACGCTGCGGGCCACAATTCTCGTCGTTGTGGTGCTGACAGTGATTATCTTCGGAGGTACCACTGCACGCATGCTGGAGATCTTGGGCATTCGAACCGGTGTCGCCGAGGAGATTGACTCGGACGACGAGTTTGACATCGAGGTGACTAATAGTGGCACCTACTACAAGCGGGCGGGCACCGCGCTTGGGTACACGCCTCGGCGCAATGACGCTGGTATCGCACTTGATGGGGTCTCTCACCCTTCGCGTGGTGGAATTGACCGCGGCAATAGCTACTCAACGGGCAACAACAGCCGTTCAAGTCCACCTCAAGGCCACACCCGAATGTACTCGGCGGCCTATGGGCCCAAAGACGCGCAATCGAAACGAGACCGTTCCTCCACGGCGACTCTTCTCCACAGCGGTGCAGACACCGGTGGGGGCGGGAGCGACGATGACCTTGGGCTCCCGTCCAACGGCAAGGGACGCGCGGGTCTCGTCGCACATCCCGATGAGTTTGACCTGGATCTAGACGGCCTGTCTGATGATGATCTTCCTCCGGCCGCAGGCAATGCCTCCAGACGCCGGACCCCATCTCATCCCTCCACGGGTGTACACACGCCGTCTCCTAACCACGCCTCGGCCAGCGTTTCGCCCGTTCGCCAACCGCAAGGAATCAGTGCGCGGGAAGCCTTACGAGAGCTCTGGCAAGGCGGCGCGTCTGGAGACCACACAGCCTGGTTCCGGCAGTTGGATGAGGATTATATCAAGCCGAAGCTCCTTCTTGATCAGTCCAATCACAAGGGTTCCGGCGCAGTCTGACGATCGAAGATATGCTACGTGTTTCTCTTCGCTGTTCTGCCTTTTTTTTTTTTTTTTTTTTTGTGGTTTCTCTTTGAGCAATGCCAAGCTCTTCACATCTCCTTCTTCTCCATTTGCCCTTGTTACACTTCTCTCGGCTACCCTCTCTTTTTCTTTTACGATACCTTGGGCATTATGGTGGGTCAGTACCCGGATGTATCGATGTGCCCCTGACGTGCCCCTGTCATTGTTTCTTGCCCCCTCTTGCAATGGCCAGGATTCGGTGAGATGATGTCTATGTACACTTAGCTCTTTCTGGTCAACATGCCTTTGGCTCTCCCATATGCTCGGAATTTCTGATCTTTGTCTCGTTCTCAGACAATTGTGTTCTTGTCTCTGTAGAGATTCCGGTTTCGCGGTTCAACTCCTCAAGATCTTGTTCATTCATGACGGGTTGGTTCTTTGTTCCCCGCTTCTCAATTGCCATATGGTCCCGAGAGTCCCTCGTGATCACACCGACTTTGATAGCAAAAATCTTGCGCGTCATCATTCAAGTCAAGGGCGCATCACTTCCAGTCTCGGAGTAGTTCAGTTTAGCTCGAGTCGGCAGGCCGACGTGCGGGGAAGACGACTCCGCGGTTCCATTCCGCTATATTCCGCCCTGCCCGTCCTCCCTCAGGAGTCACCTCGTCTCAAGCCTCGGGAGTGTGATTCAATCAGTTTCGCGCGCAACGGAGTGCTTGGACTTCGGAAAGCCTCCATGTGGACGTTGTTTGGGGAAGGCGGTCGCCTTGGGGGCCGGTTGGCCTTCCGTATCGTACTTCGTACTACCTATACTTTGTCCTCTACTCAGTTGCTGCGGAGAAACTGGACTGGAGGCAGTAGTAGACGCATCGTGACTCGTGGAAGTAAGAATTTGACTTCTCAGAGTGTCTGATATTGTACAGGACTAGCTCACTCACCACTGTCGAGCCAGCGTCGTGCACGGACTACCTGGTCAGGACACTCCGGCCAACATGTCAACATGTCACCACTCACGTATGAAGCTCAGCTATGTAGTAGGATCTGTCGTAGACCATCTCTTATCTCGTTCTCCCAGACTCGACCAGAAGCCAGGGCGCGCGACTCCTACCGAAAGCAGAATCGTTATCTCGGCTCTACCGCACGGTGCCGTATTTCTCCAACGGTGCCAGTCTCAACTCAGACATGATTCGCCGTCATATTGCTCGCGGCAGCAGTTGGAGTCGTGACTTGAAGAGTGTATCTTCAGCCACTGAGAGTTTAAGGTTGGCCGCCCCTCCGCTTGAAGGATCTCCGATTCCGCTGGGGAGGGTGGCCATTCTGGTATCTCTTCGAGATAAGAGAGGATCAATGGTTGTGTACTGCGGTACTAACGCGGAAACTACCAGGTTAGGTAGTGGTAGTGACTACCTAAGATACTTGACTCGGTACTTACGACTTGACTAGTACTTAGTTACTTACATACCTGCATGGATGATGGTAGTAACTCGGGAGTCACTCACTTGATCTGCCTACCTACCTGAAAACAGTGGTGCGTACTAGTAGTGTCACGGCCTCCTGTACCCAAAGTCCCTTTCTAGTAAGAAATATTCTCTGTCAGAGATGAGCGCAATGCCGAGAGTTCTTTGTATCAAAAAATTCACTTACAGGTGATAACCAGCCCCAAGTGATGTAGGCGATGGCAGGCAGTAGAACGTTGACGCCGAGACATGCCAAATAGCGGAACTCCATTGAGGGGTCACTGATAGCAAGACACCACGCAGCGAGGGCTCTAGACTCGACTAGGAGGAGGGGGGGGGGGTCAATTTTTGCATTTTCTGTGTCAGTCTTTGAAGGTTGCCCACCTCGACTGAATGCTTATCGTGCCAAGGAGCTGGTTCTCGTGGCACAGGCAGTACATAAGCCATGAGTTAGTCCTGCCCGTGAAGCAAGGGAGAAAACGTGTCTACCGCGTGCCGTGAGAGATTGGAAACTCACTGCCTCAAGTTCTCCTCAGCAGAACGCCTTTTTGGTGGCCCGAAGTATCTCAGGACCCTTGGGGTATCTTCGTACTAAAGTCACTTCAATTGGAAAGGCCTTGTATCACACAAGGCGCATCTCGCTTTGTCTTCCCCACTCCCACTCGAACCGCTATCCCCTCGCCCAGCCCACGTCGACAAGAGACCTTAGCCAAGGACGTCATCAGTCCAAGGTGCGCAATTGACAGTCCCATCTTGTATACTCCCCGAATTGACCACCAACCTTCGCCGATCCTCAAGTTAGACGGCGAATCTGCCCCTTCTCAGGGTATCTTCCTGTCGGACGAGCTTGATCAAACAACAAAGCATGGATGACATGGTCAAGTCGTCGCACTCGCGCGATGAAAAGCCCCCCATTCGAGTCAATTCTCCGGAGCTGGCAGAGGTTGGGGATACAGAGTTGCTAGGTGCGTTGGACTCGAGGAGTCTGAATCCAAACATGTGCTGAGGGTCGTGTCGCCAGCGACTTTGGGGTACAAGCAGGAACTGCGACGACATTATTCCACCGTGCAGATCTTTGCTGTCGCATTTAGTATTATGGGACTCCTGCCGTCGATTGCGTCGACCTTGTCTTTTTCAATGCCTGCGGGTCCGGTGGGCATGGTCTGGGTGAGTGATGCCCCCCTTTTGATCGAGGGAAGGAGTTCGAGGCCCAAAGAAAAGGAAGATGATCGGTCATCGCCTCAGGCAAGATGTACTCTGGTATCTGTGGACTAATATCATACTTCTATCAGGGTACGCGTTTTCGGTCGTTACGAATTTAGGACCGCCGAGACTGATTTCATTTATTAGGATGGCTGGCGGCTAGCTGCTTCATCTTCATAGTCAGTCTCGCGCTGGTAAGTGAGCTCACCGTCTGCGACCGGGTTTCACCCATCTCGTCCTCGTATGGCTATAGATGTTCAGTTGGACTGGGACTAATCTTTCTACAGGCGGATTTAGCATCGGCCATGCCCACTGCTGGCGGTCTGTATTTCTGGACGCATTACTTCGCCGCAGAGGAATGGAAGAACCCATTGAGTTTCTTAGTCGGATACAGCAACACCATGGGGTTGGTCGGTGGTATTTGCTCGATTGATTGTAAGTCATGCAACCATCCATACACCCGTCCTATGTTCGTGGAGTCTTCGCTCCAGCGGAAGGATCAACATGTCACTCACCCTGTCTCCCAACAATGAAGACGGCTTCGCCAACATGTTGTTGTCTATGATCTCCCTCGCTCGCGATGGCAACTGGACCGCATCACGATCCGTCATCTACGGCACATACGTGGCAACCGTCGTCTCCCACGGTGTCATTGCTGTCTTCGGAGGTCGCATCATGCCGAGGATCCAGTCAGTCTGCATCTTCCTCAACATCGGCCTCGTCGTGGCCACCGCCATTGCGCTGCCGGTAGGTAAAGCCCAGAACGATCCGCCCGTCAACTCGGGCTCGTACATCTTTGGCGATGTTGAGAATTACACCACGTGGCCTACAGGCTGGGCGTTCATGCTTGCCTGGCTCTCGCCGATTTGGACCATTGGCGCGTTTGATTCGTGTGTGCATATGAGCGAAGAGGCGACCCATGCTGCCAAGGCGGTGCCATTGGGGATCATTGCATCGACGGGGATGTGTGGGATCTTGGGTTTCTTGTCCATGATGATTATCGCTGCCAGTATGAAGCAGGATATTCAAGGAACTTTGAATAGTAGTTTCGGGCAGCCGATGGCTCAAGTAAGTCAATTGACGGTTCCTTTCGGTGTATGCGGCGCAGGGTCTACTTTGGGGGGAGGGAAACGGGGAAGAGCGCGGGTGGAAAGTTAGGGCTTTTTGGAGTGGATCTGCTATACTAAGAATTGACCTTGTGAGGATAGATATACTACGATGCCTTGGGTAAGAACGGCGCTCTTGGGTTTATGGCCGTTGTGATGACGGTTCAATTTTTCATGGGACTGAGCATTGTGAGTTTTCTTTCCTGTCTGCAGGGGGGGGGGGGTTCCTTTTTTTTTTCCTTTTTTTCTTCCTTTCTCGACAGCATGCTCGGCACAGATTTCTAACCCTCTCATCCTCAATCTTACCAGGTCCTCGCCGCCTCCCGTCAGAGCTGGGCCTTTTCCCGCGACGGCGCCCTGCCCTTCTCGTCCTTCTTCCGCAAAGTCAGCCAAAGCAAACTAACCCGCTACCAACCCGTGCGGATGGTGTGCGGCGTCATCGGCGCATCCGCCATCATCGGCCTTCTCTCCCTAATCGACAACGCCGCCGCCAACGCCCTGTTCTCGCTGGCTGTTGCCGGCAACGATCTCGCATGGCTTACGCCCGTTCTGGCCCGTCTCCTCTGGGGCCAGGACAAGTTCGTGCCGGGCGAGTTCTATACCGGCAAGTATCTGAGTAAGCCGATTGCGTGGGTTGCGGTGATTTATATGGGGTTTGCGATTGTGCTGTGTATGATTCCGACGGAGGGGCCGAATCCAGGAGGTGAGTTTTGAGGGTTTTTTTTCTGCCGATTGACGCTTGTTGAGCTGAGCTGATCGTGTCTTGTTGTGGGGGTAGCGACGAATATGAACTATACCGTGGTTATCAATGGGGCTCTCTGGGTCGGAGCCCTGCTGTATTACTACATTTATGCACGGAAGACATTCAAGGGTCCGCAGACGACGGTGTCGCCGGAAGACGAGGGCAAGCAGTTTGAAGCTGAAGCCGAGGCCGAAGCTATTGACGGGGAAATGAAGACGGGGTAAACATTCAACGCTGGAAAAGTCATGCTAGGCGCATTTGTCCCGTCTGTTGAATCGTGTTGAGAACAATCTTGCTTTTTTTTGATGATCCAGACTTCAATGGAGATTCCTTGATCGACATGTGTATACTGGAAATTGATTATCGTTTTTGCTCTTCTGTTCCAGGCTCAATTTTCACTTCGTTGAATCCTCATTCTAGCTTCGCTGATAGTCTGCAGTTCGATCGCTCATTGCAGTGCCAGTCGCTCCTTCAGTTGATGGTATCAAACGCACATCTCATCATATCCAGGTTGGTTCATATTGGTATCAAACAGTATATTTACACAGAAACAGCCCGTCAAGGCAAATGCTCATCACAAAAGAAAAACAAAAAAAAAAGGCAAAGAATGCACCACGCCAAAGTCCATTGAACGCTCCGTTGCAAAAAAAAAAAAAAAAAAAAGGCATCGGATTAGATCAGACCGAATCATCCTCTCCCATAAAAAGCTTCATCACGCGTTAAAGAAATAGAAGACTTGTCACTCGCAGCCGCTGAGAACACCGTGGCGCCGTTTTTGAGCTCAATACTCGTTGGGGATCCAGCTCGTCCGTCACTTCCAATGTCAAATGTATGGCCCATGCTCTCGTGATGTGGAAGACGTGATTCGGAGTACGTCTCCATCTCGACGGTGCGCATGATTTCGAAACGGTCGTTGTCAAAGTCGGCGTTTTGAGAGGGAAGGTTCCTGCTTGCGTAGGTTGGTTGAGACCGAGGGTTTGCAGTCCAGGGTTTTTGGGATCGACTGCGTTCGTTGGTGGTGCTGTAGTAGCGGGTCGAGTTGAGGAGACGAGGGAGGAATGCTGCGACGAGAGGGCGGAGGGCGGGCGCAGAGGAGCAGATCTGTTCGTTGAAATGGTGAGTTTCACCGTCGGGAAGGTATCTTAATCGCCTTGACTTGACATGGTGGAGTATGGCCATGTTTGGCGGCAAGATATCAAAGTCATGTCTAGTCAACTTACCAGTCCAAGGTTGATTTCCACCGATGCAGCGACGAGGATGGGCCAACTGAGCCATGTCCGATCATAACCGACAACCATACTTTGCCAAACATACGCTGTGCGGAAGGATCCGGCCACGTTGACCATGATGCCGAGACTGAAAATAGAGATGACTGCGAGACGCTGCCGAGTAGGCAACTTGAGACTCCAGATGAGCGGCATGGGGATCGCCGTGGCGAGAAAGTCGGTAAAGATATTGATGACACTGGCGGCGAAGAGAAGTCTGCCTTCGTCAAGACATTTGTGAGGATAAGTTGGATTGACCGTCCAGTACGCCTTGACGGGTCTGGGGGGAATCGCAAGGTCAGAAGATGGGCTATAGTCCAGGAGGAAAAGTGCACCAAGACGTGCCCGTGTCGAGGAATCCTGACTTACAAGCATTGGAAAATGCTGACAATGGTAAATAGCCCGCATGTGAGAGCGACAATCGCCATGGACCCGATAAACGCCCAGTTATACCACGCAAAATTTCCCTTGCCGGCACCGAGCAGTCGACGACAGAACCACAAGAGGGAGACCTTGGTGACGCTAGAAGCCCATGAGAACATAATCTGGAAGACGATGTTGAGCTTTTGGACCGTGGGTAGCCAAGTCGGTGGTACGTCCCACACATGACGGTTCCATCCCCAGCTTTCCGTCGCGAGAGACGTCACGGCGATCATGGCAATGGCGAAGCCGAGACCGATCACGATCAAGATATCGTCCACGCCGGCACTGCATGTGATCCGGAGCCGGGTGTACAGCCGAAGAGCCACCACGAGCAATGCCAGTGAAGTAAAAACGATATTCACATAGAGCACACCGTGGCCACGGGTCACTGGGTCGATATAATTCGGCGTTGGCCATGCCGCCATGATCTCTGGTGGAGGGAGCTTCATGATGCTGGGATACGTTGGCTGATGATAGCCTCACCTTGGGGTCGTGCAAGGATTGTTGAATAGGAAAGTTTTCCTCTCCACGCTTCCCTTCCTTTTTCTATTATTTTTTTTTTTTGGGGGTTCTTCTCTCCTAGGACTGAGATCGGCGAGGTGAGTGGTTTCCCAGATGTGACTGGAGTATATGAATGACATCCACCTGAAAGGTTATGCCAGAGAAGAACAGGAAAAAAGAGTCCGAGATCAACCGGGCTCCAACAAAGGAAGGGGGCACTGTGCGATTGATGCTGAGACCGAAACGGTTTCACGAGATGTTCGGTGGACGAAGCTCTGCTTTTCTAGGCCCTGAAACGGGGGTCCATGCCAGATTGAATACGATGTGCACAGTTGCACACTGCACAGCGAGTCCCAGAGTCTGTCGACACCCCCAAAAAAATCCAAGAGAAAATGGAACCACATCCAGCAATGGCCGTACAATCCTACGCCACCAACCCCGCGGGCGTTCCAGGACATCGCTAAATTGTCGCGATGTCCGCAATTGACATACGGCAGTGCACGTATCGTCCCCACCTGGAGCCTCCGAGGCCTGCCATCGCATGAGCCCAGTTGGCGTAGCGGAAGATCCACGCTATCACAATCTGGGACGCATCTTCTGGAACAGCGGGTCGTCGTCCATTGTCCAGGATCCCGGTGGCCTGCACGAGGATAACAAGCGAGCAGCTCGCAGAATCGGCACTGTTTGATATCCATCAACCAGCGGCGTCTGCCAATCGAGGTGCAAAGTCCATGAGACCCGCGTGGGTGAGCGGGTCAGGTTCAGGAGGGGCCTGTGGGACGCACATTGAACCTTAAAAGATGGCAGACGGCCATGTTTTCTGGGTTCCATTGCAGTGGACAATTTTCGAGCCTTGTGCTGTACATTATTCCACAGTGGATGGAGATTGTATGGGCGACGCAATGGCAAAGCGTTCCAATGGAAATTTTATCGGACGCTCTGGACCTGAATATCCACCTGTGGTGCACGAGAGAGCCGACTAGCCCCGAATGAGTATCATCGCCGAGAAGTGGTGGAGAAGAAGAGGTTGTGGCCACTGACCAGAGCCACGATAGGTAGATCGAGCAGCCAGCAGCCCCATACGGCAGATCAACTCCGATCTGATGCGGCACCTTGCGAGAGCACGAGGCATGAGACGCGACAGTGATCCCGGGCTCAGCAAGTGTCATCCGAGAGACAGAGGGCGAACGAAAGCTGCGGAGCCGAACAGGGAAGTGTCAGAAAAGCCGACCGCGAGATTTTCCACTTTGTGTGGCTGACTTTCAGCTGCAATGTAGGAATGTACTAGTGAATGAAGGCGCGTTCCAAGACCTCGCAGTGAGCACCTAGAGACGAGGTCATACTGCTGATACCGTCGCATATTGCCAAGGTCCAGATTAACACCTGATATTACTTGAGCACGTGATCCTCAGTAGTCAGTACTCACTACTCACTACTCACTACTCAGTAGTAGCATTCACTATTTTTGACGACATACGCCCGTCACTCTCACCTATACCTTCAAAAGGTCTTCCCGTGGATAGGTGATGGCCTATGAGCCCTTTTTTTTTCTTGCCGACTCACATTCGTCTGAATATGATGTACTTTTTGACCAAAGTCTATTGATTGTCTGAGCACCTTCTGGGTGGCCCGACGGGTTGAAAGGTCAAGCCACTTTGATGTTGACAGGTACTAGTAGCGGGGTATCGAAACCTTGGGTTCATCGCCAAATCACGGGAGCCGAGGCTTTCGGAAGACCAGAATGTAGACGTCTCAATCCAGTGAATCCACTAGTCGTGGTATCCATGTGCACTGTGCAGCGTCCAGGCTACAGTTGAATCCGAGGGACAATCCGTAGTGATGGCGGAGGTTCAGGCACATGGGCATGGACGGAAGCTAAGAGGGTTCGAGGTTAAACACTACAACATATTCAGCACAATGAGTGTTAAAGTGTGGACTAGTGGACAGTGGACAGTGGACAGTGGACAGTGGACAATGGACATACGGAGAGGCGAGGCCCGACACCGAGGACGTTCCAAATAGAATGGTATTGATTTGACGCTGGGCAGGCACTGTTTACTTTCAGTACTAGGTAGCTGCCTTGATAGTTTGCATTATTTAGTACACTTTTACTATTGACGACCTGTTGAGGGCATTGTTCCCTCTCACTGAGATCGCGGAGCTGTGTGCAACTGGGCGATGTGCAATGACTATCATCCGTAGCCACGAATGGGTCTGGCCTCTCGATGAATCGATATCGTCCCGACGCCATCCATTCGGCCGAGATCCGTGTCTTTTCGGATTCGATCATGTGGGTATTTGAATATACACAGGGTCCAGGCGAGATGGAAAAGAGTCCATCTTCCACCATCTTTCGGGATAATAGATGAATGCTCTGTACCATCTGCGTCAAGATGTTTACTCTCGACTTTCGCATGAGGCCTATCCATCAATCGAACAACTATCGCGTTTCTCAATTTGTCAACGAGCGACTTTGAATCGTGAGTCTAGCGTCCGGCTACCGGATTGACCGACGATTTCGTAATGATTCCCGAATCGAGAATGTAACAAGCATGAGTCTTGTCTCATTTGTCTTCCTATACGGCTGTCGTGCCGTATTCCACTTCAACAGTCACATGCAAAGGTCCAGGTTATCGCCCCCCTGCGGTGTTAGCAGTTGGCACCTCCTCTTCCTGCCCCTGTTCAAGCACGAGCAAGTGTCCTTCTGGTCTGCACTTCTTGCACCAGCTTAGGCCCTCAGTGACACCAGAGACCAGGCTCTTTCAAGGCCCTATTTCTCAGTGTTCCACCCGCCCAGACAAGTGGTCTGTTCTTGGTGGCCAGCCACCAGGCGGGGCGGCTTTCAATAATATATGGGCGTTAAGGTCACAACTCAGATTGATAGCATGATCTACCAAGTGTTCCGCACGTGCTACTGAACTGACATAGCCACGCACTTTTCGTCGTTGTCGTTAGGTCTACCAGAGAGAAGCGAAACGTCCCAGCCCCAAACTCCGAAGCCACACACAGATGATCGGCATGATGCTCCATCGAAGAAGACATAAAGCCGATAACTACTCCGTACTGGATTAAATGTCACAATTGAAAGGGTACGATGGGAGCAGAGATGCTTGATTGGTGAAACGGGATCAACAGGCCTGTCGATTGGCATTTCGCAAAGCTACCGAGTGATCACTTGCGGACGTGTTCCTTATCACAGTAATAGCCTTCCGGGTAAGGTTCCCTATGATCGGCAGTGACCAGAGCTATCCAGGGTTTCGATGAACTCCTTCAAGCCTTCGTTTCGGATCTCGTTTCGGATCAGCGGATGTTGATCGTCGACCACGCCATCAGGCCATTGCTAGAAGAGGGCATACTCTGAAGGGACTCGCCTCAAGTATGTACAACAAGGTTCCCTGTCATTGAACCGGTGTAGGTTAACGGGATCGACAGGAATGATCTTCACCGGCGAACTACGGGCCCAGCACGACAATCGCCGTTCGCAATTTGCTGTTTGCTATCGTGTCGCAGAGGCGATCATGTCACTGTGCATGAAATCCTCGAAGAGATTCGATAAGCCAGTGATGAACCGAGTCGTCACTTTTCAGAGGGTGTTTTTCTAGCCACGTGAAGCATGTGCAATTTCTCGGTCCAAGCTGGATGACCCAGATGCTGAACAAGGCCAACCTTGAAGCCCGTGGTGCCACATACTCCGGCTAATCCGGTTAGGATACTCAGCATTTGCTTAATGCTTACAATTGTAGGCAGCGTGTAATGCCATCAATGCGCATGGCAATTTCCTGAACATGTCGCAGTCTGAGTGACGACTCTGCTTCCGCAATCGTCCTCTGGAAAATCATTGTCGGCCGGTCTATAAAGCAAGGTTCTGTCAACGAGCCCCTACAGGCGTACCGCCAAATCAACAAACCCTTGCGCGAAAGATCTACGCATGGTCGTCATGGCTTGTGAAGAACAGAGGGAAAACAGAATACTTCCCAAATGGCATGGTCAAGTTCAACCACCTGATTTTGGCGCGTACGAGGTCGCATCGATCTCGAGTTCTGTCTAGTCGGTCAATTCGGCTCAGCCAATGTTCTTGAGGACCGACGACTCAAATTTGAGATCCCCCATTTCTGCCATTTGAGGTTCTCCACTCGCACAGTGACGGGGGGAGACGCACGGCACTTACATAGCCGACTACGCCGGTACTACTCTTGACGTAACGCGATCTCAACTTGAACCACGGGTTCTCTCCGTTCGAGACGGGACCTCTCCGTGCGACCGGTAGAGCTCGCTTCGAACGTGCGAAGGCACAAAAAGGGTAAAACGAGCTTTTCCACGGACCTTTAAACCCGTGTATCTGTGGTGTTCTTGGGGTCCCTGTCTGGGTCCAAGGATCACACGAATGAGGTTCACTTCCAACCCCAGTCTGGACTTGAGCCGTGCTATCACTGTCTTGATCATTGAGCGGCGGATCAAGCATCCCAAGCCAAACTCAAGTGCAAGTCAACTACAATCAAGTCAGCCTTCCAGAGACAGCGAAGACTCCGGCGCATGGCGAAGTAGTAGTGTCGGTGACAATTCCCGAGCCCGAAAGTGGTAAATGGGGAAGAGCATAGCATTGCTGTCGGCATCTTCCGCTTTTCCGCGACAATTCTAGCCGGCCACCACTTTGGATCTCGAAGCGACTTTTAGTTTGGTCAATGCTGGATTTTGAGACTCGCCCGAACAAGGGGTTGGTCAACATGTACCATCGGAAGCGACCTGACACTATGATTGACTCAATTGTCGACCTGACTGTGTATTCATGTATTGTGTGCCAGGGTGCTCACTCTCTGAGATTCACCGTCTTCCTCGTCTGGGAGGTGGATCCAATGACTCGGGAAGGGTGAAGACATTCGTGAGTTTCGCCGAATGTAGGGATCTGCATCATACCATTTCTCAAGCTCGCTCGTACATGATGCGACCCTGCAAGAATCTCATAATTCGCGGTCCGGCCTCGTGTAGAGATTCCATTCCACGGGTCAACTTCTTGCGTGGGTAGGAATCGTCCAGAAGCGAGATTGCGGTCGGCAGAGGGTCTTGTTGGAGATTAAGCGCAAAGCCAACCGTACGTTAATGAGTCCCGACGGTACGGCACGATCATTAGGATTCAGCGGTGCGAGATGCATCGGCGGCATGGTGTGTGCTTTCTTTGGCGATCAGAGTAGTCCAGTTCAGTGGAGGGTACTCGAAAGAAACTGAAGGGGCTTGGACATGAAAATGTGTACTTTGAAAATACTAAGTACTACCTAGTACTTACTAGTCACTTAGAATACTTGCAACTCACATGAAGCAAGCATCGTAATAGGACCTCAATGCACCATGACTCGTCGAGTGATGACTTGGCACGACGAAGCCTCAGATACATGAAGCGCATATCCTCGATCGCAAATTCTATCATTCGATTTATTTTTTGATCAAAGTCGACCAACAACTTTTGACAAATGGTCGACACTCTACACTTTCGTAGACATGTAGAAGCCATTCCACCAATTCAATCACCATCATCTGACAATCGCAACACAGAACAGTAAAACACAGGTTCTAACACAAATCGTAGGTCAACGAGAGTGTGGTACCAAACGACGCTTCCGCTTTTACCGCAGTTGCCCGGATGGTCTAGTGGGTTAGTAGCATCTTGATCTGTCCAAGCGAGTCCTGAGCATCCACTAATGCATAACAGTATGATTCTCGCTTGTAAGGATGCCCTTTCACCATAATAATCACGCACTGTCCAAACATCGACTGACCCCAATTCAAGTGGGATAAAACTCATCTGCGAGAGGCCCCGCGTTCGAATCGCGGTTCGGGCCCAACTCATCTTTTTCTTTTTGCTTCCTCATAAAGTGACGCCGCTAGCGGGAATGATTTTTAAATCTGTCGGAGATAATATGGTTAGTCTTGAAACTTTCTTTTTCCTTTCAGCACATATCATTCTTTCTGCAGTATTCGACAATCAATCATGCAAACTTCCGACTCCGATAATCGAGCTTGCCAGTGGAATTGGACAAGCAGGTACCCTTTTCACTTGTATGGTATTCCCTGCCATACTGACAAAGTCCGTTGGCCCAGACAGTGCTGCCAATCTGGGTCACTCTCCTGGATGCGCTTTCATGTAATGACCGAAGAGCAATGTGGGTACGCAGCAAGTATCAGAGCCCTTGCGACGCGTGTATCTACCCTGAGAAGGTGCCATGATTATTGCAAATCTCCAGACCACGCAGCCAGTTCATCTTGAGCTTACAGAGCTCAGCGCTTGATTGTGGAGAATTTTCGTATGAAAGATACCTGGATTATCTCTGGGTCATCTCCTCTTATCACGAAAGTGTCTCTTCAGCCTGGAACAGCGAAAGCACATTAATTGGAATACCCGTGCTCGCTCCTGTGAGGTAGTTTCAGATAATGGAAGCGGAAGACACGGCGGAATCCCGGTATTTCATCCTTTCATTCTCACACATCACCCTTGGTTCTCGTCAAATCTGGGTATGGAACCTCGCTGCAAATCTACGTGAGCAAGTCACCGGTCTCGTGTCACAAGCTGCAGCTACCTCGAGGAAGTGGTACCCCTTCCCAAGTCAAGGTCTCGTTTGTTGCAATCGCCGTACCATCGGTACTACCTTCGCGATGTCCATCATGTGCGCATGTTTCATTGTTTCTTCGAGCATATCGGTCCTGAGCCCAGTCAGTCTCGGTTCACCGGCTCTCTTCATCACGGCTGGATACTCTCTGTCGTGAAGGGTTGTTGATGTCCAGATCGTCTGTGGACTGAGCTGACGAGGTTCTGCAGACAAGTCCCTGCACCCGTGGAATAATTTGTTATCAGTGGCGATTTTGATTACTTCATAACATGTAGATTTCATTGATGCACGGGCGTTCTCGAGTGCTGGGCAGAAATCTTGGTCTTGGGCAGGTGACCTCTAAATCAGCTCGTGACGTTTGTCGAGTAAGGTAGTAAAAGCTCTCAATACGAGCTTGAGACCTAGAATGGTCAAATCAATCACCGCTATTAATCAAAGGTTAGGAGTCGTCTGGAGTGCTATTGACGGATTCCAGTGGCACTGATACCGAGAGTACTTTCTCAGAAGGGATGGTATCATTATCAAAATTCGTGTTGCATTCCACTGAACCCAAGGATTTGATGTCGAAATATTTGAACAGCAACGCCTGGTTGATCTGCAGAAATCCCTTGCTGTATCTATAGCTTGTCTGAAACCTGCAGAACCGGGCTCAATGCAGCTTTTCAAGGTATATGAACACAGTCAACACACACTATCCACGTGTAAGACTCGACCAGGTCTCCACATAGAATGATGAAGATCTTCAAGACCTACCTAAGCAGCTTCTTCTAGAATGGGCATCATTTCGACGATTGGCCGAAAGCCAGAGATGTGGCCCGACTCTGCCAGACTGATGATCCACACTCGGTCGGCACCTGAGAGCGTGACTGGATGAGTGGGAGTTTGCCTTAACAAGCGCTAGCTATCTGATTTTCGCGACCTCCCAACTACTGTATCATTCGAAAGACGGAGACTTGTTGGTGGACCTGAACCGTTGAATCGCACCCGGCGCGTGCTCCTGGGAAGTGGGTCGAAGCATTCGGGTCAAAGTCTTCAAGGATGTCAGCTGAGATTTCTGGGTTCTCTGATGCTACACTTCTGCGCATAGGCATTGACTCATTCGGCTTATCTCAAAATGCTCCCACCTCCTCATTTCCGCCTTGTGAGCGAGGGCATGATGAGTGGCGGCAGCCAATGGTGACGCCCGATAGCGCTAACTCCGGACACGATGGTTGTCCACCGCGGGTCGAGCCGGGCCTGCGGAGTTCAACCGGAGAACTTGGGACTGTCCAGCATTTGGCCTTGGCATCGATGAGTAAGTCCCTTGACATTGGAAGGTGGGACGTCCAGAACGTATGTTGAACATCTTGTCTAGATCCTGGTCAAACACTGCAGTGAGCAGTCAGGACTCAGCAGTGACGTATCCGAATCGTGATCAGGCTGATTGTCGATTTTGGGCATAAGATCTGGGGGACTGCGACTACTAACAGGTAATTTACTACCTAAGGTACCGTAGCCAGGGACTCGTGGTACCTCTGGTCCTATGTGACTCCCGTATGGACCAGCAAATGAGCCTTGAAAGTTTCACTCCATACGGCAAGATTAACGTACTGTTCATACACTACAGATCTAGGAAGACCATAAGCGGTTTAGTGTAAAATGGGATCGAGCAATAATCTGGTGGGCACTGTAGTAACGTGATGATCACGGGATTTTCTGTGTCTTCTGGGACGGGAGCCAAACCTAATCTCTTTCACTGCGTTAAATCGACTCCCCAATATCGCATACTAAAGAGTCCACCATGCGACACTTTTCGACACGCCCAATAAGAGATGGCCACAGTGGTACACAACAAAAAGCAATGACGAGTTAACGACTCACAAGGACCGTACCACCCACCACCTTCCCCTGCGTCGCAAGTTGTTGGTGTTCAGTGAGCCGATCTCGCGGGCTAAATTTAACCATCGCCCCCCTATCCACGTTCAGCCTTTCTTCGCAAATCCTGCTGAGCTGGCCACCGTGCGGATCCACCTCCGTCGTGGCTTAGAGGTCTCGCGCTTTTGTCTTGTCTCCAATTGCGCTGCCTACCTTTTATGGTCTAGGTAGGCTCCTACAAGTTACAACTAAGAGACCCCACCCCGGTGGTTCTCATGTTCCCATGCAGCCACTCAGCGCCTCCCGTCGTGCGAGCCTATTCGAGCCTATCGGCGTCTTTTCAGGGGCCGGTTGGAGTCTAGAGGCGGCTTCAGGTCTTGATCGATCCTGCAGAGGGCGTCTAGACCTGTCAGAGTCTCAGAGAATAAGCTCCCTATTCGCCGGCATTTGATGAAACGGCTACCAAATGGAACTGTCATGACGAGAAAACGGCATGGCCGAGTTTCACATTTTCTCTCAGTGTCTCCCCCCCCCAAAGACAAGAGAGCTTCTTTCTCCAGATTCTCCTCTCTTCTCTTCTCTGTTCATTCCTTCCTTTCCTTTATTCATTCTTCATTCATTTCTGCAAACGGTATTGCCACTTTCGTTCTCGTTCTTAGGCCCTTATCTTACATTTGTGTCGCTCGCTTGACTTCAACCAGACCTTCTTGACGTCTGGATACACCTTTGTTTGTCCTTCATCGTGAAGCGAACTCCGACCGCTTGTATCAACAGCGAAACTACTCTCTCCATCCACCGTCTCTTTTTTCTTCCTCTCTCTAATCCCCAGTTCTCTTCTTTTACCCCATCTGTCAGCATGACTGAAGGTCACGCTGCTCCGGTCCCCGAGGGTCCTGCAATGGCGGTTGGCGACAGTACCGGCACTGCTCCCGTCGCCGCCGCGGGATCTCGTCACCCAGCTGCCACCCAGCCTGATCAGGGTGTGACACCGAGTCTGATGGAGCAGGCCTCCACGGGCAGGCTCACCCCTCGTCCAACCTTTTTGGAAAACTTGGCCAGCTCGCGCGAAGCCCAGTTCCACTTTCACCGGACTGACTCCAGTGAGTTGGAGCGGTACTTTGTATGTGGGAACCCTGTTGGAGGACTTGGAAAGCTCGAGGTGCTAATATGACCTTTGTTTTGGGGCAATGTTTAGCAAGGCCCCCGTGACATGGACAGACACTCCAAATGGCCAATCTTTATGCGTATGCATGGCAGTGTGACTCCCAAAATGATCGTGCCTCTCTTGGTCGTCGGCGGGTGGGCTACTGCGATTACTTGCATTTGCCAGTTCGGCCGTAATCGTATGTGACCTTTGCCAGTCCTGAATCTCCGGATGAAACCGAACCATCTGGTAATGTTTTTTACTGATCATGTCTGAATATAGTTGCCATCAACAACATCCTGCTCACCGTACTTGGTTTCGTGGTGGGTTTGGCATTGTCGTTCCGTAGTTCGACTGCTTATGAAAGGTACAAAAACATCCGAGGGCTCCCATATCTGACGCACTATCTCGACTTGGTAGCACCGTGGAAGAAGCCGTACACTAACTTTCTCTGCTTGGAACGCTAGATGGGCCGATGGTCGTAAATATTGGGCTCAGCTCATTCAAACCTCGCGAAACTTGGCCCGAACCATCTGGGTCAATGCATCTGAACGTGAAGGTGAAGATGGCAAGGTGGACATTCTTCGCAAGGTGTACGTACCACAACTTGCTCTGATAGCAGATTCATGCGACTCAAGTGACTGACTGGAACACAATCACAGGTCTGCGATGAACCTCATTCTTGCCTATGCTGTCGCCCTCAAGCACAAGCTTCGATTCGAGCCAGATGTCGCCTACGGAGACCTTGCTGGATTAGTTGGGCACTTGGATACATTTGCCCTCGAAGCGCATGACCGCAACGCTATGCAACCTCGACCCAAGTCCCTGTGGAAGTCTGCCGGTGAACACCTCGGCGTTTCTTTTGCCGAATCCAACCCTCGTAAATTGATCAAGCGTTCCAAGAAGCCATTGGGTCATCTGCCACTTGAAATCCTGAACCACTTGTCTGCCTACGTGGACTCCATCGTGGCCAATGGTACCCTTACCTCTGGGTTGCACCAAAGCCAAGTTAGTAAGTTTGCCAATTCTCCACCGCCCACCTAGCAGGGCTCCGAGACCAACATCCCGGTCTAATCGAACTAACAATCGTCAAGTCACCATGATGTCTACCCTAAACGAAGTCTTGACTGGAACAGAGCGTGTGCTGGACACTCCTCTGCCCGCCGCATACAGCATCGCCATCGCCCAGATCGCCTGGATCTACGTGATGGTCCTTCCCTTCCAGCTCTACAACTCCCTAGAATGGGTGACTATCCCCGCCTCAATGGTTGCCGCATACATTATCATCGGACTCGCCACCATCGGTAGCGAGATTGAAAACCCCTTCGGACAAGATGTCAACGACCTGCCTCTTGACACCTATTGTCGGCAGATCGCCGTCGAGCTCGACATCATCACCGCCACTCCACCTCCCAATGTCAACGAGTTCATGGACCGTCCCGAGAACCTTGTGCTCTTCCCACTTAGCCAGAACAGCTATGGCGAGTGGATGACTCGCAGCAAGGAAGACATTCGTGCTGCGCTGCGCTCCAAAGTCACGGCTGGTACCGCCATGAGCACCTCTGTTGATACCTCTTCCGATGGATCGGATTCTGCCACGGTGATGAGCATCACTGAGAGGACTAAACAGTCTGTTTAGTGACATGGTCAGCTGTTCAGCAAAAGAGCCCTGTGACTCTGTGGCGGCGCTGCCGCCCATGTTCCACCAACTACAAAAAAAAATGCATAGATTGTCCAGGTTCGAATGAGTTGGAGCAGCTTCGACTGGGAATTTAATCGTGTCTTCCGCAGCGTGAGAGTTACGGCGTTGTTTCTGGGTGTTTAGGGCAGCCTTGTTTCGAGTTTCAAAAAAAAGTCCGCACATATTTTAGAATTGACAATGAGTTTGATTTCTTCACATGCTATATACTATATTCTCCATATTAGTGGGGACTCTCGTGCTCTGTCGAGCAGTCCGAGACTCGAAGAAGGTCCCCTTTGCAATTTTAGTGGCAGCAGCCACAACTCACGAGACTTCAAGACGAACACGCGTCGCAATTGACGTGAGTACCAGACAAGCAGATGGTTGACTGGCTGTAGCTCAACCCTTGAAGTTCTGTCTTCCCGTTCAGTTGGGATTTGACAGATGTTCTCTTGGTGCTCAGGATCGCCGTGGTGAGACTGTAATTCCACTTGTGTCCATCAAGCCAGACACGATAGCTTGAGAAATCCGCGTTCTTGATCAGTCTCACGTGGCTTGAGATAGATCCCTGCCTTTTCACACTCATCATCCATAGACGCGAAGCTCACAAAGGGAAATGAGCAGCGTCGGTTGTGACGGGGTCAGATTCGGCCGATGCCGTAAGCCGCAGCCAAGACGTCACTGGGAATCCCATGTAGCGAAGAAAAAAACCGCCTCCTTGCTCTTTCCCAAAGCACGGGCAAGCTGGCGAGGAAAGGAATGGAAGGAACGAAAATGGTCGATACGGCCTCTCGCCCTCAAGGCACGAACAAGTCCTGACCAGACCCAGCCACCAAAGCGCCTAGGAAGTTCCCCTTTGCGCAGATCCTCCACGCGGCGCCCGATCCGCTTCCACTGCCTCCAATCCACGAACTGATGGCAGCGACAACAGCGGCCCCGTCATCGCGCGGGACGCGAATCCACACACTATCGTATTTGTTGCTCCCATTCGAGGCCGCGCGGTCTCTGTTCTCAACTTTCAGGATGTCGATGGGAATGGCCGTACCCGTGAGACCCAGGAATTGTGAAAGTGCGGACGAGAGGTATGTGCGGGCGGAGAGCTCATCAAGAGGTTGGAGGGCGGGCGCATCTGGTTGGGGGATCCTAGAGTGCGGATGAAATGTTTTAGTCACCGGTTCTTGTAATCGTGCGTTGATATCCCGTTGGATGCCAGGAGGGGAGATACCGGAGACATCGGCAGGAGGTTCTTACAGTTGAAGTTTGAGATAGGTCCATGGCGGATTGCGCGAGGTGAAGTGGATGGTGTTGGGGTTGGCCTCGGGTGCTTTGCGCTTTGGCGCACCAGGATTTGTCACGGGCGTTTGAGTGCTGCCCGCTTGCTTCGAGGCGTCTGCCATGGCGAGTCGAAAGTAGCTTCCCAATTTTCAAGGAATGCGCGACCAGATGAGAGAAAGATGGCCGAAATCTGGAGAGCCGTGGAAGAGCGGAATCTGTAGGTCACGGGATTGCTGAAGAACTCAACCTTAGCTACAGCTCTTCTGGAGCGGCAGACCCAAAGTTTCTCAGATGGTGAGCCCAAATGCGATCAACTTATGGACTTACAAGGTCTTTTCGGTTTCGATTATGACCTTGCCGCTTCACACAGTGTTTTGAGCGCTCGCTGCAGAAAAGTTTTCTCTGTCTCGTCGCCAATTGCAAGTCCAGAGATGCAGAGGGTCTTTTCGCGGGATCTGGCTCCCCGGAGAACAGTAACCGTAGACTTGGGCACTTTGAAGACCTAATGAGAAGTTCCATATCAGCAACTGGATAGGGGTCTTTTCGGGTTCATTCTGACCGCAATCAAAGACGGCCTTTTCCATGTTCCTAGTATCCCCTTCAAGTTCGCCGAGTGAGTACGAACCTCTGCGATCAATTGAGAGACAGCCGTGTTTGCAGCGCCGTCCCGAGGCACAGCGGCAACGGAGATATCCACACGATCACTTCTAATTGCTGTTATACCTGTCCGCTTCGCTGACGCGTTGGGTTTCACATAGCAAGGAATATGTAGATTCCATGAGCCCTTAAGAACGGATTTGGAGTTGTCTGTAATCAAGCGCAGCAAAGATACTTGGCTCATGGTCATTTAATGAGGATGGATGTATCGGACGGTTGAAGAAAGTGGTGGAAGTGGACCCGACGACGGGACGCGGGCAGGTCAAGACTAAAAGACATTGATGGAGTATACGTGAAGGATGGGAGTCTCAAGGTTGCCTCTTGAAACGCGCGAAGCTGTCCTTGTAAGACCACCCGAAAAGTAAGCATGCATCGTGATGAATAGATATTGAACTATGATTTGGTTTAAGTGAAGCGGCCGTCAAGTCAGCTATCATTGAGAACGAGTCAGACCAAATGCTTGAGGATCTGGTCCCTGATGAGTCAAATTGAGTCTGTCGACTAAGATGAGGATTACGGATTTACCAACAGAAGCGCTAACAGCCAGGCGTCCACAGAATGGCCCTGCGATATTCACACGAGAAGCTCGATGGTCTAGTCTTGCAGGGGGTGTTGCTGGAGCATGGGAATCACCTACTGCTGAATTGGACAAGCTTGTGTGTGCGACCGGGAGCTCTCAAGACACCAGCGATAAACTTCTATGAGAAATTCCATCATGTTACACATTTGTAGACCCTACCCATTTGCTCCCTAGAAAAGCAACACGCTGTCCAGGCTGGAGAATCCAGCTGCCACCCCTCCTTCATTGACTTCCTTACCCTTGGTTCTCAGCAACCAGCCACCTTGATCATTATGTAGAATCTTGCCAGTCGTGTCCCACAAGATCGTTCCATAGATGCCAAGCTCAGAGATCACATTACCACGGAGGACTTGTCCATCGTTCCGCAGTGCAACGTTTTCCGCGTCCGGGGCAGGATTGATGAGTTCCATCAACACCCAACCTTTCCAGTCACTCTCAGGCATGGATTTGAGAAAGGCTGGAATCTCAGATTTGTAGATGTTGTTGCCACCTCCCTCACGTTGGGGCTTCAGTACGTGGCGGAGAGCCGTTTCCGGATTCAGCGCAAGCTCACGACCCTGTCCGCTGGCGGAGAGATCGTACTGAGGAGCAAATGTCTCCCGTAATCTGGAAATACTCGTTGGATCCATGCCAGCTAAGAACTTCGACAGATGATCAGGCCCTGTAGGTTCCGCAAGTACCTGCTGGACCTTTTTGCATCCGACTAGCTGGTTCAGTACAGTGGGACACTTGATCGCTGCTGATCGTTCCAAATGAACTCGCGCATCCCAGTCGCGGCTGGTGGTGTGGTCATCAGGTGAATAAAATGCCCGCATATACACCGTCGTCACTTCAAAAACAGATGAAGGCGCATGGGGTGGACTATAAATCAAGGGTCGAGCTGGGATAGATTCCGAGACGGATGTTTGGTCAAGCACTTTGCTGCTGGGCACGCGGAAGACAGGAATACGATGGAACGCTGTCAACCGTCTCGATAGGGCATGCTGATCAAAGACATTGCGTTCGCCATCTTGTACAACAAAGATGATACAAAGTGGTAGCGAAGGTTCGCTCTTTGCAGATCCATAAGCCTTGTGCGCAGCTGCCAGACCCCCGGCCAAAGTTTCAACTGAAGTATTCTCGGGCGGTACTCCTGATTCCAGAAGGGGATGAGGGGGGTAGCTGATGGGATTGCCAGGTGGTGAGCTGAGCAATTCGGTGTGCAATTGCCGCACTAGTGCCGATAGTCCTCCGAATGACGAAGAGATTGTGTTGAACTCGACTTGCTTCAAGGAGGGGGCCTGGTTGGAGGACACATGGGCCATGTAGTCAGACCGGTATAGACCAAGGGATAAGTTTTGAGTGTATCCTTCTTTCTTCACAGTCAAATGTGTCTTCCACAGATTCGCGACAAAATCGTCGACGTCAATCAGTCTGCAATATTCGCCCGGTTTAGCTCCTCGGACAGCAATCTTGCCGGTGGTGGGAAATGTCGGCTTACTCTGCAATGACTTTTCCGAGCCACTCCTCGTCGCAGGTGATCATGGCATAGAGTTGGTTATAGACCGTCTGGAGAGCTTGTGCCTCTTCAAAACAAGACCTCGGGAATGGACTGGGGAAAAGCGTAATCGGAGCGTTTGTCGCTAGTACACGATTTGAGTCGCTCCCCTCAGGGAGCATGCTGGGTGCTGGCCGCACTGCAAGTCCATTTTGAATTGCCCAGTCCTTTGCTGTGGTGACCAAATACTCTTGTTGCGCTTGAGAGAGCGGTGGGGGGTAATTGCTGTAGGCCGAGCTCGTCATCTTGTCATCTCAATTGCAGAAGAGAAGTGGAATGTCACAAGAGACCCCACGCAACAATCAATCGGCTCGTTAATCTTATCAGGCAGCTTTTATCGCTGCCCCTCCATGAGGTGATCCCATGATTTATCAGCATTCTAGAATCGGGCACGCCCCACCTCCAGCTTCGGCACATCCCGCAAGCTCGCGTCGGTATATCCATCCGTCATGAATACAACCGACCGCCTACTCGACCGCCGCTCCGACCGCCTCGTGGACAAGCTATCGCCTCGAATTATGGCCTGCAGAAAAGATTACGTTGTCGTCGCACAAGGTGGTTCACCTTCTGCTTGGTAAACAACACCTCGTTCGTTTGTTCGCATATAAGACACTCTTCTTCAGACAAATCCACTCGCTTAGACTTACGCACTCGCTCAAAAGAGAGATTCGCATAAAAGCATCGCTTTGCCACAACTCACAACTACTACACTTCTACTCTTCTCACTGGGACCTGAAGACGATCTGCACGGACGGGGGCGATCTCTTAAGGTAAGTTTTTCGCAACAATCCTTCGACGAAACATACTGAATATGACAGACCCCCGCGGAATCTTGTGGTCATGTCTAGAGACGCCTCCGATCCGATTGACTGGGATGTTGCGGGGGTAGTTGCATTTCTATGCAATCCACGCGAAGCCCCATGGGCCGATTCGACCACTGCGCCACGCCCCGACCTTACCGTACTAGAGGCCGCGCTTCGCGATAATGAGGTCACTGGAGAAGTCCTTTTGAACGATGTCGATAGCCAAGCTTTGAAGGACGATTTCGGCATCAAACCTCTTGGTCACCGTAGCAGCGTCCTAAGAGCTATCAACTGGCTGCAGGCTCGTTCCCCAAAGTACCGAGCAAGACACGGTCTCCCCTTGCCCCGCGAGACATACTTACAGGGGGCGCTCTCATTGTCCACGGCCAGTCCATCGATTTTGTCTCCAACGCCTACCGCCCCATTGGCACTTCCTCTCTCGCTTGCTCTGTCGCTTCCACCCTCCGCCGTTCCTACAACCACGCCGCCATCCCCGGTCATCAAAGAAAAACGACGCATTGCCCCAACGTTAGTGGCCGATACACAAGGGCTTGGAATACTAGGTCAGCATCAAGTGCCTCCCGCATCACTTGTGCCCAAATCTGGCAACGGGGATCACAGCGTCTCACCTCATGCTCCTCTCGCTATGCCCCCCACCCCACATATGGAGGAAAATCCTCGTATTTCCGAGAGTCCATTCCCGCTTCCTCCTCAACCGTCATCGACAATGGAGAAGGATTTTTTTGACCACTTGCTCGAAAAGTATAAGGATGACGGTGAGGTTGAGCCACTATACGGTGACTCCGAATCTGAATTGGACACCGAAAGTTTGGCTGAGCTGGAGGAGAGGGAGGGGGACGGTGAGGAATCTGAGGGGCCTGCTGGTCAAAAGCACGTCGATCAGCGCACACTTTCACAAGAGGAGTGTGAAGCTGTCTTCTCAGCGTTCATTGACGAGTACAGCGTCTGTTGGGAACGCGAGCATCGGCCGAAGCACCAGCGACACGCACACTACGTGTGGAACCTTGGTCGAGATGAGCGCGGCGGGGCGGCTTACTGCGCTGACGCCAAGAAGATGCAGCAGAGGCTTGCTGTCCGGCTTCAGTCGATGAAGAATATGCTCATCGAAGCCGGATACTCGACACCCCATGACTTGCGCGATGGCTGCCGTGTCATGGAACCCACGCTGGATGAGGTTTGTCTTCAAAAGTGGAAGGCGGACATCATTGCCTCGCCTCATTGTCCGCCTTATGAAGCTCCCTGACCAGGGAACCTCGACAGCGAAAACGGCGGGAGGTCGATGCGGATGAGGAGACCTTGAGCTCTAGCTCTGCGGTCAGTTCAGATTCTGACTGGATCGTGAGTGATGACGAGGTTGAATCTTCCGGACACGTAGCAGAGGACGACTCGTCGGAGGGGGATGACATCGACCATCGGGCGCCGTTCAGGGCTTTTGGGCGGGCTCAGAGTCCATCGGCCCAGTCAACGGCCACCTCGGACGAAAGTGAGAGGGCTTTTGGTGTAGGCAAGCGGCTACGGATCACAGTCAGGGACCGCATCCACGATTCTGCTAGAATTCCCGAGGCTGATGACCCGAGTCATCAAGCCGGCCAGCATCGACCAGTTCCTGACGTGATGTGCCTCGAGTCCTCATCCCCATCCGAGACATCTAACCATGCGGACCGAATGGATGCTGACACCTCGGATTCGAGCCAGAAGCTGCCTGCTGGTTCTCCTGGACAGGATGTCGTGAATGAAGACAATGGGTTCATGGTGACTACCCCACCGCTCAATCCATCCACCAGTTCTTCTCTCATTCCCGGATTGACACTCACGCCTGGAGAACTCAGCTTCATCCATGAAAGTGCCAGCAGTGGCCCCTTGAGAGATCCTTCGAGAAGGGCCTCCACTGGGAGTGCTCAGACCCAACCTCCCCTGGACATCCAAGATATCGACCTGTTCCACCTGGTTTCCGAAATCGGCTGCAAGCAAATTGACGCCACGGGAAACAGCGAATGGATACTTGCCAAGCAAATGACACTTCTCGCTGCTGACGAACGTGAGCCTCTCGGAGAATACTTGGAAAGATACGTGGACAATTTGTACGTCACCCAAGTCGACAGTGCGCTGAGTGCCTTGCTTCAGGACCAACCTCACTTCGACGGAATGACTTCCGAGGAAAGTGCAACAGGCATGCGTTTGGCTATCTACTATGTCTGCTGGCACTGCCGGACGTCGCCGGGGCTCTATGGAGTACAGAAGGATCAATTGAAGAAAGCCCTCGAGGACCTGGATCTCCCAACATTTCTTCCTTTCTTCCGTCGGCTCAAAGGTCTCTTCGAGGCCTATGCGATCTGGGTCACTCAGCCTACAACTCCTGGGCTTGCTGACCACAAGCGTGCCGAGCCGAGTACTCTGAGCACAACTCGTGGGCTTGCTGACCACCAGTATGCCGAGTCAAATTCTCTGAAAAGGAAGCGCAGACGAAGAGGCACAGGGCGATTAAAGCCTCTTGGCTCGCGGCCGCTAAGCACCATGCAAAAAGATGCGCAGATGCGCCAGGCCGAACAGGAGCTAGGCTGGCGGCGGTTGAGACAAGAACTCGAGAGTCGGGGAGTGAGCAACAGCGACCCTAACAAGCAAGCCGTTACGTTCAAGGATCCGGTTATCTACCTGGATCCTCATTTGGGACGTTTTGTCAAGCCTCACCAGTTGACTGGTATCCAATTCATGTGGCGAGAACTGATCGAAGCGGGAAATCCGCAAGGTTGCTTACTTGCCCACGTCATGGGGCTAGGTAAAACTTTCCAAGTGTAAGTCTCCCCTGATCCCCCGCTCTAGCAGTTTGACATTAGCTAAAAGCTGTAAAAAGCGTCTCTCTCCTATCGACAATTGCTGCCGCGGCTGCATCGGAGGATCCCCGGATCCGAGATCAAGTGCCACAACGGTTCCATAATTCCCGCACCTTGATTCTGTGTCCATCCTCTCTTGTCCAGAATTGGATCGACGAATTTCGCATGTGGTTGCCACGCGGGCATCGTCTTGGGGTCGTCTATGAGGTCAGTAGGCGTCTGATGCGTAGAGATGCGCTAATATCGGACAGAGTCGGCACGATCGCAGAATGGTCAAAAAATGGTGGTGTTCTCGTGATCAGCTACGAGCTCTTCAGAAATTCAGTCACAAACAAACCTCCGCTTCTGACGCAGGCAGACCATCAGCTTCTCAAAGTCAGCCTGCTCAGCAAGGCCAGTATCGTCGTCGCAGATGAAGCCCATCGGTTGAAGAGTGCAAACGCTGCGATCTCACAGCTTGTCAGTCAATTCCATACGTTGAGCCGAATTGCTTTGACTGGATCCCCGCTGTCCAACCAGCTATCAGAGTACTACCAGATGGTGGACTGGGTTGCACCAGGCTACCTGGAGGATGCTGCCACCTTCAAGAAGAAGTTTATGGATCCTATCCAGGCAGGATCCTATATTGATAGTACCATGATGGAACAGAGAGAGAGTCTTGTCGCCTTGCAACTTCTTAACGGAATACTAGCGCCGAAAGTCCTCCGCGCCGATACCGCTGTGCTTGCCAATGACTTGCCGCCAAAAACCGAATTTATCATCACGGTTCCTTTGACACAACTACAAAAAGATGCCTACAATTTGTTTGTAGATTGTGCCCGGTCTGATGTAGCGAATTCCACCACGAAACTCTGGTCATGGCTCGCCATCATGCAGCTCTGTTGCAACCACCCATTGCCTTTCTACGAGAAGCTTGCTGGCCGGGTCAGGGAAAATGCGGAAATTGGAGAAGTCCAGTCGATTCTACCAAACACTCTGCAAGAAGCCGAACTCCCCAGCGATCTAGTCTCTCTAATGGATGAGCTCCTCCGGAGCTATTCCAACAAGGCGGATGTGTCACTCTCTCACCGGGCGGTGCTGCTTGACAAAATCCTTGATCTCTGTGCCGAGGCCGGGGATAAAGTACTGGTCTTTACGCAAAGTATTCCGACCTTGAATTTCCTTGACAACATGTTCAAGGATCGTGGGCGGTCTTTCCGGCGCATCGATGGTAGCGTGACCGGGCTTGATCGTCAGACCATTGTGAAAGAGTTCAATCGCGAAAACGATGAAGAGCCTCACATACTTTTGATTTCGACACGCGCTGGAGGAGTAGGCCTCAACATGCACAGTGCGAACCGTGTGGTCATTTTTGACTTCCTCTTTAACCCAATGTGGGAGGAGCAGGCTGTAGGGCGTGCATATCGGATAGGACAAAGGAAACCTGTCTTTGTCTACCGCTTCGTGTCTGGTGGAACCTTTGAGCAGCTCATCTTCAACAATGCTGTTTTCAAGAGACAGCTTGCCGTCCGTGTCGTCGACAAGAAGACCGTCGTCCGAGAGAGCTCGCGTAAGGTCTCGACCTATCTCACACATGTGCACAATGTAGTGAGGGACGATCAACATGAAGCTCTCGGCTGGGATTCCCAGGTTCTTGACAAGCTTCTCCATAGCGAGTACCGTGAGATCGTCCTCCAGGCCAAGCTCTCGCATATTCGCGACAACGAGAGCGACCATCTGACAACCGAGGAAAAGCGTCAAGTCGAAGACGAGCTCGCGATGGAACGTCTCAAGCGGTCAGATCCAGCAGCGTTTCAGGCGGAGATGAAAAAACGGGAGTTACAGGAGCGATTGGCGGGGACAACGAATTCTTTGGTTGATCGGCGAAGGCTATCTCAGCCCCATATGACACCGTTCATCCACGCTCGACCGCATCTCCAGATAGGTCCCTCGCGCACATTATCTGGACAGCCCGCGCTACCGTCCATGGCTGGCGCTAACGGTGAAGAGGTGACGCGCAATTTATCGCGAGAATATCCGTCGCCTCATTTGCCATCGCCAGCACGCGTTCCATCTGTGCAATCCGCTCTGAGCTCGGATCGCCAACTCGCTTACTTAGTACCCGCGGGCAGTGAAGTCATCGTGATCGACGATGATGATGCCTCACCATCGTCTGTCCCACCCGCACCAGACGCAACCCTGCGTCTGCATCCACGCGTCCAGTCTGAAGGCAGTGGTCAGCCCAGCTCTGCACTCGTCTCAGACGATTCGCGTCCACGTGTACTGCCCGGACCAGCGAATTCTTCGCCATCGAATAGGCAACTGGTCAGAGCCCGTCCAGCCCAAACGGAGCCGGAGCAGCAGGCCAATGTCAGCTACCCTCCCAAACCCGTATTAGGTTTCTTCCGTAATCCGATCTGGGCTCCACGAGGTCATACAGTTCCATCTGCTTCTCACGCCGAGTCCCCCACGGCCCAAGAGAATGGCAGTGCCACGCAAGAAGGCCAAGGTTCTACAGTCAGCACATCAGCTGCCCCCGAGGCGCAGACTCCCAGGCGCGTGGTCCCCTTCGACCCGCCCACGGGCTTTGATATGAACGCCTTCATGCGGTTGAGCGACGATGACAGGTCCCCAAGCTAGAGAACAGCCTGGTGTCCCTATGTTTCTCCCTCACGCGGCTCATGCACCTTATTTGTTTATTGATTTGTTGTTTTTGCTTTTGCTTTTGATTGTAAAAAAAGATACCCCCTATTGCGACTAGCGCTTCTCGGCTCCTCTTGTGGGAGCAATGCCAATCCTTATCTCTTTCAAGTTGAATCTTGGTGATATCTTGCAATTTTGACATCATAGTATTCATAGTGCTGATGGAGCCTGTGTTTTCGGCCAGTATTACTTGCTTGATAAGCAGATGGGCCAGGACTGCATCGACGTGGTGAGCAATTACTTTGAGAGTAATGGCATCTCAAAAACTGTGCACCACACCCAACTATAGTACTCTAGGGAAGAGATAACCTGTACTCGGACTCCCCTGCTTCCAACTGTATCGATTTCTGGAGCTTTGTGCAAGGGCGATAAGGTTTGGCGCAGTAATTCACAAGGCCGCCCTGAGACATGACTAGAACCATTCAAAGCATCGCTAAACGCACGCCCATGCTTTCTGGCATCACCATGCACCATCGGAAGAGTGCAAAATTTCTATCCTTGCAAGAGAAAGAGATTTTGAGCCCTCATACTCTTGACATCCAGGAAGCCCCAGTACCTACTTTGACTTCGACGCAGTTGGTACGGGCCACTACTCTTCACTGCGGGCCGTGGTTTAAGTTCTCACTGGTCGATCCTAGCCAAATCCTAACCTTCTTTGCAGATGCAATGGCGGCGATCTTACGTGTTGCAGCTCCGCGATTGATGGAAATTCCAGGGCCTCTTCCCCGCTCAACACTCAACACTCACAAACTCCGGCGGGATGGAGGCTAATAAAGTAGTGATGCATGTAACGTTTGCTCTACGAACCACAGTAGGGCGAAGACGAGTGCCTTGGCGCCGTGAAGGGCTACACATATAAAAGATTGGCAGGAACACATGAGAAAGAATTAGTATCGATACGGACCATCTCACAGCTAATACTAAAATCCTGTCACAATGCAGTTTAGCGTCTTCTCTTTAACGACCCTCTTCGTTGGAGGAGTAGCTGTAGCCAGTCTTCCAAAACATGCGGTCTCACAATCCCCAGCTCCTCTAGCAGGAGTCACCATCTTTACTCCTCCTTCCAACTATAATATCCCGCGTACTCTTTACGCTCGAAACGAACAGCTCCCCAATGGGGATCTCCTCGCCACATGGGAGAATTACTCTCCCGAGCCACCACAAGTATACTTCCCCATCTACCGCTCCAAAGACCAAGGCAAGACATGGTCGGAGATTTCCAAGGTGCAAGATACAGCCAACGGTCTGGGTCTACGCTACCAGCCCTTTTTGTACCATCTTCCTGAACGTGTTGGCTCGTTCAAGGCCGGCACGCTGTTGCTGGCCGGGAACAGTATACCGACGGATCTCTCAACGACACAACTTGATCTGTATGCGTCGCGAGACGATGGTCTGACCTGGGAGTTCTTGAGCCATATTGCTTCGGGAGGCGAGGCACTGCCGGATAATGGGCTGACTCCGGTTTGGGAGCCATATTTGCTTGCTCAGTGAGTGACGACTCTCATGAGTGCTGATTGGGTGTGCCATTATGTGAAGGGAAGACTAACTCGTATATCTTCGGTTCTCTGCAGTAAGGGGAAGCTGATCTGCTTCTATTCAGACCAACGAGACAATGCCACATATGGACAGAAGCTCGTTCACCAGGTTTCAACAGACTTGAAGAGTTGGGGGCCCGTTGTCGACGACGTGTAAGAGTTCCAACCTTGACGACCACCATTCGAAATATGTCAATTTGCGCCAGACTACCAGACTGACTGAATCGCGCAGCGCGTATCCAACATATACCGACCGTCCAGGTATGCCCATTGTCACCAAGGTGAGTCCATTCTAATTCCTGGCCTCAGTTTCATGTCCCTTAAGTAAGACAAAGACTTGGATAATTTAACCTGTAAAAATCACGACGTCCAGCTCCCCAACGGCCAATACATTTACATTTACGAATACGGCTCCTTCTTCAACACTTCCAGCTACTCCTTCCCGCTGTACTACCGCCTCTCATCAGATCCCCAGTCCTTCGCATCAGCTACCCACCACAAACTGGTTGTGTCCAGCGGAACGAAGCCAACCTCCTCGCCATACGTGGTTTGGACACCGTACGGAGGCAAGCACGGGACTATCATCGCCAGCTCTGGGACCCAGAGTACCCTGTTCATCAACAAGGCTTTGGGCCAGGGCGAGTGGACTGAGATTCAGTGCCCTGAGCCACATAGTTACACACGGTCATTGAAGGTCCTTTCCAAGGACAAAGGGAGGTATTTGCTTGTGAACGGAGCAGGTGTTTTGAATGGGGCAGCGAATAAGGTTACGGTGACTGTTATGGATTTGAAGAAGTACTTGTAAATAACACGGTGACAAGGAGTGTGTTACTGTACATTGTACATTGTACATGTTGTCTCAATCGGTAACGTAGTTACAGGCTTATTTCAGCTGGAATGTGCAAGGTCCCTTGGTAAGGTACCATGGCATTCCATAACAACACCAGAAGAAGATAACCCTTGGATCCGGGAAGTGAAGTTAGAGGAATGTGGAAATACAAGGCCAGTGTACTGTGTTCGGAATGACAATGATTCCGCAGTCCATTGGTATCTCAAAACAATCATGACAGGAGTTCTGGGCGAATGAAGATGTTGATATATCGAAAAAGCATGCCACTGGAGTCAAGCCAAATAAACTTAGAGGTCATAATAGCCGACAAGTCCACCTGCGAATAAGGAAAGAGCCTCGTCTATGTATGCGTCGCAAAGTAGGAAACCCGTCTAGATTCTCGAACTGGCATGGACCACTCAACACGAAAAATTGCTCAACTCAGTAAAGTTTCAAAATCAGCGATACGAGTCGCTGTGCTCTCGGCCTTCTTTTTGGCGGTCTCCCGGAATGCCGACAGCATCAGTTTTCGTTTGCGGTCCTGGATATCGAGCACGCGTTCTTCGATGCTATTCTCCATGACAAGACGCCAGACAGTAGTCTCGCGTTTCTGGCCTAGACGATAGACACGGTCCACGGCCTGGTCCTCGATCGCGGGTGCCCACCAACTATCCGCTAGTATGACCTGGTTCGCCGCCACAAGATTCAACCCGACACTGCAGACACTGAGACTGGCAAGCAGGACCGTATACTTCGGGTCGTGAGTAAAGGCATTGATCGAATTGTCGCGCTTGACGGAGGGCATTTTGCCGTCAATGCGAACGAAGGAGATACCATGTTGCTGTAAGTGTGGTTCAATCAGATCGAGGAAAGAAGTCCATTGGCTGAAAAGCACGGTCTTGGTCCCCGAAGACTGGCCTTGCGCAGTCAGTACTTTAATCAAGGCCTCGATCTTGCTGCTTGGGTGCTCCGGGTCAGCAACACCTGTCTCGGCGTCTTCGCCCATCTCTACTGCAGGGGAGACAAGACCAGTGCTGTCTTTAATGTCTGCGCGGCAAAGCGGGCATTTGTGCTGTCGCTCAATGACTTGCTCGATACAGCCGCGACAGAAGGCATGTCCGCATGATGTAATCACGGGATCCTCGAGATTGTCAAGACAGACTGCACACGCCTCCTGGCTTTCGATTTGAATCTGTAGCATATCTTGGAGGGCCTTCAAATTCTCCGGAGTCAGAGGAACAACCTTCCACTTTTCAAGGTCACCCATAAGCTTGTCGATGCGTTTTTTGCAAAGGGCCCAGTGATTGCAAACCTGACGCAATCGTAGGATGACCTCCAATAAAGTGGAATAGCCACCTTCTTTGTCCTTGAAGTCGAGTAGTGCGCCTTTGGCCTCCTTCCTGGACAGATGTCAGTATCGAGCTTCATCCCCAGATGAGTAGAATCCTCGGAATGAACGTACTGAAATGCATTGTACTTCTCCAGTTCATGAGGATGGAACTTCACGCGAAGCACACGCGAAGTCATTTCGGGTAGTCGGAGATTGATAAATTGCATATCTTTCCTGCGGCGTAGACAAATAGTGCTCATCAAAGCTTCAAGTAGCAATCGGGCTTCTGAGTCTTGATTCGCAAGTGGGCGGATCAGGATACTGTTGAAGACACTCAAATCCTCCATGCCGCCTGACATGTGCAAGAAGCGAACTTGGGAATACAGATCCTTGAGGGTGTTGATGATTGGGGTGCCCGTTAATGTCCAGCGAGAATCAGCTCGCACGGCGGTGGCTGCAAGTGCACCCTTCGAGCGCGGGTTTCGGATAGTATGGCCTTCGTCGAGCACGACTCGTCGCCATTGAAGAGAGAATATTCCCGTCTTGGAAGGCTTTTTCGCATTTGGCTCGTATTCCATGGCAAGCGCACCGTAGCTCGAAATCACCACATCGTAGTCGGCAAGTTTGGCCTTTTCTTTCTTTCCAGAACCATGATAGATCAAAACTTTTGGCGCGGATTCTTTATGCGTGTGGTCCTCAATCTGGTTTCTCCAGTTACTCATCACGCCCACTGGGGCCAAGATGAGAGTCGTCTTGCTAGAGGTCGGGGTTTTGGGTGTAGAGTTCGCCATGATGAGGGATATGATTTGTATCGTCTTTCCCAGACCCATGTCATCAGCGAGAATGCCGCCACTCGCCAACGGTGGCTCTTTATCGGTCGAATAGTTTGTTGCCACATTGGTAAATCGAGATCCATCACGTTTCCATAGCTGGACAATGGCGTCGGAGCCTGGAGCTGGCAAAGAAGGCGATTCCTTGTTGATCATCCATGCAAGGCCTTGTCTTTGGTAGGGCAGCAGCTCTGTCGAGAGGCCCGACGGGCACGGGGCCATGGGCATGTGTTCCAGATCGGCCTCTTTCTGACCAAAGGATTCCACCACTTTGCTGATGTCTCGAGGATTGTAGGAGGTACTTTGATCGAGCAGCTCTTCTATACTCTGAGGCTCGCCCAGCCCCGTTGGAGTGGACAGGTTCGCGAATGCGGCGTTTGCATTTGGTTGCCATTGCTGAGCGGCTTTCCCGAGAGCCATCGCCCGAGCATTCTTCTCAGACTGCTTGATTTCTTGCTCGCGCCGTGTTTCTTGTTTCTTTTGCTCCCGTTGGGCCTCATTGAAATCTTTCACGGGGAGCTTGTCGTTCTGCATTCGGTGTTTCAGATCATCTCTCCGGGCTGGATCGTTCGTTCCGAAGAGTCGAAGCAAGACTGGACAATCGAATTGCCCTTTGTAACCAGTCAAGATACCCTCTACGGATAGATCGCGCGCATCCTACAGAGTGTCAATCGAGCGTTTTGCCGTACAGCATGATCTGCGGGGAAACGGGGGCGGCCAAATACCATATAAGGAGCCAGCTTCGCAGCCATGCCTCGTGGGATGTGCCCAATTTGAGCGCCCATCACGTTATCCACGCGAATAGCATTGCGATCATATTGGTTATGGGGCTCTCTTCTCAAGACCACATGCTCGCCCGGAGTAGCAACTCCTCTGTAAAAGCGGACACCCACAATCTTGCCATCGATTTTACCTGTCATAATTGGTCAGTGTTTCTCATCCGTCTAAAATTTAACCAAATGTTCAAGAACTTAGTTTCCATTAGGGCCATAAACTTACCGTAGAGGATGGAACCAGATTCCGAGGATTCATCGGTACCTTGGGTTGACTCGACGAGATCCTCAGCGTGGGCATCATCTTCATCTGCGCCAGGGACTTGCGTGAGTGGGATGTAATCTGCATTTTCCAGAGGAATGTAGTCGGCTGCTTGCCCGAATCTTTGACCTGTGATGATTGAGGAGCCATTGGTCTCATCAGTTCGGCTAGTCTTAGGCCCTCGATTGTCTTCTGGAGCATGGCCATTTGTGTCCGACTCCACTGCCTCAGCCTTGCGTTTCGCTGCAGCTCGAGGCATCGTGTGAGGACGACCTGGCTGCTGGAGTTAAAAGCAGTCAAAATCGAAGCACTAGTGTGATTATGATGGGCAATACAGTGCAGGCCGATGTTTGATGGCAGTTCAATTGGAGATGATTAAATTGAAAGCTACAGCGCTCTGCCCAGCGGATGTGCTCTGTCACCTACGAAGTTCAGACAATCGATAGACGCGAACCGTCATTGATTCTCTGCCAATGGGAGAGGCCAACCCCGGACGGCAGCACTGGCTCGTGTCTCCAAACTTCCCAAGACACGCCAAGTCGCGTGAAACACGCTTTCACGTGATGGTCTTCGGGATGATGTCATCTGTTAAGCAGCAGACGGGAGATGATCGCTCACACTCATACTCGCACTCACTCTCACATACTGAAGCACAGGCATACTCCTCTTTACCTGAGCGAGACAGGGCTGACTCTTGAAGTACAGTGAGGCAAAGGGGGACTACATCATGGACTGTGATTCTGTGCCACTGGTCTCCATATACATGCAACGAGTTACAAAATGTCATTCAATAATCCACCGGAACACAACTGCATAAAAAGACAGGTTTCTCCTCATTGTACGTCCATACTTGTCAAACTATATCCATTTGATTTGACTCAACGACATCCACCGCACAGGTAGACAAGCCCATTCTCCGGCCGTCAACTGAATGTGGCCCACACTCAAAATTGAACCAGACAGGACCGATTCGATGTTCAACTGATACCTAGGTTCTGTCTTGGCCGCGTCCAACAGGCAACAGTGTCCATGTACGCGAAATTGATCCAGTGAGAAGTCAGAACTTAAGGTTACGACCTCAGGTGACGCCTGTAGATACCAGTCAGGTAAGTGGTTCAGGCACAATTGTCTCCAGCTCTCCGCCAGCCCAGTACCTTGGTAACTAGCAGGTAGGTATGGAGTATGGACACTTTAACAGTGCCACCTCCTCCATCCAATCGTCCAAGCAAGCAGGAAAATCCTTGATGCATTGCGTCCTTTTGGCCGAGCTTGGCTCCTACGCACTCTGGCCTTGGCAAGCTACTTCTTCGAATGAGGAATCTGGACTGATTTTGTTTCAGATGTCCTGCAGAATCGATCGAATCTCGTTATCGTTGATCGGGTAGCACGTCATGGCCCGAGATCCAATCCGCCACAGATCGGATTCATTAATACTTGGCAGATGTTCGCCACGCGAGCAGATTCTAAGATATGTACATCAAGGATATGAAGAGACGGTAGAATAATGTAGCTAGTAGACTTCAAGGAGCTTTGATTATTCCATAGAGCCGATAGGAGACATCGAATCCATGATCTGCGACACATTCTGGTTAGGTCGTGTCTACACTCACCTCCGAGCATCTCTGACCGCCTCCCGTCACGTTCTAGTGATCTTCCAATTTACACAGTCCTTGACAGCAACAACTCAGGTGTAATCGAACACTTACTTTTTGGGTCTACCCCAGCGCTTGGCTCGGTCGTATGGCCAATTCGCAGCTGGGTTCGTACAAGGATGTGGTCCAAAATCATCAAGATCAGCTAGACGCTCTCCTGCGAAAGGGTGTCTACCAGCCGGTATTTATCTATCATGTCGTGATTTTCAACATGCTACCTTTCATCGGCTTGATGATACCGCGCCGCGGGGCCACTCGATTTGTCCGACCTGGGATGTTCGTCCTTTGCGTAGCGATTGCGGCAGAGGTTCTCACACGCCGCAGAGCTCTCCTGGGAGGTCACGGATATATGATCGGCCTAATGACAGCCTGGTGGTTGTTGTGGAGTGCCGCGCTCTTTGTGTTTTTAGATGTCGAGAACGACGTTCGACGCATCGAGCGCGGTCCCAGGGCTGCCGAATCGATTCGAGCCGAGCATGGCCATCAAGATCTCTCGAAGGGTGCTGCAACCGCTTCTGCGAGGAAGGCATCTAGATTGAGCGGCAATGTCTGCCACGAGAATGGACAAGCCTTGGCGACTGAAAGCACCAAACCTGGTGATGAGACATTTCACTGGCAGTTATATCCTCGCAAAATGACACATCGAGCCGAGTGGTGTGCTGGATTACTCTTCAACCTCAGAGGGCCTGAATGGAATTGGCGTCAGCCGCACCTTGGTCCCTTACCCCGATCTGTTTACAATCAAGTAGGTAGAGGCTTCGAAACTGGCACATTCCAGGTTCAGGATGACGCCACATACCCAAGGGCTCAGGATCGCCTTCGTGCTGCATTCTGGCAATTCCTCCAGGCATATCTCTTGTTGGACTGCCTTAAAGTGATTATGATGAGAGACGTGTACTTTCGAGGCTGGACGACGCAGAATGCGCCGCCTCCTGTCCCCTTTTCATACGTCGCAGCATACCCAGTACTGGTGCGCCTGTATCGCTGCTTTGTCAGTGGCATGGGCGTCTTTGTTGCGCTCAACTTTGTCACCTCGCTCAATCCCATATTCTTCCTGGGATTGTCGACGGCCTTTCCCAATGCCGCCCGAAAGTTGACGGGAGCACCTCTCGGAGCATCCTGGTTGTACGCTGATGCATTCGGTCCGTTCGGTTCATCTTTGTTCGACCATGGAATCGCCGGTTGCTGGGGCCGATGGTGGCACCAGCTCTTTCGCCATGGCTTCGTCACAACCGCACGCTTTATCCTGTCACTTTTGCCCGAGAAATGGTCTGCTATTTCTCGAGTGAAACAACTGATCTACGTGCTGGTCTCGTTCACGGCCAGTGGACTCGTGCATGCCGCTGGGAGTCTTTCACAATTTGGTGATACCAGCCCTATCTCAGGTCCGTTCTTGTTTTTTTTCAGCCAAGGCATCGCTATGATAGTGGAGCGGACTATCAAGACAGACGTTCTTCCAAGGCTTGGTCTTGGCCAGATCTCGCGCCCACTTTGCCGCGCTATCAATGCAGTCTATGTGTGCAGCTGGCTTCTCTATTCTGGGGCCTTGATTGCCGACGATTTCGCAAGAGGTGGGCTCTGGCTGATCGATCCTATCCCGATCAGTCCACTTCGTGGTCTTGGGCTCGCTTCTGATAAGGGCTGGTGGTGCTGGGATAGCCCATGGTTCGGCTACTGGAGCGACGGCACTTACTGGGGCAGCGGGATTCGCCTTCTTTGAAGTTGAGACAAATGCCCCATTGTATAAATGCCTCTAGATTTATATCGAAATTACAAGCGGTATTCGAGTATAGAGGACATTGTCATTTTTGGTATTCCGAGAGACACATGTGAATATGAGTAGCAAAAATCAACCATCTATCGCCATGTCCTCATCATCGTCCTCATCCTCATCGTCCGTATCTGGATCGATATTCAAGGCAGGCAATTCGTCGTCGCTATCGTCGACTGAAAGCGTCACAACGTCGACCGCTTCTGATACTGGTTGAGGCGCTGCCGGTTGAGAAACAGCCGGGACCTGCTTGGGAACCATGGTAGCTGCAATTTTTGAAGGTTGGAAGACCGGGACACTGGCAGGGGTGTCTTCCTGTGCGTCAATGCGAGGCTTCTTGATCTGGGCAGATTGCTGTTCCAAAGTCGATGATTGCACTCCTGCAGCGGTCTCTTCGAAGTATGTACGTTTTTGTACTGAAGTGGCTACGGAAGCTTCGGTCGTTGGCGCACGAGTGGGCATAGCCATTTCAGTCATGAAAGTTGACGCCTGCGGATTGGCAAGAACCGGTTGATCGGCAATCTCCTCAGCTTCCTCGTCTTCCTCCATCTCCACATAGGCATCAAGTTCAGGCGCGGTCATTATGACAGGCATTCTAGGACGAACAAGAGCCTCGACCGCCATCTCATCAGAGTAATCTCGGACCAAGAAAGGTATCAGGCTGGAACCGGCTCCTCGACCCTTCGCGGCTGGGATGGGGTTCAAGACACTTGCAAGCATAGCCTTCTTGTCGGACGTCAGAATGATCGTACGATCAACTTCCGCGCGGACAGAGGGCGAGAGTAACTGCGGAGAAATGCTTGCGAGAACATCACGCAAAAACGCAGAAGCGGCAGCTTGAAGGTGAGGAAATTGTGGGCCAGCTTTTAGTTGCTGCTTCTTCCTAAGCTCTGGGTCCAGGAATGAGTCCGCATTCGCTGTGCCCGTGCCCCCCTTATTCTTCGATTTGGAGTCACTTTGCGATTTTCCGGACGCATTCTGGTCCTCATACTCAGGCAGAACATCATTGCAGGAAGACCGAATTATACCCATGGTGGAGGCCACCGTTTGCTTCGCCATAGCAGGTCCATTGACTCTGACCACTGACGAAAGCAGTTTGTATGAAGCAGTGCGAACGTCTCGCGAGTATCTTTCACTTTTGAAGATCCATGTCACTTGATCCACGATGTTCTGCGAGATTGAGGCTGTGCTACTCTCCAGCAGACACACGACGTCTTTAAGGAGGTTCATGCAGGCCACGTGGATTCGAGGCAACTCGGCCCATAGAATCTCTCTTTCATCCCGGCTGATTTGGGAGTTGAACTGAACACCACTTTGATTGGCCTCGGAACTGGGAACAGTTACAGAGGCCAATCGAGACGTCAGGTCCAGGATGGATCCCAGTGGAATGGGCACAGTGGCAGCCGCTGGTATCGATATGATCTCGGAAAGCACACGAAGCAGGGTGATCAGTCTATTGACTCCGGAATGTATACCAGACCAGCCCTGGAAACCGAGGGCATCGGTGCTTGAGTCTCCCGCTTCATCGCTGTAGTGCTGCTTCGTGTGGACCACACTGGGATCCACTGACTCCCACTGCTCTGAAACGGCGCGGAATACATGGTCAGCTGCTCTATGAGCAGAAAGTACAGTCGATTTGCACCTATCAATCCACTCCGCGCCTGATTTGTCTTTGGGGGCGCATCGGTAGAGGGACGCGAATACCTGCACTGCCACTTCCTGGACTGACTCGGGAAAAAAGACGTGCGCAGAAGAGCTCAAAATTTCGGCAAGAAGAGACGACAATTGGGTGCCAAATGGACGAAAAATTGTAGGATGCCGGGGAATTAACTCGAGTATGGCATGTAGTGCAAGTTCCGTGAAAGGGTTGTTGGGCTTGGACTTCCGGACAGATCCAGACGCGGTCTTGACCAGAGTCGAGACCAAATTAAGGACCGCCGTCACAAACCCTGGGAGATGTGGAGTCGTGATCTCGCGAACAAGTGTCGGGTATTGGTATGTGAGGTGAAAAATGCGAGTCAAGGTAATGATACACATTTTTCGTGTGGACAGCGGGTCGGGTTTCTAGAAAAATGGGAGACTGAGTTAGCTGGCCCCGGACGAACAAGTATAGCGCCATGTGATGGGCTTCTTTCATATGAAGTGCGACATTCGTACCGCAAGGATGCCGATCAACCCACGAACGATTGGCTCGTATCCTCGTAGGATTTCCCATTGTCCCGCTTCAACAGTGGCCTTGGCTAGCACGACGGCAGTCCAGCGTCCCTCAACAGTGCGGTCTTGCAAAAGACTTGCAAGACGAGTCTTCAATTTGTGGATTTGAACAGCATGATCCGAGTCCCCCTTGCCAGCCTTCTGGCCCTGTGGTGCTGAGAGAAGGTCGGAGCAATCGCTCAGCGAAGTTGCAAGGAATGCAGTGATAGAGGGCAGTTGGTCCACTCGAGTCGTTGTCAAGCGATGCGTGACTGCACGTAATGTTGTGGATGCCATTGGGCGAGATAGCAGAGCGAGTCTGACGCCGCTCTGCGTGATCAATTAGCGACGAAGCTTCAAAAGTCCCACGCGTGATGGCAGTTGAAGGTTCAAAGCCGTTAAGAAAAAAATGCAATAGCTTTTTTTTTTCTTGTTCTGGAAAGCCGTACCAGGCAACGAGCTCGGGCCACATGATGCCGCGGTAAAATACCCGATTACGGTTACGGCAATACGTGGACATCGGTGTTGTCGATCACTTTGGGGTACAACAAGGCGAACTGGCTTGCAAATGCCGCACATATTTACTCGTTCATCTCCCTTCGCGCCTCCTCAGCAGATCCCAGGACAGCTATGGCGGTATGAAATCCCCTCATATGAGGCACTCGGGATCTATTCGAACCGAGCGATAAAGTCTGGCTCAGAACTCGCTGACTGGGGCGATCTAGGGAGGCAACGCTGACAAGGGACAGCGATACATCACGTCCTTGGACCAGGCGCGAGCGCAAGGCAGATGGGACGAAGTGCCTGAACTCATAAGAAAGATCAGAAAGCATGCGCCAACACGCACCTGTGAGTCAGTCCTTGCTCTGCGACCCTACTTGTGACGGAGGCTAACGGCGTTCCGACAAATTCAAGGCGCTGTCCAAACCGCAACCGCGGAGTCTCAGGTTGTGGCCTATCTCCAACAGAAGTCGTCCACCGAGAAGCCTTTGACCCCGAATTTGACAGAGCTTATTCCTGGCTTGCTCACAGTCATCGACACCAATGACGGGACACCTGAGGAGATTTTGCAGGCACAGGTTTGCCTAGGATGGATTCATTGGATTCTGAGCGAGCCGGCTCTGGCTGTCGAACGCTTACCACAAGACCTTGTCAAGTCTTTGGCAGAATTTTCCGCTGCAGGTCAAAATCCATCCTCATGGACAGAAATCTGCTTGGTCAGAGGTTGTTATATCAAAGGTAAGAAAGGCATATCTGTTTAAACTTGTTGCACAGCCAAGTTAACATTGCACAGGTGCTGCGCAAGTTGCGATCACCGGAATGGACGAAAGCCTGGAGACATTTGCGGCCCTGTCTACATGGCTCAGCGACGGAAGACTAGGCTCAAGCAACCCTCAATTCCTGAGCTGGGCGGAGGCTTTATTGTCGAAGGGTGCAATTATGGCCAGTGATGAGACTCAAGCAAACTCTCCAGACTCTGAGACCAGACATGTGGAGATTGCACTTCGACTTTTCCGATTATGGGCTGCTCTACCTGCGGTCAAGCAAGGCTTGCCCCCTCAAAAGCCATCCTATCTTGATGCGCCCGCACCGCATTCGCGGTGCATTGTGTGGAAGGCGTACTATGGGCTTCTCACAACTGTTCTCCAAGACGGGCTCCCATATACGGCATCTCGCGAAGGCAATGAACGGCTCCAGCTGGCTAGCGAAATAAGACGTGTAGAGTTCATTTGCGAGAATAGCGTCATCCGAGACGCGACATTCCCCAACGCGAGCTCCGACAACGCTGAGATCGAAACTTGGGTGGAAAAAGTGATTGCCAATTGGGAGATTATGTGTGGACCTCACTGGCAGGATCACGATCTGGGCGAAGGCGGCCAGGTTGCCATGGGACGGAATGTCTTGGACGTAGGTTCACTGGGAGATATGCCAATTGAGCCTTGCTAACATTTGATCGAACTGCAGATTCTCTACCGGGCAGCATCAAAGACTTATCACTCTCATTTGATTTTACGACGTCTTTTCCACGTCCATTCGGCTCTCACAGATTTTGAACTTGCGATTCAGGCTTTGGATTCATACATCGACATCGTCACCGGTGCGATGAGTCGTGCGGAAAAGGGCGCTGAGTATGGTGAATTGGAGAAACCTGAAACATTTTTGCAGACTCTCTCGGAAGGAGTGGTTCTGTTGAGTTGTCTTGGGTCATTTGACGAGGCGGAAAAGGCGAAGAGCTTGACAGAGCTTATCAGGAGTCACCTCGAGAAGCATGGCATGGATATCTTGCCAGAATCATCAGATCAAACCCTGATGATCACCGAGCGTAATGCGCCCTCCCAAGCATCCTCGATTGATCCGGTCATTCTAGCCTCAACTTACCGGGCGGTTGGGATTGGGCTTGCTAATTGGGCAAATTTCACTCCCCAGAATGAGGCTCGAGACGAAATTCGCAGTGAAGCTGTGGACTACCTGATGAAGAGTGCATCACCTTCCTTGGGAAAGACTATGGATTATTCAACTCTTTACACGTTGTCCCTTGTGCTCGCTGAGAACCGTGACTTAGACACCGCGATTGAATACGTGAAGTCCGCACTTACTTCCCATGGATGCTCCGAAACTACGGAAGACTACTCAAGAGAGCGCGACCTCCTTCCTATGTGGCACCTGCTCGCACTTCTTCTGAGCGCGAAAAACGAGTTTGACATAGCTGAGCGCTCATGTCAAGCTGCTTTCGATCCGTTGCCCTCTGAGCTGCTCGGCAAGAGCTATGGGGACAGGTCGGCAGACAAGCGCTTGTCTAGACCTTCGTCCAATCCGAAAGATCGAGATGGTACGCCAAGCCGGCCATTTGTGAGTCGTTTGCATAGTCGAGAAAAAGAGCGAATGCTGCAACTTCGCATAACCCAGCTTTCATTTGTGGAGGTCATGGAAGGGCCTGAAGCTGCTGTGAACCAAAGTGGTCAATTGCTGCATCTTTTTGCCACTTTGTTCCATGATCTGAACCTCGATAGCAATGATACCGAGCCCAAAGCTGACCAATTGGTGCCACCTAAAAGCTCCGCGGGTACGACACGGAGTTTCAGAGGAAGCATTTTCAGTCGGCATCGCGCATCCCATTTGAACGATCGCCGGGCTGAATCCTCATTGTCCGCAATCCCACCAGTGCCTCCCATCCCAAATGGAATGGCTGGCGCTGGAGATGCACCCAGCATTCAGATCACCCGCGAAGAGCGTGACGGCCGAGGTAGCCCTTCAACCCTAGGCAGGTCCGACTCGCATAAGGTGAAAAAGCGTGCCAGCAGCATTCTCAAGCACGAGAAACCGCGCAATGAAGAGCATCCTCCGTTGCCCACCGGACCGATGAACGCGGACACAGTAGACTTCGCTGTTTCTGCAGCTCACTCGACCCAGGCGACAGCACATCCTGTTGGGATGGAGCAATCCTCACAAGCAGTTGCACACAGTATGCCCGTTCGACAAAAGCCAGTCTCGGCTGGTCACGATTATAACTCACACTTGCACGATGTTCGGCTTCCGCGCTCTCATCGATTCAATTCCCCCACATTTGCTTCGATGAAGTTCTCACATGCTCGATCCCAAAAACATGCTCTGGGTCTGCTGGTTCAGATATGGCTTGTCATTGCAGGATTGTACCGCCGAGCGGGCTTGTTTGATGACGCACGAGAGGCCTGTCAAGAGGCCTTGAAGCAAGCATCGCGTGTGGAAACACTGACTGCGTCCTTTGAATCTTCCGCTCGAGCCTTTAGCAAGCGTGGCTGGGACAACGCCAAGAGCTCTGATGAGCTTTGGGCTGACGTTCTCACTGAGCAAGGGCTACTGTCACAGAGCCAATCGAAGCCGCATCAAGCGATGAAGATCTTTGAGGAGGCCCTGTTACGCTGCCCTGATCATCCGACGGCGACAATCGCGCTCGCCAATTTGCTTCTGGATCTATGGGATCAGAAGTTGCCACTGGAGTCATCAAATGCAGATGTTGATTTGACACTTTCTCGCCTGTCTCTTCTGTCAATATTACCGAAGCCCAAGATTGCAAACGCCATCTCAATTGACGAATTGAAAAGACCCGCATCCGAGTCTTCCTCTCGCCCAGGGACTGGATCTCCGCCGCACGACGTTGATCCCAAACATTTACATCGCTTGGCAGCCCGAGACCGCGCCTACGGCCTGCTTTCGTCTTTAACAAAGCTCGGCAGTTCGTGGGACAACTCTGATGCTTGGTTCGCATTGTCACGTGCCTACGAGGCCGGCGAGCAGATCGACAAACTAAAGGATGTTCTATGGTGGTGTATAGAACTTGAGGATCGCCGCCCTATCAGGCACTGGTCTACTCTTGGTTCGGGTCTTTACGTGCTCTAGAATCCAAGTTAAATCCATGATTGACCTTAATCCCTTCCTGTATCTATTTCTCGAGTCTTTTGCGCTGTCAGCGCCTCGTCACTCTCAATTTTGTGCTCCCAGATTCACTCATATTAGTTTGACATACCACTTCAATGCCTGACATACACAAGCGCTCTGCATTGTCCGGCCTTGCAAATGTTGGCGAACCAGTACACGTGGAGAAAGGTGCCGTTTTGAATGGAATACAGATATTAATCTCAAAGTTTCGATACTACACTTTGGTGAAGTTACTGCAAGGGCAACTATATGTACATCGTTCGGAACTACTCTAGGTGTTCGAACTGTTTCGGGAGGAAAAGCTCATGAAATTGGGTCAATGGAAGGCACGCCTGTTTGTCTTACTGAAAATGGATCAAGACATGCAACTTTACCGCGGAGCAGCCACAGGGGTCCAGGCGGAGTACTTAGGACGAGTGCTGAAGCAAATCATCAGTTGATCGATCGAAGTGGTGTTCGAAATGAACAGCAGTGGCTTTAACGTACGTGGAGTATGTCTTGAAGGCAGCACGGCTCGCGGTTGGATTAACGCGGTGCTCAGGAATCTCCCAGGCACGCTGACCTGGTTGAAGAAGCTTGTCTGCAACTGGAGGTGTATCGACCATGTAGGAGATCCAAGCGTGCCTGTAAGCCGCGTCAGTACTGAGACACAAGCCAGGATTTAGAGGACGGGACTCTGGGAATACACTCACCAGCCCGGTTCAATGTGATCGGGCTGATACTCGGGCCAGTTGACCTTGTAATCGACCCATCGTGTCCGAACTGTACACAAGACATTTCTTCAGCGCTCCAAATCTCTTTCATGCTTCCGGAGGTCCACCTAGTGTGAGGGAGGTCTTACGAGGCAACTCTTCTTCCATGTTCTCGTAGAACTTGTTACCGAAGCGATCGGTTCCGATCAGAGTTCCGGCTTTGGTGTCACCTATCGTGGGTTCCGCGTCAGTATGGATGGCGCTCTTGATCGACATGAGTTACACGAACCGATATTCTAGTGCGCAGACCAACAAGTGTCGAGTGAGTCAATCCATTCCGCTAAGAGAGTCCGGCTATTCTGGGTTCGACGGGAGTCGTACCTGCATTTGGTGGGCATAGTCCTGTACTTCTGCGTTAGTACCCCTATAGACAAATACTACAGGTCAAGTGCGAGACGAACCTTCAGACCAATTCGGCGCAAGTTGCGCAGCGTCCTCAATACGGTGGACATATTTGCGGTGCGATTGAAGTGAATGGGGTCTACGAGCTCAACGAGAGGGCGTGTGGAAGATGAGGTCTGAAGCCGGACAGTTTGCATTGTTTGCACGCTCATTGGTCACTTTCCCGATCAAGCAACCCACCCTTCGCCGCAGTCAAGAATAAACATGTTTGGTCGTATTGGAGGCCAGACTCTCCGTTGCCTCACTCGGCGTCAGATTACGAAGAGAAAATTATGTGATCGCAGCTTTACTACGCAGACTGGCACCAGTGCAGCTGCGGCGCCAATTTCCTCACCTCTCGGAGGACTTACAGTCGAGCTTGATCGCATTGCACCCCGATTTGAGGTGCCAGCCTCGCAAATCACTATTCTTGACTCACCTGCCAATTTCTACTATACTTTAAAGGTTTGTTATTTGACTGATCAATGCAAACTGTGCATCCGTATTAAAGCTTACGTTCTCTTCTATAGAGCAAAATTCGAAACGCAAAGCGTCGCATCTATCTTTCTACACTTTACATTGGCAAGACGGAGTATGAGTTGATTGAGACAATATCTGATGCTCTTCGCGACAATCCGAACCTACGAGTTTCAATCCTCACAGACGCTCTGAGAGGGACACGGGAGACCCCAAACCCTTCTTGCGCATCGCTTCTCTGCTCATTGGTCTCAAAATATGGCGCGGATCGAGTTGACATTCGGATGTTCCACACGCCGAACTTAACTGGAGTAAGGAAGAAATGGATACCTAAACGTATCAATGAAGGTTGGGGCTTGCAGCATATGAAGCTGTATGGTGTGGATGACGAGATTATACTCTCAGGGTGCGTCGCTTTTAAGAGAACATCGAGACCGTTAAACTGACGCCAACCCTAGCGCGAATCTATCAGAGGACTACTTCACGAATCGACTCGACCGATATCATGTTTTCCAGTCCAAGGATTTGACTGACTACTTTGCTGGAGTTCACCACGGAGTTTGCAGCTTAAGCTTCCAAGTCTTGCCGGACCCTCATCACACCTCCGGGTATCTTTTGGACTGGCCCACTGCGAATGCCGGTCCTTCGCCATTGGACGATCCGGAACGTTTTGTCGAGAGCGCTTCAAATAGACTTCGACCTCTCATTCAAGCTTCTCAAGAGACGTCCGCCACGTTCTCTTCCTCCAACAAGACTTTCGTTTATCCTGTTGCTCAATTTACACCACTCTTGAAACCCGACAGCTCTACTGAGTTCCCGGCTGTCACCAACATACTTCGTCTCCTTGCTGAGGTACCTGCCTTCTCAGGGGCTCGATGGCTCTTCACTGCTGGCTACTTCAATATACACCCTGAGCTATCTTCCTTGCTGATCTCAAGTACCTCTCGTGGGACCACCAACCCTTCCACCACAAGGGGCACAGTCCTTACCGCCTCGCCTTGGGCTAATGGATTCTATGGCTCTCCAGGTGTATCTGGCATGCTGCCCGCGGCCTACACCCACCTTTCCGCGCGTTTCCTGGACCGTGTCGCTGCTGCACAGGCGACGAACTTCATCCAGCTGAAGGAATGGCGTCGGGGTACTGTGGGCAAGCCAGATGGGTGGACCTATCATGCCAAGGGTCTTTGGGTCACATTGCCGAGTGAAGAGAACCCCAGCCTCACCTTTGTGGGAAGCAGCAATTACACGAAGCGAAGCTACAGTCTGGATCTTGAGGTCGGGGCAGTCGTTGTCACGAATGACCAAGATCTCAAACAGAGGCTCGGCGAGGAGACGCAGTGGCTGCAGAATGATTCGAAGCAGATTTCGAGGGAAGACCTCATGCGCACTGAAAGGCGTGTTGGCTGGAACGTGCGGCTTGCTATGTGGATCGTTGAAAAGGTCGGCGGTGCCCTATAATCTTGTGTTTAGAAGCTATATGTTCATACGCTTTGTGTGCTGTAAGATAGACTCGAGCAACTGAATAGTTGCTTTTTCTCATGCCTCATTCTTATGTCTTATAGACGTGCATTCGCAACCCTTTATTGTTGGACACCCCGTAGGGACCTTGGACACTGTTGAAGAGAACTCCAGTCTCACTATTGCTGAGTCATATCCTACGATCAACTGATCGCGCCGTCGACCTAGAGGACTAAATGCTTGATGACTTGGCTTGTACTCTGTACTGCGCCAGAAGTTGTGAAAAAGTACAACTGAATCATACTGTAATTGTTCATGATATAAGTGAAATAACAGGGAATGACTTTTCGGCTTCTACCGGTGTCCTATACCAATCGCAAATGCCAAAACTAATACCGAGAGATATATCAAAAGAAGAGAAAAACCAATGCGTTCCTAAACTCCGTGTCGCGATGGGGTAGTGGGTCCATTATCGGGTCGTATCATGTCAACATTCCTCCATCCACCTAAGCCCTGCCTGGGACCTTTCGCCCGCTGCCAGCCGAAAAGCGAGCGGGACCAAGCCCAGATCGCACCTCGTCGAGCATGCGGATACCAATTGCTTCGTTGCCGTTCTTGCCGCGCTTGAACTTTGTGCCCTTGCGTTTGGCTTGAGCACTGGTGTTGTCGTCCCAGCCAGCGAGGAAGTCATCCATGACATTGTGGAAATCGCTTCGCGACATAGCCGCGCCATTGGCATCGACAAGACTAGGCGCAGTTGAGGATGCAGTTGACATGCCCGTCATGCCGGTGGCTCCGGTCATACCGCTGACCATGGACATGTTGTCGTCGTATTCGTCTTCCTCATCGAGCGAGTACAAGGCCTCAACCTTTTCAAACCGATCGTCCAGCAATCGATGACCCTCAGTCCGAGCGAGGGCCGACGAAGTCATGGAGTAAGCGGAAGGATTAGTCAAAGCACCCTTGCGCTTCTTGCGACGAATTGGAGTGCCGCCAACTGTGAAGGCAGTAGATGCCACGGTCTGCTGCTCCGAGGGCGCAATCGTTGGCGCAGCTGGGACGGGGGCCTTGCCTGTCTTGGCATCTTTCTTGAACTTCGCGAACTCGTGCATCCATCCTTGGGTATCGGGCTGCGTATCCGGGGCAGGTACGTCGTGCTCAGGCATCTCGCCCGGTTCGAGGGACTCCTTCGGCATCGCCTCACCCTGAGTAGTTCGTAGAACATCCGTTGTGTTCCTCTGAACAGGTGCCTTCTCTGTGGCGTCCGACTCCCAGCCCTCGTCGTATTCCTCGTCGAACAAAGTATCCTCCCAGTCACCTGGGTCCAACTCCTCGCCTTCCTTGGTCAACTCGCCAAACAGATCCTCGCCATCATCGTCGACATATTCCTCATCTTCCAAAGCCTCCAGGGCTTCGCGCAGACGGGGGTCCATATCGGGCTGGAAACCAGCAATCGCATCGGGAACATCTTGCTGATCCTGATAGGTTGGCTTGCGAATGTACGACGAGGCAGTCGAGCGCATGTCACCAAACTGTGAACCGTACTGGCTTCGAGAATCATCCAAAGAGACTTGACGCAAGGCATCCTCCAACTTCATGGGTTTGTCCTTGCCCTTGCCCTTTTCAACCTTGGCCTCAACGAAGTGTGCATCGCCACCGCCGGTGCCGAGTTCACGCAGATGTTGCATGTAATCATATCTGGTATCATCGTAGTAGATGCCGAAATTTGCGGCTTCACCCTCATTACGGCGAATTGCTTGATTTTTGAACTCGGATTGAAGCTCTGACAGATTTCGGGAAGGTTTCTGGGACGAAGTGGAAGCAGTCGAGGAAGAGGGCGCAGGGCCACCGACTTGGTGCAGCACGCGATCCTCGGCTTGAGGATCATGGATCAGCGGGTCTTGCTGAGAACGATGGAAAAGTTGATAAGTCGTCGCATTTTTCTTGTCACTGAAATCGAAGTCAGTATCACCTTGAAATTGATTTACGAGTCACCTTAAATATGCTTACATCCACTGGCGGGGAGGCATTTTGACGTTTGATCTGTGTTCGCGAACAGAGCCAAATGCTTCTCCCTTTGTTGCGCTCCTAAAGAAAAAAAAGAAAAAGTGGGATAGATAGGGTCACGTGGGGCTTATCGCTGCCTGAGCCCCTCGGGTCCTCATTGACTTCAAATCTCAAGATGGGAGAACCCTGAGCATGAGTCTTGTTCAAAATGAAGCGGAGTACTTTATCCCATAAGCCTCACAATTCTCCAAAGCTAATAGACTATATTTTCCCTACCCCTCCGCAAGATTGGTCTATCTTGAGAAATTTGCCATCTAGGATAGCGTGCTGAGTCATCGTTATCTTATCCGCGGGGCCGTCTGATTAATCCAAAAGATTTCCGATTTTCAGGCGGGGTCGAAATAACTTTGTCTTTTCCACCATCAATTATAGTTCACAGCTACACCAATACAGACATCATCATGGTGTTGGCTAAGTCCAAAAACTCAGTGGGACTGGGCAACAGTCTCATGAATGATCGTTTTGGCAAGGGAAAAGCCTCAAGCCAGAAAAAGGCCTCGCACAACAATGCTATTGCCCGCAAGAATATGCTGGGTGAGACCTACATCACAAATGAAGCCCAGGAAGCATCATGGGTGAAGATGCGTTCGATCACCGAACAAGCCGCTCTCGATGAATTCCTCAGCACCGCCGAGCTGGCAGGTACCGATTTCACCGCTGAAAAAATCAACAACGTCAAGATCATTCACTCTGATCAGAAGAACCCGTACCTCCTCTCCGCCTCTGAGGAGAAGAACGCCGTCAAGAAACATGAGAAGAACAAGGGACGCCTGACTGTACCCAGACGACCAAAGTGGGACTCTACGACGACACCGCAACAGTTGGAAACGATGGAACGTGAAAGTTTGTTGAACTGGCGTCGTGGCCTCGCGGAGCTGCAGGAAAATAACGATCTCTTGATGACTCCCTTTGAGCGCAACTTGGAAGTTTGGCGTCAACTATGGCGTGTCATTGAGCGATCTGACCTTGTGGTGCAGATTGTCGATGCTCGTAACCCTCTCCAATTTCGCTCCGAGGACTTGGAAAACTACGTCAAGGAGATTGACCCCCGCAAGAAGAACTTGCTACTCGTCAATAAGGCCGATATGTTGACTCAGAAGCAGCGGGAAGCATGGGCTGACTACTTCGAGAGACACAATATCAATTTCCGTTTCTTCTCAGCTCATCTGGCCAAGGAGAAGATGGAGGCTGAGATGTTGAAAGAGTCTCAAGAGGATGAGGATTTGGCGAAGTCTACTAAGAACTTGAAGGTTGAAGATGAGGAGGAGAAGGACGAGGAGGAAGAACTTGAGCAGGAGGCTGGCGAGGAATTCGCTGCAGCGCTTGCCGACCCCGAGAAGTCATTAGGCCCACACATTCTTGATGTCGATGAGCTGGAAGCGCTTTTCTTGGCCAACTCGCCGGAGTCTTTGGCAGATGGATCAAACCCCGATGCTCCAGCCAAGGGCAAGACTACTATCGGTCTGGTCGGCTATCCGAATGTCGGTAAATCGAGTACCATTAACGCCTTGTTGGGAGCCAAGAAGGTGTCGGTTTCTGCCACCCCCGGTAAGACCAAGCACTTCCAAACGCTTTACCTGTCTCCGGAAATCATGCTTTGTGATTGTCCTGGTCTTGTTTTCCCCAACTTTGCGACGACTAAGGCCGACTTGGTGGTAAATGGTGTACTTCCGATCGATCAGCAACGCGAGTTCACAGGTCCCGCTGGACTGGTTGCCCAGCGTATCCCCAAGCACTTCATTGAGAATCTTTACGGCGTGAAGATCCGCACTCGTCCCATCGAGGAGGGCGGTACTGGAATCCCAACTGCCAGCGAGCTTCTTCGGGCATATGCGCGAGCTCGTGGTTTCTCGACGCAAGGTCTTGGACAACCGGATGAGTCTCGCGCTGCGCGATATGTGCTGAAGGACTACGTAAACGGCAAACTCCTTTTCGTCCATCCGCCACCCGTGCCATTGGGCGAGACCCCCACCGACCCTCACGCTTTTAATTATGAGCTGTACGATATTGCCCATCTCCCTCCTAAGCGCCAGGCACTACTTGCCAAGACCACCGTGGACCCCGACAACGACCCAATCGCCAACAATGAGCTCGAAGTTGTCGCTGCCGAGCCTGATATCTCACAGTTCACAGCCCCGCCAGTTGATAATGCACCTGGCCTGCGATCACGCACCCTCGACAGTGGCTTCTTCGGCACCGCTACCGGCCCCTCCGCTGGCCGTATTAATATGCCTTTCAACCACAAGTACACCGAACAGGGTCAGCAAATTCGCCAAAACCTCACTGGACGCAAGGAACGAATGATGATCGCCCTAGAGCGGGGTGTGGATGTGTCCGAGGTTCGAGGCACGGCCAGCTCGAAGAAGCACTTCAAAGGCAACAAGCGTCGTGCCAAGGCTAAGCGCAACAATGGCGAGGAGACCGAGGATTTCTACTAAATCTGAATTTCGCCCCCCTGAAAAGTCCTTCTGCTGGTATTTCCTTGTCTACGCGCTACGCGCTCGCTTGTCACGTCCTGATTTGAACCTCGGCCGGCGAGTCGAGATGGATGTTTATGCCTCGGATTCCCCGTTTGAGATGATTGTCCTTTTTTTCCTTTATGACCCCCTACTTTCCCCTTTTCCATCTACACATTGACATCATGCCATCTCCTGTGGAGGCTGATGGTGACAGATTCGGCGATTGAGTCGTGCTGGAGGGGGGTGTTTTTTTTGATTCGACATTTACAGGTGTTTGGGAGAATTTGCGATTATTCTAGCATGGTTTCAATGCACATACCGAATGATTCTGAAATTCATCGAAGTTCTCCCTTAGAGTCTTGGTGATGTGATGACAAAACACTCAGAGCGGCACATTGGGTGTAGGTCAAGAAATCGTTCAGGTTCAGTCTGACGCTTGTTCATTTGGATATCATTGCCAAAGTCTTGTTCTACCTAATTTTCAGATAGAAACTCATTTATATCACGGCTCTTCGAGCTTCTCAAATCACGTAAAACAGCGCTCTAAAGATGACTCTTGGACTTGAAACCGGAAGCAATCAGGAGACGATCAGACTCCTGCTGCTGCCACTTCAACTTGGCCATGACGTCCTTCTTGCGGGACTCATTCTCCCTGCGACCCATCTGCTGCAGGTGAACCTCATCGGGACCGTCGGCGATACGCAGTGTCCGGATACCAGCCCACATATACGCAAGAGGAGTGTCCTGGCAGACACCAGCAGCACCATAAGCCTGGACGGCGCGATCAATAATAGCCAAGGCTGACTGGGGGACCAGGACCTTGGCCTCGGCAATCTCCTTCAGAGCAGCCTTGGCATCCCCCTGGTCGATCTTGATAGCGGCGTTGAGGACGATCAAACGCGCAGCGTCGACCTCGATGCGGGACTTGGCGATCCACTCGAGGATGACGCCGTGAGAAGACAAGGGCTTGCCAAAGGTCTTCTTGCGCTCATCGTTGACACGGGCGATCATCCATTCGAGGGCCTTCTCGGCGGCGCCGATCGTGCGCATGGCGTGGTGAATACGGCCGGGACCCAGACGGCCCTGGATGATCTCGAATCCGCGGCCCTCGCCGAGGACCATGCTGGACAGAGGCAGGCGCACGTTCTTGAAGGTGATGTGGCCGTGACCGTGGGGGGCGTCGTCGTAGCCGTAGACGTGCAACATGCGGTGAATAGTCACACCGGGGGCGTCCGCTGGGCACAGGACGACGGACTGCTGACGATAGGTATCCTTGTTCTTGGGGTCGGACTTGCCCATGACGAGATAGACCTTGCAGCGGGGGTCGCCGGCGCCAGAAGACCACCATTTCTACAAAAGCCGGTCAATCAACGTTAGTGCTAAACTTGATATGGAAATGGCAGACGGAACCAAGCAAGCAAGACTGCTTATCCAGAGGGCGAGGGTGTTGTTTAAATTCTCAAGAACTCACCGAGCCATTCAAGACATATTCATTGCCCTCGCGACGAATCTCCAACTCGATATTGGTAGCATCACTCGAAGCAACATCGGGCTCGGTCATCAGGAAAGCAGAGCGAATCTTGCCTTCGAGCAGAGGGGCCAGCCACTCCTTCTTCTGAGCCTCATTACCGTACTTGGCCAATACCTCCATATTGCCAGTATCTGGGGCAGCGTTGTTCGTAGCCTAGCATCACACATCAGACCGAATCATTTCTTATCCTGGGGCTCGTTGCCAAGGGAGTCTGGCAGACCCAAAGAGGTCTCTCCGTTGTTCCCCATACCCCCTCCCCCAAGAAGATTGTGGGAAACACATACCTCGGAAGCAACCTTGCTCTTACCGAGAATCTCGGCCATCAGACCATACTCGACATTGCTGTAGCCAGCACCCTCCTTGAAGTGGCTCTTAGCCAAGAACATGTTCCACAGACCGAGCTTCTTGGCCTTGGCCTTGAGCTCCTCCATGACGGCGGGGGTGGTTTGCCATCGCTTCTCGCCTTCGCCCAGCTGGGCACTGAAGACAGCCTCGGCGGGGATACACTCTTTCTCGACGAACTCCTCGACCTATCCAAGCAAGTCCGTTCGTGTCAGCTGTATGGTCATGTATATAAATGACTTGATTTAAATCTCTGGGGAGGAGCAGGAGCAGAAGGAGGGAGAATGCCCTTACCAGATCGAGAGTCTTCTTGGCCCGATCGCTCACAAAGGGCTGAGCGATGACGGGGATGCGTGAAGAAGCAGACATGATGTGTATGTGTGTAGGGGGGGGATGGGGAGGAAGTACTTCTTTCGAGAGCAGTAAAGAGAAGGAGGACGTGATCTTAAAAGGAGAACAGCCGAGAGCAAAGGGTCTAACTAGCTGAATATAAGATCCGAGTGAATTGACTAATTGCGGAGAAGATGTTGTGGAGAAGCCGAGCAACTGGGGGGCTTTTGCCTCGGCCCCTCGGTGGAAGACTATTCCTCTTGTTGGACAGGAGGTACCAGCACCACTGTTAGGGTTGACCCAAGAACGGAGGGCAAGATCCGGGGTATGTTAGCATCCTGATCGTCGATCAGTTATCTGAATCGTGCAAATGATCACACCGAGCCAGTTGACCAGATTGCAATGAATTTGAGGCAATGGAAGTCCGGTCGCTCTACGGTCATGTTGTCACTTCAGCCGCCGAGGGGCGTTTGTCATCTCGGCCGGCTGCCTCGGCCAGTGGACCGAATGATACAAACCTACTAAACGCCACCGCAACTCGCATAGTCCTCAGAGAGCTTTTCTTGACAGATGAAATTGACATTGCCAGAGTGACGACGAAACACGAGAAGACGTTTTGAATCTCGCAGGAAGTCCGGTCGGATCAATTGCTAATGTACGATTGACCAAATATACCATCCAGAGAAGTAATAGAAGAGAAAGTTCCAACGAATAGTCCTGCACCCCTAACCCGACCAAAAGAACCAACGAAATAAACACACAAAAAACCAAAGAGGGAACGGGTCGAAGTAAAAGGTAGAGAAAAGAGGAAGAAGAGAAGTCACAGAAAGGGCATTGCGGGTCATCAAAAAAAAGAAACGGAGCCAGTATATGCGAGCAATGATAACCGCAAGCCTGCCCTTAAAGACCGAAGCACTCGCTCAAGACTTTCGTCAACGGACGGACTATGTGGAAAGAGGTCCCAAGTGAAGACATCTTCCCACTGGCCTCAAGGAGAGGTCACTTCCAGGATAGCTGACAAGCGACCAGCACCCCAGCAATCGGGCTTCTCCCGAGGCCAACACCATCGAGTGGGCGGAATATTCAACGACAGTTCATCCGACAAAGAGCAATGTATTGCACACTGGAAACGCATTGGACCGTCTAATCAGTGGCTTGAGTCTGCCCAGCTGATGATTGCTCGTAACTCTTCTTGCCCAGCTTTGCGAAGAGAGACTGAGGCTTGCCAGCGCTGTTCGAGACACGTTAGCGTCGAGTCCCAGCTGTGCTCAGGTGTCCAAATCTCATCCTCCCATGCAGATAAGCATTGCGAACACTTACTTCTTGAACCGCTTGCTCTTGATGTCGCTCAACTTCTTCGTACAGGGGCTCATGATATCGTCCGATGGAGAAACGTAGGCGTTTGACTGTCTAGAGGGATGCGATTCGAATGTCAGAAGGACTATTTCTTGGAGGCGAATCACGGAGACCATTACGAGCCAGAAGGCGTCGCGATCGAGCCATCAGATCAGAAGGATCGGCGCTGGAAAGCACTTACTTTTCGCCGCCATCCAGCTTCGCCTGAAGGGCCTGGCGGTGGAAATCCATCGATGACAGATCAGCCTTGGAGTCAAACTTGTCGCCAGATGAAGCGTTGGCAAGATGCGTATTTGTGGGACGATCGGCCAGAGGCTGGGTGTGTGCTGTCGTTGAGTCCATTGTGAATGAGAGGATATGTGAGAATGTAGAAAGGGGGATTCGGATGAGACAGCGTAGATGGGATGTTCGGATCGATCAACAAAAGACAAAGATGTAGGAACTGGGGTCAATTTGATACAGCATGCACAGAAGCAATGAGAAGCGGAGATTGAAAAGGTCACAGCCTCTGGAGAAGGGGAAATGGTGGGTTCGGATAAGAGAAAAACGTGTGTTGTTGGTGGCAGCCGAAGGAGAAAAATGCCCCGTTTTCGTTGATTGTTGACCCGGCAACCCTGCCGATGATTCCACTCAATGACCTCCTCACGGGACGAGACAAAGAAAGCGACCAGAGCCGGCTCCATCGAGACGTCTATGACGCACATCTGTAAAACATACATTCCAGCCGCACAGTGCTGTGACTCGCCTAGAACATACTGCTTATTTCGAACATTGGATTTGTCATAAGTAGATGTTTGTTTATTTGGCGTTGTCGGGGTCAGTTAAACTCAAAGGAGGAATGACGCAGTTTCGGACCCTCAGCGAAGACGATGCATGCTCGTAACGGCTATTCTTGTTATGTGCATTGCGTGTTCCAGTTGATCTCAAAACGGCAAAGAGTGATACACCAAGGTCTTCGTGAAAAGTAACCATACGTCTCATAAGGACGCCCAAAAAGAAAAAGAAAGATGCTTATACTAATCATGCCCGCAATGCCATGCAAAATTCATAAAAAAAACGCAAGACCAGACGACTTGCGAAGGGACAGACACACAATAATGAATGCAGGAAGAATGGAAACAATCATTCAACAAGGGAGTGGCTTCAATTCTCTCTTTCATTTGCATCAGAAGCCCTCGAGCTTGTGTACATCACGTCCTCGTCTTCATCCTCGGCGCGCAGACTTGATTGCGAAGCTCGTGAATTTAGTACGGGCGGAGTGCTATGAGATCGGAAATGAGGAGATCCCAAAGTAGGCACGGACATCAGCTCCGGAGAAGGAGGTTTCCGACGCTTCTCGTCGTCTACTTCCGCGAATTCCGGAGTGACTTCCGATGGAGGCGTCGGTGGAATGTAAGTTACGTCGGGGCTGTTGGAACCTTCTGGCGACATAGAGCTGTCCGAGAGTGTCCTTCGATGCACAGGATGCTCCTGGTAGGAGGAAGGCGCTCGGGGAGAACTGGGGCTCGCAGTCGGGGTCTCGAAAGGTGGCGATGTGGATCGCAAGCTGTAGGATCGCGCGACCATGCGCTGGACACGGGGGAATTCCATGTAATTGCCGACCGATCCACGAGAGAAAAGAACAACAGCAAAGCAACACAGTACCATGATGCTTTGAATCATGATGACTCGCTTCTGAAAGACAAGTTCGTCGGCCAAAACACCGAGTTGTCCGCTTAGTGACTGGACTTCTTGGTGATACCGAACACGCTGATGCTCGAACTCAAAGGCGACGGACTTCCAGACATGATCATATTGCTCACGGAACTCCTTCAATTCATTGAGTACTGTACTATTGAGATTTTCCAGAAATGTAGAAGTCTTGGCAAGCTGGCGCTTTTCAACTTTGCTGAAGGCGTCACGAAGTATGCGAGATTGCTCTTCAATGTACAGCAGTGAAAGCGTCGAGTTTGACTCGAGCATTTGCAGTCGCTTGTGAACCGATTTGAAGAACGATTCTTGCGTAGTAGGAATAGATGGGGGCGGTTGAGTTGAACTCGGGCGTGCTTGTTCGGAACTGACGCCATTGGTTTGCTCATCTTTAATGTAGGTCGTCGCTTTCCCGGTGTTTTCGGTCTTGGGATCCTGGGTAGAATGATCTGGTGCGGCCACGGTAACCTTAGGTGGCGACATTGCAGACTTGTGCTGTGCACCAGACCTCTGCTGGCCGTCGGGTACTTTTGGTGCTTTCGGAGGGGGCAGTGGCCTTGAGGATGGGGTGGAAGGCCCTTCTCCCGGCACGGCTGTAGAACTGGCATTCACGGCCTTCTCAATGTGACGATCCGATTCTACATGGGACGCACTGCGATCTGATGTCTCTTCTGTAATTGCGCAGATTCCAGTCACTGGACAGAACGTTGCATTTGCCGAAAGGTGCAGCAGAACCTCCGCGAGAGGATTCGGACATAGTTGATTACTGGCTTCCTGCCTCGAGCTCACAGCGACAAACTCCTCCATGGGAGCCTCAAACGGCAGGGCATCAACAGGCTCAGTGCCATCTGTGATTTCACTAACCTCTTCGTCGAATTCGGTCTCACCTCGGCTCACACTCTCATCGTGCTTGTATTCCTCCATCATCGTGGTACCATGAACTCGGATGAGACTGATAGGGCAGTAGAATTCATGGCCGTAGTGGGTCAGGAACTCAACACGCAAATACCGAGCCCAAATCAAAGAATTTTCCACGGCAAATGCCTGCACTTCACGGGTATTCCTGGCTTCAAACACGCCGAGCTCTTTCCACTGGTCCGGTTTCGCGGGGTACCGGTCCGAGACGCTCACGCGGAACGTGTGGAAGATGGAGCTGAAGAACTCGTAATTGGCAAGAACGACGGTGTCAACGAGAATATCGTCACAAAGTTCTAGAATGAGGAACTTGTTGTTTGCTCGACACTCATTCAGCATATAACTATCCTTGTTCTCCACGAGCACAGCCGATGACCCTTTGCATTCGGGATTGGTCTTAAGCACCGTTGCCGCGCAATCGAATGACGCATAATTAAATCGCTCTTTACATGTGGTACCTGCGTCTTTGCGCCGTGATCTGTCAGGTTGCGGTGGGCTCAGAGTGAGAGCATCTCCGTTGTCTTCAGTCTTCGCCGGTGCTGCTGACTGTGATGGGATAGGTGTTCCCCACGCCGTCGGACTCGCCTCGGGTGACTCTGCAACGAATCCGACAAAGTCGAGTTCAATCTCCGCGTCGTCTCCCAAGGAGTCTAGCGCATTGTTGATGCCAGGTTGTCGCCGGCCTTCTTTGCCCACGGCTGTCGCGCGTCTGCTACCGCCAACATTGTCGACCGACTGGCCGACTTTCGCCAGATTCTGCTTCTTCCAATCCTCAAAGGACAAGAAGCTCGAGCTGTCGAGGAGGGAGTCTGTTTCTGCATCGGAGTCCGACTCGGGTCCGCCGGCAGATGATGGCGTCTCTGCTGTCACGCCAGCAGACCCCGTGCCTGTCACGGCGCCGGTCTCATTCTTGACCACTGGCTGAGCTAAATTCGGATGTCTTCGATGACGATCTGACTGCGCATTTTGTGTCCCTGCATCATTCGCGATGCACGTCGGATACTGGAATAATGCTGCCTCTGCTTGCCACGGAGATCGCGCCAGGCCATTGTCCCGAGACGAGATGGTGCCTCCGTGCCACCCAGTCGCATTTTGGACACCATTACCACATGTCGCGGCAGAAAGAGCCATCATCACAGCCACATATTGTAGCCACGTAGGCCATAGTCGCCGGGTCATCGTCGTGCCCTGCGAAGTCGTCGGCAGCGAAGAAATCAGTCTCGGTGGCTAGTTGGACACAACACTCGGGTATATAAGCTGTCAATCCTCCGCTTTCACCAGACAAATTGGTGACGATCAATGCGCGCGGTGATGGGCCCTTTCCACGATCGTTTGTTCCAATCTATGTACCGGCCCGTGGGGTGTCTGGCGTGATAGGCATGATTCTCTAACCTCCAGCCTCGAGAACTTGAAGTCTCGAGTTCGGTCGATCGCAAGTATGTACGTGACGTGCGAAGGAAAACGGGCGAAGTTTTGTTGGGCAATAGAGTGTCTCCAATGAACTGATCGTGTGGAAAAATAATGACAGATTAGATCTCTCTAGTTGGGCTTGAGACGAGCTGGCGGTAAATGAAGACCCACTCGCTGGGTTGCCACTTTCTCTCTCTGTTCAACAAAATCTCAGTTATCGCGACTCGGGACTCGTGATGGCTTCGAGGGGCGTGTCCACAAGCGAGCAGGCTAAGCTCGACACAGTTGTGGGCTGGCATCTCGCCCGCTCGGAGGCTGGGGTCACCGCCTCCCTCACCGCCGCACGGGCTCTTGTCTCGTAGCGCGGACCCCGATGGATTGAATCATGTTGCAAGCTTGATCTTTTGGATATTCTATGCGATGCTTTTTGGGGGTCGCGGATGATAAAATATCCGTGGTGCAAGATTGAGTGTGTTCATTTTTTTTTTGCTACGAGTGCCGCATCAGGTGCATGGCCCGCTGCAGGCTGGCGCTCAATCAGCTGAACGAAGGCTTTTGAGTTGCTGAAGTTGGTGTGGCATGCACTTATTCCTGACTCGATTCAAGTCCTCTCTATCGCCCACCGCTTGTTCGAGTCCCACTACTTCAGCAGTCGAGGGGGACCCACCGGCTGCAGGGCATCTAAATCGGAATTGTCGACCCTGTCGGGTGTTTGAGGCAGTTGGCACTTATTGTTCCTATATTACTCGAGGCTACTGGGTTAAAAGACTTCGTCTGTGCGGATGATTGAATTTTCCTTTTTGACGGACCAGGTGCCTAAGTAGTAACAGTACACACGATTGTTGTTCGGTTCGCGTCAAATCAGGAATGCACGTTGCAGATACAGTAGTCCACATTCCACCTCGCAAAACAGATGTCTGGGACGTCCCTGGCACACAAAAGCCTCACCGTCGTCGTTGTCATCTCAGAGTCGTCACAAGTCCATATGCAATAAATGTTGGATAGATAAAAGGGGGTCATGGTGGAGGCCAATAGAGGAATAGAAGAGAGAAGAGAGAAGGGTCAAAAACAAACAAACCACCGGACTCAACCAGTTCGGCTCCGTCTTCTAATCTTTTGGGTGCTCGATGTCTTCCAGCTGGAAGCTGTACTGCGCGCAACCGTATATGGTACAGGTTGGGACAGAAGTAGGGGGAACAAACCAGCTGCGTGCAGGCCACCCGTCCCGAGAGTTGCAACGGCAAGCCTCGAGGGTGAAGCGATCAGCGGAAGCATCGGCAGAGAACAAAAACTTCAAAAGGTAGAAAAGAATAGGGGTCGAGACAGGGGTAGGACAGCATTGATCAATATTAGTTTATGAGAGACATTTTGAACTTTTTTTTCGCAGCTCAATATCAGAGGACCAGATGCAAATGAGACTGTGGAACGATTATGAGGGGAGACCGGTAAAGGCGGTCGACGGAAAGAGATTCGAGGTGTGACAAGGTGAGCCCAAACTCAGTCGGTGATGTGCTAGAGGTGGAGATCGTGCCATCCACCCACGAGATCGAGATCTTCGTCAAGACTGCCATCGTAGGCCAGGTGCTTCAGAGGAGAATGATGGGGGGAGCGTTTCGAAGCATCACCGCCATCGCGACGCCAGTCCTTTTCAAGGAAGGCGCGGCGATGACGCTCGACTTGAGGTGACTCGCGCTTGGTCCGGGATCCATGGTCGAATCCAGAGGAGCCAAGACCCCAATCACGCCGCCAGTTACCAGCAGCGCGCTGTGGACCAAAAGGTTCACGGGTCTTGAAGTTACGGCGCTTATCTCCTAGCTCAGCCCACTTGTCCATATGAGACGAGGCTTTGTTTGGCGACGACGGGGCATGATGGAACGGACGAGGTGTACTGTTGGAAGTGCCAGTGTCACTGTCGATGTCCCATGTCTTGGTAGGAATGGCGCGAGGAGCCACGGGCTCCGGGTCCACGATGTGAAGTTCATCTAGATTCAATTGATCAAGGGGGGATGCGGAGTCCTGCTCGCGCAATCCCGCCATCGGAGTGGTTTGGCTTTCCTGGCTCCAACTACGAGAGTTCTGCTCACGGCGTAGTTGGAACGCGGACTGCTCGTTCTCCGATTCTTCTTCTTCCTCATCCCAAAGATCACTCCAGCTCTTGGAGATTTGATCCTGGCCAGGCTTGCCAAACACCATCGAGAGAGAGGGCAAGGGCTTGGCAGCGTGACTCGGGAGGGATCCAGTGATAGGAACGGGATCAGAACGGGGAAGCTTCGGACACTCGCGTTGACGGCCGAAGTGCATAGCCTGGAATGAGTCACCCATGGCCGAGTCCAAGACGGAGGCGAGCGATGAAGTGTCTGCATGCACCGAGAACCAAGAAGTTCCTCCAACCTCGGAAGGAGGGAAGAGATCTTCGGTGTAGCTCTCGTTGTCGGGAATCACAGACAGTTGACGCATCGCCTGGGGAGGGCTGGTTTGCAAAGCCTTGGCCCAGGGGAAAGAATCGCCTTGAGTGACGTGAGGGCTCTGGATGGAAGGAGTGCGAAGAGGCTCGCGGTTGACGGTAGCCGCCACCACCTCGCGATCCTCGGTGCAGAAGTCGTCCAGGGCCTCATCATCCGTGGTAAAGGAGACAGCACGCAGGATGCACTGGCGGACCTCGGACAAGGAGCGCTTGGTGGGGTCAATGGCCAGACAGTGAGTCAAGACCTCGAAGGTGTCTTGAGACATGTTGGGAAAAATGTCAAACAGCGACTGTCGGTCGCGCACGTAGTCCGCGAAAAGAACATCCGACTCAGTAGGCGTCACGAACGGGTTCCGCGCGAACAGAATGTTGAGCATGCAGATACCAATTGACCAGACGTCCGCCTGGGCGGGGGAGTAGCCGGTCGAACCAGGGTCATACTGTTCAGGGGCCATGTAACGGTCACTGCCCACACAAGCTTCGTGACACCAGGGTTCACGGGTGGCGAGACCGAAGTCGCCCAGCTTCATCACACCTTCATGGGTCAAGAAGATGTTCTCGGGCTTGATATCACGATGGTAAATGCCGTTGGCATGCATAAACTCCACCGCGCTGATCAATTGAAGCATAAAATCGCGGACATGCTCGGTCTCCAATGGACCACGGTTTAACCGGATCGCCTCATACAGATCACCATTGGCGCAGTATTCCAGGACCAGATAGGTGTGGTGTTCCGTCTCGAAGTTGTGAATCAAGTTGACCAAGTTAGAATGGAAGCCAAAGCGCTGGTGGCACTCCAATTCCTCAAACCGATCATCGGCAGCCGATGGATCAGTAGAGGTTGACTTAGCCAAACACTTGATGGCCACCTCGTTGCCGGTGGTCACGTCGGTGGCAAGAAAGACCATGCCAAATGAGCCGTGATTGAGGGGAGCCACGGTCCGGAAACGGCCATCGAGAAGAACATCCTTGGTGAAGTTGTCCTTGAGACACTGCACGGTAATAGACATGATGCGATGTGGTTGTGCCTTTGGAAGGACACGAATGATCAAGAAAGATAAACGTCAGAAGCACAGGATGCAGACAGAGAGCAAGAGATATGAGCGCTGTCAATGACTCAAACAATGAAGATCGGAAACAATCTATGAACCGCTTCGATGAATTGAACAAGAATGAGGAAATTGCGCGGGACAAAAAAAAATGAAAAAAGTAGTCGGACAGAACAACGTCAACAGAGCGACCAGGCTAGTAGAGATGGAACCAACGGTCAAGAAAAGAAACAAACGATCAAGCCTTTCGTCTGATAGAAAGACAATCGGTGAATCGGGAAATATAGGCGGTCAGAGGACTAAAGGGTAGACACTTCTCTGAGCAAGTCCAGCTGTCATGTAATATATCGGCAAAGGAAATGAGAGAGATCGACAAAAGGAGACAACAGGCGCGCACGAGACGTGGTCGAGCAACGATGACAGGGGAAAATGCGTAAGGAAACGGTGGAAGGACTGTTATGTGCTCATCGGTAGGTTGTTTTTGGTGTTGTTGGTCGTTTTATTGGTCGAGGGGAATGGCGTCGAGCCTGGTTGGGGGTGAGGAAGGAAAAGAGATTGTCGAATGAATGGACAGAGTGGATGGATAGGAGGCCTGGTCGAACAGACTGAAGACAACAAGATAGGAGTTTGCGCTGCGTAAGATCGTGACAAGTTTGCGGGAAAAAAGAGAAACTGAAAAGGAACTCGCGAACACCAGGTTCAGGGTCGAGGATTGCTGAGACTCAAGGAAGAGGCGGCGGAGTCAATGATTCATGAAGGTTGGTGGAGTAGATATAACAGTCGAGAAAGAGATGGCTGTCACAGATCAATGGAGAGCGGGGAGGAGGCTCTCGATTGAGAGGGTGAGAGTCTGGGATCCTGGAGGAGCACCTTTGCAATTCCAAGTTGGAATCGTTGAAGCACTCGAAGCCAGGTTCCCGGTACGTTCTGATCAATCTTTGAGCAGTCAGACCCGACAATCGTGTGTAAGAGCTGAGAGGAGATTGAGTGACGGCTCACCGAAGGGGGGGGGTCTCGGAGGTGGAATTTATAGTCGTGCCAAGCAGGCAGACGCTGGCGATAGGAGACTTCTGGCTTCTTCCGGAGCAATGGTGTCAACGGTTCGTTCAACACCAAATGCCACAGAAGATCGTAGTCTGTTGTCGATTTGGAAGGCGCACGAGAACAGAGATCTCGGAGCAGAAAGAGGCAACTCTCTCAGCAATCGAAGATATACTGCGAGGCTTTGGCGATGGGGGTCAAAAGCGTAGGTGTGTCACCAATCCGGACGGGCCGATGGTGAGGAGAAGGTGGTTGGGGTACAGGGGAGAGTTGCGGTGGCGGACGGATGGGAGGTCACAAAAGAAGTGCAAGAGCAGAGGAGGCGTGGATACGGAAAGAAGAAGGAGGTGTGAGTGATGGGATGGCGAGACGAAGATATGAACAAGAGAAGGAACGGGAACGGGAAGTTGAGATGGGGAGACGTCGAGGAGTCACCAGAGTCACGGGTGGAGACAGATGAGCCAGACAATCTTAGGAGACACTGAGGAGACAAGAGGAGAGAGGCCGAGAGAAAGGGACGGAAGAGATGGGGGAATGACCGTATTGATACCACTGTATGGTCACAAACCTCGTGGGTGTCACTGGGTGATCGACACCGAGGACCGTGGTCATTTCCATTGGCAGTGATGAGAGATACGGGGGCCGCGGCGCAATATGCAGTGGGGAGTGGGCACGCTGGAGTCTGAAAGTGGAAAGGTGGAGAGGGGACCTGATTGTTACGTCCATGACGTGATACGGCCTATGTATGGAACCGACCAGTCTTGGTATTACTGCACTCATGGACTCATGTCCTTTGACAGACCAAGTTCCATAGGTTGGAAACATTCACCGTACAACTCCGGTGCTCAGGGCTCATAGCTGGGTATGTATATGTGAATGGATAACTCTACTTGAAAAGGCAGTTCACTCATATGGTCCATGGCTACGGCTTGTTTGATTTATATATATGAAAGCCTGGGAACGAGCCTGAGCGGTGCACACACAAGGTCTCCTCGCAACCGGGCGCATCCGTCGAGACGGGTATTGTATGCCGTCTGGCGGATCACGCTGGACGGGAGTAAGGAACCCAAAAATCCACTGACGAGCGAGCAACAATCCGAGGTAATAATACAGCGAGACTGTAAGTATACATCAACACGCCGAAAAATCAAAGGGCCAGGCTTACGAGGGCGTCCTCGGAGGGTCCTCTCTCCGAATGACTGTTCAGTGTTCCCAAGGTCCCAAGTCCCAACACTCCAAGTGATTCCGCCTTCTACCATCAGGTAACTACACGTGGTACACAGCACACATTACACATTACATAGTATGTTACTTATGCCACGTATATGATTAGTACTTAATTCAAAGAAAAGGAGCTCAAGGCCGAAGTTCTGACTTATGTAATATGAACATTGGAATTGTGCAGGAAAACACGCACTGATACGTGCAGTATGTAACGGCTGGATTGACCTCCGTGCTTCGTTGTTGTTCTGCGCAGCTCCTGAACCTTCCAGGCATTCCAGGGGCCCAGGAAAGCCGTCGCGATCTCGCAGTCGCACCTTCAAGGGGGAACCTTTCTATCATTCTCCATTCATTGCAATATGTGTACTTGAAGAATTCCACCGATCTGCCGGAGTGATGACTTAAGCCGTGTGTACGCTGGGGCAACCACATAGAGTAAATACTAAATACTAAATAGCAGTATGAGACAGGCAGCCATCCACCTGCCACCATAACACTGTTCTGGGAAATGCATTCCATGTTTGACATGGAGATGAGGGTGTGAAACATAAGTGTACAATTCCTCGAGTAAGGGCGGACCTCTTTTTCTTCCCTTTACATCAAGACTCATTGTTGGGGTTCATGGAGGGTGTCCATTTTGTTAGCTCCGAGTCCCGACAGCTTGTTATCCTGAACTTTATGTGAAGTCAAATCCCCTCACCATTTGACTCCTGGGAGAAGCCGGAAGGCTATCAGAAATTCAGAATGGGTACAATGCAGCCTGGGGCAACTAGTACAGGTGGACATATATGGGGGAACCCACTTTTAGGGGGAAGCAGCCCGGCAAATGGACGGGACCTGCAGTGGTGCACAATGTACATTGTACGGTCACTACGGTGTAAATTTGGTCTCTTGTGACTGTATAATTACACAATCACACATGACTCTATTGACTATCGACTAAGGTATATACTATACAGTATACAAAGTTATCTAACTTATGAGACCATTACACCTTATAGTTATACATTACCAGGATGGTATGGTATGGGTCCATGATACTGATAGTAGTACTACTACTAGTCGTCTACTCCTAGTGGTGCTGGGGTTGGGTCAGACTAAAAGATTCGGCTGGTCGGGGGGTACAGTCCAAGGTCCCCAAGAGGACATCAGACCCAAAGGACGAAGACCAGACGCCCAAAAGGCTAGATGGCCTTGTAACTCCGAAAGCCCTAGATCAGAAGGACGAGCGCGTACTGCTGCGAGCCGACACCGCCTCTCTTTCCCCCCTCCCGGTACCACGGGTACCTGGAATGATCGATGACTGGGAGACTGGGCGGGTGACCAGAAGACTCACAGTACCCGCTGTTGGGAGACAGTGCCAGGCCTGAGTGAAGTCACAGTCACTGCCCCAGTACTACCACGGTACCTGCCACTGAGTCACACCACCTTGGGCCAACATGAACGATCCAACTTTCTCTGGATCGCATGACAGCGCCAAAAAGAAATGGCTCCTGCCTGAAGCCAGCGAGTCGCGACCCGGAGCGGGTCCCGGTGGCGCGCTAGACTTCATGCGGTGGGCTGCGCAGCGGAGTCGAGGGCGATCACGAATCAAGTGACACTGCGGCGGCACTATTTCCGGTCTGCATGACGCCATGGATTAGGAATGGCGTGATTTTTGCTGATTGGTGTGTTGCTGGTGTTCTAGCTGCGCAGGAGGGGCCTGTAAGCTTCTGGTTTTTGGGTCTTTGCTTTCAAGGTTGGTTGCTGCTGCCGCTGGTCTGCTTTGTTTACTGGCGCTTGACCTGCTGGCATGCATGTGGCTGCGGTGGGAGTGCCAGAAGTTTGTCTGTTAACTTTGGCCTGGCTACATATGATTCGTGAGGACCCATAACTTTGTTGGCCGTCGAGATAACGCGTTCTCTGTAGCCCGAACAGTACTACAGTGTTGACTGTGAACTTGGGAAGTTGTGAAGTATACACTTGGTCCCAACAATCATGGTCTTTGAATGTCGGTGCATTATTCCGAGACTTGGTTCGCATGTTGTCTAACATGAGGGAATAGCGGAATATCAGAAATAATTAGAACTGAAGGTCGGGTCTGCCTTAGTGACTGCCTCTTCGTTTCCTATACAATGGGTTGTATATACCAGGTAGGGTCAACCACAAGTCCAACCTAGTACTACTACCTTGGTATTACTATCTACTAAGGTGATTTCCTGTTCTCCAAGGTGATCCCACGCCTGTTTGCTTATCAGGAGTGAACATAAGGTCCACACCTATATGACCTATATCATACACAATTAAGTAGCCGATGCGACCGCAGAAATTCCTCTTCTAAACCCTGATATTGCGCCCTTTCTTGTATATTTGCATACCTACCAGGACGTAAGTCACCTTATCGCTGGTGCCACCCGTCGCTCATCGTGCAGAATGATGGGGACCAGCGGGGCCTCTAGTTCAAATATGTATCTAACTACTCTGTACACAGATCATGTATCACTCTTCCCGCTAGCCTGTCTTTCTGTCGATGATATGTGGGACTGCCCCAATTTTGATTGACAATCTACGCGCCAGCATGTACCATAGATAGCAACCTGTCAACGTCAAGGACCCAATCTAAGCGCTACACATCTCTGACAGTTTGATCGTCCTGGCCTGGCCCCTAGACCCCTCCTTCCATCGAGAGATGGGGTCTATTATTTCTTCGATCGTCATAT